TTGTCTGTAGCTCAATCGTTCCTTGCAAAAGCTCGCCATCCATGATGCCGTGAACGTACGCCTCGCCAACGACAAGACAATCTCCATTATCTGGGAGGGTCCAGAGGACGAACGGGATATCTGCACCAATGATTATCCACACGACGTTACCTACAGAAGCTTCCAATGGTGCAAGCCCTACATAACCTCTATCAGTTATGAAGGGACGTCTCCCATCCAATTTTGCACTGGCCACATTCATGTACTTTAGACCCTCAGAGAGCTCGCCTCGGCGGAGAGCCTGATAGGCCAGGAACATTTCCCTGGATGCCCGTTCCGTTTCCCAGTTGTACGCGAACTCTCGATCTGCGATTGGACTTCTCCACAAGGCCTCGCGCAGCTCTTCATCAGTCTTGTATACCTCATTAGGACCTGGCAGGATGAGATCAAAGTCGTCAAGCCATGAGTTGAAGATTGCGGCTCGTGTCGCATCTGGTGTGCCGACACTCATATTTGGAAAGGGATCTCCTCGTTTGACAATCTCGCCTACTCGTAATGCCTTCAACGATAGGACGCCCGCCTCCGAGAATGCTTCTGAAAGAGACTGAGAAAGGCCTGCAGATGCTGTGTAAGCCTTTTCTCTGTTCTTGCCTCGCACGACAAAAAGTGAAGGCGTGTGTAATGGTTGCGCCAGGTGTTTCGAGGACCAGTCGGGCGCCCATGCCGGTTTGCTTTGCAGCTGTCTCAACCCAGCGAATGATAGAATCACCGGGCCATAGAAAGTTAGACAGGCTTTGGCCACCTCTGTCCGAACCGTTTTCCAATCCTTGTTGTATTGGGCCTGTATCGACGGACCAGACTCCGGATCAATCAAACCCAACAGCGAAAAAACGTAGTCTCGTTGATCAGAAGCCTGAAGCTGAGCCTTTTTCGCCATCCTGGACAACAGGGAGAAAAGGGTCAAGAGTGGGGAATTGAGACGAGTGAAGGCCACCGGGGTTACTCTGTCCAGGGCCGCCGTGAGAAAGCTCACCAGTGCAGAGCTGTCTGACCTTCCAGTTCCCGGGCCGACGATGTTCAGGTAGTCGCGTACGCCACATAACATCCAGAATCCGTCGTAGAACGTATCCCACGAGGTCCAAGTATTCCCACAACAGACGATGCAGTCTGTTGACAGCACGCGTTCCTGTATTACCCACACGCGCTGGAACCAGGATCGCTCAAATAAAGAGCCAACAGCCTTCAGTCTCGCAAAGTCGTTGCAACAAAGCTCCTCAATTACCCCTTTGAGGATGTTTTGGACACGATTCACCATCGGCACGCCAGCAGTCTCGGCGAAAGGAAACTCGGACCAAGACTGGAAGCCAAACTCCTCCATATCAACCACCTTGTCCAGCTCGCGCAGGGTGTCCATCGCAAGATCGCTATCCACGCTCGCAGGGCCTAACCATATGAAGGTTTCTGTAGCGTTCTGATAGATTTCCTTCATATAAGCCACTTGTTGGGTTCTCTCTGCTTCGTTCTGCTGGTTGATGCACACCGCGTCAACCCAAAATGTTGAACTTTGCTGCTCAGTACCGCTTTGCTGAGGAGCCAAATGTCTCAAGGCTGATTCCAGATTCGTGGTAACTTGAACCCACTGATCATTCACTAGGATGCCCTTTGTCGTATTGGCGTCTCCCCAAGCGTAGGAAACCGCCGTGTAGCAATGCCACTCATGGAGACTGGCGTGCTTCAAGCGACATCGAACGGTTGGCTCATGACTTGGTGTAAATTCTAGGTCTTCAGTCTCAAGAGGTGCTAATTCGATAAGGCGGAATTCCTTTTTGGCCGGATCCAGCGCCTGATATTGGAAGGGCCGCAAGCGTAAGCTGTTGTTGGCCAGCTGCTGTTCGGCCATGAGGTATGATGGAGTGAGTTTGGAGCCTGACGGAGTGGCTGTCGACCGCCTGCTGCCTTCCGATTGCATATGTTTGCTTAACCCAGATCGCGAAGCTTGCATGAGTCTTTTCGATTGTCGTCATCTGCTTCCCAACCAGGGCGGCGTTGCTGCGGCAAGCTTTCTCGCGGCATGCCGTGCCCCTCTCCGACAGGTAGGTAGATCTGCTGACGCAGTGCAGAAGACCGCATCGTGCAGAGGTTAGCCGGACCAATCATGAGCGGCTACGATAGTTCTGTCATACAATGGACGGAGATGGGGCCTTTCCAGCCTTAGTTTTCGTCACGGCAAAAGCGGCACCGTGAATGCGGGCAGCATTAACCACATTTGTATCTTAAGACATTTTCGAAGCAACGAACTTCACTTGACTTTCTCTGCTGGTTTCTACTACATGAGACATCTAAAATTTGCTCAACTCTCTCAAGCAGTCATTGGAGGTCTTGGATTATGTAGGCCGGCAACTGAACAGGCAGCTTGATGGTGAGCGAGTGCTTCAATTGAGGAACGTCAAAAGCCATAAGGACACTGCGGATATCAATACAGTGAACATAGTAAATCCTTATCAGCGAGGCGACGGCTAGGTTCTCAAATACGATCAACCTACTGCCCACATGCCTTGCAAGCTAGATGCATAGCACTAAGCGCCTCCAGAAGCGGGGGCAGCTTGAGCATTCGGGTGGCTAGATCTTGATTGAATTACCTCTTGTGTTCGGTAACTTTCACCCAGAAATTGTCCTGCATGAACAAGTTGTGATTCACGCTATGCCAAGGCTTAGTAGGATCCAAAATCTGGAAGTCAAAATTGCGAAGCAACTCGACGAATGTCAACATCTCTTCACCACGGTTTCAAATTCGGGGAGCTAAGGTACTCACTTCAACAAACACCTTATTCAACTCCAGAAATGCAACATTCTTCCCCGCACAACCCCATCGTCCGTATCCAAAGGCAAGTTCGGTGGTCTTTTGCATCTTATCCCTTGTTGTCGCGTCCGCCTCGATCCACCGTTCGGGACGGAAGAGGTCTGCGTCTTTGCCAAATACGTCGAAGCGGCGGAGCGTGCCCCAGACGTTTTGCGCGATGCGCGTCCCTCCTGGTATAAAGCGCCCGTCAATGGTGTCCCCTTCGGCAGGCGCCTCTTTGGCGCAGAGACCGGTGAAAGGGGCGCACATTCTGAGACCCTCGTAGATGATGGCCTAGATTTGTAAGGATAACTGATACTTGTAGTTCTTGGCGAGGGATGAGGAGAGCGCACCTGGAGGTACGGTAATGTTTTGCCCTCTTCATAGGTAATGGGGAAAGAGATGCGGCCTTGGCTGATAGCTGTGGTGATTTCGCTCTTCAGAGTATAGTATGCGTGAGGCGATGTAATCAGATGCAGAAAAGTCGTCCGGATTGCTGTGGCGGTCGTGTCTGATCCGGCAATGATCTGGAAGAGGACTTCCGTCTCACATTCGCTCTGGCGGACGCCGTGTCGGACAAACGCACCCTGGTCATTCCGTTGTCAGCTTTATGCCACGTCAGAGGGTGAGGGTGTGATTTACCAGCATATCCGGTTCCTCCTTTGCATCCGCGCCGAAACGTCGCGCAACAACCTCCTTGGCCACTCTACACACGGTCAGCGACACCAGTATCACCATAACCGTAGATGAAGCATTACAGGCACGCACCCCATCAATTTGCCCAAACCGCTCTTGTCCGTATGTTTTGGACCGACCGCGTCCAAAATGGGTTTAGAAAACAAGATACTGGCAAGCCACGGCACCTCACCGCAGAGCTGGAGAAACGGGATGGCCGCCTCCGTCGTGCTGATGTAGTCATGAACATCCGAATCCGTGGCCAGGTATCCAAACTCCTTCCCGTACGCGACTCTGGTGATGACGTCCAGCGTGAAGAACTGCGTCTTCTTGCCCAGGTCCATCGGCCTGACCTCGTCGTCGGTGGTGACGTATTTCCTCCGGATGAGATCCACGAACCCCGCGATCTGGGAGTTGATGCCGTCCTCGAGCGCGAGGTTCTCTTTGCCGGCATACCCGGCCGCGCACTTGGCCTTTAGCTTGTCGTGCGCGCCGGCGTCACGCAGGCTGAACATGCTATCTTGGTGGGGGTTCAGCTTCGTGGAGTCGTACCAGTTTGATCGGCCGTAGGTGGAGCGCGCCGCGTTCATGCGGCGCAGGATGTCCGGGTCGTCGGTGACGAGATCATTGGGGCCGATGCGAACGAGGGAACCGTGCTTCCTGTTGAGGGTGGTGAAATGTTCGGCCGGTCGACCGGAGCGTGCATTCGATATGAGCCACAGGTAGGAGAAGCGTCCGACAAGGGGACCCGGGAATTCGCGAAGACGACCATAGGCTATGACGGATGAGACGACGTAGTAGATGATTAACGAAAGGCTGAGATAGAGCGGCGCAGAGCCGGCATCAAAATACGAGGTGAAGTTTGACAGAGCCATGTCTTGGCTCGTCGTATAAGCTGTTTCTTTGGGAAGGTTGAGTCAAGTTCGAGATTCGTCATGAACGCTTGATTCCGCAACAACCTTCTTTTTGAATGGAGGTAGGAGGCATCTTCAACTCTCCTGAATTTGCCCCGCGCAGACAATGATGTGAACTCTTGCCATGTCTTATGTAGCATCCCCGCCCCTTGTTACATCGTTCGGACATCTAGATATGTCTAAAGGATGACGGCGTCAGATTCCATGTCAATATACCGGGATTCTCGTGTCGGTGGGTTTGATTGACCAGGCTGTGGCCCACAGACCTGTCACATGTCGAATGAGAATCTACCTTCATTCGGATAGCCTATATCAGAGAGTTGCATTGCCTAGCATTTGACACCATCTTGCTGCAGATGGCCTGTGTGCAGATGTCACGGCATGTCCAATAATACACTGCCTGACGGGCCCGGGCAAGCTGACAAGAAGACATCTGCGATTGGAGAATCCTTATACCGTTGGTTTGTGTGACTGGATAAGTACTTTCAAGGGGAAGACGTTTGGGGGTGAGGCAGCTTTTGCGTCTCAAACGGTCGTGGGGACCCAGCTCAGAGCCGCAACATTCTGCATTGCGAAGTCCTCCCCGTCACGATATGTTCAGCTCTGCATAGTAAAACTGTCACATACGACCATACCCATTAGAAAACTCGGGATCCCGTCCGCTCTCCCATAGATAACCTAATGAGGGCCGGATTAGTAGTTGGGTCGGTGACGACCAGCGAATACCTGGTGTTGTATGTTTTTTGTCTTTGCGAGGTGGTGTTACTCTGTGCTGTGCTGAGCGCAGCGTTCTTTTGACCTTGCCTGGCTGCGAGGTGTTGGAAACAGAACCAGTTCATATTTGTAGATATCTCGGCGTAAGCGCCGCTTGAGCTTTGGTGGCGACAACGAATATACCAAGATGAGCGTTCGTCACGCTCTGGTGGATTCTGACGTATCAGAGCAGTGAGGTCTTGGTAGGTCATTACGAGCCACGGAATTGCGAACCTGTGCCGCGATTCGAGAATAGCGCAAGACTTAATCAATGACCCACAGGAGGTCCACAGAGCAGAAATGGAGGAGTAATAGAACAGGTGCTATTGGCTGGATCAGGGGGGCAAACAGGAGGATAAGGTAGGATAAGGCAGAATAAAGAGAAAATCAGCGATCTTTGTGACAAAGTCTGCGATGATCGAGACGTAGCATGAGAGACAGAGAGAGACATGCTAGGACCAGCTTTGTGAATGCGTTGATGCTCTGAATGCAGAATCAAAGAGGGAGGTAATATTTGATGGGTTCTGGTGGCTTCAGTGATGTGAAATTGAGAGTTGGGAAGAGCCAACGGAGGGTTGTCCAGATTAAAAGCGCAATAGCATACAAATTCCGTCCGCAGCTTGACGAAATGCCCCTCCATATTTTTAATGACTCCAGTCTTCGCCGTCCGCAAGGTGGGATTGCTCCGTCGCGTGTTGGTGGTTATTGGTACACTTTTCCTCTACAAATACAGTCGTCTTTTGTCGCAGCAATCGGCGGTTTCATTCCATCAGGGAAACCTATTGGGGCGCCTTGGTGCGCAGCTGGACACCGTGCCATTGCTTCAACATGTCGCCCAAGACGGCATTGACCATACGCTGCTGCTTCAGCATGTTGGCGCCCTTGAACTTGGCGGAGGTGATGTCGATGGCGTACATGGAACCACATCCGCCCGATACGTCTTGTACAACGAGCTCTGACGGCGCGAACTCGGTAGCCAGCTTATCCCATATCGTCGACTCGGCATCGTCGAGGTGGTCGGGCTTTTCGAGGGGAGTCTGGGTCTCGGTTGCCGAGGAGTAACAGCGCCTGGGGATCGTCTTGGTGTTGAGATAAGATGATGATCGGAACGCGAAGATGGATGTCTGAGCTGCGCGACTGGCGGGGAGCGACTGGGAGGTGTAGCTTCTTGTTGCGATCGGGAGACTCGAGAGGGAAGCTTTGGCGACGAGTGTGCTTGGGGCGGGTTTGGGAAGCGCAATTGCGCGACGGCACGCTCTGCAGAGCATTTTGAAGAGAATTGGTGCTGAAAATATTAAAGCTCCAATTTGGAACGCGGCAGGACTGGCGATAGCTGGGAATGGAGTCGCTCGAGGCTGTCGCAATCGGATTGAGAGCCTAAAACAATTCGCAGTGGTTTGGTGAGAAGCTTCAGTTCTGAATTTCTAAGCTCGGCTGTTGACGTCAACATGGAATTGGTGAGCTGCCGGGATTTAGCCGAAGACTGTGTGAAGCCTACTGTGTGACTCAGCACACACTGTAGTGTAGTGAGATGAGTGGCTCACTGAGAGCAAAGGAGAACAAGTGAGACGTTCACCTTCATTAATCACACTCGCTCACTCAATCTTCATACCTTTCTTATCAATAATCAGCCAGACTCACGAAGTGTGTAGATGGGGGAAAAAGAAAAATCACTAGGCCATTTCACTTGATTCAAATAATAGCCAACATGGTTCACAAGGACAGGAATATTCCAGCAGCTCCTGGGATAACACCTTCAACCACCATGGCTCTATCATCACCCTCAGCTCTCATGCTTCACATACAGATGTCCCCGCCAATATAGGCCACTCTAGACGGCGGGAAAATCTTCTCCAATCTCCAATCTGCCTGTTATGGCGTGTCTATCACCATATTCGACAACCCCCCGGCAATTCTCCCAGTTCGAGATCAACCGTCCGGCTTACCCCTAGGCCATCAATAGTGTCTCCCCGCATCTCCCCGCATTCTTCTCCAATGGTTTACCCCAGGTCGTAAAAGCTGCTTAGTCCGACACAAGAAATGAGAAGCGACGAGGTTCTCTTTCGGTTTTTGTCAAATTCCTCCAATCAGGCGTGACAGGGTCGCGGCCGGCAACGCTTTTCCTATCGGTATAGCGATGGACGATGAGTGCATCAGGAGGACGGCAGGCTGCGATGCTACGCTGGAAGGCGTATAAAACGTGGTACATGGAGGAAAAGGACGCCGAGGGGGGATGAGATGGAATGGGCAGCAGAGAAGAGCAGTAGTTTCATCCTGGTCCAACTCTCATGGCTCGGTTGTCCTCTTTGTTCTCGGCGGCTGCGGCTTGCCTCCTCCAGGCCGTTGCAGCTCAAGACCCTACAGCACAGGCCCTCAACGGCACGTATCGAGGCCTTCATCTTGCTGAATGGGGCCAGGATGCCTTCCTCGGTATCCCTTTTGCGCAGCCTCCAGTCGGACAGCTCCGGTATAAGTGGCCCCAAAGCCTCAACTCTTCCTTTGACGGGTCGAAAGATGCCACGGAGCAGGGGTACAGTTGTATGCAATTCAGAGGAACTTTCAACATGTCTGAGGACTGCTTGACCCTTAACGTTGTTCGTCCGGCTGGAAAGCCCGAGAAACCGCTCCCGGTTCTCGTGTGGATCTTTGGTGGTGGGCTATACACTGGCTCAATTGTAAGATTCCACCAACCTTGGCTCATGGAGGGAGACTGACATGGACATAACGTAGGCCGACCCCCAATACAACCTCTCTGGCATTGTCAAAGTCAGCCAGGAAATGGGCCAGCCCATCATCAGCGTCGCCATGAACTACCGCCTAAACATGTACGGCTTCCTGCAAACGCCTCAAATTCTGGCCGAAGGCTCCAGCAACGCGGGACTGCTTGACCAGAGGTTGGCGCTCCGGTGGATCCAGGAGAACATCGCGGCCTTTGGTGGAGACCCGGATCGGGTGACGGTCTGGGGCGAGAGCGCCGGGGCCCAGAGCATCGCGTACCACCTCTTTAGCTACGACGGCCGGGACGACGGTCTCTACCGCGCCGCCATCCTAGAGAGCGGCGGGCCGACGGGAGCCCAGGTGCAGAACTTGGCCTATTACAACGCTCCCGTCGAGAACCTGACGCGCACCGTCGGCTGCTGGACCGCCAAAGACCAACTGGCTTGCCTCCGGGGCCTGAGCCAGACGCAACTCTTTGCAGGAAACCCCAGTCAGGTGTGGAACCCAATGATAGACGGGGACTTCCTCACGGGCTACCCGAGCCAGCTGATACGGGAGGGCAAGTTCGTCAAGGTGCCCCTCCTGACGGGTGCCAACAGCGACGAGGGCATCAACTTCAACCCGAGCAGCCCCAAGCCAAACACCGAGTCGGACCTCTTTAACGGCTTCACCTGGTGGCGCTCCTACGCCCTCTCGCCGCCGACGATCCGGAGGCTCTTTGCGCTGTACCCCAACGACCCCTGCACCCAGCCGCCGCTCTCCATCACAAACTGCTCCGTGTACCCGGAGTACGGCCTGCAGTGGCGGCGGGGCGCCTCCATCGGCGGCGACCTGGTCATGATCTCGGGCCGCCGCAAGATGTGCGAGCTCTACGCCGCCTCCCAGCCCGTCTATAGCTACCGCTTCGACCAGCTGCTCTGGAACCGCAAGCAGATCGAGGGTGTGCGGCACTTTGACAATGTCGCCTACAGCTTTCAGAATATCTCTGGCCTGCTCGGGCCGTCGCCGCAGTACGATAGCCACGTGCGCTTCGCCCGCGCCATCGGGGAGGCCTACGTGCGGTTCGTCTACGAGTCGGACCCCAACCCAAAGGCTGGCAGCAATGGGACGTTTACGAATGGCACACCCCTGTTGCCGTGTTGGCCCAAGTATGATTTGAGCGTTCCCAAGAACCTGGTGTTGAATGCGTCTAGGAGCTATGTGGAGGATGACACGTGGAGGAAGGAGGGCATAGATTTCATCAACACCTACGAGGTTGCGAGGGAACTTCTTGCCTGATGAATTGATCCATCGATGTCCGGCATCCTGAAAGCTTGACCAGCATCGGGTCGCCAATGGGTAGTCGGTTCCATACAGAGTACAGAGCGCATACATGATACAATAATAAGCAACGTTGGTTGATAATGGTGTGCTACTTATCTTGCCCACAATCTACAACGAGTGGGTACCGTCTCGATCATCATCCTGTGAGCTCACCGTATGCGTACGGCCAAGATGACAGGGCCAGTCTTGTCATGGAGCCCAGTCACCGCCCAGCCGGCCGTTAACCCTCCCTTCTGCCTGCCCGGGACGGACTGCGACGGTCGCATCCGACCATCTGCAAGGTACGACCCCATCGTGCCCGAACAATTGGAATGGTGGGTGGCCGCCAGCATTGGCATGCATTTGAAGAAGACTTTGCTTGAGCTTTGGCTTTGGCACCTGGGTTGGCCAAGATTCGCGACTCTCGCCCAGGCTCCGATGACGACCTCTTTGCTTGACTTAGCGCCGGCAATTGAATAGCTGGTTTGTGTGTGATTGAGAAGAGTCGCGTTGTATCAACATCTGTTGTGCGTTGTGAGACGAAATCTGTATTTGCGCTGTGAAGCCCGCGTGTGTGGCGCACAGGACTGGATTCACCTCATCAGGAACTGATTCCCATAAGCACGTTCACGTAAGTGCTGATATCCATGTCGAGATTTAATTCAGAATAACGAGTGCGGGAATCATTTCACAACTATTGTTGAATACAAAACTTCACTGTCGGCTTAGAGCACAAAACATATTGGACACAAGTAGTCTGCTCAGTACTGCATGACGATGCATGTTGTTGAATCAAACCATGAACAGAGTTCGGCGCCATCGTAAGGTTAAACGAATTTGCGTTGACTAATACTTTTTGAGGCGAAGGATCCCTACTATATTTCATTCCGCCCGGGAGATAGACACCCAGGTCATCCCCAGCAGGGGCAGAGTCACTATTCATTTCCTCGCGGTTTTTAGGTTCAAGGAAGCGGGGGAACGCTGTTTGATGAGCCTCTTCGGATGCCATCTCGCTGTAACATCTTTGTTGATTCGCGGCGCTGAAAACCCGTGACTGAATCGTGCAGACCGTCGAACCTGAGAAGAAGTGCATGTCAAAAGTTCTCTCATTTTCAGCTGGACCCAGTCTCGCCCAGAATACGAAGACGTGAAAGTCGAAGGGGGGAAGAGATTGGGCGGAGAAGATCCCTGCGGCCTCTTCCCGAGCTTCCCAGACCGCCTTAGTAGCCCAGCCGGGACCCAACTCCTTTTGGCCAAGGGCGAGAGGAGCCATGGCTTTTTAGGCGTTGGTCCGGGCGTATCAATATTGGGTTACGGTCTCTGACTCTCTGACTCTGCAGACTTCAGGGCCTCTTCAACTCCCCTATCGTGTCGCGTCGTCCCCTCTTATGCAGCTACGCACTCAAAGACTCAAACAACCAACTCGGCGAAACTCGAATCCAATTTGCAGCCGAGACTGTCTGATACCTAGAGCTTTGCAAGTTTGCCCTGCAAGCCGTCCGTCCAGCACAGCGGAGCGTTGCACTGCCGCCCGCATCTCGCGAACCTTTGTGTCCGGTCTAGGGCCGGGGCCTGGCCACCGCGTTATCGACTTTTTGGCAGGTGAATCGGATGGAGGCCCAGAATGGCGAGGAACCATGGATGATGGGACGACAGGTGCCAGGCCTTGCTCAGACGCAGAGTCCCAAGTCCCGGAGCATCCTATCGCCCATCCAGATACTCCATAGCCATCCCATCCCCCCCTCACCCTGTCCGCCACTCTTTGGCTCTGCCCTGCGTCGTGCGGGGATATCGCATGTGGGCGGAACAAATTGGCGATTATGAATGACTAGCAAAAGGTCCTCTACCTACCAACAGCCTCCTGCCCAAAGGAAACCGACTCAGCCGCCCATGAGTCGGTTAACCTTTCAAGCTTCTTTTTCCACATCACGGACTCGCCTCCGGCCAGCGTCTTGTGGCCCCAGGAGTCCAGTGTGCAGATGCAGATGCCGAAACTGACGTGCCTGGGACACAATCCAACGCAATCGCCTTGAATAACGAGAACCCACTATGCAGCCGGGATGCCCGTCCCCGCGTGGATGCTACCGTGGGACCGTACGCGTGCCTGAGTACATCACGCGCTCCACATCGCACGAGTGCAAATTCAGGAACACACCAACAAACAACGAGCCCGAGACGCACTGCTACCGCGGCAGTAGGAGAGTGCCTTGGCTTCTTGGCCTCTTGGCCCCATGGTCTGGGGAATTCGTTGATGCACCGATGGCATGGCAGTGTATCTTCGAGGGTATGTGAGAGCTGCAACTCCTGTATCATGTTAACATGTTTATCGAGAGAACGTGTATGGGTAATGTCTTGATAACGCTACGGGTGTAGTCTCGCCGGATCCTGATAGGAGCGGACTCTCGCCCAGCAATCTTTGTACGAACCAACTGACATTGAACAACAGGTCCCCCGCGCCTTGTTGCCGGTCCTGTGTTTGCAGCATTAATGTCAATATGGAGCCGTCACCGATACCACATGAGCCACCCAATGTCCTTTTGCCGTCTACCAACGCATAGTGTTAGTTGTGCCAAGTTGGCCCGACCAGAACAAGCCTCTTTTTAGTCTTGGTTCTTGCGAACGCTCAACGGCCGGCCACACCCTCACCCTGCTTTACACACCCAAACGCTGTGGCGCCGCCGCTGGCACCTTCGAGATCTCGAAGAAGTCAAATCTGATCTCCCGGCTTCTGCCAATCATCCGTTCGCGATAGCTCCAACGCTGGGTTGTCCAGAAGCGAGCCCGAAGGCCGGCTCGCCACCAACGAGGGTGTTACTGGTGAAATATAACTACCCCTAGCCAACTAACCCCCGTCCATGTCCCATGTCCATGTTCACCACGGTTGGCCGGGGAATCCACTCCATCACCTCTCACGGCCCTCCAACCATATGCGGAGACCCTTACCCGGATAGGAAGGCCATCTGAGCAAATTGACCGTTCAAAAAGCTCACCAATGACAATGTCCAATTAATCAACCGCGGCCCAGTTCCCTACCACTACGAAGCCTCAACAAGGCAGCTCACAAAGCAGCCTCTCCAATGTTGATCGACGTTCGCCGTTCGGTCGAGATGCTCCTTTTCCCTTACAGCCAGCGGGGGGGGTTTTGCCCACGAGTGAATGACTGCAGGCTGCTCTTTGAAGCTCAAGGCAACACGCTGCATGCAATTTCTTATTTCCCTGATCCCGTTCGCTTGTGCTGCTTCCCCCTGACCCATGGTCCCATCCCACCCCTCAACCCCCCCTCCTCCCCGAGCATTATCGCGTGCCACACTGTCACCGCGTCTTTGGATGCTCGCATACTCCCCATTGCGCATGCTTCTGCGCCGATGTTTCTCTCCACCTGCCTGGGCGAGCAAGCGTGCTGGTCCGGATGATGCCCCCCCAGTCACTTTCATGACGACAATGACGGGCCCAGTCTGGCCGTGCTGGCTCTCGCCAGACGGGGGATTGCCTTGAGAATTTGGCCGAGTGAGCAACCCACCTCCGCGTGTGAAGGATACACTGGTGGCACTTATAAAGCTGGAACCCCAGGGACGCAGCGCTCGTGAGATGTTTCCTTTCTAGCCAGCTCCGGTCTCCCACAGGTCATCCGTCAGCCAAACACAATGGTCAGAAGCAGTCTCTTGCTGCCGCTCCTTGCGGCGGCTTCCGCCGTCCAAGCCAAGGCTCCGTCACCCAAGACCGTTGCTGGTGCCTTCATTGTTGAGTTGGAGGATGGTCAGGTAAGCCAATCGCTCCCAGAGCAGCCCTGTGGTCTGGACAAGCCAAGTCGCTAACCTGATTTCGTCTACAGGATGCCTCTGAATTCTACGCAGAGGCCGATGCCGACGCCATCACTCGCTTGAACCTCACCTACTCTCTTTTCAAGGGCGCGTCCATCCAGTTCAAGAACCTCGACACTGCCGACCAAAAGGCCGCCAAGCTCGGCCAGCTCGCCTCGGTCAAGAACATCTGGCCCGTGAGGACCTTCAGCATTCCCAAGCCCGAGATTGTCTGGACCGGCCAGCAGGGCCGCGACTACATCGACCTGAAGAAGCGTCAAGAGGGTGAGGACACCTTCTCGACCCACGTCATGACCCAGGTCGATAAGCTTCACGCCAAGGGCGTCTACGGCAAGGGTATCAAGATCGCCGTCATTGACACGGGTATCGACTACCTTCACCCCGCTCTCGGTGGCTGCTTCGGCCCCGACTGCCTCGTCAGCTACGGAACCGACTTGGTCGGTGACGGCTACGATGGCTTCAACGAGCACGTCCCGGACCCCGATCCCATGGACTGCGGTGGCCACGGAACCCACGTTGCTGGTATCATTGCCGCTCAGAGCAACCCCTTTGGCTTCACCGGTACTGCTCCCGGTGTGACCCTCGGTGCCTACAAGGTCTTTGGATGCGAGGGCCAGGTCAGCAACGATATCCTCATCGCCGCTTACAACCGCGCCTACGAAGAGGGCAGCGACATCATCACCGCCTCCATCGGTGGTCCCTCTGGCTGGACTGACGAGCCCTGGGCCGCCACCGTCTCAAGAATTGTTGAGGCTGGTGTCCCTTGCACAGTCTCTGCCGGTAACTCTGGCGACCAGGGTATCTTCTTTGCCTCCACCGCCGCCAGCGGTAAGCACGTCACCGCCATCGCCTCCTTTGACAACGTCGTCACCCCGGCCGTCCTCATTGAGAACTCCTTCACCATCGCCGGCGGTGAGACCCAGAACTTCTCTTACACCCCCGGTGAGCCCCAGAACTGGGCCGGCGTCGACCTCCCCCTCTGGACCGTGAGCACCGACGCCACGTCCACTGATTCCCTCGGCTGTGACCCCTACCCCGCTGGTACTCCCGATCTCAGCGGCAAGATCGTGCTCGTCAGGAGAGGTACTTGCACTTTCGTCAGCAAGGCCCAGAACGCCGTCGCCGCTGGTGCCAAGTACGTCATGCTTTACAACAACGTTGCGGGTGCCGCCTCTGTCTCTGCCGCCGTTGACGGTCTCGAGGCTATCGGCATGACGACGCCTGAGCAGGGCGCCGTCTGGCTCACTGCTCTTGCTGCTGGATCCGAGGTCGTCCTTCACATGACGGACCCCAAGAAGGCCGAACAGACTCTCCTCAACTCCAACAACACCGCCACCGGAGGCTCCATCTCCAGCTACAGCTCATGGGGTCCCAACTGGGATGGTCTCCAGAAGCCCCAGTTCGGCGCCGTCGGCGGCAACGTCTTGTCCACCTACCCCAGAGCCCTGGGAAGCTACGCTGTCCTTTCTGGTACATCCATGTCCTGCCCCCAGACCGCCGGTATCGTTGCCCTGATCGCCGAAGTCCGCAAGACCTTGGACCCCGCCACCATCGAGAACCTCCTCTCGGCGTACGCCAACCCCGTCAAGTTCAACTACGGAAGCGGCCCCGATGAGCTCCTCGCTCCCGTTCCCCAGCAGGGCGGTGGTCTCGTCCAGGCCTTTGATGCCGCATACTCCACTGTCATCCTCAGCCACTCCAGCCTTTCATTCAACGACACCGACTACTTCACCCCCGAGCTCAACTTCACCATCAAGAACACTGGCTCCGAATCTGTGTCCTACGACCTCAGCAACGTCGGTGCCGCCACCGCTTACACCTTTGAGGCTGCCGGAGATCTCATCCCCGCCCTCTTCCCCAACGAGCTGACCGGCGAGTATGCCACCCTCGCATTCAGCGAGGACAAGATCACCGTCCCCGCCGGCGGTGAGGCCACCGTGCTGGTCACTCCCACTCCTCCCACCCTCGATGCCGCCCGCCTCCCCGTCTGGTCCGGCTTCATCGCTCTCAACGGCTCCGACGGCTCCAGCCTGTCCTTGCCCTACCAGGGCATCGGCGGCAGCCTCCACAGCCACATCACCCTCGACCAGGCCCTCATAACCACCTCCACCAGCGCAACGGCCGAGGAATACGAGCCCGTCCCCAGCAACTACACCTTCATCCTCCCTCCCGCGGGCACCGCCAACGAGACCGAGGCCGTCCTCCCCGCCCTCGCCGTCAACATGGCCTTCGGCTCCACCTTTGTCCGCGCCGACCTCGTCCCCCTCACCACCTGCCCTCCCAACACCACCCAGGAGGTCTGGGGCATCAAGACCCTCGGCCAGCCCCGATCGTTCCCTTACCTGTACGTCTCCCGCGGCGTCTTCGCCGTCAACTTTGACGGCCAGCTCGAGGATGGCACCTACGCCCCCGATGGCAAGTACAAGTTCGCCATCAAGTCTCTGCGTGTCTTTGGCGACGCGACGAAGCTCGAGGAGTACGATACCACTGAGACCCAGCCGTTCCGTATCGTTTACGGCGCCGCCAACGCGACGGCTCCTGCTAGACATTAAGAGGGTGTAGAATGTGCTACGATGTAGCATTTCATGTCTTGTACGGCAATTCTTCTTGTAAATAAGTTCATAGGACAGTAACAATGTCTGATATCTTGTAATTAAACGTGCTTCCCCGTGCCTCTGGTTCGCTTTGGTCTTTCTCTAGGCTTCCTGGAAACCTCTTATTTTGTCTGCTTCCTAGGCGCCAGCCGCGACCTCATCAGCGCAGTTGTGACAGGGCCGAGAACCATCATCATCAACGCCTGGCACATGACAGCCCACGCGAAGCCGACGTGTGGAATCGCATAGTTGAATAGAATAAGAAATGTGACTGAGCCGACGCCCGTCCCGGTAGTGACAATAGAGAGCGCCAGCGTCTTTCGCCTCTTGAAATACGAGCCGACGATGGTAACGCCCGGCATCAACATGATGCCCATTCCCAGCCCAGTGCATAGACCCTGGGCGAGTAAGGTATGCCAGTACGCGTGACAGAAACTGATCAGAAATGTCCCCACTACGGCCATTAACAGGCTGACGATGATTACGGGTCGGGTGTATCCTGCGTCGGCTGGGCGGCCTGATAGCGCGTAGAAACCGAAGGTAAGGAAGATCTGAATTGAGCCTGTCCAAGTATCATATGATGATGGGATGTTGAGCGAGGCGGTGTAGTAGAGCTGGTAGACGCCGTAACCATCTTCATCCGAGATGGCATAGACACGAAGCCCCGACCGAAGGAGTGCACACATACTCGCTGGGAATTGAGGCTCTCTCGCCTAGTTGAAATTGGAATGTTGCGAGCATCTACGACAGATCTGGGTTTAGATGATTAGCTAGGTACTCAAAGATTGCAGCTCTCAGGATTGACATCCCAGTCCACCTACTCTGCAAAAGTTTAATAGAGGATTTATTTATTCTGGACCATTCTTTCTATTCTCTGTAATGTCTGTTCCAGAAGAAATGGAGAGACTTCAAGTTTCGCAGAACTGCGAGTACAAGAACTTCTATTTTCTCTTGCTCCTGATTTTATCTGGGCCCAAGGTAGGCGCCAGCCTCTATTTAAGGTACTGTATCCCGAAAGGTCTAGAAGTTGGCTGAGCTTTCGAATGCAGGTATATGAAATGAAGGCTCTACACTCTTCTCTCAGCAAAGGAGGCCAAACGACTGATTGGAAAGCTCAAAGGTTCCTCAGAGCCCCTCCATGTCAGTCTCTGGGGCGGCGTAAGCACGTTGGGACATTTCCTCAAGCACGTCGAAATCAGCCAGTCATCAGAGAATGCTGTAATATAGTTCTGCTATTGGATACCAACTTAACTTCCTGTTCGAAAAGTAGCCGGGTTGACTCGACGCGATCCATCTCTTGCATCGGGAAGCGCCTCTGTCCAAACTGATCGAGCTGGAGCTGAGAATAATGGTTCGCATTTTCGCCGGAAATAACATGGATCTATCTGTTCAGCCTTGGTGGCTCAGTGGTAAAGCGTCTCACTCGTATGACCTGCGTAATGAGAAGATCGGGCGTTCGATTCGCCCTCGAGGCAAATATCTTTTGCTATTTGGCCTAATATGTTCTGTTTTTGAAGTAACAACGCGTAAAAAGACAGTATAGATAAGTTCATTGTAGTTACCGAGCATATTGCCAACCTGGGTGCAGTGTTGACCAAGAACGCGTGCGACATTTTTTAATTTCGGACTGCGGAACGCGTCAAAGGATACAGACGAGCTCAGCTCCCCTTTAGTTGCGAATCAAATGCTTAAAAAAACCTCCGAGGAATAGCGCCGACCTCTTTGGGTAGCGCGTCTTCTCCGGACTTTCAAAGTCGATCCATGTCGCGCCGAACCTGTCCGAGAACCCTGCCGCCCACTCCCAATTGTCGGTCAACGTCCAGCCAAAGTAGGACTTGATGATAATGCCCTCCTGCGAAGCCTTGGCCACCTCTGTCAGGTACCTTTCGAAGAAGTCGATGCGGAACGGATCTTCGAGAACATCATCCGGCCCTTGGGGCTTCCAATCATGCTCGCCCTGCGCCGTGGTCCCGTTCTCCGTGATGTAGATGGGCACATGGTACCGGTTCCAGATCCATCGCAGCAACTTGGCCCATCCCCACGGCGTCTTGCGCAGCCAGTCCGTATCACTCCTCGGCCCGCGCGGCACGCCCTGCTTGTTCTCGTCAAACTGCTCAATGTTGCCCTTGTGGTCGTTAATGTCGGCCTGGCCATCGCGGTGCTTGACGTAAAACGCACTGTACGAGTTCATGCCGTACGCCTCGGAGCTACCCAGCACGAGCTTGCTCTCCTCGGGGGTGAACCGCGGCAATCTGTCGCCGAGCTGTGCGCGCATGGAAGCCGGATAATCGCCCGTCTTGTATAGCGGGTCAGCGAACCACGCGATCTCGAACTCCTGGGCCCGCTGCGCGGCTTCGACGTCGAGAGGATCCGATGCGTCCCAGGGCTCGGACCAGTTCCCGTGCAGCGTGATCATGATCTTGCCCCTTTGCGTCGGTTTGAACTCTTTCTTGTACAAGTCGGCCACGTAGGCGTGGGAGACGAGCTCGGTGTGCGCGACGATGAAGGGCTCGGTGGACGAGTCGCCCTCCGGATTGAGCTCGCGGAAGCTCGACCGGGCCGGGGCGTGCACGCCGGCGGCGTAGCCCGCGAGGGTGTAGACGCCGGGCTCGTTGTAGGTGATCCAGTCCTTGACTCGGTCGCCGAAGCGCTCGAAGCATACGCGAGCGTAACGGACGAAGTCGGGCGTGTACTTTTCCTTGTCCAACATGCCGCCGTATCGATCTTCGAGGGCTTGCGGGGTGTCCCAGTGAAAGAGGGTGACGTAGGGTATGATGCCGTTGGCGAGCAGTTCGTCTATAAGGCGATTGTAGTATGCGATGCCGGCTTCGTTAACGGGGTCGTCTTTCCCGCCGAGGGGGATGATGCGTGACCACGAGAGGGAGAACCGATAACCACTGACGCCGTACCTCTTCATGAGCGCGACATCCGTCTTATAGAGGTCGTAGGACCGTATGGCATCGTCGCCAGTGCTTCCATCCTTCACTTTGCCTGGAGTGTGGGAGAACTTGTCCCAGATGGACTCGCCCTTGCCGTCCTTGTTCCACGCACCCTCGACTTGAGCAGCGGCCGTAGCAAAACCCCAGGTAAAGTCCGAGGGCAGAGCGCCCCTGATGGACTCGTCGAAGTCAAAGTGAGAAGCCATCGTGATCTGTGTCTGTGGAAGTGTAGTCACGAATTCACTTTGGACGCAACTTTCCTGCGTCAAATCTCTACAAGACCTATCCTGAATAAACGTCACCTTAAACCCCTCCTCACGATCATGTGTTGATAGCTCCAATCATTGCGAAGATACAGCATTGCTGGCTACCACTATACTAGAGGGGCATCCCTGCGGCGGGATGAGATGACGATGATTCGTGGAGGGGAACCATGTCGGTCACAGCTCCCCCGACAGCGGCTGATCGGATGGATGGTGCCAGAGGCGGGGTTCTATAGCTCTAGGTTGATAAGACGTCCGGAAATAGATTCTTTAGGGGTTGCAGAGGCACCATCGTTTATTCAGACAATCTAGACTCTCGAAAACATTAGAGTGAAAGAAGGCTTGATATTCGCTTTAGTTGTTATTTGGATTTCTGCCATTCTAGTCGTTGAAGTCGGGTTTTCAAGCACATGAGTCTTCGCGTGCGGTGGTCAATCTACCTATATCAAGTAATAAAAACACAGACACAATACTGAGCCCTAATGATCTTCAGCTCCACCCGGCTATCCGGACCGTGGTTCCAGGCGCATATCTCTGTAAATATGTGCGTGAACAACGGAGAAACCTCAAAACTTTATTCAGTTACTGTCCAAGAATCATAGTCCGAGGTACTCTTTAGCCTCCAAGTAAACTCCATCTTGGAAATACGTCCCATCACCAGACCAGTCCTCATTCTCATCTGAAAGTACCTGTAGCTTCGAGCTCAGGCTCAGGCACCGCAGTCGACGAAGGGATCGGCTCTCGGAAACCAGAATCAATCTCATTCGGCGACGGGGTATCATCGCCGCAATCCATAGCATCTGCCGGCACGCCAGTGTAGAAAGAATTGCCATAGGCAGAGTCGAGGATCCGCTGAAAGTTAGCATCGCCGAAGGCGACCCTAGTATCCCGTTAAGCCGCTTCTTCGTTGGCTCAGAGAGGCGTTCCCAAGCGATCAGAGGAAGGCTCAAGGCCCCTTACGAACCATTAGCGGAGGGCAAAGGGGGCAGTCTGGTGTCGTAAGCCAGAATGAGGCGCGTCGCCATTGCGGCGTCGTCCCACCTAACAAATCGGGTATCGGCAAGTTCAGTGGTGCCGAATACGCCTAGCGGGTTCGTAGAGTATGCGACGCCACGCGGCGAGAAGCTGGCAATATCATCAGGGCATGTGTCGATTCCCAACCAGACCACGACCATGAGCCAATAGCAGGGTGTTTGCGCTGCTCATCGTCACCCTGTACTTTAGGTACATGTAGGAATTAGCTGTATATGATGCTTGTACGATCGTGGGATACTCCGATTCGCGTACATGTGTGGCGGGTCTTGCCTAGATCACGACAGTGACCGCCGATTGTGCCTGTTGGCTTCAAGCCAGCTCTAGGATCGATTATCGTTGGCAAATATTGAACACTAGACCATGGAACCCTTGGTTTGGGAGGATTCGAGATTCAGAGTTGCTCACCTTACCCAGCAGCACCAGTCAGGGTCAGTCGCAGCGCAGGGAACACACCTATGCGATGAGTGGATCAGCGGCTTTAAAGTCATTTTGACCTCGCTGTCGAGGTCGTAGCCGGGGGATACTGCGAGAGGAACAACTTCGTTATAGTCTACCCATTTGTTGTTTACTGCCACGTCCCCATTACCCTTCCAATGCGTCTGTGAAGGTATTGCGCTAGCAAGTCTCAGAGAGGATATAAGAAGTAAGAGGGGAGGGGCTTCAGGTGACATTTTGAGGCTTAGTAGCTAACGACCGAAGACTAAGAGGACTGTTGAGAAAACAAGATGTTTAGTGGGCTCATTGCAAGCAGAGCCAGTGAAAATCACTGCTATTTTTTGTGTGTCCTAGTAACTACATCGGCATGTTCGAATTCAAGGCACGTTGATGAATGGCGGTCTTTGATCTTGAGGGAGCCTCCTGCAGGGACCAGACATGATCGCAGAAGCGTCAACGAAACTTGGGCCAAATGCTCGATGGCAAGGTACCTGACTAACGAAAAATTTCAATTCTTTGCGCTTGGTATCTTGGTGCTATATTCAAAATCATCCAATCCATTAATAATGAACGAACAATGACCTGATCTCTATCCTTGATCCTCCGGCCATCAACGTATTTTCTGTGACAATATCGTCAATGCCATTCCAAACCAGGCAACGCCATATTAGACCGTCTTTTCACTCATTATGCGTATCTTTGATTCATCTCGTAACGGGGTGCGTTCGGATCGTAAGTCTTGTTGGGCTCGTTGGCAGTGTAACCTCCCGTGTATCCAGTCGTTGGGTTGGCGGGAGCATAGTTTCCGCGGGGCAACGTGCCCTTGCGGAATCTGTGGTAGATGACGCTAGCGTAAATGAGGAGGCCGATGAAAGAGGCACTAGAGAAGAGTCAAAGGTCAGTTTAGCGCTGGTCAAAGATCAGATGCCGATATGCCGCGGGGTGACGTACAGAATAACAGCCGCGATGATGAAGCCAAACGCGCTGCCACCCCCAATGATGGTCAGGATGAACAGAATCAACCAGACGAGAGTCTGGATGACATTGGCGACAAGGAAGAACTTTGGGCTGAGCGTGCGTCGTGAGCGCTTGACGATGCAGATGACGTCGAGAATGAGGCAGGCGGCAATAATGACCATAATGACGGCGAGGATACCCATGACCCAACCCGCTGTTCTGTTGTCGTCGCCGATGCGGTTCAGAGTCCCCCTGTTCGATGCAGCAATGGCGATGGAGGCGGCGTAGAGGATGATCTCAAGAATCATGATGGCAATTCGAATGACCCAGAAGGGAATCAAGACGCGCTTGAGGAAGGGCGAGCTATCGCCAATGATGTATGCCTGAGCCATTTTGGCGCTGATCGTAACTACCGTGCTATGATTGTTGATGCCGGGGTAATAGATCGTGAACGCTCTCACGTTCTCGCGGTATTGAGTTCAAATGTTGGATTCTTACAAGGACGCCGGATGGGTGACAGCAACAACATAGCGCTCAGTGTCGCGAGAAGTTTTCGTTCTTTAAGTAAAATTGCTTCGCGCACTCGGAGGATCACACCCCTTGGCGCACTTCGCGCCTAGCTTATTGTTGGAATGTCTTGTTTGCGTTGGACAGGCACGCCACAGCCCCTTTCGACTTTGTCGCCCCGCCCCTGTCGACACAGCCCTAGAGGCCTTAAAGTGACCTTAAGACAGTCCAACACGCCCGGCAGCGCTCTTGGAGACGGTCCAAGTGGCTGAAATAGATCAGTGTTGCCTATTTCACGGGTCCAAAAGCAAGGGTATCCCGACTGCCAGCAGGCGCTTGCTGTCAGCCGAGATCCCTGGTGCATCCCCAAGCGGCATAGCCCAGGATCGGTTCGTAGATCCCTTAGCCTCTCGTGTCTCTTTGCGCCATTTTCCATCTATTCTCAGCGACCATCACACCAAACATCCAACCCCGATCTCGCGCGGGCCCTGCAAACGTCGCTGCCTGTGGTGTGGTGGAGAGCGGGAGGGGGGGGCCTGTTGGGCTGACAGGGTGCAGGGCCTGTGCCCCTTGAATCATTCCTACATAGTAGAACGTCATTCGAAGATCTTTCGGTTGAAGTCCTTTTCATGCTGCGCCGCTAACCGCCAAGAATTGAGAAATTATTGCAAAATTATGTTGTCTTTGGAGTTGCGGCACTGCCAAAACGGGGGCCAATAGGTGCTTGACTGTTCGCCCGAAACCACAGCGCCGTTTGCGCTGGGAGGCAGATTTCACTCCTGTTGATGGTCACACCGTGTGTCGAAGATGCGTTATTCGCGATCTTGTAGCACAATGTATCACTGTCCTGTGACGGTTGCGTCGACTGTGGAACGGAATGGGAAAAGTCTGTGAGAGTCCCACGATGAGCAGCTACTACAACAGCCAGGACAACTTGAGGGTTTTTCGGCCAGATATCAGCTTTAGTTATCGAACAGCTTCGCCGAGAGTCTGATTCCTAGTCCATCTCAAGTCAGGAAGCCGCATTCACATTGCTTGGAAGCGCTATTTCCAATATGATCGGAGTCAATTCCAATCGTGAGCAATTCTGGGTGTAATGAAAACTCTTCTGCCGGGATTCTGCCAAGTAATTAGCCCAAAGGAGAGCAGAAATATGAGGGCTTATTCGAAGCCAACCAACTGCCAACAGAACCTTATTTTTATTTCATGAGAGATTCCTGCATCTTGTCTTGGAAAATCTTTCATCCATGTTCTTACCTGGCCCACATTGAACTTGACAGGTTTGGTGCACCCGCGTTGGTGGCGCAGTCGCACATCCTCCAATCAAACATGAATTTAAACTACTGTGCCATGCTCAATGCCTTCAGAATATCAGAATGGTGAATCCTCGCTGTAAAGCAGTGGATTTTATTGCCATACCAGAAGTTCCACTGACTTTGACGTGAATTCACCTCGGAATCGTGGTCGCAGCCTTGCTACGATATCAGTATTGATCAAGACCAATTAGTGAGATGAGGCCCCTTCATTGCAGAAACTTCTATTACTTACTAGGAGGCAACAACATTTCCTCAATTCCGGAAATCCCTCCCATCTGGTTTGAAAAACCATTTGTCATGACCATGAATGATTCATACGATTTATACCGTCTCAAAGCCATCAGAGCAATTGCCACACTCTTTGCTTCGGTGAACAACATGTAAGCTCCCAAGGAGTAGCTGAAAAGTATGCTTAGATTGGGTCAAATCAAATGCCTTCTTCTCCTTCAATGTTCTTATCAGGACAGTCGAGAGACCCAGTGATTCGACAGACGTGTTTCTAGATAGCAGCAAAGATATGTCGTACGTTGCAGCAGGACCCATCGACGTACGACGAACACACGAATCAACGAGGCCCAACAACCAGCCGAGTCCGAGCCGACCAACCCATGATTGCTTTTGCATCTTCCTGCCAATCCGGGAAACACTCCCGCTCCCATCTCCAGTTGTTTCGTTGTGCATATTCCCACGTAGCTGCAGGTCAACTTGGCAATGACGGCTATGTCCTGCATCTTACCGTTGCCCGCGCTACAGCCTCGGAAAGCATACAATTGGTGCATTCGTGTTCGACTGTATTGAATAGTGGAGATCTATCAATACCCCCTCATCAGTGTAAGCGCTGCATGATTCCGTCTTTGCCCCGTGCATCGCAGTAGCGATCTAGGAAACTTAACAGCGTCGGAAGTACTTAAGAAAGTTTGACATCTACCTTTGATGCTTTCTTGGATGCGTCCACCTTATCACCCTTACGGTATTCGCATTTCGCAATGGCTTCACCAAAGTTCCAGATCCCGCCGGAGTTCCAGTCCAAACTCCGCCATGTCGAGCCTCTCGACGCGCGCTCTGACGAGGAGATTCTTGAATACCTGAGAAACCCTCCACCAGTCACTGCAGAGAAGAACATCTGGGCCTTTTGGCACTCTGGCATCGACAACATCCCGAGCTGGTGTCGGCGAAACATCATCAACTGGGCTCGCCTCTGCGGTCCGTCATGGACGATTCGCGTCCTGGACGACGTTCCAGATTCTCCCAGCAACGCCTTGAATTGGGTCAAGCGAGACCAACTTCCCGAGGCCTTTGTTGCACACAAAATGGAGGGCCCCCGTGTGTGGACCGGTCCCCACAGCGCAGACTTTCTCCGTGGCATTTGTCTCTACCAATATGGCGGCGCTTGGGTGGACGTGGGATCCATCCTCGTTAGGACAATCGATGACCTCTGCTGGAAGCACCTCGAGGACCCAACCAGCCCTTACCAAGTTGCTGCCCCTTGGTTGTATGGGACCGTCGTGGGCAACCATTTCATTGCCAGTCGCAAAGGTGACCCATTCATCAAACATTGGTAAGTTGAGACCAGAGTTTGGTTGATTACCTCGATATGTATAGATTTGGAGGAGTGCTGATACGCTACCTTCTTAGGCATGATGTTTTCATGGCTCTTTGGAAGGGCCACAACAGCTCCGATGGCATCGCAGCAAATCCCCTCATCGCCTTCGCACATAACATGAATACCGATGGAATGGAAGCTCGAAATTTCAAATGGAACTGGAACGCCCCTCTCCCCAAATTGATGGAATATGTTGCCCAAATCGTGTGCTGGATCAGAGTCGCTGCAATTCAGGAGCCCAACGGTGGCTTCAATGGCGTCGATTACTACGACAAGAAGGTGCTACTACACGACTCGCTACGCGAAGCTTGGCCCGCCGAAGCCGTGATCGGCTTCAACGGCGAGGAGCTCTTTGACCTCTTCTCAGTCAAATTGGATGCCGATCCCGAGTCTGAAGAGTACAAAAAGGCCTACAACGTCGTTTGGACGATCTTGACCACGTCGACCATGCAGAAGGTCACCCACGCCGCGGGCATGACCTCGACCAAGGCATTGGGAACTTTGTGGGATATGAAGGAGAATGAGAATAGAGACCAGGAGCCTGGAACTTTTGCAGAGTTGCTACGGTATGGAAGTGTGCATTTCGAACAAAATCGAGAGATAAAGTACATTACGCCTCCAAAGGCTGAGTTTGTATTGGAGAAGGGCGTGCTTGAGCCTTGAAGGCGTGTTTGAGTCTAGAATTTGAAGCGTTTCGATGCACCGATCGGAAACATGGATCAAGACTTGGTTTTTTTCAGCGTATTAGACAGTCTTGATAGAACTCATGAAGTGTGAGGACATCTGATCTTGAAACCGTCTTAGTCGGCAATGACTTCCAACGTGCCAATAATATTTACAGGTATCAATAACAGGCCCTCTGAGGACCAGATAGACAAATAGATGCGCAGTTAATGCTGGTTGGGGTCTACGTCAGCGTCATAAGCATTCCAAGAGAACTAGTAAGATGTCGCATCAGATGGTCTCTTGCGATCTCGTGAATCGGCCTCAGAAAGACCCTCAGTGCTTCTGCTAGGTGATACAGGATTATGCAACGCATCCATTCCCAAGATAGCCCAGATTTAAATATTGATGTCAATAGGCATCCAGTTGTGGAAATTGCGAAGATCTAGTCTATTGCCGCAGGTAAAGTTGCCAGAGATTCCTTTGGAGCTGCCTGAGACGTTGTCTCCATCGGATATCGTTGCCCCATTATTTCTCCCAGCTTGAACAGTGCTTGGTAGGCATGAATTGTCTAGACGAAAAATAGCCGTGCTTCCGTGATGAACGACGTCCATGGTTGCATGAGGTTGACTTATGTGACTTCGAGCTAGCTTCAGGAACACAGACGCAACATACTCTAGGCGAGCATTCAGAATGGCGAGATCTATAATGCAATTGATTGAGCTGGTCTATTGAGAAGATGATCTATCTACGCCGGCGTTGCCCAAAAACCATGCCGAAGAACGCAACCACTCTATAGATAGTTCCGATTCCAAGCAAAACTCCCATGTTGCGCCATAACCAGTTCAAGTGGAAGCCAGTTGCCGTTGCAGCTGATTCCACATCATACAAATAGCCAAAGGGTGAAACCAGCTGACCGAAGTAGATTTCGGCAAGCCAGACACCGGGCGATGAACGCCAAAGCCACTCCATGTGCCATTCCTTGACCTTGGCCATTGGAGGGGCAGCGCCGGACAAGATTGCAACGATGAGGCTGATCATCGTCGCAAACAAAGGAGCATCCTCTCTCCTGACTACCATGCTGACAATACTCGCCAATCCGTAGATGCAGTAAAAGTAAAGAAAGTTGGTCAGGAAAGCAAGACCCCAGTTGATCACGGGTACCGTGAGAAAGAACAAGAATGTCGTGAAATGAAGACAACCAAAGAGCATTCGAGGGAGGACAGAGACCACCTTAGCAATGAAATATGCCAGCCGGTTGTGTCCCGCTTCAGCCTCCCTCCGATGCACAAGCAACTCCTCCGAGAACGTCTTGACACCAGGCGCACCAGACACCAGACCCACAGCAATGGAGACTAGCAGAGCCAGTTCGGGGGCCGACTTGAAGTCGACGGCCGTTGACAGGATGGCGTACGGCGCTTTAAAGGTACCCGTGAACAATATGCCCTTTTTCGAATTCTCAGCTAGGCCAAGGAGAAAGCCGGCGAGTGCCGCGAGTCCCATCTCTGCCCAGAAAGCTGCTTTGGCGCGGTACTGCTGGAGCATGGCACGGCGGAGACAGAGCCACGTCTGTTTGTACACCGGCGCGCCGCGACGTTTGATCGCGGCGTACATGCCGTTTTTGCTCATGATGGAAGAAGCGTGTCGTTCCTTGTGCGTGAGAGCCTGGCGGTGATCTGACCAGTTTGAGATGAGCGAGTGTTTTGAAATCTCACCCATTTGCTTGTACTCGCGTCCGTTCCCGGTGATGATGTCGGTGACAACATCCCCGTGGTTGCTGTGTTCTGGGAACCCGAAGCCAAGGCCCTCAAAGTAATCCTGTACTCCAGCTTGAGGGCCCTCGTAAATGATTTGACCGTTGCCGAGGAGAATGAGGTTATCAAAATTTTCAAAGATTTCTGTACGTGGTTGGTGGATGATGACAATGACGGTGATTCCCAGCCTCGCGACGGCCTTCAAAGTTCGCATCAAAGAGGAAGCTGCAGTAGCATCAAGACCACTCGTCGGCTCATCCAGAAAGATGGCCATCGGCGCGGCTGCCAACTCCATGCCGATGCTCACACGCTTGCGCTGTCCACCACTGATAACAGGTTGGGCAACTGATCCTACCAAAGAGTTGCGCACGTGGTAGAGCTCTAGACAGTCAATGACGGAGTCGACGTGAGATTCAATGTCAACCTTGGACCAGGTCTGTGGCAGGCGGATCCTTGCGCTATGGGCAATATTTTCATAGACGGTAAGCTCTGGCAGCACAATGTCGTCTTGAGGCACGTAGCCAATGACCTTCTTGTACCGCTTCAACTTGTCCGGACTGCTGTTGACGGCCACCGTGCCTCCCGTGTTCTTTGTCTTTCCCATGAGAACGTTGACAAAGGTCGATTTGCCGGCCCCGGATCCGCCCATGACAGCCGTCAAAGTTCCTCGATCGATGGACCCCGTGACGTTTTGAAGAATCTTCTGGGAGCTCTTCTTGGGCTGGAAACTGAGATTGGTGTAACTGAAGGAGAGACCAAAGTTCGTTGCGTCCGTTGCACGTCGCATCGAGGAGACAAATGCCATCAGCTGCGGGTTGAGCACCTCGCTAGTGGGTCGCACATTATTGGAATACTCAGACCCGAGGTCGAGAGCGGCCTGGAAGCCCCCTCCGTACGAGTCGGTCCGGTTGGGAATGTGCGTTGCACTCAGCGGGAGCATCTCGCGGTCGGCGTCTTCCGAAAGTGACCTGTACCCAGTGATCTGAGCCTTCATGCTGCTCATACCACGCTTCAAGGTTGGTCTCCGACTTTTGTTTGATTGATGTTCGCGAAGGCCCTTGCGAAGTCGGTAAACAAGCATGCCGATGATCATTGAAACATCGAGAATGATTAAGATGATGATCGGTATGAGGAACAGTTCAAAGGAAGAACCTTCCGGACAGTGGCTACCGACCGAGCATGGCGTTGGAGTTGCGGCTCCGGGCTGACAGTATGAGCCAGCCGGACACACAAGAGAAACTTTGCCGTCGCTCTCCTCGGGGCAGTAGTTTCCGGCTTGGCAAACAACCGGCTCGAAGGGGCCCATACCGGCATTCTTGCCGTCGAAACTGCAGGTGAATGATGCCAACCTCGCCATTTGACACTCATCCAACGGTGGGCAGTACTGGGGTATTGAGTTAACGGTATTGTTCTCACCTACACTACAGTTAGTAAAGAAGATCCACCAGAAGCCGAAGCAGTTCCGAGGCTTATGCTCACACAGAAATCCTGGACTGCACCCTTCAGCCTGCCAGCTTTCCAAAGTCTGAATTTCTATCGGAACAGCCCCTTGTCTGTAACACGGCGCGGCGCTGTATGGCTGCTGACCTGCGTTGATCTGTGCCGTCGCTTCGTAAAACGAAGTCGAGAATCTGGTATTATTCTTGCCGGTACAGGCGCTGTCGTGAACACTGAGTCCATGGGAGCCCGGCGAATCTCGCAACGCTCCAGACAACCACAATAGAGGCTTTCCGGTGTCTGGCGGATTTGAAGCATCATTGATGGATCCGTTGGCATTTCCGACTCCATTGAGTGCGTTGAACCATTTGCCGGTCCTGATTGTGTATACGCTTCCCTGACTTTGGTCTCCAATACACTGCCAAGCGGGCTGCGGGGGGCCGCCGGCAGGAGTGGCCTGTAAAGCACATAGACATCCTTCTGTGTCGAGGAAACTGGGGCCTTTAGGATCTTCTTGAGGATAGTACGGGTCTTGTGGTAAATTCGAGGCGTCGAGGCCAAAGGTTTTGCGGCTCATGTTGATACTCAAGTCTCGGTCAATATCTTGTTGCGGCGTCAACTCTGCATGTAAAAGTCTCAAGCATCGAGGAATCGCAGCTATATCATACTTACAAGCGATTTCATTATTCCTTGATAGGCAGACACGGAACCAGAACACGGTGACATAATTGATGTTCCGATAAGATTTTAGCGCGATCCTTCCGGCTCACAGCTCACTAGGGATGAACTCGCGAAATACTTAGTATTTCCTAGCTGGGACAACTTGGACGAGACTCGGACGAGGCGAAGCTGCAGGCCAATCGCTGGCGCTCCACATACGAAAGCCGCGCCTTGTGCAATGGGGAAATGAATGAGATCCTTCCGTCATCATGTCTTGGACGCTTGGAGACCCATGCCTTGGCGGCATCCGGCCGACTCGCCCGATATCCTCAACATAGCCACTCCAAAACGGGTGACTGTTCTTCGACATGATTCAATACTCGCAGCATCCTGGGGAAACCGGATGAATCTGGCTACTTGTGGCACTGAGGACGAGTATCGTCTACTCCAACTCGATTCTGTTTGAATAGAGGTGATATTCGCCTCCGTGAAAGGCGAAGCGTCGGCGTCGTTGGCTGAGACAGAATCGTCAGGGGTGCTGTCGGGTGGAGTTTTCTCTTGGTCTTGCAGAAGGTTTCGCAATACGACAAGCTTGGGAAAGCAAGCAAGTGATTTCGGCTCAAATGCTTTTTTCTGGAGTAAGATTAAGGTTGTTTCAGCGCGTGTCGTTGAGAAGAGGGACTAACTAAGTAGCCTGAAGTTGGTTTAGGACTTACTTCGAGTCCTTCATAACAAAGAATTTGGGGATCAATCAGATGTTCCAGCTCTTTTAACAGCGCTTTCAGATCTACTTCAAGACCTTCCAGGGTTGCATCATCTTCAGCCAAGTGGTCAATGTTGACCATCTGTTGCTTGATGATGTTCAGTCTGATGTCATTTCGCAATGTAGTGATCTCGTTCTTCCAAATGCTCAACATCCTCCTCGATCATGGAGCCGTAGAGGCCTTCGTCGGCACCCTCTGTAGTCGGAAGGCTCTTTGCGGAAAGGAAAAGCGGGTGGAGGGTTTGGAGAAAACCATACCTCACACGAATTAGACCGAGATCCGGCATTGCGCATGCTTACAGCTTTAAACGGCTTTGGTTTCTGTTTGTTTGTGGATGAATGTATATTGAAGCTTTGAAATCAGAACAATGACAATGAATGACGAGAGAATGGAGGAAATTCATGAACAGGGGACAAAGGTACGCTTTGTGGATGAGAGGCGCAATGGTGGCATCAGCTCCACCTCCAGGATGAGAAAGCACTCCTGCTTCTACTTTAAGGTGCCCGAGGCCCAGCCTGATCAATATCTTACTATCTTGGCGAAACCCCTCTTCCTGCCCCTGTCAAGCCCTCCATCCCCCCCCCTCGAAAAAAAAAAGCCGCTTACCCTGCCCCGGGCCTGTCTCACCCTGCTCTACGGACAGCCTGATTCCTACACTACTTCCACAATCGAGCGCTACGACATCATGGGCCAGGCGCAAGAGGATATGGCAACAGCCATATTCGACATCGCCCACCAGTTTCTCGCCTCATTCGATAGTGTTGTGGCCGAGCACGAGGAATCAGTCCTCACGCGCTCATTTACTCCCAAAGACGCCGTCGGCAACTCAGGGAGCCAACGGCGTCCATCATTTGACTTCTTGGGTCTCCGTAATAGCTTCTTGTTTTGGGTAGACTATACTGGAGCGCTTTCATTGATGAATTCATCATTAGACGCAAGATTGCGGGGTTTGACAGACATATCTTCCATGGTCATCGAGTTGCTGGAAATGATCCTAAGAAACGTGCAACGCAGTAAGTGGAAGTAATCGGCCGGATCAATATCTGCTTAAACAAATTATATTTGCGAACTTACTGCTGACTTCAGTCTGGGATCTTAGTCTATCGCAAACCTGATGACTCATCGACCTTTCTCTCTGATACAACGATGGCGAACTCAGAAGCGGAAAAGGGATTTCTCTCGAAGTGGGAGGACGCTTCCAGAGCTGTCGATACTGCACTGGATCGGTTACATTTCATAACCGTAGCTATCAGGAAAGCATCAGCACAACAGCTCGACCACACAGTCGCAACCTTGCTTACGAAGGATGATGTCGTTTTTCGCAGAGACATTGCACTTCTAGTCCGCTACAGGTTCCCAGCTGCTCGTAAAGCGCTTTGTCGGCAACTCGGAGACGGCATAGCTGTCCGACGCCGGATGCTTCTGCAGATAAAACTTCACGCAAAGAGGTTGGCTGTCAGAAACGTGCCAGAGAAGTCGCCTTCTTTCAAACAGCACCAGAACACATACCTTGAACCTAGACCGGTCTTGTCAAGAGACAGAAGAGTGAGCCATCCTTCTGTTTTGACCAGAATGCTTCTCGTCCCGACCCCAAGGCCCCGATACTTAGGAATCTTCACCTTCCAAAACCACGGGCTCTCACGACTGTCATCAGCATCATTTCTACCAGACAAGACGACTCTTTTGAGTACCCTCCGGCACCAATAGCGGTCGAAGGAGAAACACGTGTCCGATGCCCTTTTTGTTTCATGCCTTTGGAATGAAGAGAATCGGAGAAAAAGAGAAAAGAGCTTTGGAAACGTCACGTTGACGAGCATCTCAAGCCTTACGCCTGCCTGTTTCCTGAGTGCACTGAGTCTCTGGTATTTTTCGCCCGCCTTCACGAATGGAAGGCTCACATGGAATCTGCTCATTCGGAAGAGTGGATGCGCAAAGTACACACCAGTGTATGGTACTGTGACCTAAAGCACGAAATCACGGAAACGAAAACAGAAACGCAAACATTCAAGACTGAGCTTCAGTGGAGATAACACATGCAGGACCTCAAGTCCCATCCTGGAAAGTCGAAAGCGCCAAATCAAGCTCAGCTTGACGCTCTATCTCCCAGAAGACAGCAAGTCGCACCACGCGAGAAGTTCGTTTGTCCCCTATGTGAGCAAATCCCTGAGAAATTACGGCCTCTCGCAGGCAAGGGAATAGATCACACACACCTGTATAATGCTGTGGTTGATCACATCGCAACCTACTTGAAATCACTGTCTTTGTTGGCTGTGCCATCCCTCGAAAACACCACTCCAGAGACTCCTGGTGCAGAATCAGCCCTCGTCATGAAGGACCCTTCCAGACGGCCGCTCAATGAAAACTCGGTTCCCCAGCCGCCCAGTGGAAGAGAATACATTGATGGGGCATTCCTACCTCCGGACTCTTGGTCAGTCCTGCACCGGAACGACATGGTCTCTTTCGCGACGTCTTTGTCCTGGGACAAAGAACATACCGATTACGCACCGCCAGAGGATCCACCACCGCCGTTGCGAGAAGAGTGGATTGAACGTTGGAACTCATGGAAACGCGACAACGATCCTTTCCCCCCAAGTGCTCTGGAAACGGACCCAGTTCTTACGCATCTTAGAAAGTCGAAAGGTCTTGATTCGATCCAGACCTCCATTGGAATGATAAGCCCAGAGGTGCGCGACGTTGACTCTAAAAATGAAGCTGGGCGTACGACATTGTCTTTTGCAGCTGAGGCTGGTGACTACTTGGCTGCGCGGCAGCTTCTGGAAATGGGCGCGAACCTTGAGATAGCTGACCAAGATGGAAAAACGCCGTTACTGTGGGCTGCTGACAACGGGCATGAAACAACTGTCAGGTTACTCCTTGACAATGGTGCACGTATTGAGGCGGCTGACGGGGTCTCCGGCCGGGCAGCTTTGTCGTGGGCGGCTTCAAAAGGTCATCAGGCTGTCGTACAGCTGCTACTCGATCAAGGCGCCGGCGCAGACATCGAGCTGTCTGATCCTAAGTATGGTCGGACACCGCTGTCATGGGCAGAGGTGAGAGGCCATGAGACTGTGGTTAGACTGCTCCTCGATTTGGGCGCGGATGTTGACGCAGTCGATTTGGAACACGGTCGCACGCCGCTGTCGTGGGCTGCCGAGAATGGACATGAGGAAGTTGTGAGAATACTTTCGGATCGTGGAGCAGATTTCGAGGCACCAGACTTGCAAGGTTGGACGCCCCTGACGTGGGCGACTGAGAACGGCCATGACAATGTTGCGAAGCTTCTACGTTCATATGGTGCTAAGAGTCCGTCGGCTTCATAAGTCTGTATTGAAGAAACAGGATCATTTGTAACTTGTCGTCAAAGTACGCTATTAACGCCATCAGCGCTGGAGTTCTTGAGGAGTTTGCTTCTGAAGCAGGATCAAAATGGACGCTAGAATACTGTGACTTACTTTTTTTTATTTATTTTTTAAATAAAACACCATCTCAATCCATAACTCGCCCCGGTACATATCTCAATACAGAAACATCAAGTTGCCCCGATCATCTCTCACGAGTACACCCTTTATTGTTGCTCAGCGACTAGCGTTCCTGCCCTCATTTTTCTCCTCAAGCCTCGCTAGCAATCTCAGCAGTCGAACTTGACCTAACAGCATCGATAACCTTACGAGGAGCATCAAACCTGTCAATCTCATCCGCCCAAGGGATGCCGGCTTGAGCTCCCACACTTTGAATAGTAAGCGCAGCAGCTTTGTTCCCACGAATGACTGCGCTCCTGATGTCCCAAACTCCCCTGGCTTTCTGGCCCAGGTAGTCAGATGCATACGCCCCAGTGAAGGTATCGCTGGTTGTCGATGTCAATATCTGCACAAAAGAATTCGGGACAGAAGAATGAACTCACCCTGCACCTGTGGTGTCCTTAACTTCTACATCGAAAGCCGGGCATTGGCTGCTTCCAGTCGCTTTGGCGTAGAATGCACCTTTAGAACCGAGTGTGATGACCACGTTCTTGACACCGCGGTTCAAGAACTCCCGAGCAATGACCGGCCAAGTTTCTTCGTTGACCTCGTCTCTGTCTCGACCAGACATTATGGCTGCTTCGGACTCGTTGACCAACAGGTGGGTGACGTATCGGTAGAAGCGCTTGCCGATGGGAGTCGCAGGCGCCGCATTCAAGCAGAACTCAATTCCGGCTTTGCCAGCAGTTGCGATCATAGTCTCGACGATCTCCTTGTCGATTTCCATCTGAGCTACGATCAATTCCGGTCGTATGCCGCCTCCGAGCTGCTCAGCACTGATAAAATCCTCTTTCTTCCAGGATGCGGTTGCGCCCAAGGTGAAAAGACACCGGTTTTCGCGCGTGGTATCCTCGACCATGACGAAACAGACGCTCGAACGTGTGTTAGGCACCGTCACGATGCCTGAAGCATCAACGCCATTATTGCTCAAGCCCACGATGAACTTCTCTTCATATCGGTCATCACCAACTGCACCGATCATCTTGACCTGTATGTTGCCCTCCCCTGGGCTGTCAATGGCAAGTTCGCCCAAGGCCGACGTGGTCAGCTCGGTATTCGCGGTTGTTACATCATCGCCACCTGCTGGCTTCTCCGTCACCTTATTCACAGGAATTCCTGTGTGTTCTAATGACTTTTTGTGACAAGCACGGTATGTTGCAATCGCAGAGTTTGCCCCTTTCCCCCCCAACGTCTCCAGATATTCGTTTGCTAGAACATTCTCCCCCTGATCTGGGATACGAGGCGCAATCATGACTAGATCGGCATCCAGACCCCCGATAACTGCAATGGTTTGTGGTGCCATGCTGCAATCTTGGGAATGAATCAGAGAGATTCCTTCGTGACGGTAAGTGATTGTAATGCTGTTGTAATGATGGTTCTTCACAGGATTTAACGGATGGCAACGTAAGAGGGGGTTCACAGTGCATTATCGCTGAGCAAACAGACTGGCTGAATAGGCCAATCAGACTAATCACCGAGACGCAGCTGCGTCATGCAGTTATACCAAGGACGCCAACAGAAAGTGAGGACAGGTTATCAAATGACCAAAAATCAGGCAGAGCGTTGCCAAGGCTTTCCAACTTGGATGCTACGTTGATAAACTATGCCGCAATGACGTCTATTTCAAGGCTTTCCGAAGACCAAACACCCGCACTTTGCTGGTCCGCAAATAGACCAAAGACACGGCTCGTTCACTCTCTATACCAATTCGTTGTTGATGAGTTACGCCTGAAGATGGTATCCGTGAACCGAGCTGTGCCGTCGGAGCATCCTGGGCAACCATCAGTCGCAGAGCTGAGCCATGCTACTTCTCCTGGCGCAGCCTCATCAACTTATTCGATCCTGTCACAGAAGCGAAAGGTTCTCGTTCTTTGCCTGGCCTCGTTTGCGGCGACCTTTCCACCTCTGTTATCGTTCATATTCTTTCCCGCCATTAATGACTTATCTCAAGCACTTCATGTATCTGTTGGAAAAATCAATCTAACCATCACTTCCTACATGATTGTTGCTGGTCTCGCCCCAGCAGTCCTGGTAGATTTAGCAGACAAGATTGGACGAAGAATAGTGTATCTTTTCATGATGAGCGTCTACTGTATTGCCAGCGTTGGCCTTGCACTGCAAAGTGGCTGGACGGCGCTGTTCTTGCTTAGAATGCTCCAAAATGCTGGGAGTGCTGGTAAACTTCCTATTTTCACCTCTGCAAACCCTTTGCTGACGGAGGTTAGCCGCCATTGCAATAGGATACGGCGTGGTATCCGATATTGCTCCCCCCTCCGAACGTGGTAGATTCGTATCCGGTCTGGTACTTGGGTAAGCCAGTTCACCAACCAACTCGAACCCTAAGCCGAACATCATTCTCACCTTGGCATAGTCCCAACATTGCAACGGCCGTCGGTCCTATTCTTGGCGGCGCTCTTACCAGCTATCCTGGTTGGCGCGGGATATTTTGGTTTTTGTCCATCTTGTCTGGAACGTGCCTATTTCTTACTGCCCTGATTCTTCCAGAGACAGCTCGATCAGTTGTAGGCGACGGGTCTGGGGAAGTTTCTGGTCTTCGTCGATCCTGCAGCATCGGGCGAGATAACCGCTTCGTGGCGCGGTCGAATCCGCAATGCCAACCTTGTGCAACAAACTTTCCTCCCCGCCTAACGATAATAGACCATCTTAGAGGGTACCTAATCCTAGTTTATATAGACCGTGGCTATAGCGCTGATCCTGGGCTGACGGTCAATCTGCCCTGGAGAACTCGGGATCCCGTCCGCTCTCCCAAAGATACACCAGTGAGTAGAGTCTTACCTAGTATGGAGAGTCGCATTTTGACTAAGCACCGGTGGGAAGGAGGCGGTCCCATATTATCTCCCGCAATGCCCGAACCGTTAGCTGAGAATCCCGTCTCCGTTTCTGGCCCCTGGCCCGGTCGCTGTTACGCGCCGAAAGGACAGAGCCCGGATGTGGCCATAAACGACGGCGGTTAATGCGGTCATCATTATAGATGAGAAAATTTCACACCGCCAAACTTGCTGTGCACCTCAATTGTGTGTGACACGTCAGTCCGTGCATACGACTGAATGCGGTGTGCCAGCCAATTAAGGTACCTGTTACAGCTGTGGCCCCAATTGCAGGATTCAGCCCAGCATAATCGCTCTCTATAAAGCCCCAAGCAACCCTCCCGTTGCAGCGCTGGCACCCGAACCCCCCTCACAAGCATTTCAGTGATTTCTTGGTACTCCACATGGCCGCGGATTCGAGTTCCTGGACAACAGTTCAGGAATTCCTCCAGAACGCTGATCATCAATCTATCGCATGTTTCGAACAAGTCAACTGGGATCAGCTGTGTCAAATCGCCTCGGATGCCAATCGCAGCTTAGAATGTGTGGCTCTGGATCAGATAGCGAGCGGACTCAACAACATGGTCCGTCAACTTGAGTTTCCCGACAAGACTCGCTGGGCAGCCAGAATTCCCATCATCAGAAGCCAGCCTCACTCTTCTTATAGCACGAAGCTACACAATGAAATCGCAACCATGCAGTTTATTCAAGAAAATTCCAGCTTACCAGTGCCCCAAGTCTTCACGTACGACACTGACGCAAACAATGCTGCAAACACTGCTTACATGCTCATTGAGGTGTTACCCGGTATTGTTGCTATCGATGCTCTCGGCGGTCACAAAGTACACGGTGGTGTGATCCCCATGCGGTACCGGCAAACCTTCTATCGCTCCGTCGCCAAGTGTCATGTGCGTTCTCAACAGCCTTCCTTCCCAGCCCGAGTGTGCGTCAACTTATTTTAGTAGATCCAGATAACGTCAATACGACTTCCGAAAATTGGGACTATTATCCGGAGCGAGGACGGCGGATACGAGTCTGGGCCCATTCCGGGCATCGGCGGTCCTTTTGATACAGCGGCGGCCTTCTTTGAAGCATGGGCTGACAAGGTTGAATTCAAGCGTGACAAGGAAACAATCACGCAAATGATGCAGAGAGGTCCAATATCCGCGGAAAAAATGATCCAGATCATCGACGAGTTCCCATCGCAGATCAAAGGCATGGCTGAACAGCTCGCCTCGGACAACGACGGGCCATTTCCTCTGTGTCATGATGATTTTCTCCACAGCAATATCATGGTCGACGAAGCTAGCTTCAACGTAACAGGAGTTATTGATTGGGAGGGGGCCTGCACGGTCCCATGGGGGCTCGTTGCGTTCCCCGAATTCATTCAAGTCATGCCCAGGTCATTCGACCTGCCCCAGCATTACGACCAAGATGGACAACCCGTCGAGGAGAGCGTGAGGGAAAAATGGCTCGAGCGGCAAAACTACGTTGAGATGGTGAAGTCAGCGGAAGGTGAAGATAACCTACTTTCGGCTTGTCTCAGTAGCAACTTGAGCCAGGCTCTGGCTTATACGTGTGGAGCGTTTACTAATGGAAAACTGGGATTTTATGATAGAGTCATAGCGGAGTTGAAAGAAGGAAGGTCCTAGGCAGTAACTTCCATGAATTTCTGGACAAGATTCTCGACGGAATTTTGGCCCAAGTTAAGTAGTTACAGAGACTGCCGCGGTCCACCCTCCTCATCACATAATAAGCTGCGTCACTTCATTCTCTGGCATCATCTTCGCCGCTGATAGCTGGTGCACTAGACGAGATCAGCCATGGATAACTTGTTTCTTATCCGTATTGATATGTAGCAATCCAAGTTACGTAGGATTTTCAGACAAGGGTGAACCACAAGAGAAGTGACACAAGACAGCAGCGAGAGTGTCCTGACTAGACATAGTAGCACTACTGGTCACGTGTGGGCCGCCAGAGGGAGCCAAGACAGACGTGATAAACGCCCAGGAATCAAGAACCATCGCCTGGGCAGCAGGGTCGCCTTGTTGATAGGTCTATGAAAGTGATGTGTATTTGAACTTTTTTATTTGGCATATAATCAGTACAACTAGCACTGAATATCTGTTTTGACGTGGTCCTGCTAGACGAAAGGAATGTCCCACAATCAACGCGTGAAACCGTGCGGTTTATGCCCCGATCCGGTCAAGGTTATGGAACTTGAGGCAATTCAACGGCGAGGACTGCCTTAGAAACAGGTGGTCGCCTTTCCCCTAATCATTCCCACGAAGCTCACGGCAAATCTCTTATTCAAAATAGAGACTCAATAGTGGAAAGCTAGCTTTCTTCTGCAGCATAATGACCAAGTAAGTAATAGTCTATCCCGCGGTCGAAACTCATGACAGCAAGTCGCCATATGCGGCGGGCCACATTCATTCGGAGCTCAACTCAGACTCTGATGGCAATCATGCATAGACTTATTCATAAGAAGAAAAGTAGCAATGAAACTCGGGAGCTAAGACTCTTCAAAGTATCCTTCTATCAGAAGACTGGAACATTCCGCGTGAGGTATTCGTACCATTTGGGCAAAGACCTCTTGTAAGGATTCCCCTCCGTCGCTAACTGCAAATCCTCAATCGCGCTCCCCCACTTGATCAGCTCTGCTTCCCCGTACGCAGTTTGCATAATGGCGAGACCAAACCCCATCCCATTGCTAGAACGAACGCCGGCCGGAAGGGTGATCATGGGGTACCCAGCCTGAGCCGCAACTTGATACGTCTGGCCAACATCAGGAGGGACGAGAAGACCAGCCAATTTTGTGCCATTAGAAGATGTGAGAGCATCGTTGATACCGTTCCGCGTCGATTTCTGGGAGAACTCGACAGCTTGGAGATAAGTCTCATCCTTGATACCTTTTGATTCGAGCGAGGCCAGAAAACCGTCTTGCCCCGAGTAGAACGCGGCTGTGCCAAGTGGCCAAGGGTGGCCGCCCTCAGTTCCGTCATTGTCGTAATTGAATGCAACAATATCTTCGAAAGTCTTGATGTCGGTGTTTTCTAGTTCGGAGAGATAGGTGTTGATGTTGTTGTAAAAGTCGACCTTGACCACGGTGTATTCAGACTCGTTGGCGTAGCCTCTTGTGGTGCCATAGTCCCAATCCCAACCATCAGGGCTAATAATGGTCTCATAGTCGGTTATTTCGGTATTATTAACAATCATCGCTCCGGCCCCAGTAATAAGCTTGAGCAATTGCTCCAGAGATTCCCTCTGCTCGTCGTCTGCGTGGACCCAGAAACTGTTCCACGGGAGTCCAAAAGTAGCGCCTCTAAGTATCTCTTTTGTGGACAGGAATTGAGTGTACCCCCCTTCAGGAGTTCTTCCTTCCTGGGCCAACGTGTAGTTGTCCCGGTCGTCAATGCCATAAATGGCATCGAACGCGTACACAGCATCTCTGACTGTGCGACCAAAGGTTCCGACAGAATCTTGATGTTCACTCTCCGGGATGACCCTACCTCGAAATCAGCAAAGATTCCAGCCAGTGATTCCCAAGGACACTCTACATACCCAGCTCTAGAAGTCACCCCAACCGTAGGCTTTAATCCCACAATGGAGTTGCGTTCAGCGGGGTTGATGACACTGCCATCCGTCTCCGTGCCCAGCGAGAAGGCAATAGTATTCGCCGCGACACCAACTGCGCTCCCCGTGCTACTCCCGCCCGGGTTGAGGGTGAAGTTGTACGGGCTTCGGCACTGACCGCCTCTGGCCGAAAACCCCTCCGAGTAGTTGTTGCTGCGCATATCGGCCCACTCACTCAGAGCAGCTTTGCCAAATAAGATGGCGCCCGCTTCGCGAAGGCGTGCGACGACGTGAGCGTCGCGGGGAACAATACTGCCCAAGAGCGCGAAGCTGCCTGCCGTTGTCTCCATGTTGTCCTTGGTAGCGATGTTGTCTTTGACGGTGAATGGTATTCCGTGAAGCGGCCCTCGGATCTTCCCTGCCTTGCGTTCGGCATCCATCTTGGTAGCTATTTGGAAGACATCTGGATTGATTTGGAGGATAGAGCTGCTCTGCGCATCAGCGTACATACCATCTGATGAATCACTGGTAGGGCAAACTCCATAGTAAGTAAGCTGGCTGTCACTTACTGAATGTATTCCTGCGTCTGGTAAGTTCGTTGGATATAGCACCCGACTAGCTGCTGAGATGTAAGCGTCCCTGCTGCCAGGGCCGCTTGCATCTCATCAATCGTCGCCTCTTCCAACTCGAAAGTTCCGCAGAGTGACATCGGGAATAGTTCCACAGAACCCACATCTTCGAGCAGCGGGAATACCGAAGGCACCGTCGTCGACGAGTTTCCGGGCCAGTTTCGATTGGCGCTTAATGTGCAGCTGGCCAAGGAGGCTTCAAGACCTGCCACAATGGCAACCCAAAAATGCGCCTTGTACATTTTTAATCCGATAACTGGTTACAGTGCTTGCTCAAACTAGATGCAGGACGCAAGGTATAGGACAGGAAAGCCAGAACTCTGGCCGAAGGCGGAGGAAACAGCCAAGGCACATACAGCCACACAGCCGGTGTACCCTATCAGCAGCTTGTACTCAAGCCTCGCACGCTGATAAGCTGACGTGCAACTTTGCCCCGCCCCGAGATGCCGATCCGGGTTGCCATATTGTGGCGGGGCGCAGGTTCAGTCAATGGTTGGCTGCATCTCCTTGTGGGCGGGCTGTGATACCGATAGGACATGATAGGAGAGTTTCACTCCGCAAAAGCAAGCGTGGGTTTAATTAGTTGACTAGTCTTGCGAGGAGTGGGCGTGGTTCCCCGGGCGATCCGGTCAGTACTTGGGTAAATAAATGCCTTGTGTCATGCTGCAGTCTTACTGTCTGTAATTCACTCATTAAAGATTATCTAGACAAGAACCCAAAAGTGATAGGTGATTTATACATCTTGACATTGAATAAACAAAGCTAATATCTCGTAGTAAGGGAACGCGAAAGAAGGGGAAGATAGAACCTCCTTTTTACCGAGTGACTGTCCGCATCTATTCTTCCAGAAAATCATGAAATTCCTTGCCAAGTATCAGCCGAGGATGGCAATTCTCCAAGACGTAGCAGTCCAGAGTGATTACTCGCCGACGTGCTGCATTGCCCGTGTGGTGTGTCCACTGAATCTCAACCCTACCAATACATCTTTGAATTGTTCCTTGGTCAAACACTACACAAGTGATTTTGTTGTCCTTGCACGGTAACACCTCAAGTCCAAGTCTCTGAGCCTCGAGGATTGATATGACATTGCCTTTTAAAGCTTTGTTGATGACTGCAGTTGCTTTTTGGCCATCAGCTTGACCATCGGGCGATATATTATTTGCGACGGTCGATTTCGTGTGATATGACGTGTCAATAAACACTGTTCTGTCTGGGAAGGGGGTTCCCCTCCTAGGATACAGGCTATCTATCGATAGACGCCTAGGTCGTTCTTCCTGTCGATCAGGTCTAACTGGGGAGGCTGTTTCATTTCGAGGAGCCGATGATGACGACGCTGAGGACATATCCCGTGGCGACTGGTAGGTCTGTGGTCAGGTCGTCAGTCTTCAAAGAAAAGTTCCACACTAGTGATGGGAGCCATTACCTCCATAGTGGTGATTGAATATATCGATGTAGAGGCTGAAGCTGAGACTGGCTTGGGAATGCTTCCATTTTCAACTATACTTAGTCCCAGCTGAAGAAGGCTCTCCTGGGTTAAGCCTATGGATAGTGTCGAGCCTATGTACGTGCCAGCCGATGTACGCTGGTTCACCCTCTCTACCTCCGCGGTGAGTTTTACCAATGTTCTCATTTGATTTTTGATCATCTTTTTCAAACGGTACCTAACTCATCACACGGCCAGAAATGAGCTCTTGATTGCGTGAAAAGTCTTCCTATCCAGGTAAACATACATAGACTTTTCAAGGTCCTTCATATCTGCCAGACTCAGCTTCGAAGCCTGATCGTTATGCTCCAACTTGGCAATCTCGAATTGTGCCGTCGCCAGGAGCAGTTGGAGACTCGTTTTGATGCACTCCATTTCTGGGAATAGATCTTTGATGGAATCCTTCTGGTACCACCACTTGAGGAAGTTGAACACGACGTTCTTGCTCCCTAGACGGTTTTTGACCCGTCTGATAGCTTTTCTAAGTCGCGATTTGATCGAATCCGACTGGTAGCTGATGCTGTAGAGTACCCCATTTGTTGAGATAAACCTAAGAACAGGAGAATCGGGATAATTCTTGCAATGTTGATCGAGGGAACAGTGAGCAGTGCTGATAACAAATGAGAATGTAGACGCTTGAAGCGCGAATCGCTCAATCTCTTCGGTCGGGGAACCGCTCTGTTCCGAAAACTGGTACAAAGCTTCGGCAAACTTTGCCCCGTATTGAACAAGTTGGATGAGGGCTGCGAAGCTCGCAACAAAGCCAAGAACCTCGGCCATTCTGAGCGGATCCTGGATTGACTGTACAGCGATAGATAAAATGCACAAGCAAAATTAGCCTCCTGACAGAACGAAACGAAACGAACCACAGGTAGAAGAAGCCACAGCTTTTTATGACCCCTCTTCAGCGTAACCCTTCCCCGTATCCTATGCAGACTCGAATTCCACACGCCACACGTGTTGTCCTGCATGTCAATTGATGCTGTTGGAGGCTAACAGCTCCAGGAAAAGTGAGGCTTGCCCTTCCAAAAGCCACCTTGGGCGGAACGATGGGCTCTCTGTCTCGCTGCATGCTGCACCCTGAGATGCCAATCGCAAGTTCCTCTAATTATGCAAGCTGCACGCAATGCACCTTGTAATGCTGCATCAAGCATATCACGGCTTATTCCGGAATCAGGCTACGCATCCAAGTGCATATTTCGGTGTCTCGACTGGTCAAAACCTCCATCTCGCCTGGATCGCCACATATTCCGACGCAATCATTCAACGCGGGGTACGTCGTTGGGTAGGCATTGAATCGGTGAATCGGTGAATCGAAGTAGTGGTCGAAGCAGAGAGTGGCCGGTGGTGTGAGTGGCACAAGCCATTTTAATACTTGCAACCCAGGCCGGACCGGCCGGGACCGAGCCGCGCCTCCACTTCTCCGGGTTGCGGCCGGAACAATGGGTTTCGGAGGCGGCCCAATTTGTTCGTGTACGGCTGGTGAAAGTGGTTCGTCCATCTGATGAAGCCTGTGAAACGGAGAACAGAAAGAAACTCAAGTGCGCGATGACTAATGTGCAGACGGGTGTTGACTTAGTTTGGTGATGTCATGGATCAGTGAACAATTCGTACAAATGAGAACAGTTTGCCGAATAAACCACGCCGCTTTCACTCTATCACCTCATCAACGAGACCCAAAGACAAGCACTTACACCATTTGCAATGACATACTCACGAGTCGGTGTGGTTACTGGCGCCAACAAGGGCATCGGATACGCAATTGGTAGGGCCTTAACCAAGCCCTGAATCGCACCATCCTGGCTGCATGTGACCCCGCTGACCTCTACTGCCCTGCCTCCCAGTCAGACAGCTCGCGCTGCAATACCCAAATTCTCACATCAACAATGGCTCGCTACTCATCTACCTGACTGCGCGCGATAGATCCCGCGGCGAGCAGGCGCTGAGCAACATCCAGGACGATGCAGACCTCAAAAAGGCCCAGGCGCTGTCTGCCCACGGTGGCGCAGCGGACATCAAGTACCACCAGCTCGACATCTCAGATTCATCCAGTATCTCGAATTTCGCCTCGTTTCTGAAACAGGAACATCCCTACGGCGTTGACTTTATCATCAACAACGCAGGTATCGCCATGCAAGGATTCGGTAAGCTCGGTTTTCTTACTGAAGTGACTTGCTTGAACGCGAAGGCGGCTGACTGTAGATGGTCTAAGACGCAAACGTGGTGAAGAATACCCTAGCATGCAACTACTACGGCACACTCGAAGCGACGCGGGCCTGGATCCCCATCCTGAAGCCGGACGGTCGCATCGTCAACGTGGCATCCGTGTCGGGGTCCCTGAGCTCGTACTCACCAGAGATCAAGCAGCGCTTCCGCAACGCGGAGTCCGTGTCGGACGTCACCAAGCTGATGAAGGACTTTGCTGCCGCGGTTGAGGAGGGAACTCATGAGAAGCAAGGGTGGCCTAGCGCGGCGTACGCGGTCTCCAAGGCCGGCGAGATTGGCATGACTGGGGCCATCGCCAAAGAGTTGCAGCGCGAGGGACGCCAGTTGCTTGTTAACTCGTGTCATCCCGGGTATGTGGTGACGGATATGACAAGGGGCCGTGGCAGGAAGACGCCGGATGAGGGCGCGCAGACTCCTGTGTATTTGGCGATTGCGGATATTGGACGCCAGAGTGGGGGGTATTGGTCTGATGAGCAGCCCGCCAGGTGGTGAACGTATGGTCCGGGACGCGCTTGGTTGGGTAAGTAAACCTGCGAGAAGGACGGACACACACACAACATTGGTCAAAATGGAAAAGGCCAACCAACACTATTTACTGTTGTTGACTTTGCGGTCGAGACAAAAGAGAATGAGGTCCATCCAGGATTCGAACCTGGGCCTACGGAAATTCCAAGATCAGAATCCGACGTCCTAACCAACTAGACTAATAGACCAATCTGGTTGGTGCTTGTTGCTGATCTCAGGGAACGAAAGCTGCTACATATAGCGGAGTGTGCCGTGATTGGAACCGAGGAGTTCCACATCGCTTTTTTGCTCTCGGCTCATTGACGAGTCTACAGAGCTCAACAGTGTAAACTTAGACACAGAGAAAAGAATGATGTGGTTGAAAGAATGTCCTTAAAGTGAGAAACCCGAACAGTTTATTCGATGCACTTGATGTCGGTAATTGACTTCTAATCAGCCCTGCATGCCATGTCGCCTGGTCACCCGGCAGTTACCAAATGACAAGTCCTTGTACAGACACGTCTACTTGCAGTAAGAAGTCATCGACTCTCAAGCATACTTTCAATCAGGAGCGGCTGGTCTCATTTTGTCAAGAGGCTCAAATCAGTTGAGCTTGTGAAAATGGGTATCGAAATTTTGAGTGTGGCCCTGCTGGTGGAATAAGGAGGAATTGCCCTGCAGTTCTAGCGGAGGGTTTTCCTTAGCTTTCATGACCATGCACTTTGCAGCGGCTCTAGGCCCTAGGCCCTGGGCGCCGCCAAAAACCTGAAGGTTCTCAGCGCGGCGCGCGGTTCTTGCGCCAGACGACCCTGCGCCACATGTAGACACCCGCTTCCGCGAGACTATGGTTCGGTACCTTAATGGCCGAATGAGCCCTTCTGTGATGAATGGTGGTAAGGAATTACCATTCCGTCCCGAGGTTTTGGATGTTCTACGTATAGGAACACGAAACCGGCCCGAGTCCATAGGCTCCCCCGGCGGTCGGCGTTCTTCTCGCCACGTATTTCAATTGCTGCCAAATTCAATTCCCTGGGTCACTAATAGTGGCTTGCTTTCATCTTGTCAATCGCATTTGGACCAATGATACCAATCAGTCTTTACCTTAAACATCTCAGTTCCGTGGCTACGTTACCTTCTGGAGGGCCAAGACTTTGACGGCGGCACGGACATACCATGCCGTCGACACTGGGAACAACGTGTTAATCCGTCTTTCGCCGCGCAATGGGATATGCCCGAGAATAGTTGAGCAGTTATCGCTGCTCAATAACGTGACGTAGGAGAGACTGCGACTTCTATCTGCCAAGGGAACCCAACCGGCTCTCTACGGCAAATCATTGGCTTCATATTTCTGCCAAGCTGCCAAGAAGCACAATCAAAAACTTGCGGTAACGCAATCGGGGAATGTGAGTGGAATTCATGTTCTCTGGGAGGCGGGGGGATGCGAACGCTCAGTAGACGAAGACTCTTACTCAATCAGATACCTGCGCAATGAGGGAGCAGATATCTCACCTACCGCGGCGGCTTTAGAGTGTTGTTTACCCCAAAGCCAAGTCGCCAATGTGCTTGTCCATCGCGATGAGACCCGTCTAGGTCTTTGTCCCCCCGGCTGCCTCATTGCCTGTCTACCATCCCCCAAGAAGCTTCGCTCTGTCTTGGCTCAAGGAGTCCATCCCAACATCGCTCAATCACATCTCATCAGAGCCCAGGACCTGGTATGTGGTTCAAATAAACCGGATCTACCCACCCACGCGGCGAACGGCAGCAGGAACGGCGCCTTCACCCACACGAAGCACGTAATGAACAGCCAATCGCCCGTCGAAAGTCTCATTTCACTCAGAATGAAAATGCCTCGTTGTTCCAGTCGTATGGTTGTACTACACTCAACATGGACCGGACACACCGATGCCAAGCTCATGGGACGCGCCGACGAATAATCTCGAACTGCTGTCAATGGCATGCAAGCCAGACCGGTTCAGATAGACCGAGTGCTACTATCGGTATCTCACAGACAGCGATGTGCATCCTGCAGAGACCAAACAGCTGCAGCTGACCTAACCGGGTGGCCTGTCCGTCACCTGTATTTCTTTGTTCTATTTCTCCCACCTGCAATTATCTGGGCGATCAGACAGCACCAACCGACGGCGTAACCAAAGTGCCCATCGCACAACACTCGTCGAAGGGCTCTTGGTGGTTTGATAAGACTCTTTATCTCCTCTGCCGCGTCATTAAGCATCATGGTATGGAGTACAGATGGTGACATTCCCTCCAGGTATCTGTACCCCTCCCCTTCGCGAACGTTTGTGGATGAAACCTTGTCGTTTCTCGATCTCTGGCCAGTCCCTTTTCGCGCTGCAGATTCGCATTCAGGGACCGTCAACTTGCCGAGACTTGGAAACATTTCGTGCAGAGCCTAATCCGCGCAGCCAATTCCAAAAGGCATGTGCCACTTCTACTGCCAACCACGATGGTAAAAAAGTTCGCTCGTTACTAGATAGCTAAACCAGCTACAGTCTACTTACTGATTAGAAGTATAGATACAATAGATTGTACGCCATAAACTCCGACAAAAGGACAAGAGAGGGAGCCATTCGCGAGAGGGACAAGTTGGGCCGCCCCCATCTTCCCCCATGCCCCCAGTCGCCTCTCCATCCTCCTCCTCCTGCATACCTCCTCGGGCCCATCCCATGTTGGGCATGGTTAGTACACAAATATCCACTCTGCTGCAGACCTCCCTCTTCAGTCCTTCACCCCTCCCTCACTTACCCCCACTGTTCCCGCCCCTCTGCCCGCTGCAACGCTGCAGTGTAATTGACGCGGTCCCTGATCTCTGGGAATCTTTGGTAGCCTCTTCTTAAATAGAATCTGCAGTCCCATTGTTGGTCAAACACCAAAAGCTCCTCAGTCTTCTCTCGCTCTTCTTCTTGCTCTCGTCCTTCATGCGGCTTTCCCCTACTTGCTCCAAAGCGAAGAGCAAAACCAGACTCTGAGACATCGATTGAGTGCTTGTGTGCAGAGTGAAACCCTCATGGAATTCAAAGTCCAATTCTTCTGTCTTCTTCTGAAAGCCCTTTGGTGATTGGAAGCTCACATAGTCGTGAGTTTTCCAAGGCTACAACTATATCCTCAACCATCCCTCAAGCCGTCACTCGCGCGCACTCGGTCCGTCGAACCCCTCACCCCCTTCTTCTCCGCCCGCTGCTCCGAATCCTTTCGAAACGAGGCCGCGCCGAGATCCCCCACTAAACGCGGGCCTCATCCCCCACATCTTCCCCCTCTCCCGACCGACCGACCGACCGACCATGTCATCCACGGGCATCGAGCGCGTCGGGAACCGCGACGGTCTCCCGAACTACGGCGGCGGCTACTCCGAACACGGTCGCTTCCCCGATGAAAAGGGCGTCGGCGAGCCGTATGGCGAGCCCTTGGACGTCGGATTCCGCTCTTCTCTCGATTCCGGCGACAAGGGAGACCACACCCACCGCAAGCTCAAATCGCGCCATATTCAACTGATTGGCATTGGCGGCACAATTGGTATGTCTTCCGACTTGTATTGCGAATATCAACTCATCTCACCCTCAACGTAGGAACCGCTCTTTACGTACGTTGCTGTGAAGCCCAAGTCGATCAGAGGTCACATCATATCTGAATTACTCACACAGTCATAGGTCCAAATCGGAAGGGGTCTGCTCAACGGCGGTCCCGCCAGCTTATTCCTCGCCTTCACAATCTGGTGCACTTTTATCCTGGCTGTGACCCTCAGCATGGCCGAGATGGTCACCTACCTCCCAATCTCGAGTCCCTTTATCCGCTTCGCCGGCCGCTACGTCGACGAGGCCTTTGGCTTCGCGGCCGGCTGGAACTTTTTCGTCTTCGAAGCCGCCCTCGTCCCCTTTGAGATCGTCGCCTGCAACCTCATCATCCACTTTTGGAGCGACGTCGTCCCGGCCGGAGGCATCATCGCCATTATCCTCGTCTTGTACGGCATCATCAATGTCATGGCGGTCCAGTGGTACGGCGAGACCGAGTTCTGGGCGGCGCTTGGCAAGTTCTTGCTCATCGTCGGCCTCATCATCTTTACGTTCATCGTCATGCTGGGAGGTACGCTACTTTGCTTTATACATTACCTCGCTCGATGTCCCCAATCAGTACACTAATCAAGTCTCTAGGAAATCCGCTCGGTGACAGATTCGGCTTCCGGTAAGCATCTCTCTCTCCGATCCCATCCAGTGTCCCGACTGATTTGCTTTAGATACTGGCATGATCCAGGCGCGTTCACAGAGCTCTACTACAGTGGCTCCCTCGGCCGCTTCCTCGGCTTCCTACAATGCCTCATCCAAGCCTCCTTCACCATCGCAGGGCCCGATTACGTCTCCATGGCGGCCGGCGAGGCCGAGAACCCGCGCAAGGTCATGCCCCGCGCCTTCAACGCCGTCTTCTACCGCCTGACTGCCTTCTTCGTCCTCGGCTCCCTCTGCGTCGGCATCCTCGTACCATACAACGACGAGGAGCTCACTCGCGCCTTCAAGGACGGCCAGCCCGGCGCCTCGGCCTCTCCCTACGTCGTCGCCATGAACCGCCTCAAAATCAGTGGCCTGCCACACATCGTCAACGCCATGGTCCTCACGGCTGCCTTTTCCGCGGGCAACTCGTACGTCTACTGCGCCTCGCGCTCGCTGTATGGTCTGGCGCTCGAGGGAAAGGCGCCCGCATTCTTCAAGAGGTGCACGAAGAAGGGCGTGCCGGTATACTGCGTTATTGCCGTGTTACTCATTGGCCTTCTGAGCTTCCTTCAACTAAGCGCAAACACGGCTGTTGTGTTGAATTGGTTTGTGAGCTTGGTCACCGCCTCACAGCTGATCAACTTCGCCTGCATGTGCACAGCGTATCTGGGCTTCTACCGTGCGCTCAAGGCTCAGGGTATCAGTCGTGATACTCTTCCGTACAAGGCCTGGTTCCAGCCGTATGCTGCTTGGTATGGCCTCACCGGCACCTTTATCATGACCTTTGTTGGGGGATACACCGTTTTCCTACCTTTGGATGGGTACTGGAGTATCCCCGACTTCCTCTTCTCGTGAGCCGGTCCTCGCCTCTAGCTGGCCTACATAACTGACAAGATTCTAGATACACCATGGTCGGCATATTTCCGGTACTATACCTTGGCTGGAAGTTTCTCAAGAAGACCAAGATCTTCAAGCCTGAAGAAGTCGACTTGTACCGTAACAAAGAGGAGATTGACGAGTACGAGAGGACCTTCGTGCCCACACCTGCGAAGTAAGTTGACCGTTTTCACCGAAGATTCCCCCAATTTGGTACTAATGGAAAAAATCAGAAATATCTTTGAAAAGATTCTCGACAAGCTTTTCGGGTAAAACCGCTCAGGTTTTGGCATGTACATCAACTGCCTTACCGACCGGCGTCGAAGACGGAGAGGTCTAGATATCCCGTAGGCAGAGCATGACACAATTGAGGGTTATTTCCAATAAAACACCCTGATGGTAAACCAGTTGAAGTGACACATATACCGTCAGATAAACTCCCCAAAGTCCGGTTTGGCGAGGCTCGGCACCCTGAAACTAGGATCCTACCACGATGCGGTGATGCTAGCCCTATTGTTTGACATAGAACCGAAGACCCTCTAGAAAACCGTCAGAGAGAATCTTTCAGACTTCACATTTTCCTCTCGGTATCGGACCGGGCTTTTGGTTTCCAATGCAGCCTTGATCAAATTCATGCTGTATTTCAACGAGCGACTATTATTTACGCCGCATTATCATCCTAAAGAACTGAGGGAGTGTAAGCTTGACAATTTGAGAACTCGTTTCCATCCGTGGCCCATTACGTGTCCAGCAATTATTATCCGTCGAAGGAAGCATTCGCTCTTAAAAACACCAGCATATCAACTACGCGACAAGCGACCAATCTCCCTTAACGTCATATTTGACGCTAGCGTGGACCTTGCCAGTCAAATCAACATCGATGGTCTCCGATTGAAAGTCGTCAATCATAGATCCGGTTTCAACTTTATTCGCAAAGTAAAGTCTCGTGATGGGCTTGGGCGTCAAGATGCTGCTGCCAGGGGGGTTGGGGCCGTTCATGCTGACGTAGAACGGAGCCACTACATCGACCCCGTCCTTGCTGATCTTCTTATAAAGATAGGCGGAAGCTTCAACCTTGTTCTTGAATGCGAATTGGCCGTCTTTAAGCGCCGCGTCGGGCAAGGGTGGGCCGAGCAGAAATTCGGGGCCAAGCTCAACTCTCTGTTTGAACTCAATCTTCTTATTGTCCGTGATTGCAGTTACCTCGGTGCCTGCAGAGAATTCCTGCGTACCAGCAGCGATGGAGTAGACGTCGGTCCACTTGAGAAAAACATTCTGGGTCACCTCTTGTGTTCTTGTGAGCATCTGAATCAGTCGAATAGCAAAATAATCAGGTCACCTACTCGTGGCAGCTCCGACAACGTTGAAATTAGGTTTGGCTCCCGCGCTTGAGTCTGTGACCCCGTGAGAGAAGCAGAGCTTTGTGCTGTCCTTGTTGAATTTCTTGACCCATTTCTCGTCGATATCGACTTTGACCGTATATGTGGACATCTTTGCGCTTTGTTGAGTCGAGGGAAATGTTGAGATTAAGAGACTGAAGTGTTAAGATCTGAGAAAAATAAACCTCTGATTGTGGCGGCTTGACGGCGTTATATAACGAGAATCTGTCAGCTACGTCTGCGAGAACCTCAAGCTCCGATTATTCCAAGTATTCAGTCCATCTGGACTACCATGGCAGTCCACATGGCTTCAACACACACCCGGCCATCCTGCGGCTGGTGTTCGACTCAGGCCATTGACTCAGAAGATGCTTCGATTCGGCACATTACCGTTTGCAGAAATAACGAGTTATCCTTCTACTACATTTCTATCTGACGACATTCTCTGTACTGGGTGCTAATCAATTTCTACTTCGGGTATCCGTCGTGGCACTGGGATAGACAGCTCTTTCGTCAACTGGTTGGTTGTCCAAAATAGCGAGTTTTCCAGGTAGCCACAGTCTGCTCATGTCTCAAGAGACCACCAGATTGAATGGAGGAATACAGCGACGTTCTTCTTGGCGGTTTGTGTAACCTCAAAATTCAGCTGAAGGCAATCACTATTAGTTCAAGCACCCATGTAAGCTCGGTGAAAGCTTGCGTGGCGAGATGTGACGAGACTAGACGTGATAGACATAGATGGCATATTCGGGTGCACGCATACGGCATGCAATGCGACAACTCATGTCTGCATGCACCTTAGAAGAGATAATCAATGTTCTAGGCCGTCGAAGAACGAATAAGCCAAGTAATTAGTGGAAGCGGGGAAGTGAGCTGATGATTCTCTCAGCTACAATTCAGCCGTTGCACTAAGCCGTTCTACACCTTGTGTTAGAGTCTAGTGGCCGGCTACCCCGCTGTGATGAGTTCCTTCCTGATGACGCTGCGACTTGAGCAGTGATGTGACAAACTGGGATTTAGAGCCTGAATCTGGTGTTGGTTGTCCGGTGTCTTCTCCTAAAAGTACGGTAATGTAGAGTCACGTCCACTGGCACACCTGTGGCTGGCTGACCTGGCTGAAAACAGGCGCTCCATAATAGATGAGGATGGGTGAATGTTGTCAATGATCTAATAGTGACAATGAAGGAACCGACGAATTATTGGGTGTATTACGAAATCAAGGGTGAAAAAATAACCTCTGCTCACAAGGGCGTTCTCGGTGAAGACCTTCGCTCACTGGGGTTAGCACTCATCATCAAATGTGATGGCTTTGCATGAGATTTAATAACTTTCTCGTAAGAACTCTAGATAGGTTTGACCTAGGGCTGGATAGTTTATTAAGCCTTGAAGAAAGATACCTGGGTGTGAATAAATGTGATGTGACATTGAAATCTCCCGGAATCCCGCTGAGTGATGTGGCTTAGACGGCGTCGTCATGAAATCGAATGTCATTCTACCTTGGAATGAGTATGTACAACTCCAGTCATTTCCCTTGCAAGCTGAATCCGGTCTGGCCCAAACCTTGTTATATATTTCTCATTTCACTAAATATGTCACTATGTTTCTCACATCCAGCTCGGTTCACATTTGTTCGTGGGCACAGCTCGCCACGTACGCCCCAATCCATTCAATTTTCGGTTGCCACAATGATTTATATCCGTTCTGTCATTGCCGCATCCGTCGATTGTCTAAAGACCCCATGATCACCAGTGAATGATCTCACCACCGGACCACCATCTTCAGAACTAGTTCTTATAAAGACCAACGCTCTCACGACTCCCTCTGGAATCTCATGTTGAACCATACTTATTCGTCCCTTTTCTCTAAAACAAGAAGCTGGCATCTTTCCTTCGCATCTTGCAACAAAGTATTTACCCTGCTCTATACCTAAGCACCTAGAAACAGTCACTATGCTTCGGCTATTCCTTGTATCGGTCTTTTTGGCTGCTGCCAGAACTCAAGCCTTCAATGTATTCCTCTTCAATGACGCTCCCAACTGTCTTTCAGCAATCTTTGACATTGTTAACATACCTGTGGGCGGCTGTCAACCTCAGCAAGGAACTTATACCTCAGCCCGGCTTGAGTTTCAACAGGGAGACAATCTCAGGCTGAGAGCCTGGACATGGCAGGGGCCTGAACGATGTGGTACTCCCATTGCTGTCGGCGACAATTCCAGCAGCTGCATTCATGATGAAGACGACCTTAAAGTCATCAGCGGCATCCAGGTTTTCACTGCGGCTGAGCAAGCGAACGACAACTCATGGTCCACGCGGTTCAAAAAACTATTCAACCCCAGTCACCAGAGCACACTATTACCGGAAGAAGCTGGTCAACAAAATAACCACATCTCCCATGGGTACTTTGATGGTCAGATTATTTATGAGCTTCGTGCGAGCTCGGACCATGGTCAACACTATGAACAACTTATAGACTACCAGGAAAGGATCAGGTGAGCTGCTCCTGTGCTCTACGCTGCCGGGTCCAATCCGCTTTTTGGCCGTTGCTAATTCATTTACAGCTATATCAAACAGTACGCCGATGTACGAAGACCTATGAGTGAGCTAGAGTTTGGGCGTCAAGATGGGTTGGAACTGTGAGATTGCAGATATTCTGAAAACTTTCCATTTGAGTTTGGATTTTTTCTTGGCTTCAGTCAAAGGGGGGGCAGCCGGCAGTCCTGCTGACAGAGTTGCAGCTAAACGAGGTTCAGAACAAATGTCGTCTACAACGGACACATTTAGGTTGATAGGATGCCAGCCTACCTAAACCGTTCATTTGGGAAATCACTCGGTCTTCTAAGATTTTGACTTTTCATCAAATACGTTATAAATTACGTTTCAGAAATATAGACCCACTCAAACTTCGCATTTTCAGAGCTCTCAAATTAGCGAGCACTTCGTGAGAGACACCGAAGACTCTTTGATTTCCAGACTTATACCGAAGTTGAGCGGAGCGGCGACAACGTCGAAGACAAACGAGCACGAGCAAAGTCAAGGCACGTCAATTTGGACGTGTTGTACGGAATCCACAGATATCTTTCTTGTACTGACGGCGGCAGACCGCACTTGACACCGAAGGACTAGCTATCCCGGAAAAGAAAATCTGAGAATGAGCGTTTTGTAGATCTCACTTACTATACTGCACATGAATGTGAATGTTGCTATCTACGGCGTATGAAATTCATTCTTGTCCGTTCGCCACAAGAACACGGCCACCGTCAACGCATAAGTTGACCCCGTTGACATATGACTTTTTGGATGAAATAGTTTATGGATATTGATGTTGCAACCAGAACCAAGGTCAGAATTCAGCGCAAAAGAAAAGACAACAAGGCTCACTCCGGCTTTGCTAGCAAGATAGATGACTGCTGCCGCAATGTCTTCCTCCTCGCCCGCTCTTTTGGCAGGAACTTTGTCGAATAAGGCACTGAACACATTGCCTTCCTCTCCGACAGGATTCATACGACTTGGGAAAACTGAAAAAAAGTTATTCTCTATCCACTCAGTCAAGCAAATTTTCATCAGGCGCTGAGGCGTGGCATGATCAATGTCTTCATCTACCAACGTCTTCGCTGTCACTTACACCCAGAATTCAAACCCACAACTCTGATGTAGAATCTGCTAAACTTGGCGGCCAAAAGCTTCACTAGGTGATCCGTGGCGGCTTTGCTCGCGGCGTAGCTTGTCAAGTCAACGTTGGTCACGTTGTGCATGCTGGCACACGAGCTCGTGACAATCATGGCGCCGCGTCCTTCACGGCTACTCGGTCCGTTGTCGCCCTCGCGTTTCGCAGCCATTAGCAAGGGTAGAAAGGCGACAGCCAAGTAATAGTGTGCTGTGACATTGACAGCAAAGGTCTCTTTCCAGTCCGATGGGCTTGAAGACCACATCGAAGCTTGCAATTCGCTGACATTAGCAGTCAGAACGTTACAAGGATCTAGCGGATCCCGTCGAATGCCGGCGTTCGATACCAGTAAGTCAAGGCGATGTTCTCGTTTTTCGATATATGATGCGAGCTTTGTCGTCTCTCCCTTCAATGACAGGTCGCATGGCACACTAGATATGTTAGAAATCGCCCTTGGCTAAGCCGGAGTGCCTGCACTACCCTTTAGCACTTCCACCAGAGAGCTTGCCCAACTCGTTCAGGTCTTGGACGGCTTGATCGACTGGGTCACTTGGCAACGCAACGACGTAAACCTTGGCACCATTTGTAACGAGGCCCTAGGGTGTGAGGATTAGAATACGCGATATTTAAAATCACAATTATTTCTCGTTTTTGAAGAAAGATGCAAAGCCTAAAGAATTTCACATACTTTTGAGATCATCAGGCCCAGACCACTACTGCCTCCGGTAACTACCGCAACATAGCCCTTGACCGAAAAGAGTCGCGTGATATTGAGTGAAGCCATGCTCATGATCCTGAAACGAGATTTACGAGTGCTGAAGTGTGTTTCGTGTGTAGTTCATTCCTGCATGTAAGAATGTCGGTTTGCTTATCGGGTTGGCTTCCTGCTTGTCGGTCCAGCCGACATACAACCTCTTTCGTTATCAGACAACGGCGGGGTAATGCTGACTTGAGATAGTTGCACCAAGAACTGCCGTCGGGGAATCCGACCGTCTTCCCATTTACAGATCACCATGCTCATAATCACCAATCATGACGCCAGAAGTTTCTTTCGCCCAATCCAAGACGTCGTGCAAGCGATGTCACCGACGGAAGAAAAGATGTGACCGCAATTTGCCGCAATGCAGGAACTGTAGCGGGGCTCAAGTATCGTGTAGCTTCCTCGATGATGACCGTGTGATGGCATCATATCCCGTGGCGTAAGTGGCAATACTTCTTCTTGACACTTCGTCATCGTCTTAAATTTTCTTAAACAGTAACTGAAGAGAATTTCTTGAGTAGATACGTGCGCAGTCTCGAAGCCAGAGTACAATCTCTCGAAAAGGAACTTAGTTCACTTCAACATCCAGCGGAGGGGATGCCACAGCCGCAAACGCAGCTCGCAATCCTAAACAGAAGTGATATAGAGTGCAACATAGCTCACCAAGAGACGAATTTAGACGGTGTGAGCATATCTTACGAGCCCTCGACTTCCCAGGTGCCGACCTTACAGTCCTCTCCCTCCTTCATCGAGGAGCTCAAAATTCTCTCTTTTGAGGCAACGGCTGATCGTCATCTGGGATCTTCCTCGGGTCTCTCTTTTGCCAAATTGACACAAAATGTCCTCCGCCGCCTGAGTCCTGACAAGGCCGACTTCAGCTTCGGCAACCTTGAGGAAGACAGCATATGGCCGCATTTGGACTTTCCCTTAACTTCTGATCTTTTGGAGTCAACCATGTTCAGTGGATTCAGGGACCCTTTCATATGCTATCCTTCAACGATTGATGGATTCTCTCCAACCGCGCCAGCCGAACCAATCTCCCTCCCAAAGCACCCTGTTTTCCTTGAGGGCGATCGCATTGACCAGCTGATAAGTTTTTACTTTGCTCACTCTCATACATTGTATCCCATTGTCCACCATGAAGATTTCATCAAGATAATCGAGCACGTTCGGGCGGATCCCCAGTGTGGCCTAGCTCAATCGTCTCTTTGTCAATTTCGTATATGGATGGTTCTTGCTATTGGGTCAACAGCGCAATGCTCCGTCACGCTTTCGGAAGAGTCCGAGTCAATGATTTATTACAACAAAGCGCTTGAGTACTTTGAAGGTGCTCTTGGTTATGGATACATGGTATGAATTTGCGTATGAGTTCATGGTGTATGCGAAGATTGACTCGTGGCTGCAGGCAGCGTTGGAAGTGATACTTCTGCAAGTGTCTTACTCCTTTTTCAACCAGCTTGGACCCAGTACGTGATTCAATAGAATCTAGCTTGGAACTTCTACTAACAATGGCTCGAAAATAGACACATGGACGTTGGTGGGTCTCGGCGCACGTATGGCTATTGGACTGGGCATGCATACCTCGGCAGCCTACGAGGGCTTACCGGCCGACGTGTCTGAAAAGCGGAAGAGACTTTTCTTTTCCGTTTATATGATGGACCGGTGAGATTCCGAAATTCCTACTACAGTAACACTGAATGTGCTAATCGTGCTCGAAAAGCGTAGTCTCCATAGCTTTAGGTCGCCCCTTTGCCATCAATGAAGATGACATTGATGTGACGGTAAGGGAGAGGCACCCTCTCAAAGTTTATTTTTCTGTTCGGCGTGCCAACTGACTAATTTTACTAGTCCTTCGCAGCGACGGATGATGGCAACATTACTGCGGAACACAACCTTCCCGGGGACTCATTAAAGACTTCAATGATGGCCGTTCCCCTCCATATCCTCGAACTGCGTCGAATCGCCAGCAACATCACGACTTCAGTCTATTCGTACCGTAAATCTGCTGGTCTAAGTGTCGAACAGCGTGAGGAGATAACAGATTCGCTGCACCAGAGACTTCTTGACTGGCGACGCAACATGCCTTTTCCCCTTCCGAATACCGACGCTGCAGTGCCACACCTCAGCAGCACCTGGTACGATTTCAACTATTATCTACACCTTGCTATGTTATACAGACCATCTCCATTGTTCCCGACTCTGACACAAGCTCGTGTCAAGATACTGGCAGAAGCGGCATCCATGTCGATTCGGCAAGTATTCAACATGCACCGACAAGAGTGTCTCGCCTACAACTGGCTGAACCTCCTTTCGATATTTACTGCGACGCTATCTCTCATTTACGCCACGACTGTCCAGCCTGATAACCTTCCCTCCTTTTTGAAGGACAAGAGAGCAGTGGCCGACCTTGAATTGACCATTCAGCTATTCCACAAATTGAGCGTCAAGTTCCCTGTGGCTGGCAAGATACGTCGGATGGTTGAACAGATATCTACAAGGTACAAGGAAATAATTGTAGATGACGAGACATGAGCCTAAGTCAAGCTAGCAAATTTTGCGCGTTTGTCAAATGAGAAACAGAGACTTTGTAGATATTACGCCTTGGCGCAAGCGGAAACCCCGCGTAGAATGACTATTGTACGTAGTACAGATCGGGGTCGTATCGCAACGCCCAGTCATTCCCAGGGCCATGGCGGTCGCCTCTGAGCCGGATATCACGCCCCCCAAGAATTGAAGAACAGACACAATACTTCAAGATACGTAATCACCCCCCAAAATCTACAGGTATGCTGATGTGAGCCGCTCGTCGATAAGCATGTCCGTGATTGATCCCAGCTGGGTGGGTCGCCGATAGCACCTCAAAATCGATTCTATTTTAATTGATTCACTTTAATTTACTACATTGCTCTACAATCTGCGAACGCTATAGATTATCTTCACAGAATGTCTAGTTGAGTTAAAAGACTTAGTCGTGGAACCATACTTCCCACTGACCATCATCTGTGGTAAAAATACCCTAAGTTGCTTGTGCTGAATTGCAGGATGTATCTTTCGAGGGGCACCGTTGCGCTATGAGATACTCAGTAATTTGAGTCGTAGCTAAAAGGTTAGACTTTAGACTTCAGGAGCTGTCGTTGCCTCTTGCTCAGGCTTGCGGGCGTATACAAGATGCCTTGTCTTGTTAGCAACGCACTGATGTTTGAATCATAGACTTACAGTTCCATAATGGGCTGGATCTTGGTATCTTTCAGGGCCTTTCTCATCTCGCTAGTGAAAATAACGATCTCTGCATACTCCCAGCCAAGGATCTCCTTGAGCAAAAATGTTCCGAATCCCTCGAGCGATTGGTCGAGGAACTCCAAGGATGATGTACCAACTTCCTTCAACAAGGGATCCTTGGCCCATGCTCCGATGGGGATAGGCCACTTCTTTTCGACGACGTCGACGAAACCGGCCTCCCGGAGACCCTTGGCAATACCATGGTCGTGAACCTGGTTCGGTATCTTGCCGATCTTGTCACAAGCCTGGCTGAGGAACTTGGGCCAGTTCTTGAAAGGGTGGTCCTCAGGTAGGGTTTGGATCTGGGAGCGGCACTCGATATCAATCTCCTTGACCTCGATGTAGCCGCTGGGCTTGATCGTCTCGAAGGCCTTCTTGTAGAAATCTACCCAGTTGGATATGCTGCCTTCCAAATTTCGAATATGGACAAAATCAAAGTGGGAGGCGGGGAAAGTCCACGGCTGTTCAATGTCGTCGATTTGGAATTTGCAGTTGGGCGGGACCCAGCCCGGCTGAATAGGCGAGATATCAACGCCGACGACATCGGCTGACGGAAACTCATCGGCAAAGTCGCTAAAATGATAGTCAGCCGATGTGTCCATTGCGGTTGTAGCTTGGATCTGTAAACTCACACGGCCCAAATACCAGTTCCAGTGCCAACATCAAGAACATTCTGCCAACATCGTTAACTGAGCGTGTACTTCACCATGTCTCACGGCTCGCCTCATGTTACCTGGGGGCTGTCGCCAAGGGGTGCGAGGAAGAGTTTGTCACCCAGGAACAAGGTCATCCAGTAGTGGCTGTGGGAATGATGTATTAGCACTCGTTGCGACAAGCTTGTGATCCTGCAACATACTTGATATCCAGTCCCTCGTTCTGTCTTTCGTCATTAGGACCCCAATAGTCGGTCTTCTGGGTATAGGTACGCCCATGAATGCGACGATACTCGGTAATGCTTTCACTTAGTGACGCTGTAGAAGATGTGCGAATACTACGGAAATGTCAGTCGATAAGTCACTTCTGATATTCGCCTAGGTATCATTACCTCTCCGCTTCAGCCTGAGACTCATTATCGGTCTCATCGGCGGTAAGATCCTGCCGGCGTTATTAAGTCAGCTGCCATGTCGTGGAAAGCGTGAATGGGCTATCAGAGAACCCACAGCATTGATGGGTCCGTCGTCAGGGACGTTGACCGGGGGTGGCTAGCCATTTGGCACTACGGCTTGGGTTGTTGAGGCAGACATCGTGACCACTGTTGGAGTTCTGAGGTGCTGGTGAAGCGACTTTGAAAAAAGGAAAACCAGGGAACAAAAACCGAGGGCTTGCTTCAAGGTCAAAAGACGAGTTGTGAAAATAAAACCCCGCAGAGGGACTCTCCTCTTTTTAAAAAGTGAGTCGTTATTTCTCTGTTGGTTCTACATGCACTCACACCTGCATGTCGGCTGGGCTCGCTATGACTACCAACGAACCCGGTTTCCCCAGCGAATGAACAACCTTGCCCACTGCGGCTTCTCAGCCTATTCCAGCAGCTGTGAAGCAATTTGCGACTATTATCCGGGTGCAGCATGGGATTAGAGCCGGTTTTGGGTCCCGGCTCCGAAGCCCGAGCTGGTCTCATAAATAGTTCTACCCGACACATAAAACCACTTTATAAAGAAATTAATGACACCGTTGCACATAACATAGGGTCACAGTTGTTAAGCTATTCATTGAGTGAAGTAGACTAGCGATTCAGTCGCATCACAAGGCACTACGAGCTTAAAAATATACACTAATAATAGAGGAGAAGGCAAAGGAAGCCCCTGTAGTTGCTGAGAGGGCGCTGTAATTAAGATATGCTGTTACTAGTAAAGCGGGCAGAGACTGGCTATGTCATAGACGGCATGCGAAATAGTAAAGACAAAATTGCAATACAAAAACAATCCTCTGATCGAATCAGTACCAGAGGGATCTGGTAATAGCCGTCTTTAGTGGTCATATGCTAGTGGTCATCCTTCGTTTCTAGGCGGACCGTCCGACACGGATGATAAGCCTCCAATCACAGTGGTCGGACCGTCCGACAATTTCATCGCTCTTCACTTCCCCCACCTTTCGACCGACCTCATCACGATTGGGGGAGGAGATTAATACGTGAGATTCACCAAATTCTTGCCTGATTCTAAATTGAAGGAATTTGATCACTGTTGACAAATATTCCGCTCATAATTGCAGTGGCAATAACTTCACTTCCTTTCTAGTCCAACGAAGATCCAGATAGCATCAACGGACATCCCAACTCACAATGCCAACTTTGTTCAATTTGACAAGTTCACCCCATTTTTTGGAGATGTTGGAAGTGGCTCAAGCCTTCTTCTCTCTCGTACCTATTCTCACAGCTGTTTTGGTGTTGTCGCTCTCCTACGTCGCCTACAATGTGAGCATCAACTCCAAAGCTGCCGGCCGTGGCCGATTACTTGGTCCTACCAGTCAAACGCTGACTCTATAGGTTGCCTTTGACACTGATATCCCTCACATAAAAGGGCTACCACAAATGCCTGGAGCAATCCCAATTTTTGGTCACCTTCTCAGGCTCGGCGGAGACCACGCAACCACTTGCGAGACCTGGTGGCGCCAGGGGAACCCATCCACCTTTCAGATCAAGCTGGGAAACACCAGAGCTGTGGTCTTCAACTCCTTTGAGGACATTCGCCGACTCCTCATCGGCCACCAGAACGCAGTCATCGACCGACCGAAACTCTACACTTTCCACGGCCTCATCAGCAGCACGCAGGGCTTCACCATCGGATCGTCCCCCTGGGACGACTCCTGCCGCCGGAGACGCAAGGCCGCGGGCACGGCGCTCGGTAGACCAGCCCTACGGAGCTACTACCCCATGTTCGACCTCGAGAGCTACTGCATCCTCCGAGACTTGCACAAGGACAGTCGCAACGGCGAAGTCGAGATCAGCGTTCGGCCGTACATCCAGCGGTTCGCGTTGAACACCACGTTGACGCTTTGCTACGGCATTCGCATGGACGCCGTCTACGACGACCTGCTGCGCGAGATTTTGCACGTTGGGTCGGCGATCTCGCTTTTGCGCAGTGCTTCCGAGAACACCCAGGATTACGTCCCCATGATGCGCTATTTCCCAAATAATGAAAAGAGCCGTCGTTCCAAGGATCTTAGGGAGCGCCGTGACGCGTATTTGAACCTCCTTCTGGATAAGGTCCGAGAGCAGATCAAGCGGGGCACCGATAAACCCTGCATCTCAGCAGCCATCTTGAAGAACGAAGAAACCAAGCTGAGCGGTGTGGAAGTCTCGTCGATTTGTCTGTCGCTTGTGTCCGGAGGCTTCGAAACGATACCTGGGACGCTGACCTCGACCATCGGATCCCTTGCCACGAAGGAGGGGCAAGCTTGGCAGGAACAGGCTTACGAGGATATCAAGCGCTATTACCCAGATATGGGCGAAGCGTGGGCCTCTTCTTATGTGGATGAGAAGATTCCGTACATCAACGCCATTGTAAGGGAAGCCGGACGATACTACACAGTCAGTTCCATGAGTCTTCCCCGAAAGACTGTGACCGAAGTGAACTGGAACGGAGCCATCATACCCCCCAAGACAATGATCTTGGTCAACGCACAAGCCGGAAATCACGGTATGTTCATCTCTCCCCCTGCCATCCATGACTTCTTGGTTGTACTGACTTTGGAGGAGATGTCGGGCATTTTGGTGACGATGCCGGATGTTTTAACCCCGAAAGATGGCTCGAGACTCTGGATCCCCCAACGGAGAAGGAGGTCTCAGGCGTTGGTCACCTCAGCTTTGGGCTCGGCTCCCGCGGGTGCTCCGGGCAGTATATCGCCCAGCGTCTGTTATACACAGCCTTGGTCCGACTCCTATCGTCGTACAAGATCGTTGCGAGCGAAGAAGAACCACCGAATACGGACTATGTTGAGTACAACCAGTTCAAGACGGCTTTGGTGGCAATCCCCAAGGATTTCAAGGTGAAGCTCGTCCCCAGAGACGCGGCTGTGACCAGCGATTGCCTAAGAGCTGCGGAGGAGAGGACTCGAGAGCATTATGTGGAGTAGTTGATATGAGGTTAGTCATGTAAAGGTTCGTGGGCCATGACTGGATATTTTCGATACTGGAGGCATTTCAAGTGGTTGCTTTTGTTGATGATATCCCAGAGGGTTTCAATATCAAAATTCACTCGAAATTATTGCGCATTATCTGCTACGAAGAATACCTACAGTTACCAAAAAGTCTCAGCTAGTTTACCTCTGTACAGGCCGCCACGTTCGCTTAGTCTTCCCGAGGTGTAGCTTGCGCTCTTAGAAGCGGACGCATCGCTCAATTTCAGCAACCGATGCTGTGAATCGATGTATCAACCACACATCAAAAAAATCTAATCAGAAACATAAACCCTGGTTTGGGCTTGATTTTCCTGTTCTTTTGGTGGTCGTTGGCATGTTTACCATACAAGCTGCAACAGAAGCACCTCAGGTTCAGTGTGGATGCAATGACAACCTTTCCTAAGCTTGCACGGAATTACGACGCAGCTTCCTTTGATACGCCGACGGAGGGTCAAAAACTGGCAAGAAGCGCCTTCAAAACAAACATTTGGCAAAGATCGCACATGCGTCATGAGTAGCAAGCCCCTCAGACGACACACTCGGGCACGTAAAGAACAATGTATAGTTGACACGTGTGGAATGCAGTGACCAATAGCTAAAGTAAACTCACGCCGCTGAGCCGGAAAAAATCGGAAAGGCTTCTCCTCACGGTCGTCCGAGCGAACGAGACCTATCCGGTATGGCCCTCTGCCTCGTCAAGTCAAGGCAAAAAGACTAGGTTGCCTGTCACAGCCCTGCTAACAACGAAACTTTATACTAGCCAAAGTCAAGATCCCCTCTAAGCCCAACAGAAAGCTTGATCCAGGGTTTCCACAAGTTGTTCAAAAAAAAAGCAAGAAGTTTACTTCGCTAAACTCTTGTGCTTAGCCTTTCGTTCTTGCGAAAAGAGGGGTCCAGCAGCGGTAAGATGAAGCTTCAAAGCCAAAAGATGTCCCCGCTTGACGAATAAACACCAAAGCAAAGGTTCCCTGAGCCAGCGGGAAATCGTCTTGCAGGTGGTCGGTATCAGGGTCGATTGTGTAACATCATGTTCAGTTCAACGCAGTATTTTAGCCACTGAAATGACTGAATGAACTTGGAGGGGTAAAAAACATGTTTGGCCGTTGTCGAAACAGAGTTTGAGACAGATAGAATAAACCTCGTCTAATAACGACGGCCTTTGACAAAAGGTAAAGTTTCCGAGCTAAAAGGGGAAGCTCGGGGCGGAACAAGATCCCGGCGGCGGCGACTTGACCCTTTTGACCTTTCAACTCAAAAAAAAAAACAAAGAATGAAGGGATCTCTTCGACATTGCAAAACCAGGATGGGCGGCGAAACTATGCCAAAAATAATATCAAGTTATCATGGAGAGTTGGGAACCCCCGGTCCGCCTCGACTTCTGATTAGCTCAATGTTCATCCCGTCTTTTCTCTTCCAAGCCTTGGAGCCATTCGATGCTGCTTTGGTTATCTGCCCCCCCCCTGTACGTTGTCCCCCACGGCCTGGAAGCACCAAATCTCAGATCGTCCCATCTTTCCCTTGAGCTCATCAGGCCGTCATGGATCTCGGCTTCTCGTCTCTCCTCTGACACATCTCACACCCCCCCTTGGCCACCACCCATTCGCCGTCCCGGCGCAAAAGTTCAGACCTCTTTTCAATTCTGACAAATCGCATCGTTTCCAGGATGAAACGTACTCAAATCCTGATTCGTCTACCGCGCCCACGCCCTCTTCATTGAGGACAAAAAAAGGCAGAGATGGCCGCAGCGGCCGTCGGAACATGATCACTGTGCGTAGGGCTTGGCATGTCTGAGAGCTTTTGCCACAACTCCCAGCTCCAGCTCAGCTTCAGTCAGCTCCATCCAAGCGGCGCTTTTCCTTCGCCTCCGCGCCTTGCGAGTCGCAGTAATTCAAATTCCTTGTCCACCAGAACACCCGCTCGCCGCTTAGTCATAAAATGTGCAGAGCGGGCCGTGGCCCAGCGGCAGGTTGCCGAAACTTGAACAGACGGGCATCTGTCACGATCTGATCTCAACGGGAACACGGGCTCCATCAACGTTCCGTTGGGTATCTTTTCCACCGTTTTACGAAGCGCCAGACGCCGGTTCCGTTCTCGTGAGGTCTCGCGAGGATAACCTATCAGAGGTGGCGTTGGAGATTCTATTGTGCTGAAAGATGCGCATCACGACATCGACTGAATTGTCGCGTATGAGCTCCCCCTGAGCCCTGATCTAGCACATACGACCATACCCATTGGAAAACTCGGGATCCCGTCCGCTCTCCCATAGATAAGCTAATGAGGGCCGGATTAGTAGTTGGGTCGGTGACGACCAGCGAATACCTGGTGTTGTATGTTTTTTGATGTTTTTCGTTTTAAGCACAAGTAAATATCGTAGTATTTTAGCACTAGACCAAGTTCTGATCACATCACGTAATTTGAGTGACGAATCCAGTCAACAATTGTGGTAAAAGTGTAAATTTCTATATTCATACATCGTAGAAGGTATATCCAGTCCGTGTCACATTCTAGACCCTTGATAACCAGCTCCTTCAGTAGCATCGGCATCGTTCAGTAATAAAAAAAGTAACCCACAAGGGAATCCCTGATATGAATGCGGATGATGCATCAGCGCCGTCCATGATCTCGCCGGTATCTTGACCATTTTATCAGCCATTCTTGGCCAACCCCCCATAGCCACAGCCCTGGAAGCTCCTATGACAACATCGTCGGCGACGAGCGTCCCGAGCAGCTGGCACTGTCTTCTCCGTCAACGTACCCCTTCTCATTACCCGAATCCACATCGCTCTCCGTCGCCCATCGACCAGGGCATCCGGGAATGTCGCGTTCGTGCTCGCGGTACTGATTCTCGCGCTCGCCATCCTCCTTCCTCTGTCGAAGATTCAACGTGACGGAAGGCGGCTTCATCGACATGGCAGCCCTCTTCTTTTCGCGGGTATCGATATCGGGCATGCCCATCTTCATCATTAACTCCTCATTCTCCTCCTCCTCCTTCGCGGCATCGAACATGGCCTTCATCATGTCAGCCTTCTCAGGCGTGCGCACGACAACGTCAAACTCAAATTCGGCGGGCTTGGCAATCAGGAGCGGGGTGTAATCGTTCCAGTGAACCGGAACTTCGGTGCCGTCGGCGTTGACCTTCTTGCGGATGTTAAAAGCCCAGGCCATACCTCCCATGGACAAGAAGAGATCCTGGTCGACGATGGGGACACCCTGGCACGTTCTGCGTCCAAATCCGAATTGACTGAAGCCGTCGAGGTTGGGGAATCTGGTAAGAGGCTCCTTGTAGGTGGGGTACTCGGGCTGGACCCAGCGGCCGGGGTTGAACGCCTCAGCGTCGGGATAGACAGACTCATCACGGGTGATGCCCCTTGGTGGTGTTAGTGAAAGAACGCATGGTCAAAGTGCCAACTACTTACCACTCAAGAGCATGAATCGTGGCACCAGCAGGGATGAAGTAGCCGTTGTAGACATCGTCCTTCTCCACAGCGTGGGGAATGCCTGCGCTTCACGTCAGTCAAACTGAACTCAAAACTAGCCTCAACTCTAATACGGCATGACTTACCAGTGGGGACAGGGGGTCTCCACCGAATAACCTCCTTGACGACAGCCCTCAACAACGGCAACTTCTCACGATCCGACCACTGGGGACATCTTCCTTCACAGTTCTCGTCAATCTCCTGTTGCAAGCGAGCCTGCCATTCAGGGTAATGCAGCATGGCAAGGAGGAAACTCTGGATGGGACTGCCGATGGTCAGGGCGCCAGCGATGGCCATAAGGCCGACGACGTTCTGGGCCTCTGCCAGGTCGCCCCATTTGCCCTTTTCGTTTCCGAGACCTTCGTTGATGAAAGTGCTGATGAAGCTCGGCGCGGCAGTTCCCTTCTCAACCTGGTCCTGGACGAAGTTGACGTTGCTCGTGAACTGCTTTGATTCGATGTCGTGGCGTTCCTTCTCCTTCTTCTTCCACGGCGACAGCGCTGCGGGAACATGCATGAGGAAGGATATGACATTAGGAAGAGCACCGGCGGGGGAAATGGTCTCGAGGAGGCCAAAGGTGGTCTTGCGCAGAACTCTGGCCGGGTGGGCACTACCCCAAGAGAGACGACTGACGGTACGGCTAGTGAACTGCTCAATATACTCTCGGTACTCGCTGGGCTTCTGATACAGGAGCCACAGGAAACGATCCCGCTCGCGGCTCGGGTATGCGTGGAGCTCCTGCTTATCGCTCTGGTTCATGAGGTGGTGGCAAAGCTTGCGCTGGCGCTTCCATGTTTCTATCCGGACTGTTAGTCGAGAGTGAAGAGAGATGAAGGAGGAGAGAAGACCTACCTGTCCGGCCGAGGAGGGCAAGGTAGTCGCCGCTGGTTCGGTTGTCCGGAAGGTTGGGGATCATAGGGCGGTCGGAGTAAATGACGTTGCGGCGACCCAGGAGATCGTGAGCAACTTGCTCAGAGGAAATCCAGACGTGGACGGAGCCGAACATCTCTTGCTGGTAAATTGGGCCATATTCCTTGCTCCATTCATAGAACTTCATCCACGCCGCCTCTGCCGGTACATCGTGAACACGGCCAATAAGTGGCAGACCTGTGCTGCGGTCAGTGTCTGTAGGTAGTCGTGATATGAGAAGGTTGCTTACCCTTTGGTCCAGGGAGAGGCTTCGCTCCCGCAGGAATCTTCTTCTTCAACTGGATGGCGGAGTAAAGGCGCCATGCGCAGAAGAGAATGAAGCCGAGGATTGCCACGCCTACGGCCATCGTTACAGGCCAAGTGAAATTAGGGGAACACAACTAAGGTTTGTCTACAGGAGGAGGAAGAAGGGGAAAGGGACCGACGTCAAAGTCGATAGGGGTGAAAAACAAAAGAGGGTGAAGAATGAGTCCTGCTGTTGCAGGAAAACAGAAACGACAAGAACCACGATGACGGGTCTCGAGGACGGTGTGTCTCTCGGCTGTTATTAAGAAGAGTGAGGACCACGTTCAGCCATCCGGTCATGGAGCGCCCAAGCGGACCGACGGGGAACGGCCAACGGTCCCTTTGTCTGGAAACATGACTGAACCGCGTATGGACACTCGCCGGATTCCCCAAGCGCCATGGCAGAAGCCCAATACCACCCCATTACGACCATCATGGATCGGCGCACAGCGGGCGGCGGCAAACTTGTCAGTCCACTTCGCCGTCCATTCCGCCTTCCATGGTCCAACAACAGACGCCCAGAGTCTTGGACCCCGGTAATGGTGGATAATCCTTCCCAACATAGCACAAGATACTTGTGCCGCGCTTGCATGTCGGCCGCTTGCTTGCTCGCTTGGCTCCCTTCCCTCCCAGACAAGTGGTTCGTTGAGTTCTGACACCTGGGCACTGAGCTTCTTGGAAGATACATCAGACACTCGGTTCGTCTCAAGAGACGAGGGAGGGGCAAGGCAGATCCCCGAGAGCTCCCCAGCTGGACCTCACGGAGAGCTCGCAAATACCGATGCCCGTCCTTGCATCTTGCGTGGGAGGACATGCAGACTCATGGACGCTGCAGGGTTGACCATGGCTGCTTAGGTCCCAAGGAGATGGTTAGGATATGAGGTGACTGTGGGATGCGCGTTGCAGCCGCGAGAGCTCGAAACACAGGGGCCAGAAGATTGGCCGATTCGACATCTCACCGCAGCAAGGAGTAAACACGCCACCAAGCTCTTCCATGTCCAAGTCCGTAGTGCCCGCAGAGGGGACAGGACCATAGTCGTCACACTTTGCACTCGTCGATTGGGCGTCTGAACCAGGCGACCAGGCACCGGCGTCAGGTGGAGCTGTTGTAGTGGCCTACCGGAGGTCGGGGCTCGTCCGGTCTCGGCATAGATACCGAGCCACATCGCCGGGCAGTACGCTAGCTTCGCAGCTAAAACCAAGGATAGCATACGAGCAGATAGAATCGCACTTGTCTTTTGCCTAAGATTGTCAGAGAGAGCTGCTGTCACCTATCTCTGGAACCATTCTAGGCCAGGCACACCCGTTGACCGCTTCACGACGCTTCCTCTTCCTTCGTTTGCACATTGTTCTGTTCTTAGCAGAAAGGGAGGACCTCAGCTCACGCCATGATACTGAGGCGGATCCGCATGGCGCCCCACGCCTGATGCACCGTCAATACTGGGTTCCGGAGCCTGGGCGAATGTTAGTTTCGGCCTTGGACTCTTAGACAACTCACTACGCCCACCAAGGTAGGGATAAATCATCAATATCAATACTGGGTTTCTCCGGCACTTGAGAAGAAGAAGTCGGCAGAGAGGCCTCACGTAGTCATCGACTCTCATTGTGTAGATTGCGAGTGTCGATCAACTGCAAGCCACGGCGTCGCGGCAGCTACCCAGCCGGAAATTGGTAGCCAACAGCCATCCGCAGATCGAGTAAGAGCCGGTGAGAGCCAACGACAGCCACTGAGGGCCAATGATAGCCACTGAGAGCTGGCCAGAGCCAGTCAGAGCCGGCGAGAGCCATCGCAGCTCTACGTAGTGTCTCGAGCATATGCGAGATTCGGTGTTGACAGGGATTAGTAACGCCCTAGCGGAATCCTTCCCCAGGGATTAGTACGCCATAGCGGAACCCACCCCCAGGCTGGAACTCCCCCACGCCAGTCCCCGAGCGTCAGACAAGGCTACATAGAGTCGAACGCCTCTTGAAGGGAGAGCGTCAGGGGAGGCCACTGGTGGGTCAGTGCCGTGTCGTCGTGGCACCGTTGCTCGTAGCTCGCGCTACAATCTGCTTTGACAGTCAACATGGTCAGACTTTCTCCCACCTGAGAATGGGCGCTTCAATCTCCTGCTTCGTACGAAACACAGTCGTCGCGACCTCAACATGTGCCGTGCTTTGCTTGGCCTCCAGTCTGCTGCCGTCGCTGTTGCTGTTGCCGTTGCTTCTGCTTCTGCAGAGACCAGCCCTATTGGGATGGATTGCCGCCGCCACCTGCACATCAAACTTCACAGCAGATTAATGACTCTTTCGCCTTCAGTCTTTGGGAAGTGGTAAAATTGTGTCTTCAATTACTCATCACTAATAATGAGCTGGTGCATGCGAAACCTGTGCGGATCATGCTGCCTACGTGACAACGACGATGACCGCAGACGGCCACGGGGGAGGATTCGAGTACACTGAAACGATCGATGGCTTCTTTGGTCGAAAACGTCTCTTTGTCGTGCAACGCCACACCGGTTTACACCGTCGGTCGTCATGGCATGGCACCATTTTGTGGCTGATGGCTAGTAGCCGTTGTGCCGATCTGTTGCGCAGCAGTAGTAGCTCCTATTCCCGAATTGGTCAATGGTCCGAATACTCGTGTGACCGTGGTTGTGACCGAGGTTGTGACCGTGGGTTACTGCGCTCAGAATTCTGTCCTCAGGCTGTTCAAGTCATCTTGATACGGCCACGTTTCCCTCCTCTCTCATCTTTCAATGTAATAATACCGTCATGATGCCAATTTACATCCTGGTTGGGTGGTCAGCATCACATTTCACAAGCCAGACGGCAAAGCCGGACGGCAGAGCGCTACAGCGCATTAAAAACTCACCTCTCGACTGGGGACAGTCCCAAGAGACGCATGCCGTTGAAGAGCACGGTCCTGGCGGCCATGTACAGCGCCAAGCGGGCCTTCTGGAGCTCGGCTTCGCTTCCAACAATACGCAAGTGGTCGTAACTGCTGCTAACGACGTGCGTGAGGCGGAACAGATACGTAAGCACGGTAGTGGGCTCCAAGGTCTTAAGAGTGTTCTGGACAACGTCGGGGTACTGGCTCACGACGCGGATCAGCTCAATGGCATGCTTCTCCGTCAACAAGCCAAGGTCGGCCTTTGCAATCTCTTCCTCCGCGACGCCAGCCTTGCGGAAGATTGAGCACAGCCGAGCGTGGGCGTACTGGAGATACGGTCCGGTGTCACCCTCGAACGAGGTCATGGTGTCCATGTCGAACTTGTAGTTGTTGATCCTGGGTCAACATGTCAGTGCATCCGAAAGCGCCTGGAAGGAAAAGCCCGGACGACCTACCTCTTTCCACTCATATCCTGGACCATCACACTGCTGATGCCAAGAATGTCGGCCGTGGCCTCCGGTTCGGCGACCTGGGAATACTTGGCCTCGTTCTTCTTCATCACCTCGTGCATCTTGTCTCCGACGTCGCGCAGAATGTCGTCGAGGAATTTAACAGTACCCTTTCGCGTGCTCATTCCAAGAACCATGCCAAAATTGATGTGCTGGCACTTCTTGGCCGTCTCGCCGTAGCCCATGAGCTCAATGATCTTGAAAAGCTGCTTCAAGTGCAGATCTTGCTGAGACGCGACGACATAAATCATGTGGTCAAAGTTGTACTTCTTTTCACGGTGGAGAAGCTCGCTGATGTCACGGGTCAGGTACAGAGCTGTGCCGTCCTTCTTGCGAATAATGGGACGCTCCAGACTCTTGCCAGGCTTTCCAGGAACATGCTTGGTGAAATCAATGATGACGGCGCCTTCCGACTCTTCAGAAATCTTCATCTCCTCGAGCTTCTTGGCAGCAGCCTCCATATCCTTCTCGGAGACTTGGCTCTCACCCGAGTACTCATCAAAGTGGATGTTGAGACGGGCGTAAGTCTCCTTGTAACGCTTAATGCTGAGATCACGGAATCGCCTCCACTGAGCCACGGCTTTGTCGTCTCCGGCCACCATGGCCTTGAAGTACTTGCGAGCCTGCTCGTCGAGGCTGTTATCCTTGAGCGCGGTGACGTCCTCGCCGGCCTGCTCCTTTGCGGTGATTTGTTCCTTCTCGTCGCTCATTTCCCGGTTGATCTTGACGTAGACCTCGTACAGGTGGTTGATGGGGTCGGCGGCAAGCGCCTCCTCTCTACCGAACCTCTCGAAACCCAAAGCCAAGAGACCGTACTGCTTTCCCCAGTCACCAAGGTAGTTGATACGGGTTACATCCCAGCCGGCGCCATCGTAGAGGTTGGCAATGAAGCCACCGATGATGGTGCTTCGCAAGTGGCCGGCGTGGAAAGGCTTCGCAATATTCGGGGAGGAGAACTCGACAATGATCTTCTTCTTGCCCTTGGAGGGGTCTTCGGGGCTCTTGAGGCCGTTGTTGGGGTTCTTTCCAAAGTCCTGTCCGCGGGAACGCACCTGGGGAATCAGGAGCTGGGAGAGGGGGCCGGTCTTGAACCAGAACTGGAGGAATGTGCCATTCTGGAAAGAAACGGGCTTCTCGATCAAGGGAGACTCGGGGATCTGTAGCCAAGGCATGTTAGTCCAGTGTTGGAGAACCCCGAAAGAGCCAGCGCGCATTGCTCCAGATGTGCGGGTTGGCTCCGTGGTGTTGGTTCGAGACTGACCTTGTCGAGCCACTCGGCAGTGAGATCAGCAGGCTTCTTGCCCTTGATGCGAAGAGCAGGGACAGCCAGCACCAAGTCACCCTTATCCAAACTCTGGGTCCACTGGAGGGCGTTGTAGATGATGGTGCCCTCGACGCCGGTGACGGGTTGCAGCAGCGAGGTGATGTGGGCGCGGTAGATGTCGATGGGGTTGACGTCGGGGTAGCAGCCGGGGTAGGACTCGAGCTTGCTCACGGAGAGCTTCTCCAGCTGCGCCGTGATCTGGTCGGCCATTGTCGCGAGCGTGATGGTGGGGGCGGGTGGAGGTTTGGCAAGAGTCGACCGGTTCGCAGTCGTGGAAGAGAAGAGTCGCGTGGTGGCCGTGGGAGCGCGAGGAGGGTGGTGGGCGAAGGCTGAGGCGGCAGAAGAAGCTCCTCGTCGAAGGCTGGTGGGATAAACGTGGGCCGAACGAAGTGAAGAAGAAGAAGAGAAGAAGAGGAAGCGCGCGACGCTAGTCATGAAGAGACTCTATGACCGTACTGGGCTGCAGGGGGACGAGGAAGAAAAAAGGCAAGGAGGGGGAGGGGTCGCTGGGCTGATGGCAGTGGCCGATGTTTGTCACCCGCAAAGAAAAAAATTGCGGACCAACGCCAGCCTGAGTCACTGAGCCATTCGTCGATATGGTTGGCTGCTCAGTGCAGTGGGGCCTTACCGAGACTCACCGAATGGAGGGGTAACTGTTCTCTCGGTGAAGCGCACATGGAGGGGTAACCGCCCCCGCGGCGAATGCTCGGTGAGGCTTTCACCCCGTTCCTCATCGACATGGCCTCAAACTCACATACCATGATTCTGGCAGATGGCAGGGCGGGTGGCAGGGCGAAAGGTTATTCCTATATACACCGTAGTTTTCCATAGACTTGTTATTTGTGACCAAAAGTAGGCAAGATAAGGTAGGAGGCTTTGGCACTGCTCATTGGGGGAGTACACACCCATGTGAAGCTCACCGCGTAAGCTCTCTCTACGAGCCTATTAATACACGTTGCTGATGAAGCCGGAAGATGCCGTTCATACGTGTACTGATCGATGCATCTGAAACCATCCCCCTTAGACTTGGAATCGTGTCCAATTACAACCCTCTCATACCTGGATCGCGGCACATCTCAGTCCTACGAGATTTCGCATGTGACGTGAGTACGCGTCAGGCTTCAACGGGCTTGCGTGACTTGATCATTACGTCGATATCATCTAAAACGAGTACTCTTCAACAAAAAGGTGAATCCCCTGTGCCCCCGTCCCCTTGTGGACCGCCCTCTCGTCCGACAGTGAGGCCACGCAATTCCTGACCGAAGTCGTCAACGACGGCCCGCCGCAGACAACGATCGACGTCTCCCCGCCCGCGGCCTCGACAGGTTCCCGAATCAGGGACTCCAGATCAGGACGAGAATAGTACTCTCTCATCATGCTCGTTACTGAACCGCTTCGGATCTTGGGTGTAAGCCGCACCTCGTCTCCCTTTTCCAAGTCCACTCCCTTCTCCTGACAACACCCCCCACCCCCATACATGGAGTCGTCAGAGACGATCCTCCTGTGTATCGCTGACGAACTCGAGCTCGAGCTTGAGCTGGAGTTCTCTTCGCGGTCCGCATACTGCACCGTCGTTGCCCCGGCTTCCTTGGCTTTGCCGGACCGCGTAATGGCGATGTGCACCTGCAGCTCGATGCCGTTCTGGTGCGCCCGCTCTATCAAGTCCCGGAGCCGCTGTGTGTAAAACTCAATCTCCTCACCCTGGCATGCCAGGAGGACAAACTCGACCCTAGTAATGCACGTCTTCCTGCGGCTCTGGACGATGCTCTCCAATATGGGCAGCGTGAAAGACGCCCCCGTAGACGCAGAGATGAGGACCATGGTATCGTAAATATCCCATCTCGGCGGCGCCCCAAACGGCCCCAGCACGAAGCCCGTCAGCGCCTCCTTTTTCCCAGACGCCTGAATCTTCTGTGCATAGCTGTGCAGTCTCTTTGAGAACCCGCCGTGCTTCCGGACGACGAGCTGGATGCTGTTGCAAGTACATGTGTCCGGCATCTGGTGCGCGCACGCAATAGTGTACGGATGTACCTCGAGGGGCCCGATACGGGGAAGCCAGAGATACAAGTGCTGCCCTGCCTTCCACGAGAAATGGACGTCCTTGATCGTCAACACCGTCGTCGACGAGCCCGTCGCCCGGACCTGCACCTCGTGTCCCACACGCTTCATCCCCTTACACGTCGACCTGTTGGGTCGAAGCCTCGTATTCTGCCACGCCAGGAAGGCCCAGCGCGCGAGGCGGTCGAAGCAGATGATGGCGACGGAAAACCAGAGATACTGCTTTGCATAGGCCGGGATGTGGACGTAGACCAGCCAGATGAAGAGGACCGCCGAGAGAATATGCTGCAAGAGGAACAACTCGTACGCCATGCTGCGGAAGGGCCTCATACCCGTGAGGAAAGTCCATATGAGAATACCCCAGGCACCGAGGCCGTACTTGATGACTGGCAGGATCCTCAGCTGCGTTTCGACAAAGTCCGCCCGCACCCACTCCGACCAGAAATGGAAGCCGTGAACGGTCGCCGTCACGAACATGGTCCTGGCGACCCATCGATGAAGCCAACTCAGCCGCTCGTGCGAAGCGCCGATGATGAATCCCACCACGTTGACCTTCATCGCAAGGAGATACAGGAGGGGCATCTGCATGACGGTCACCCAGGCGTTTCGGAAACCGATGCGCTCCCAAAAGTAGGCGTCCTTGATGACGGCGTCGTTGACCATCATGTAAATAATGACGGCCCAATAGGCCAGGAGGACGAGCACGCGACCAAGGGACGGCGGGGTCGCCCAGCGCAGACCCTTGAGGGGAATATAGAGTTGAGGGTGGCCTACTTCGCGGACAAGCGCCGTTGACGTCGCCCACACTTGCGTTATGAAATTGGAGGGTTTTGTTGGGAATCGAACGGATTCGGAACGGCATCGTTTTAGTCTGCACGCGCGGGTCAGCATTCGAGGGTTTTTGGCATACGCAGAGTGAAAATGATCACCTTCTGAGGCCCTCGAGGTAGTTGATACCGCGAATGATGCCCAGGAACCCGACGACGCCTGCGATAATGTACCAGAACGACTGGGCGAGCTGAACGTTTGTATCTTGGAATAGTGCCGTTCCCATCGTCATGCCCCCTCCCATATCCCCTCCCATACTTCCGCCTCCATGATTATGGCTCATCGCGGTGGGTGGTGCTGATGAGGCTCGAGTGATTTAAGGTATGCGACGACTATAGACGAGTCTCTTTCGCAGGAGATGTTGATTCCAGATTCGACGGTTTCCAGCCCCGCCGAATGTTTGCTCTTCAACCCTTCAAAAGTCGTCAAAATTGGCTTGAGGAGATGAAAAAGCCGTTGTAAGATGTTGTGAAATGAGGCCAGCGACCCGCCGAGGTCATGAGGTAGCGCAACTCCGTCAAACCATCTCACAAAGCACACACTGCCATTTGGATGCGCATGAACTCTTGAAGGCCACTGATACTTCCGACAATCGAAACCCGAGAGGAAACCCGTCTTCGACAGTTCAGACGCCCAATATGCGCCGTTTGAAGATGAGAAATGGCCAAAGGGATGAGGTGTATTGAGCAATTTCAAGAGGCGAGGACTCTGGGCAGCGTCAGCAAGACACTTGGATGGTAAAAGACAGACGCAAAAGCTAGGTACGTGTAATGGAGAGCCGGTTCGGCGGCATGAAATGCGCTGGTTTGGGGAGAGACGTTAGTCCACCACGGTCCAGCACGCATCCGAACGGGTTTGGCATGGCACGGTATGACGACCTAGGGTACTACTTAGACATGGGCAGTTGGGCTGCTCCACTCCAAGATGGCCGACGGATCACCCACCGGGCTCGACTGACCCAAGTCACGTTACGAAAGGCCCGTACACTCCCTCGACGACGGGAGTCTCGGCTATTCTTTCACCTTACACTCTCCGGCGAGACTTTCATCTGGTTTATTGTCTTGGGGAAAAGTTCTCTGCTTAGGCTTTTACGGCATGTTTACTAATTCATTAGCCATAGAGAGAGGTGGGCTGTTAGGTTTGCTTGATAACCTGGCTCATGAGGCGCACTTACACCGATCTCAAACTCTCACTTGGGTATGGCTAATGGTCACCATCCTCTAATCTCATTTGTCTTCTTTAGCAAAGAGCAATAAACAAGCTTGTTTAATCCTCATGAACAAGTCTCAAGAAACGAATGTCAGACGATCCAGGGTACAACACCCACAAAACCTCTCGTCCCGTCCAGCTTAGAAACATGCTCACGACTGAAGATCAATCCCAAACGCCCCCAGATATCTGAGTTAACGAACTCCCAAACAGGGGTAGTCCCCCCAATCACATCTGCACAAACGCCACAATTTGCTCAAAACCTCTCAGTGGTATTGCCGATTTGACTCGTGATTGGTCAAGGCCCCAGTCGCGCAGCCAGCAAGTCCCTGCGCGCATCGCGGGGCTAGTCCATCTAAGGTTAACTACATCCCTCCATGCTACGGTCTGAGATGCTAAGCATTGAGCCCCTAGTCCACGCCCGCCCGCCTTTAATATCACACGTTGGCATCGCGACGACACTCCATTGCAGAGCCCAGCAAGAGAGGATGCAAGACATTAGAGATCCCAAAAAAGGAATTCATACAATTCAAAAAGAGCCGCATCAGTAGGTTTCTTCACTGACATGAAAGCCAAGACTCGTCCCCAGGTCCCGAGAGTCCCGGCGCGGTGTCCACCTAGGAGACTACCTTTGTTCTTCTTGCATATAGAGAGGGGCAAATATGCAACCATACAACGTGGAAGAAGTGAAGTCCAGAGCTAATTAGATGTGAGCAAGTTTTATCTTTGCTTCCTACCGCCACCAGACCAAAAGCCCTGACAAGTCACCTTCCTCACCACTGCTTCTGCCCGGTGGACTCAAGTCCCTTCCAACTCGCCATGTGCCGACTGCCGAATCTAGTCATCCTAGTCCATCGAATCCGAGGTTTTTGTTCGACCGCCAGGATGCCCAGAACCCTTTTCCTGTTTGTACAGAACGGGGGCTCGCCCCTCGTGTGCCGGTGGGAGCTTCGGCAACACCTTCCGGCCCTCTCCACTCTGTAGATGCCATGTAGATAGCTCACCCAAGTAGGTCTACCAGCTAGTGGGTATCTGTCCTAGGCCCTACCCTTGCCAAACAAACAAAGAGCTCATCAGGAGCTCTCCTGTTACCCAATCTAAGATCCTTCGAGACAAACGGCGCAACCAGGCTGGCCCTACAGAAGAGGAAAAAGGGCCCCCGTTGCTCGGGCTATGCTCCGCCCGCCATTGGCCAATTCCATCCCACGGCGCCGCCGCCTCGTTCATAAACAGCCCGTGTTCCCCGTCTTCTGCCTCGGACTTGATATCTCCTCATCTTATCAAACCCAATTCCATAATAATTGTACTCCCTCTGCGCTGTGCGCCTTGATACCCCCAAAGTATTCATACACCAGATCTACACATCACCAACAACAACCCTCAACCTCACCCCCAACAAACAAAAGCAAAACCAAACCGCCAAAATGACCCGCCTCCTCGCTCCCCTCCTCCTCCTCGCCTCAACAGCAAGCGCACACTTCTCCCTCACCCTCCCCAAACCCCTCGGCGACAGCGACGACAACGAGGCCACCGCCCCCTGCGGCGGCTACACCGCCTCCTCCTCCTCCCCCGCGACAGACTTCTATGTCGATGGCGACGCCATCGGCATGGAGAACGGTCACCCGCAGACCAACTGGCTCTTCCGCGCCACCCTCGACGAGACCGCCGCGGGCGGCTGGAAACAGCTCTTCCCCATTGTCATGCAGACCGGCCTCGGCAACTTTTGCGAGCCAAAAGTCGTTGCGCCGGGTAACTGGACCGGCAAGAGGGGAGTCGTCAGCGTTGTTGCCCATTCGCCTGATGGGCTTTTGTACACTGTGAGTTTTCTACCACTCTCTCCTACGGGCACAACTTTATATCTCTCACATTCCCTCGTTACCCTCACTTGCACCTTCTTCATCCACGCGGAACCCCACGAGAAATTTCACAGAGGCCATTGTGCCTCAAGCTCCCACCAAAAACCCCATTTCACTAACACCACTCCCAAAGTGCGCCGCAGTAAACTTCGTCTCCGGCACAGCGCCAACCCGCTCAGACTGCAAAAACGCAACAGTCACCGTCGACTTCACCTCAGACCCCTCCCTGACCGCCCTCCTCAGCGCCAGCGGCTCCTCAACCAGCAGCACCCCGTCCTCCGGATCCGGATCCGGATCTGGCTCCGGTTCCGCAACCCACTCCGCCTCCGCCTCGAGCACCGCCAACGCCGCGCCCGCCGCCCTTGTTGGTAACGTCTTCTCTGCTGGCGCCGTGGCTGGTCTTCTGGTGTCCTTCACCGCAGCTCTCGGAGGCGCTGCCATGTTTTTCTAAAGACTTGTGGAATGGCTCCCCGTCGGTCGCGCCAGTGGTGATGATGGAAATTTGACGGGCTTGGTGGGAAGGATGAAGTGTACATTAGCCGCAGCATTGTCTATTTGACGAGGGTCACCTGGGGGATATCCTGACGGATGAGTATCAGGCTGCGTCCAATATGATTGAAGAAGCGTTGCGTTTTAAGCCTGGGGAATTCAGTTCATCGATATCATTGCGCAAACTTGCAAAACTCCGTCATGCAAACCCACGGCTTGTTCATGAACGCGATATGCTCTGATCATGTACATGTAGCAATGATGCGACACAGAGATCATAAATTTCCTCAAATTTGGCAAATAAGCAACTGCTGTCAAAAACTTTTCGTCAACGAACGCGGTCGTAGAGATGGGCAAGAAACAAGGACTGTGATATGTGAGAGGCGTACGCCCCCGTCTGATGTATAAGTTACACGAATCGACACCATTCGCCAACAAATTCCTCCATCTACAGGTATTCATGACATAACAACTAGGATATCCTTTTTTCTCAGGGTCTCTACGGTCGACCCCTGATCCGCCACGGGCCCCGCGCACCGGCAGCCCCCGCGGCACCGACGCCGAAATTGTGAAGCCTCTCTCCGATAAGATAGGCCTCATCTCTAATACGCGCCTTCCAATTGTTGAAGACGCCTACGATGCTCCAGAATGCCATGGCCGCTAGCGCACCGAACGCCGCCGCGGGATATGAAAGACGATAAATCATCTTGAGTTCGTGGGGTGCAGGCGGTGGTACTCCAAGTACGCCGCGCGATTCCATCCAACCCACAGCATAAGGGGGTCCAAAGATCGCCAGGCCGCCAATGAGCAGGCATGGAACCACAAAAGCCCTCGTCAATACGAGAACGTCGGGCTGAAGCCATCCACGGCGGAGAACGGCGCGGACAGCTTGCGCCATACGAGTGCCATCGTACAGGCTGGTGATGGCCCGAGCCCCGAGCTTGGCGTAGAGCAAGCCCAGTGTCCAGGACTGTATGACTCTCGCCGTATGCTGGCTCGACACTGCGATGCCGTCTTTGAACTGGCCGCTGTTGTTTGTCCCAACAACGTAAGGTGTGGGTGGATACATGTATGTGTGAAGAGGAATGAGGCAGTATAATTCCATGAGTGCGGTCAGGATGAGAGGAAAGACGACCAGCAGGATCGTGTATGCGTAAGCAAGCCTGGCAGTATGAATGCCCATGAGCGCAACTCGCATGGGCGCATCACTCTGCCACACAGACTGCAGATTTGAGGACGCCCACGACGTCATCTTCCTGAAGATAGAACGGGCATGGAAAAGGAAGTATGCTGCGGAACCCAGTATGTAGATCCCGATGCTGAAAGCATAAATATCATTGGTACGAATGTGGGCGGGGATGAGGACTTTGAACATCTTGCGGCCGAACACGAGCGGCACGATTGTGAAGCTGACGCCCGTCACGGCGGCAAAGATCCAGATGAACATGATGAACAAAAAGACTCTGGCTCGGAAATGCGGCGGGATGTACACTAGCTGGTACTGGTCCGTCGAGTAAAGGTCGGCATCGGTCGAGTCATCTTTGCCGTCCAGTCGAGTATTGCTCTCAGAAACCGGCATGAACACGCGTCGTCCCTTTGGGATCTTGACTTGGTCCGAGGCAGGAGTCCGGACAAACTGGCCCTCTTCAATAAGCTGTCCAGAACCAACAAGGCGTGCTTTCTTGAGGCTGAGGTTGACCATCTGATCAGATGCGATGGTTGACGTTGGCTTCGCCGTGCCACCTTCAAATGTATCCTCCCACGTCTTGGGTACCACCTTGTTTTGTTTGTTGACCTCTAGGAGGCTCCGCCTCCACCAAGGGAGGGCAATATGATCCGAGCCAGGACGCAGCGCCAGAATGCCCTCTTCATCAATGCGGCGCTCGCCAAAGAGGAACCAAGTCAACCGAAGGCCTCTGGCGCACTTGCGGAACCACCAGGTGTACATGGCATGCAAGCCATCGCTGGGCTTGAAGAATTTGACTGCTAGAGGCATCGCAAAGTTGTAGAACAATAGGTCGACGGGGAACTCCAAGACGGGCTCATTGGAGGAGTAGTGAATCGGCAGAACGCTCGGAAGAGACAGCGCCAGACCCCACACCACACCGCCAAGACAAACGATGACCAAAGCTCCGTACACAAAGGCAGAGAAGAGTATCTTCCGCAATTGCGTCACGACGTTGCGTTCAAGCACGTCGCGGACGGGATGGAATTCCGGATCATCTGGATCGCGAATAAAGTCTGCACATGTTAGTAATGATGACTAGCATCACGAACAAGATCAACTTACAGAGAACACCCTTCCGCATGATCTTTCGGCACATGGATACAAACAGGGCAAAATGGAACATGTACCCCGTTCCCACGAACCAATGTACAAAGATGGAGGTAAGCGGGAAGTTGATAGTGAAGGCGACCCGCGATTTCAAGGTGGTTGCCTCGAAAAGGGGCAGAAGAGCCACGTCCAACAGTAGACCACAGTACAGCGGGAAAATAAGCATCTCTATGCTGATAATGAGAATGACCTTCATAACGCCGCTGGCCTGATTCAGCAAGTCGATCAACGAGGCTTCCCACTCTTGACCCGTCTGCCCAGTCGAGAAGGGTGATCCCCGTTTCAGGTAAAGTGCACTGATTGCGGAAAAGGTAAAGTATCCGCATAATATCGCCCAAAATCGATCCGTACCTGACCAATAGGAGAGCGCAGGGTTGACTGCCGTCGAAGGTTCCGGCACGCTGAAGCTGATTACCCATGATCCGGGGTTGAGGATGCTAATGGGGACATCCTGTACGGCGTTCCACGTGTAGACGGTTGCGTTCGCCGAGAGTGACGCCGCATACTTGGTGTTCGCAATGAGATCGCGGTCGAAGATTGCGCTTAGTACATCTCCCACAGCAGCAAAGGAGCCCGAGAGATAGGACTTGAAACTGAGCAGTGCCTCGTGGCTGATGGCGGAAAAGTTCTGCATCTCGGTGGTTGATATGATGGGTAGTTCGCTGGTCAGACTCTCGAGGACCCGGCTCGAAGCACTCATGAAAATGTCGAAGGTCTTCTTCATGAGCAAGCCAACGCCATTTTTAGCTGGGAAGCCCATCATACGCCCCGTTGTGTAAATGAAGCACAGGGTAAGGCTGGTCAGTCCGCTCATGATGCCGACAGCGACGTCTTGGATGAACTTCGTCGTGCTGAAGAGCATACGCACAAGGCGCATTGGATTCATGGCAGCCCAGACACCAACACGTCCAAGGTTGTAAGGAATGAAGACGCACACGAAAATTGTGACCGAAACCAGCACAACGCAGAAGATGGCGTTTTGAAAGAGGCCGGCAATGGGCCCACGCATACCGATCAGTTCCATGATGCCCTCGAAATCTTCGGCATCGTCAATGGCTTCGGGGTCAAGCCCAGCGGCCACAGCAGCTTCGACGACTTCGCGGTCTTGCTCCACGGCGTCTTGCTCATCGTCGTCCAGATCGTCGTCAAAGTCATCGTCGTCACTATCATGATCCTCCAAATCATGAGCGGCTTCGTCGTCTCGGCCACCAATGTCCAACTCTCGTACCTCGATATCACCCCACATGAAATCGGCGACGCGATCCATGACTCCTCTCTGGAGAGGCGGCCGCTGGGCTACCCGACCATCTTCAGCATCTTGAGGCAAGCCGTTGGTGTCCTCAAGCGGTTCCTCAGGGATACCATTTTGTTGCCTCGGCCCAATGAAATCCGGCAGTTGCATCTGTGGCTCATTGAATCCAAACAGCCCGTTTTCGTGCATCGGTTCCACCGTCTCAAAATCAGGTTCCGCATCAGAACCAAAATCCGGGGTATTACTCCGCGGTGGTGTGAAGCGGCCTGGGGGCAGACCGAATTCTTGTCCCTGTGAATCGAAGCCAAATGATTGCATTGGCTCCTGAACCTGGGATTCGGCTTGTGGCGCAGTGTTCAAGCCAGAGAATGACCAACTGTTGTTCGCTAGTGGATTGATACTATTGTTCATCTGTGGGCCATCGGAAACGGAACGAGGCCGAAGAGGACTCTGGAAAGGAGTCGACGTCGAAGTGGTTGTATCTGCGTCTCCCAGACTAGATTCCTTATCAAAATCTGGCAGTGGTTCCTTCTCCTTACCCTTTCCTGTTCCATTGATGGTGCTCTCGCCCGGGGTTTGCGGCGGCCACGAGAACTGTGGAGTGGAAGGGGCGGGCAGTTGGACCGAAAATGGAGCAGTGGCTTGCGAATCTCGGGAGTCGGAAGATCCTTCAGCTCCAGATTCGCTCTTCTTCGGCTGCGAACCCCCCGTTTCTCGGTTCTTGTCCATCATCGACTTTGTGATCCTCGCCCAGTAGCCCAGCGGTTCGTCCAATTTCTCCTCCTCGATGATTTTGAGGATCTTCTCGGGGTCGCCATTGGCCTGTCGGTAGATACGAAGGTACTCGTGAACCGTCGCTACCGGGGTCGGGTCCTTGTTGGAACCGCCCTCTGGTGGAGTATTGAAATCGAAGTCCGGTTGAGGGCCTCCTTGAGCGGGCCGGAACCCGCCGAGTGTCCTCGCTTGGAGGGGGGCTGCGAGCTCGGCCGTCGGTTCCCGTTCATCCCAAGCCATGTGAGGCAAACCATCCTGGCTACCGGTTCGATCGCCGGTAAGAGATTCATCATCGTCGTCCTCGCTGTCACTTGGTCCTCTCAAATCTGCAGCGCCAAAATCATCGAGCAAACCAGCACCATCATGCGCGTGCTCATGGTCGTGGCCGTGGTCGTGGAAGTGATTTTCATGTTGGTGGTGCGGTTCAGGCTGAGGCTGGGGTTGTGCGTTGTCGTTGGCGGCAAAGGCGGCCCGCATGTTGATCTCGGGTTGTTGCTGAACGACGTAGTCGCGGACCAGGATGACGAGAATGAACGAGATAATGACCAATATTGTAATGATCTGGCCCTCTAGCACGCCGATGATGGTGCGATTCACGACTGGGTACCGGGTCATGTTGCGCAACCAGGACACGCCGCTCAATAAGGAGGGGTGGCGATCGAGAACGGGATCACTTGCACCGGCAGATATTGAGCTCGAATTCCCAGACCCAGACGAAGTGATGGATCCGAGCAGCATCCTCATGAGGGCTGCCGTCATGGAGTCGTTGGTGGTAATGTTGACGCCGTGGAATGATCGGCTAAAAGGTAGTTCTTGGCCTTTGATGATATCTTTTAACATTCCTCCCAGATTCGCGGGCGTCGTGGTCGGTTCGAGCAGAGGCGAAGCCGGGCAGACATTGGAATTGGCGACAGAGAACGCCACCGAGACGCCTCGACTGACTGTTGCGTTTGAGCTGTTCCACAGAGCACCACTACCCAGACCCTCGTCGCTGACCCAGAACAGGAACGCCCAAACAGACCGCATGAGATAGGGCAACCAGCAAAGCCAGACACTGATGACCAGGGCAGCCCGCAGCCATACCAGAACGTTCCTGAAGAGATACTTGGCCATGTGACCGACAAAGACGTGGGCCGGGAGTGTCTTGGGCATCTTGGGCGAGTATAGCTTTGTGAAGCGAAAGGGAGTTTTGCACAACTCGCAGTGTTTCTTCTGGGAATGAGAGAGCCACTCCATCAAGCAATCCTGGTGAACATATTTGATACTGCCGCTGCATTTGCAAGGGTAGAATAGCGGTTCTTCGGCGGTCGCCTCGCCTCTGCAAATGCGGCAGGTGTCGGGGTCGAGCGCGCCGGCATCGTTCGCTTGGGATCGTGGCTTGACAGCATCGTGAGAGACAGAGGCAGGTTTCGAAGCCGAGGGGCGTCGGCGGGAGTGCGCAATAGCATCGGCGGCCGCGAGCGGCTCCATCGCGGGGTCGTCCATATTGATTCAGTCGTTGGGGATAGTGGCGGCGGCGGGGACTCGAGCCCTTTGCAGAAATACAGAATTTTTAGGAACGCATGGGTCCTTTGGAAGCAAGGCCGGCGTGGTGAGGGCGAATCGACAGTGAATTCGGGGGGGAGTCGGCGATGATTGCGACTGAATCAAGAAATCCGAGATGGAGGACTGGCTGAGGTCTTGGTTGAAGCTGTGGAATTATCCGAGCAAACGAAAAGTGAACAGATTGCGGGGGAGCGCGTGCTGCTTCGCAATGCTCAGGGTAGCAGAAGCTGATGCTTTACCAGCTCTAGGAGTTGGGAGACGCTGAAGGCAAAAGGAGAAAGCTGGGTGGGTATCATAAATCGTCAAGACAAACAAGCCGCTCCAGGACGTCGGTAATCGCAGTTTGGAGATGGGGAGAAATCGACCAAGATCCCTTGCGCTAAAATGAATGAGGCCCTGTGCTTCCAGGATGTTCTGGACTGGCTGCTGCGCGGGTCGAATCCGCAGCGGTGTCCGAGCAGGGGTCCGGCCTCCGTTCACTTCAGGGTCCGGAGCTCTGTTTCATCCGCCCCGAACGAGAAATGGAGATAATCCTCTATCAGTTGAAAGCTAGTCCATTTGGGGATTGACTGCACGTGACAGCAGTTCGTAATTATTTGAGGCGAAAAGGAAGTTCCAGCCAAGAATTGAAAATGGATAGCGCCGATGCGATATTATGTCATCGTACCTTTCCACACGCTGCACCTCAACAATTTCATGGTTTCTCCCGCAGGGACTCACCTCGTTGTGGATTATCAGCTTCAAACCAGAATTTGCTTGAGCAGAATGCAGAAGAGCCATCAAGTGCTGACATGTTTCTCTGTTTACCATGGTGGCTGGCTACTGTTATTACTTGGCGAGGCTTCTTGAAAACGTACATGCCAGACCAGCTTGGGTCAACCCATCTCGTACCTAGTTTCTAGTTTACTAGTGTTGTCTACTAGGTGGCATGCAAAAGAGGCCATGGCCGCTGGAAAACCACCCGCATCGTCGATAACCGGTTCTCGGCCAGGGCCCAAAGGCTCATCGTCATCACATGGGTTGCGCCAGATGCCGGCCATTCGGTCGCGCCTCTGAGCTCCATCATTGAACATTCCAAGCTGGTGAGCCACACTTGCGTGCCTGGCAATGCAATGCTGCGTCACTTCAACGTTGTCTGGTCCATTTGATTGGACCCCTCATCCGGGCTGGCAGGCTTGTTTCGGGGGATTGTGGCTCATGGCACCCGTCTCTGCCAATCATCCAGTCTTGCCTGTGTCTCCGCTGGCAGGGTTGGTCAATCCGGTGTCTTGCTTGTTGATGTGCTTGGCGCGGAGAGATTCACCAGTACTGAGTACAGACATGGGATGGATGGGTGCGAGGAACAGGACTGGTAAGCTGAGCGTGACTGCTTGCTTACCAGCCTGCCACCTTACCTGCTTGTTTCTTGCTAGCCCGCGCGTGTGGTTGGTTGGCGGCATTGGACGATAACGACAGCTTGATGCCGATGACGTTGGTGAGACATCCCACAGCGTGATGCTCTGCAAAGCTCCCAGACTTGGAGACTTGGAGCAGGCTAGCCATGCCGCTATACGCAGCCTAGCAGAGCTGGCCGTCTCGGTTACCTCACTTCTTATTATGTCAGCATTTGGGTATGAAGTATACTTTGAGTGCAGCCTCGGCCAAAATTCACCACAATGTACCTCCACCGGGGGGTCAGGACCGTGCTCCCCCCTCGAGCCACACAAAACTTGGCCCGGAGGATCAGGAAGCTGCCAGTCTGCGACGGCCAGAAGATGTAGCGCCGCCTGCTCCTACGTACCTAAGAAAACAGAAGGCAAGGGAAGCAGCAGCACAACAAGAAACACCACAGCTTCTTGCATCACGGATCCTCTTTCCCCTTTCCCTCGTCTTGTACATCTGGGGTTGCCCTTCCTTCTTCCCCGATACACTCCTATTCTCTCAACTCCGTGTCAGAATCACCTCGCACCCACAGCGGAGCAAAGAGCAGAAACAGGACTGCACCAACAAATCCCAAAAGACCCCTTCTGACGACCTGAAGCCAAACTATCGCCATTCTGAAGGTAGATCATCAACTCCTAGCTCCACAACGTAACCCCCCCCAAGTGGCTCCCCTCTCCCCTGCAGCTTCATCGCTCCATTGGCGAGTGTTTGCTGCACAGCTACGCAGCTTTGGGTTGCCCAGCCCGGTCCAGGCCGCCTGAAGCAGCCCATGTCCGCCGCCGACTGGGAACTGCGACATCTGAAAATCATCAGAGCTTCTACCCAAACCTCGCGTGGTTTTCTTTTTTTTCCCTCTTCTGAGTCTCAACCTCGTTTACATCTTTCCCCTCGACATCCTCTAAATTGTCTTCTACATCTCCCAACTGACCACCGTCTGCCACCTAGTTCAGCGCCGACTCGAGTCCTACATCATCCCCCGACGTACGCACGCTCCAGTTCTTCCGACTTACGGCATCCTGCGATTAGAAAGATACCAAATCACGTCACTTCTGCGAGCCGCCTGGTATTTCCAGACCGCACAACCTCCGCCATGGAGGCTTCCAGTGGCTATGCCAGTAACGGCTACCCCAAGGCTCCGAATGGGAAGATTAAGGGCAAGATTAATGGCCAGGCTGTAACAATCCAGCGGAGGACAACACCCATCCGTGGGCCCTCATTTTTCCGCCGTTCATTCAATATTCTCGCGAGGTAAGTCTATCCTTCCCGGTCGGTGCTGTGACCACAGCATTTGCGCATATTGTCAAGTGTATTCGGACTGACAGCAATGCTCAGGATCTTGACTTGGTACTCCCTTATTTCGATCCTCTTCCGCTGTCCTGCGAATCTCGCAGCCTGCGACGAGTCTTCCCCAAAGATTTGCAAGCCCTACTTTCAGCTGAAGCAGGCCGTATCACCTCATGTCGAGCCCTACTACCACACATATGCCGCTCCCTACGTTGAGAAGGCGGCACCCTACTACGACATTGCCAATGAAAGAGTCTTCGTCCCCACCAAGGCCTACGTTACCAAGTATGGCGCCCCTCGTCTGCAGCAAGCCCAGTCCTACGGCCAGGCACAGTGGGAGAAGAACATCCAGCCGCAACTGTCCGTCTACCAGAAGTTGGCTCAAGAGAAGTACGACCAGACTGTCGCACCTCATGTTGCCAAGGCCTCCACCACCGTTGGCCCGTACTACGACATCGCGCGCACAAGTGCTCTCCAGACCTATCACGACGTTCTCTTCCCCTCGTACCAGTTCGTCCAGCCTTACGCCGCCCAGGGCTACGCCGCTGCCTCTCAATTCACTACCGAGACGGCTGTCCCTTCTGCTTACTGGGCATGGAACAAGACCTATAGCTTCCTCGATGCTACCGTTTGGCCCCAGTTCCGGGTTTTGTACATTGAGAATGTCGAGCCTCAGCTAGCTAGGATTGGACAGCGTCTCGGCCGCTACAAGAACAAGACCAAGGGATCGCTCGAAAACGTCTCCGAAAGGTGAGAGCTCACGCATCTAGCTGCCCTCAAAGAGTACTCATTCACATACTGATGATATGTACAGTGGTTCTGCCAAGGCATCTTCCTTCACTAAACCCGCCGCTTCTACCGCCTCGTCGCTTTCCTCGTCTGCTTCCTCGATAGTTTCATCAGCCACTGAGAAGGCATCTACGGCCATTGAAAGCGCTCATATCCCCGATGCATCCGAGGTGGCTCAACACGACGACTCTGAGCAGGTCCACGCGCCCCCGCCTGGCGAGAACGATTCCGACATTCGCAAAATCGCCAGGGAGACGGTCGCCGAGGACCTAAGCAGCTGGCAGGCTAAGTTCGCCAAGGCAGCTGACGAGGGTGCTGCCGAAATCGAGGACCGCGTGGAGGAGATCTCCCAGCGCGTCATCAAGGAGAGAGCTCACGGGCAGGGCAGAACCCTCGTTACCGAGCTCCAGACTGCTGCAAAATCCGAGGTTGACACCCTGCAAAAGCAAATCATCAAGCTCGTCCAAAAGTCCACTGACGCTCCAGAGTCTGCCCAAGAGGAACTACTTGCCAGTGTCCGTAAGGCTGGCCTCAATATCAAGGAGAAGGCTCAAAAGATCCGTGCCTGGAAGTCCGAGTACGAGGCTGAAATCGAGGGCTCTGTCTCGGAGGCGGCTGATACCCATTTCAAGATCCTCGAGAGCATTCGTGACCTGGCTCTCCAGCGGATTGGAATGAAGTGGGCTTGGATGGACGGCATCACTTACAAGGATTGGGCCAAGTACCACGAGTTGAAGGACCGCTTCGCCGAATGGATGAGCGACCTGAAGAAGCTCATCATCACTCATCCCGGCCTGGAGCAGGCCCGAGAGGCTTCCAACGAAGTTGAAGATTCTGGCATGGCCGTCGCCCAAGCTGCTGCCCAAGAACTCGCGAGGCTCAAGCAGGTCGGTCTCTGGAAGCTTGCTGCGAAGGATTCTTCCGATAACTTTGACAGCGAGACGGCGCGTCTTGCTGCCGAGGAAGCCGATCGCGTCCGTGAGGCTGAAGCCGCTGCTGCCACCGCCTCGGAGGCAGTCTCAACCCCCGAGGAAGACCCTCTGGAGTCAGCCCCCAGCGTGATCGAAGATGAGTCCCCCGCCGCCGATGTCAGCAGCGTCGCCGGCGAAGCTGAGGAGAGCTTCAGCAGTGCCACTCCCACCGCATCTTCCGCAGTGTCAGAATCCGCCAGCAGCGCTACCAGCCAAGTGTCCAGCCAAGTGTCCAGCCAAGTGTCCGATAGTTCTTCCAGTGTTGTCTCGAAGCCCGACCTGGCGTCCACTATCATCCCCGGCCAGGACCAGACCTACATTGTTGATACCGACGGAACCTCGCCCGCCGGCGATGATGAGAATGCCGTGCCTGGAGAGAAGCTGGAAGAGGAGATCATCTCTGAATCCGTCGAGGATAAGCCTGTCGCCGCTGTCACCGAGTCTGTGAAGCCCGCTTTCCTAGGAGCTGCCGCTCAATCCGTGCCCAGCAGGGCTCCCATCTTGGACGACGATGAAGATACCGAAAGCGTTTCTTCCAGAGCCCAAGAGGCCTACTCCGCCGCTGTCTCCAAGGCTTCTGAGCAGTACTCGTCCGCCAGCGCCGCCATCTCCATCAAGATTTATGGCACCCCTCAACCGACGGCTGAGAAGCTGGTAGCGTCAGCATCCGGTATCTACGCTGCTGCCATCGCATCAGCCAGCGCAAAGTATGATGAAGCTGTCAAGGCCGCTTCAAAGGCCATCTACGGTACCGTCGCTGCGAAACCTACTCCCTCGTATGACTGGGCTAGCGTCAAGGCTATCGCGATGCAGCGTCTGAACGAGGGACGCTTGGCCGCCGAAGAGCAGTATGAGAGCGCCAAGATTAGGCTTGGTCTCGCCACCGCGACGCCCACCTCCACCGTCGACAAGCTTCTCGAGCAGGCCAAATACAACTACTACGCCGGCCTCGGTGTGGCCCATGCCCGTTACTCCGAATTCCTGGCCGCCGCATCAGCGGCCATAAGCTCCGCGACTGCTACGTCAACCCCGACCAACGTTGCCGGCACTGCATCCTCTGTTGCATCCGTTGCCACTCGCTCGGCTGATGCGGTAGCATCCGGAGCGCAGAAGGAAGCTTTGGCTGTGGCTTCCGCTGTTAGCGACGGGTTTTCGGCGGCGGCATCAATTGTCAGCGATTCCGTTTCCGCTGGAGTTCAAGAAGTTGTGGATGCTGCGCAGGCCATAGAGAAGGGTGTCTCTGACACTTGGGAGGCTGTTGTCAGCCGCGCCAGCGTTCAGATCTACGGCAAGCCTACTCCTACCGCATGGTACGACAACGCCTACAGTGGTGCCGGACAGTACGCGTCGCAGGCTACCGCTGCCGTCGTGGAGAGCCTCGCTGCCGCACAGGTTCAAGCCGCAAAGCAGTACGAGGACATGAGCAAGCTTGTCTCCGAGCTTCTTGTGGGCAAGGAGCCTACCGTCTCTGAGAGCGTGCTGGCTCGCTTGCAGGCCGCCTATTCCACCGGCATTGCCTCAGCTGCTAGTATTGCCAGTGCAGCATCTGCCACTGTCTCTTCTGCCGCCTCGGCTGTGACGGACGCCGTCAAGGAAACCATTCAGCACGTCCGCGATGAGTTGTAAACGGCTCTCATCCATCACCTCCGACACACCACGAAAACATACGATTGCATGAGTAATAGCACACGAAATCATCTCAAACCCCGCCTGAGAGGGCCAATACTTCCATCACGCTCTTTTACGTACCAGATACCCTCGCGCCTCGAGTATCGGGGCCGACTAGTCTCGAAAATTTTCTTTTCTGTACTGCTCTCATCTGGCTACTTTGTAGCGCCGGTCTTGAAGCCATTGAAATTGTTTGTCGTCGCTACGTCTTTGCAAAAGGCGTTGAGCATCTGATTTCTATTTCACGTGTTGCTGGTGGAGGAGGAAGGAAGGAAGGCAAAGATGAGGCTGGCTTGCGAGATAATGTGGCAGAGCACGGAGCCGGCGTTTTACATTGGGAAACTGTCGCGGTTCTTTGGGGATACAATGACCGGCTGGCCCAATACTATTTCATCTTTACGTTTATGTATGCTCACGTGTTATGTCTGCCTGTATTATTACAATTTGCGTAAAGAAAAGATTTGACGCAAACACCACACTGGGTGCTGATAATTCACGAGTGATGAAAGCCAAGGCCAACATGAATGCTTGACTAATTACACAGATTGATGTTGAATATGACTAAGATCACCCGATATGTTGATACAGGATCATTAGCAGGTGTTGGATAGCTAATTGCTTGTTCTTTGAAAATCGGATTGGACGCAAGTTATGGAAGGTGGTCCTAACGATTCAGCTGTCTTCAATTTCAACCCCCGGTATGACCAATCCTCCCTACCTAGTTTATGGGCTGTAGACCCACCGGGTGAAGTTTTCGAAGCAGTTAGGTTGGATGACTTGGCTGGGTGTCGTGAACTAGAGGTGACGACGGCAGCTGATGGCCGGGAGGGTCACGTTGAGACGCCGCGACTTGGTTTTGGGGGGGCCGGGGGGTATTTGATGTCTCGAGGTGGGTGGGTGGAGGGTAAATTGAATTTTGAGATCGCTCGACTATCAAAGGGGTGTTTAATTTGTTGTAGCCTTTGAGGTGATGACTAGAACGTGGGCCAAGACAATATGAAGAGTTTTGGTTTCCTTATTAGAGGGTTCCATCGTCTACTGGACAGTCTGATCGGGGTTTGATGTGGATTTGATCAAGTAGCGAAGCGATGTGAAGGAGATAGTATGTATGCCCCTAAATATGGTTTCTTTTGTAGGACTACACACAGACGTGGGCTTGCAATCTAGGATAATCTCAAAGGAACAATCGTGTATTGAACTTCCGAGTCAACAATTTCAATTTGGAATCGGCGTTGAGCGGGGGATTTCTCGGGGGCTCAGGGCTGTGATCTTTCTTCACGTCTCCACGGCCCGCCAGGGAACCGGCCGAGGTATTAAGCGTTGACTTTCAACCTCGTCCAAAGCCACAAGTCTGCATAGGAACACTTCAGAGTATTCCATTTTGGCTGGTTGGAACGCAGCGTCCGAGAGTTAAAAGACATTCAAAATTTATTTGATAAGCTATTCACCATGGCTCTTGAGGCTGCTTCTTCATTCTGGATTGGCTTGCTCCACGGCAAGTTTGTACATCCTTTTTTTTTATCAAGATCACGGCGGGAGAAGTGTCGAGGGGATGATTACATCTCCCAGGACCCCAGAGGATCCTAATTGTTGAATTACAGAGACCAAATTGCTTCACGGCGGGCGCTCAGTCACAGTGGTCCATACGCGCTCTCGCATTGGGAAAGATAGCTCCCCGTTCACCAGGGCGCATCAAGAAGGGACCCTTTATCCAGACGCGTTCTGAAATGTTCGAGATTTCATTGGGCATAGGCGGAAGCTCTGCAGAGGATTCATAACAAGGCCGAAATAAAAACTCTCAGTCACTCAGCACCAGGCAGCGAGATAAGGGGCGAGCGAGCCAGCACCATCGTGTCACGGGGAAGATGGATCCTCTGCATCTTGACATGCACCACTATGGCGAGACCCGCGATACGGCTACCACAATAAGACCAAAAGGCATCTCTTGGGAAGGGGGGGAATCCTCAGGCAAGACATGATGGTTGGCTCTTCCGCTTGCAACCCCTTGCCGTCACGATTGCAAATCTCGATTTATAGAGACCTTGTGGCCATAAATTTGGTCGAGATTCTTTGAGAATTGATAGGGTGAAGAGGAATGCCAAAAACTGAGTGGTCTCCCCCATCGTCATGGCTTGTCATCATTGCTGTATCAGAGTGGAAATGGTGCAAGCCGGCTGACCTTGCAGAAGCGATTTGATGGGGCAGCGGGAAGCTTTTGGATTCGTCGGCTGGCAAAGGGAATGCAGTCACTGGCAGTCTCGCATCCGACCGCCGAGCAGGCAGCAGAATTACTCGACCCGTGATAGTCGGACCGAGCGCATCGTTGGGCGGAGAGAGAACCCCCGCCACGACTATCCTTTGCGAAATGATACAGACGAAAGCGTCGAACCGTTACACACAAGTTCTTCCAAGTGTAAGGATCTACCGCCGTGTGTCCTGGGAAAAAAGGAGGTACTATGGCGAGCTAGCTGAGCAGCAGATCGTGTCGTTGGTGTATCTGTGGTCCGGTCAAGTCCCGCCCAGACCCTGCTACAGCAATCATGAAGAAGTAGCCAGTGACAGATCTTCCAGAGTACTTTACAAATGTTCCTAATAGGTACGAGTACCAAAGCCCCTCTATGAGAAGGGGGGGCCTTGACTGAAGTCTGTCACTCCCAACGGCGATGTATGGGCAATTAAAGCTGCCGGGTGCCGCGATGTGGATGTGAAGAGGCGATTACGGTGGCAGTAGTGCCGAAGATAGTGTGGATGCCCCTCACTCGACAAGGTTTTTAGTGTTTAGGCAGCCAGATTAAGAAAAAAAAAAGGACGCCAACGATCAAGCCCGTGGGGTCGCCGCTGGAGATACTGGGATCCAAGGTGGACAGCGCCAAGTGCCGTAGTGGGATGGACTTCTGCGACGGAGCCGACGACTGCCTGTCCAGGTAGAAGGTCTATTACTCCAGTTCCTGAACAGAAACGTCTTCCATTAATAGGAGGAAAGGATGGGCTGACCTGACGGCTTTGAGTCGCGAGCCACTAGAACGATGTCTGATGGCGACAGGGTTGGTGCAGGCGGCGGTCCCCCTGGTGTTTCTTGAGATGCTAGCCGGGATGGGTAGACGATGAATTGAGCCTCAGCTTACTCAGGCTTGTTCAGTGTGGAGGCCGGTTGATGAGAAAGCACCCAACGTCGGGCGAGCCAGGCTCCCCAAAGGGAACCTAATGTGAGTGGTGGGCGAAGGAGTCCGAGCCTTAGTTCAATGTGTTCCCGAGGGAGGATGTGCGTGGTATCTTGTGGATAAGTGTGGATGCCCATGTGTGTCGTGTAAGAGATGCCCACTGGGAGGGGAAAGCAGCAGAAAGTTGCCCAAAGACGGGGAAGATGAGCCAACGGGCATATCGTTGCGTGTTGTAGACGAACTGGGTGAAGAGATCGCTGGGGGAGTGGCCTGGCGCTTTCCTATTTTGTTATTCGAGAATAAGCACGAGAGAACGCAATGTGACATGGTGATCCCAGCATGGATTGGGAAAAAGAAGCAGTGGAACTTTGAGCATGTGTTTCCTGAATGAGTGGTGCTCTCGTACATCCAAGTGCCAAGTCCCAGACATTCATCGTGACTTCCAGGTTGAATGTAAATGGTAAATCGCAAATATACAGGAAAGATTGACGGGAGGTACGCAGAAAAGGAACGTACTGTTGATAGTGCGGTCCTGCGTCCCGCGTCGTCTTGCCCCCGGCATGGCGGCTTGGCCAGCCCCGATTGCCCGGGAGGGTCCCACATCGCAGGCTCCAGGATTTCTCTGGCCAATGAAAATGCCCCGGATGAGTGGATCCACACAGAAAAGAGCGGGACCTAGCCGAGACGAGCGACACAAGCGAGACAAGCGAGGCCAAAGGCGCTCCTCCGTCTTCAGGCAGCAGCATTTCCAGCCAGCCATCCAGCAGAGCAGCCCGCGCACCTCACCTTTTTTGCATGTCGCAGCGCATCTCGTCGAATGTCGCACATTTCACAACTACCTTACCTTGGACCCATGGACATCCACACATACGCCCAAGTCCCGTCCACAGTTGCAGCCACAATCTGAATGCTCAGTTAATAGTTGCCTCTGCTAGTCCGAGTCCATCCATCCATCATCCATCGCATCCCGTCGCCGCATCCGCCCCCCTTACCCCGTACCTTTACCTGATGGATTGTCGACAGGATAGGTAGCGAAAGGACCGTCCGTTCCTCACTGTAGGCACCGAAATAATCCAATCCTTCCTCCCGCAGTCTCGGGTCTCTGCTTGGCTTAGCCTTTAGGCCTTTAGGTTGGATCTTTGGTCGCACCAGGTCCTACCTAGACTCCCAGGCCCCAGGCCCCCCTCCCTTCATCTACCCACGCCGAACTTCCTTGATGACCACGACGGGGCCCACGACTTGGACGCCATCTTCTCCCTTCTTCACCTTCTTGCTTCGCACTTGTTCCTTTTGCAACAGCTACTACTGCTACTTTCTCTTCGTCGACGAGGCTAGCCATCATACAACGATTCAATTCACCAAGCTAAAAGAATCGATTGTTGGGTCAAACATTATTATTACCTTACGCAAGCAACACTTGCCGCGTAATCACTCACTTCAGCTCTCTCTCTCTCCCTCTCTTGCTGCGGACTGGTGTCTACGTACTCCCCACATCCTCCCCCGGCCACGACCACTCACAGTCGCATTTCGCCCGCCACAAAGAGCCCCGTCGCCCGCACAACCTGGCACGCCTGGCTGGTCCGCTTCCGATATCCAACGCCGACCCCGAGTCCCGACTTCTCATTGCCACTTCCGGTCCGGACCTTTCCAGAGCCACCTCGCCAGCACAGTCCCCGATTATGTTACTGTTAAGAGCTGCTCACAGACTTATCATCTAATTCCCACGAGCAGCGCTCAGTTTCTTGGGCATCGACACCCTCAGGTCTCATCTTGCCTTGCCGCCTGTTGGTGAGGGGCTCGCTTCATTGTCCCTGACCTGCACCCTGTTTCAACCGCCAACATGGAGGGCATCCGTTCTACCGGCGGCTACATGCAACGACGCCTGAGTCGTCTTTATAACGACACAAAGAAATCCTCAGACTTTGTTCAGGAACCCGTCAAGGCCCCCGAAGACCCCGAGATCAAGTCGCTGTTCAGGAAGCTTCGCATCCAAAAGGACCGCGTATCGACTTGGGGCATCGAGTGGACAGATCCTAACCAGTCAGACGAGATTGACAGCTCACTATCGAAAGCCGGTCTGAGTGAGGTCGTTCACAGCATCCTGTCGACTGTTCGGGAAACGCTATCAGAATTGGATGCGCTGTGGAAGAGCTACACGAACCCTCTAGGCACAGTCTCAGAAAAGTCGGCAGATCGCAAGACCGCTTTTGTGACCTGGGACAAGGCCGTATTCGCCGATGCCATTGGAGACCTCACTCAGTCTGTCGACACATTGTACGATCTTTCCAGAACGCGCTCATCCGCCCAGATGTCGTCGCGTTCCAAGCTTGAAAAGTCCATGGCCTCCACCGAGGAGCTGCGGCCTTTTGAATCCACCAGGATGCAGACGCCTCAAGAAATCGACCCGACAACTTTAACGAATATTCGATCCATGCAGGCCGAGCCCATGACCGAAACCAGAGCTAATCTCCCACCGCGCGACATCGTCTTCATGAGCAAGCAGGCATGGTCAGATCTGTCGCAACACATTGGTCGTCAACCCTTTGCGCCGCTCCTATTGGAGTTCGCGACGTTTGATTCCATGTATGCCATCACGGGTATCATGCCTCCCATGTCGCGCTTCGAGAAGCTGTCAGCCGGCTTGCAGCAGGACTCGCAGAGGGCCCCCGGTACCTGGATCGGTCTTCCGAGACTCCTGGGTTATTTCGAGGATCTGGAACACGCCCGGCTTGGACTAGTTTACCACTTCCCGCCCAACTTCAATGCCGTCTCCTTTGAAAACTTTACGCAAACCCCGCTCTATAATGTCTGCACGCTCGCCGATCTCTTGTCGCGACCAGACTTTGAGCCGACCTTGGAGGCCAAATACCGTTTGGCTTCCAATCTAGTCAACACCGTGTTTGACTTGCACGCCCGGGGTATCACCCACGGCTGCATAATCGACAAGAATGTATCCTTTTGCAACATGTCTACGCCTGACCTGACCACGGGCCCCGGTGAGGTGGACATTCGTCGGCCCCTCATCTCATCTTTTGATCTGTTCCCAGATGCTCCGTCAGATGAGGAGCCAGTCTCGCCATCACTGCCACTTTTCCGGCATCCCCTGGACCCTCGCACCACCCCGGCATCACCGATCAACGATAAAATGGACTCTCGTATCCTCGATCTCTACTCCCTTGCCATGGTTCTGCTGTCCATTGGCCTTTGGACTAAGCTCGACAACCTCGTGACAGACCCCTCGCAGCCGATTCCCGAGTCGGTGTTGAACCAGCTGGGGATCCGTTGCTCCACCCTTTACAAGAGGGCGGTCGAGACTTGCTGGACAGCCGTTGACATGTCACTACAAGGAAACACCTCCGACGATGAACTTCTCTCGGCTGTGCAAGTCAGTGTGTCACGCTACCTCGACTCATGCGCCATCCTAGACAATATCAGTTCTCTCGAAGATCGCCTCAACCTCGACCTCGGAAAGAAGATATCCGTGTCCCCCATCGGCACGCCTTCTCGTCAGAGCATCTCAGGCCCCTCGAAGGAGACGAAGGCGATCACCCGACCTTCCGTCGACACCAGCCGCTCATCATTCGACGCTAAGACTCCCATTTCGGAACCTAGCTCTGCGCGCCGTTCATATCCCTCGGCTGCAGAGGAGAAGCGGCAGCTTGCCAGAGAAGAGGTTCAAAGTGAGTATTGCATCTTGGATTTGGATTGTCCAGACACTAACAACATTGTAGCCGGCCCGGTGGAGCTCCCCGCGGAGTCAAAACCCGCCAAGGCAGCATCTCCCAAAACACGCCTTTACCCGCAGATCCCGTTGCCTCCAGACGCCGTTGAGAAGTGGAACACGCTGGTGATGCCTCAAGTCAACCAAGCACTGCGACACTTTTACCGCAAACACCGCGAGGAGTCGGTCGAAGTTTCTCTCGAGTCTATCGGCAGTTCGCCTACAAGAACACAACCTACAGTCCTTGTTGTGTGCACATCTGTCAGCAAGGTCAAGGCCATACTGACGCGCAAGCTGGGGGAGCTTTTCGAGGGCAAGTCTGGATTCGGCTTGAAGGTCTGCACGGGACAGGTCCTGAGGTCACGGAAACAAGCCGGCGACCCCAAAAGAAGTGCAGCACAAGACGACGAAGACGATGGCGTAGTCAAGGCAGCCAACCCCGACTTTCAGGCGCGTCCAAGCAATGGCGCAAGTATCGGAGCCTGGGTGGGGGACCGTCACCTGTCGCCCGTTAGCTTGGGCGGCCTCGTTGTAGTGGATGATAAGCCGTATGGAATGACGGTTCATCACATGCTGGACGACCCCGACGAAATCTACAAGCACACCAAGGCGCAGGATCCGACGATGCGCAGTATGGCGAGGGACACCGAAGACGCTCGCTTCGACTGGTACGCAGATTCATCGGCAGAGAGCAGCGGCGGCGAAGACTATGCTTGCGAATTCTCGGAATCAGAGGAGTCCGAAGCGTATTCGGAGACGGATGTTACTAGTGAGGCGTCCGACGATGAAGAGAGCGATGAAGAGTCAGAGGGTGAATACGACCAGCCCGGCGATATCCCTGGGGTGGAGCCGGGTTGCGGCGACGGATACATCATCACGCAGCCTGCCATGGATGATGTCGACGAGGAATTTTATGCTTCGGCAGAGACGGCAAACGAAGACCACTTGGACAGTTTTACCGTCGGAGAGGTTTACGCATCGAGTGGCATCAAGAGGAGGGAACAGAACGGACTCATCCACGAAATAGACTGGGCACTTTTCGAATTCGCCGAAGAGAGGCTACCTGAAGACAACTCGATACCCAGGATTCAGAGCAAGCAATTATCGCCTTCGTACGGAAACTTCCCGTCAAGGCAGGGTAAGGTTATGCATCCCATGACTGTGGCGCCGACTACCGCGCTGCCTGGTCTAGAGGTGCAGTGCATGGCGCGTACCAGCGGCCTGCAAACGGGTCTCATCCTGCCCGCCCTGACGAGCGTCAAGATCTTTGGGCGGACGACGCCCAGTCACACTTACCAGGTTAGCAGCGTCGCCACCGAGACGCCTGCCGAGCTGATCGGTGGCGCCAATAAGCAGCCTATGGGTATCCCTGGAGATAGCGGCGCCTGGGTCGTGGAGCGCGCCCATGGACGAGTTTGCGGGCACGTCTTGGCTTGGAGCGGGCGGAAGCGCGTTGCGTATATTTGTCCTATGGACGTCCTACTTCTCGACATTGCGGAGGCCCTTGAGGCGCGAAAAGTTGGGTTACCCGGCGGCGAGCCCGTTGTGAGCCTGAAAGGCCGGGAAGAGGAGGAAGAGGAAGAAGACGAGGGGACCTGCAGGGACGATGAGCCTTCCTCGTCTCCTTTTTTAGACCCCAAGGACGATGACGATTTGGATATCGTTTCCGAGGTCGGAGATGACGACGACCTGCCTGTCCTCGTCCGATCACGCGCCCCTCCGCGGCGACGCGGTACGAAGAAAGGAGAAGATCAAAACCAAGACGAGGGGCAGGAGAAGGAGCAGGAGCAGAAAAAACAAGACGGTACTTTGCAGGAGCGGGAAAAATTTGCTTCGGGCGAGGACCATGATTTATCACGCAGGATGGAGTCTATGGGCATTGGCAGGAGTCGCATGGGCGTTGGCATGTGCAGCTGACTGACTGAGGGCCTCGGGTTGCGCCCGCGCCCTGTAATTGGAATACCCCCTTTGAAATTTCTTTGAGTAGTTTACGTAGCAGTAATGAAGCATGAAGCGAAGTCATCAAGTTTATCAGTTTCTATCCGTGACTTGGCATCAAATTCAGATACGCAGGACGCACGATGTTCCCGACAAGGGAAAAGTCTCAGAGAAAGAGGGGGGTTAGGGGGGGTAAGGTAGACGATGAGGCTAAATGAGTCGATAATGAGTCGATAATGAAAAAAATGGGTTTCTCGCTGTAGCGAAAATGCAACAAAAAAAAGAATTTCGAGAGGACGGAACAAACATGAAGGGAGGGTGCGGTCAGAGACTACATGAAATCGTCCTCCCAGTTCTCGTCGCGGTTCTGGTTGCTCGTGGCCTCCATATTCTCCTCGGTGAAGATGTCGTCGTAGGCGTGGTCCTTTTGCCACTTCTTCTCCTTGCGGTCTTGCATGACGCGGGCCTCTTCTCTTTTCTGGATGGACTTGTTGTCAGCAAGGGGGGGAAAGGTTTCCTCTTCCAAAATTGCCTGTGGCGGAGGGGAAAAAAAAAAAGGAAAAAACACATACCCTCTCGAGACTGGCAGCCTGATCCCTCTTCCTCAGCTCCTTGAGCCGATCATCCCTCTCCTGCTGCAAATCAGGCTTCTTTTCGACTTTGGTCTTGTTCAGGCGGTTGACGATGGGGTTCTCGCGCTGGGCGACGAGGATTTTCTTGACTTTGCGCGGGTCCTTGAAGGAGACTTGTCCGGCGGCCATGCTGCCGTCCTTTTTCAGGTTGGACCAGGGGGTGTAGATGATGGTGATGTTGTCCTTTTTGTTGCCCTCGATGGAGTTTGCTTTGGTGAGCTGGGCGAGGTCGATGAGGAGGGGTTCCGGGATGGCGTCCCATGTCATGGGGGTTGTCGTGGACGGGTCTGCTGGGTCTGGGAGGCGGAGGTAGATGTGGGCGGAGGAGAGCTTGTCTACGTGGAACTTTTTGGGGGTTTTGGTTAGTTTGGTGAGAGGGTGGTGAGGTGAGATTGGCGTACCCTGGTGAGAAGTTAGTTTCGATGTGGTATGAGTGAGAGAGAGAGAGAGAGAGGTGAAATGACCTACCAGACATCTTCCTCCCAGCCGTATTTGATTAATTCCTCATCTATTCTCATTCATTAGTCCCTTTTCCCTTTTCCTCCTTTCCATCGTCATGAGGTTTATAGTGGCATGGAACCCCCGCCTCCATCTTCACACAGCACGGAAACGTACTCTCAAACTTGTCTTTACCGACGTAGATGAAGGCGGCCGGGTCCACCGACTTGGAAGTGAAGTAGTAGACCATTGCGCAAGAGTTGTCGTTCACGCAGTACAGTCCCCCTGGTTTTCCCCGATCGGCTCCTGCAAGAGAATGGACGTTGGGTTGGGATGATATGTCTTGGTCGTTTGCGCGGTGTGGTATTTTTATTTTTTTTTATGGCGGGGTTGTGATTTGGCGATGGTCCTGCGACGAGTTGGAAAGGAGAAATTTCGAGGTGGGGGTGGGGTTTGGGCTGAGGTACGCTTTCCTTAACAGGCTGGAGTCTGTCCACACCACACTCATAGCAGAGAAGCCACGGCGCCTGTTAGTGAGGTAGTTCCGTCGACCAATGAAGGAACTACGAACCTCTGAACTCAACTCGGTCAATGGGACAAAGTGAGGCTCAGTCGAGACTACTGCCTGCCCACCGGCTTTGACTCTTCTCCCTACCATTCCAAAAGTGATTTTCTCTCTCTCTTGCGTGGGAGTCCATATTCTCATTCTCATTACTGCAACTCCTATATCTAATCACTTGTTAAACTTGTACCATCTATTCGGGTCTTCTCGCCTTGGGTACAGACCAGATTGATCTGCGCGCTCAGACAAATGCGCCCCGTCAGCAATTCTTTGTCGCGCCACGCTGTGCCACCAAGGCAAACAAACCTCTAGCGAAACTTTCTTTCGGTGGTGCATTTCAGCCTCACTCTCGCTGACAACACAATTTTGCATTTTCCCCCTACACATTATCAACTATTACATGCCTCCCTCTCTGCAACACATCAACGATACCAGCCATGTCCGACACCTCGCTACATATTCCTTACCAGCGGGCTTCATAAGCAAGCCTTGTTGGCTAAGTGGTATAGCGTCTCACTAGTATTAGTGACATGAGAAGATCGGCGGTTCGATTCCGCCACGAGGCATCATTTGTTGCGATGAAACTCTCATCGGCACCCTTTTTGCATTTTTTATATACAGGTTATTTGTTAGAGTGCGATTGATTTTGTTTAGCATCGTGACAGAACTTCAATTGAGAATGGCCTTTTTTTAACCATGAGGTAAGCTAGGTGAATCCTTGTAGAGTACCAACTTCTCTGGAACAGACATGTCGTGATTCGTTTGTTGATAGTGGGGAAGCCGGACAGGTTCTCGGGTTCTACTAAGTTCAGTCAGCCATGCACGTCGCGTTACGCACCCTTCCCAATCTTCTAGACGTAGCACCTAGTGGCCCTCTTCACCGTCGCCTCTGGCCTGAACCAATTCCTTAATCTCGGCGCCTCCCTCCAGACCTCGAATCGCGGCACCATACTGGCTGACGCAGTCGACGAGGGCCAGATCAAACGGCGTCGTGGTGCTGCCCTTTGTGCCGGTGAAGCGGGAAGTGCGTTGCCAGTGACAGCGATCGATGAAACCTGTGGCGTCGGTGCTCGATCGAATGAGAAGCTGCAGCTTATTGTCTCTTGTGATATTTGCTATTCTTCTCCATCGGAGTGTTTGTCCTGTCTCATTGGCATCTTGGGGCGTGAGAAGAAAGAACGGGTTTGATGACGTCTCTTGGCTGCAATCAAATGTGTTTATTAGCGGGCTACCAGGCTGAGCATAAGGTACTCATGCTATCTGTGTGACTTCAAACTATCAGCCCAGCAACTGGAGTCCACGGGCATGGACAAAATGCGTTTTGATGAACTATGACCAGGCAATGATCTCACTCGTGGCCACAAAACGGTCGAATGAAGAGCATCTTTTTACCAATGCCTTGTCGCATTGCAGGTGCAGCGGCCAATCGGGCACATCCAAGGGAGCTTATGCAGGTGGGCAGGTGGGCAGGTGGGATGGGAGTGGGAGAGAGGAAGCTTGGGCCACCGAGGGGCAGAGACGGCACTGAGCAGTACGTACCCGTCGAAGGCTGACGTGGCCCCGCTCTATTACCGAGTGTTCCTCTTTTGAAGCACCGTGATTGGCCCCGAACCTGGCTGAAGCTGGAGCATCTGCTCCTTTCTCCACCCTCCGGACCACACCTCCGGCGTCCACGGCAGGTATGCAGGCAGGCACGGCAGAGAGCAAGGGGCTCGCGGCTTCTTTGGGATGCGGCGACGTGAACTCTGACATCAACATGGCGAAATGATGGCGATGCTGTTTTCTAGACGCTCCCCTATCATGATACGACTGACAGACGGCCCAGTACTGCCGGGGCACTCTTACTCTGGAGGACGTCCCACCAATGAATGGGGCAAGCAATATGCACTGGCTTTTCAAGCTGAAGAGGAAAGGGACGGTCGTTCTCGACTGAATGGGGCCACAAGATTGACGTCAGGCACTCCTAACCAACTGGAAACAAACGAGGAAACTTGTGAGGACGAATGGTAAGACACAATGGCGAAGGTCGCTTCATAAAGACTGGGGTTTTGGTCATGGCTCGTCCGCCCAGGTTCTGAATATCTTACTTCTTTCCTCTCGTCCCTTACAGCAAACACACATCCCGTCTTTCTTTCTCCCATGAAACATGTCCAGCATAGTCCCCGATACCCTAAAGAAAGCTGGAAACGTCAGAATGGGCCAAGGAAACAAGAAGAATGTTCAGCTTGCTGGGAACATGGTCGAGGTCAACCCAAAGGCTCCCATGACCACCGACTTTGGAACCAAGATCGAGAACACAGATGATTGGCTGAGGGTCTCCAACAATGACAAGACCGGTCCCATGCTTCTGGAGGATGCCATTGCAAGAGAAAAGGTTCGTCTTGGTATCCTATGTCGAAATAGCTGCATACCGTCACTAACACTTCATAGATCCACCGCTTCGACCACGAGAGAATCCCGGAGCGAGTCGTTCACGCCAGAGGAGCAGGCGCCTTTGGAACTTTCAAGTTATTCGAGAGCGCCGCCGACGTGTCAAATGCTGGCGTCCTGACCGACACATCACGCGAGACTCCCGTCTTCCTCCGCTTCTCCACTGTCCTCGGTAGCAGAGGCAGTGCCGACACCGTACGCGATGTCCGCGGCTTTGCTGTAAAGTTCTACACCGAGGAGGGTAACTGGGATATGGTTGGAAACAACATTCCCGTCTTCTTCATCCAGGACGCCATGAAATTTCCCGATGTCATTCACGCAGGCAAACCCGAGCCTCAGCTCGAGTTCCCCCAGGCTCAATCTGCCCACGATAACTTTTGGGATTTTCAGTACCTCCACACCGAGGCCACCCACATGTTCTGCTGGGCCATGTCGGACCGCACCATTCCCCGCTCCTACAGAATGATGCAGGGCTTCGGTGTCAATACGTATACTCTCACCAACGACACGGGCGAACGCCACTTTGTCAAGTTCCACTTCACCCCCGAGCTTGGCGTCCACTCCCTCGTATGGGATGAGGCGCTGAAGCTCGCCGGCCAAGACCCCGATTTCCACCGCAAGGATCTTGCTGAGGCCATTGAGAACGGTGCCTTTCCCAAGTGGAAGTTTGGTATTCAGGTTCTCCCAGAGTCAAAGGAACACGACTTTGACTTTGACATTCTCGACGCCACAAAGGTTTGGCCCGAGGAACAGATTCCCGTCCGCTATATTGGCGAGTTGGAACTCAACAGGAATCCCGACGAGTACTTTACCCAGACCGAACAGGTTGCCTTCTGCACCAGCCATGTCGTTCCTGGCATCGGCTTCTCCGACGACCCTCTCCTCCAGGGCCGCAACTTTTCTTACTTTGATACCCAAATCACCCGTCTAGGTATTAACTGGCAGGAACTGCCCATCAACAAGCCGGTATGCCCCGTCATGAACTTCAACCGTGACGGCGCGCACCGCCAAACCATCACAAAGGGCAACGTCAACTACTGGCCCAATCGCCATGAGGCCGTTCCTCCAGCAAACCACTCCAAGGTGTCCGGTGCCTATGTCGACTTCGCGCAAAAGGTGGAGGGCATGAAGCAACGTACTAAGAGCGCAAAGTTCAAGGACCACTTCAGTCAAGCTCAGCTCTTCTTCAACAGTCTGTCGCCAATCGAAAAGACGCACGCCATCAATGCGTTCGCCTTTGAGTTGGACCACTGCGAGGACCGCATTGTGTACGATCGTATAGCCCAGCGTCTCGCTGACATCGATCTTGGTTTGGCTCAGGCTGTTGCCGAGATGGTTGGTGCGACGTCACCCGAGAAGGCAAGCACGCCCAACCACGGTAAGAAGGCCAAGGGTCTAAGCCAGCTGGAGTTTGAGCCTGAGACGCCCACCATCAAGTCGCGTCGTATTGCCATCATCATCGCCGACGGCTTCGATCCCGTCGCCGTCAGTGCTATCAAGGGTGCTGCCGCCGCAGCTCAGGCTACCCCGATGATCATTGGCACTCGTCGCTCCGAGATCTTCCCTGCCGGCGCATCAAAAATGGCTGGCAACGGAATTGTGCCCCAACACCACCTCGAGGGCTTCAGATCTACCATGGTCGATGCCATTTTCGTGCCCGGTGGTGCGGATTCTATCAAGACTCTTTCCAAGAACGGCAGGGCTGTCCACTGGGTCCGCGAGGCCTTTGGTCATCTGAAAGCCATCGCTGCCACTGGCGAGGCCGTTGACTTTATCCAGAACGCCATCTCTCTTCCCGAGGTCTCGCTGTCTGGCGATGGCGACGTTGTGGAGAGCTACGGTGTTGTTACGATGAAGTCGGTCCGTCCTGAGAGCTTGAAGGAGGCTTTTGAAATCGTCAAGAACAGTAAGGGTTTCTTGGACCATTTCTTCTACATCATTTCTCGACATCGCGTGTGGGCGCGTGAGCTTGATGGACTGAGCACACAGCTGGCGTACTGATTGTACAGTAAATCTTATCCTCTGGGTTGGCAACGGCGTTAGGTACTCCATTCCGAATAGCTATGCAGTAAAATGAACGATTAATGATGGCTACATTTTATATTCGCAAGGGCTTACAATGTCGTGACTTGTCCCAAGTCCTCTGCAAGCCGAAATTGCCTACGATGGCCAATATTGCTTAAATTCAAGTGAAATATCATCTTTCTGGAAGCCAGTCCGTTGGTTAGATACAGAAATTCAAGTATCGAAGTGGTCTTGCAATCAATTTCGATTAAGGGCTTAAACTGATGTATATTCTTAACGTATATTTTAGGCTCAAAAATCCCACCATCACAGCACCCTTCTTTGCTCAGGTATTTGTAGCAGTCGTCGTCGTGACTGGTGCCGCCGTTGTAACAGCAGTTGTCGCCGCCGCTGTCGTCCCAGATGCCGTCGAGCTCCCGCTTCCCGAACCCCCGCCCTTGACTACAGTAGCCCTCACAACTTGCCCGAGCGTGTTGAAGACGATATTCACCAGCGAACTAAGCGGCTCGTACGAGTACGTCTTCTGCGTCAGCCCGTTGCCGAGATCCTGCTGGGAGCCCGTAAAAGTCATGTTCTGCTGGTAATTCCCAATAATAGAGCTCAGCGCGGTGGTCCCCTTGTTGGTGACCTCCTGTACGATATTCCCCAAATTATCAATGATGAAGTTAATCTTGGAGTCGCCGTTGACGATAGAGCCGAGCAGGCCGTCCACGGCGCCAACGACGTCATCGACGACGTCGCCGACGGTGTCGAGGAGGTTGATGAGGAGCGGGTTCAGGTCCAGGGAGGCGAGGGTGCGGTTGACAATGTCGACGAGGTTGCCGAGGCGGATGACGAGCTCGAGCTCGGCTTCGACGTCGACGATGGTGATGTTTACCTTTTCGATGCTGACTTGCACGCCCGCGTTGATGGTGACGAGCTTGGCGACCTCGGCGGCGAGGTTGACTTCCGCCGAGAGGTTGTCCACGTCGAGCTCGATGCGGCCGACGGAGATTTCGGGCACTTTGAGGTAGACGTCTGCTGGGGGGGTCGTTGTTGTTGTGCTGCTGCTACCGGTAGCGGTTGTCGTGCCGCTCCCCCCGGACCCGGCGTTTGCGGTTGTGCCTTTTGTTGCGGTGGATGTTGGTGTTGGTGGTGGTGCTGAGGCGTCTGGTATTGATGGGGATGGTTCTGCGGCGGCGGAGGTGGTTGCCTCGGGGGTCTCTGTCGCGGTGGGAGTTTGCGCCGCGACGAGGGTGATGAAGAGCGCCAGGAGGAGGGAGATGATGGAGGACCGCATTTTGGCGGGTGAAGGGTATGAGAGCTTTTACAAAAGAGTGTGTTTGTGGGTTGGGATGTGTCAAAGGAACGGACGAGGAGCACCAGGTGAGCCAGACTGACAACGCTGGTGAGCTGTGGGACGGGACGAGATCGCGATGTAAGGGCTTGCATGGGGGATATAAGGCGGCATCGTGGGAGGACATCGAGGTTTGTCTTTTTACCTCATTTATCCTAGCATCAGCCCTCCCACCCCCCTGCCCATCGCGGAGTCTACATCACTACATGTAGGTACGTAGGTAGTCATGGGTGAGATCCATCATCCATGCCACTTACACACATGGGATGCAGCATCCGCACTGGTGCAATGGCGGCGCGGTCTCCATATCTAGGGCGGATATGGGCAGCGGTCTCGAAGGGCTCGAAGAGGCGGGTGACCCACACCCCTTTTCCCATGGAGCCTCCCCGGTAGTCGAGCATCAAGCTTCTTGTGTTCTCGATGCACATAGGGAGACTGGCAGTGGTGAGACAAGATGACAAGCTGCAAGCCACCGGGCCGACGGGCTGCATGTGGCGAGCATCTCTGAAAAAACCTTGGAATATTCCATGTCTGTGTGGCTCCCCCGGGTTCGGATGGACCATGGTATCATGGATGGATGGGAAATTGGGAGATTGCCCTCTTCTTTTCGGCTCATATCTCATCGCATCATGCCTTTGGCAGCGAGCGTTGGCTTTGTTACATCGTGCGCAAATCAAGGTGTGACAAAATGTGTCACTTGACGGGGGGACCAGTCGGGGGATTCCCTGGGGCGACGGAGGCGCGGCGTGCGGGGGGTGCTCCCGACCACGAGACCCGGTCCCTCGAGTGTGGTAGAGAAAGAAACTCACCTTATCAACCAGGATCTGACGTTGATGTGGAGGGGGGAATATATGCTCTTGTCACTGGATGTAGTGACGATCCCGAGCATAGCCTGTCATCAGATCTGGGACTTCTTCACTTCCCCTCCCCCTTCCACTTTCCAATAGATGGCAATAGATGGACCATACTTGTATCGTTTGGTTCCCCAGCATCATTGAATCTGCGACTTTTGCTCTCGTCCACGGCCCTTTCACTCATTCGTCTTCCATCCGTCTCCAACGGGCCTGCCAGCGTCATCTCAGTCACTCCTTCATAAACAAAACCAAAAGACATCCCCAACGAATCTTCACCATGGGTTTCTTTATCACCAGGGCCTTCGCCGTCCTCACCCTCACAGCCCTGACGCTCGCCCAGGACGAACCTAAAGAAGACGGCTATATAGGCTACCACCTCGACCGCCGCGGCGACGACAACGAGTCGGCCGTCTACGAAACGGCCAACACAAAGACAGGCATCGACGCGCTCAACCCCATCCCGGACGTGTACCTCAACGCGTCCGTCTCGGTGGGCGAGATCAGCATCGAGGTGCAGAACCTCACGGCCAAGGTGAACCTCGACGCAAAGGTGCTGAACCTGCTGCAGTTTCAGGCGGGCGTGGACGCCAGCATCGACCGCGTCAAGCTGGGCATCTACAACATCTCAGCCAAAGTCGAGCTCGAGGCGCGCCTGGAGAATGTAGTCAAGATGGTCGACGACGTGCTCACGAGCATCGACCTGAACCCCGTCATCGCGACGCTGGGGGATACCGTCAAGGACGTGGTCAACAAGACGGTCGGCGTCGTCACGGACCCCGTACCGAGCGCCGCATCGTCTTCGTCGTCCGTGGCGAAGCGAGACCTGGCGATCCGCCTCGAGAATAACATACTATACTCGGTCAACGACTTTTCGGGACGCACGCACACGAACCGCGTGCTCGCGCAAAACGGCTCGCTGTTCGACGTCTACCTCGACAACAACGGCAACGAGAGCGGGCGCAAGGTGGTTGGCTTCTACAGCCGGGACATGACGTTTAGCGGACACAACAAGACCATCTCGATCGACGGGCAGGTCAAGGAGTTCGAGCTGCAGTATCTTTACGCGCCGTATCCGGGCCTCGAGGCGTTTAGCAACATCTACCTGGACACTACGGGCAAGGTCGTGAGGACCAAGATTGTGGCTGAGGCGGAGGGAGGGGGCACCGCGACGATTAGCAATGACAAGGGGGATGGCCTATAGGGCGCCCAGAGGTAGGCGAGCGCGCTGGGTTTCACAAGGGGATAATAAGAATGGGAATGAGAATCAGAGACCTTGAGTTACCTGTTGTCCTCAATCGGGATTTCGTTCCAGTAAGGTATTCCAGGACTGCCTATGATATGACGGTAACCAATGCGGTAGTGAACGTGGAATTGCCCGTTGAGATGGTGAGGCATGCCAATCTGGAAGCAGTCAGACCTCCGACGCCTGGATCGTTCGATTTGAACCGCCCGGGGAGCCGCTTGTGGCCCGTGGAACAGGCGTGTGGGTTGGGTGGGATACAAGAGGTGAGAGATCGGCCGGGGTATATTTGGTAGGAAGGATGAATTAGTACCTATTCCCTCGATGACGGCTTTTTCGACTCTGATACCTTGGGTGGAACGCGGTCAAAGCTGCGAGCACGAATCAGATAGCTAGAGGCGCTCCCAACGTGTAATGACAGTCGAGAAAGGGGATGACATTGTGACGTTGTGACGTTTGGCGGCGATATGTGGAGTGTGTTATGATAATCACGGCTTTATTATGCCTGAGCCACCATCGAGGAACAAATCCTCCCTACGCAGACTGTACAATGTAACGCTCAGAGTTCTCGGGCTGGGCCTTGTTGGAAAAGGCCGGACGGCAGATCTCGGCCCCCTATTTGCCATTCTTGTGATGAGCCGGGCCGCGCACGGCGCGCGGTGAGGCCGTATCCCACTTCATCCCGCTCTATCCTCTGGGTTTGTGTACCTTTGTGAAGTTGATAATGAAAAATTGTGGAGTTGAATGCGACTCTGCTCATTACTTTCGTTGCGACTCGTCTCCGCCGAGTTTGCTGGTCGGGTACAGCATGCAATGTGTCACTGTCAAGACGACTGCAAAGGCCAGTACCGCAGCGTTGCACCCATTGATGGCCTGGCCGAGTGGGTGTGCCGCTGACTGTGACTACAACGCATTGGGGGAGCAATATCAAAGCCTCTTTGGATCGTCTCAGCAAGCCTCCCCCCTGGCACTAGTGCGTCTACACGTGTAATCGTAATGGTTAGTCAAGAACGGCTTTTATGGTGATCTCGCTAACAGTCGCTTAACTTGAAGCTGTCCCAACGGTTGACGCTAGCATCAATGCGCGGGACGGCTATATTTCCTTCTCCAAAAATATGATGTATAACTTGGGAGCCTGACTGGACTGCACCAACAACGGCGGCCCCTGAGCACGTCTAGCCGTAAGTCAAAGCCTCTACGCTCCAGTTTGTCTCAAGTCTTTTAGGATTCAAGCCACTGCAGAAACCAAATCTGCTTACACACTCATCTCATATTGATTCCCTGCTGTGCCTGTTTGCCACGGTCGGTCCAGCCCTCTCGACTGAATCAGTCAAATATATCCCTGTTGAATTGAGGGATTCGTAGGCGAACTGACCCACAGATCAAGGAGATTGTACACTAGCTCAGTATCCGCATAGATAGACGCAGGCTCCAGCCGCCGCCACCCATTGTGGGCATTACCCGAAGTCGATCGCGGGGTTCGCGGTCCCGTCTGCCCACCGCCATTGGGCCACAATTATGACGGAAGTCTAGGCCCTCTTCAGCGGAACGTTCTTTCTTGACCTTGCCAATGCCATTCATCCATTATTGGCAGATGCAGAAATCAAGGCACAGGAAATTTGACATGTTTCATCCCTACGACTTTTAAGGAGGGCCCAAGGGGATGATGGACCTGTGTGCGGTGATGCGTCCTCTGGTATGCGATGCAACCTCGCGACGTGACGAGATGAGAGCGAAGAAAGTTTGGTACCGGATAATTATTATGCTTGATTACTTGTAGCTGGCTGGCTGACTGACTGACCCTTTTCCGCCTTGACATGATCTAATGTTGGCGACAACGCGATCCTCTGTGGCATATCGACCAAGGCATACTCATACATCCATTGGCCATCCTGGGTTGACCTGCCATATTGCGACGTCCTATGTTTGTTCGCTGCACTGCCATTCCCATCATCTCATTTCGGAAAAGGGACAGAAGGGGGCCCATGCGGATGAAGCCCAGCGATTGCGTTCCCGCTCGGCAACTCTCTTCTTCCCCGATGTGTCGTCATTCAGAGGGCATGCTTGCGAATCGGGGTGCCGGGGTGGCCCACGCTGTTGTAAACCCTCATGCCCGATATGAGCATAGGCCTAAGCTGGAATACCCCGTCTATGCTCGTGATGCTAACGGTTCTGCTCAATGCCCAGGAGTCGCGTTTGCATTCAGCGGTGAGATAGGCCTGCCGGTATTTGAGTACATAAGATTCAACCCTTGCACACGTGTATCACCCAGTCCAGCGTGATATTTCCGTAACTATTTTGGGCTGCGATACTACATAACCTTCCCTAGAGCGCAAAATAAGATGTCCTCGCCCTCAATGTCTGGTCGTCTCTGCATCTACCAACAGTGCAACGTTCACGTGCAACTGCGAGAAGTTTCTACTCAAACAATTAAGTTGATGTCGTTGTTAATCCCGTCTGAAAGCTGTGACTCATCATAAAATCCCACTAGACTCTCTTGCGTCAACCTCGAATTGGGGCGGTACCTTACAAAATGATGCTTGCTTATAACTTCTCTTGATGCCAACGCAACTGTGGGTGAATTGGAGTATCCTCATGTGCACTTTTGTAGCGAACAAGATTTGCGCTCTTGCAACACTATCTGGCGTGGACACCCGATTCAGAGCCAATAATACATGACAAACGTACCTTTAGACTCTGTTAGTCCAGAGCTGCTCAACTCAAGCGCGCACGTCTGACCTGCAACTGATATTTGTAGCAGGACTTTGCTGATATTCTTAGTGGGTGAGCCATCTGATATCTTTTCGCTTCTTAGCTACCACTGATTGACTTCGAGAACGGTTGAACGCGCGAATATCATTGCTCTCTAGATGACTTTCAACACCTGTCTAATCTATTGTATCGTTTGTGACCAACCTTTAGATATCTCCCCACAACCACACCCAAGCAAACGTGACTTTGCGAGTTACTGCTTCCTTCCAACTTTCAACGTTGAGCACCCCTCGCGATCGAGATGTTCAACCCTGTCGTAGCATCGTGGCATTCATCTCCGCGGCTCGAAATGAGAGTCTCGGCTCGAACCTGCCCGATACTTCTTCCAGTCGCTCATTGTGCCCATGAAGTGGCACATGGTTCTCGTCACCGAATGAATGAAGCTCGTTCCAATCAGGCGCCCCCTGACTTTCGATGGGCGCGCCTCCATCGGCTTCGGCTGCGAAAGAAGAAGGAGATGGCTCTGCCGTGGTGGGCAGAAGCACGTTCGTGCTCTGGCTGCTTGGTGGGCCTGCAACGTCTCCGTCTTAATTCGGACGGATCGTGCTCGACTCTGAGCCGCTTCTGGACCAGGGTATAACTTGCCCTTCGCCGTCTCTCGGAGGATGGGTGAAACGCCACCACCACAGAGCTACGCATGAGCCAAGAATCGTCGCCATAGCAGCCATGGAGATTCCGAAGATGAGTAAAGGCACCGAAGGGCTTTTTCTATACTGGAGTATAAGGAGTACGATGGCAGCGACGATGGCGGTAAGCGAGACCAGCACTAATATTAGCTGTACAATCTGGCGCAAGTTGGTGGCGTCTGCAACGTAATAGCGGAATTTGTCCTTGTACTTCCTGAAGGCGTGTCGAAGATGTGAGGACATAATAATGGAACGTGGGGGAAGAGATATAGGCTTGGTATAAAGAATGTAGGCGTGATTCTTGTGGCGTGTTTCTAGGCTGAAGTTTCTGTGGCAGGGAAAGGGCTACACTGGACTAGATATAGACATTAATAACTCTAGCAAAATCTTCTTTAACCTCACATGCGCGTTGAATTTCTTTCTCTTCTTGATTCTGATATGCTCACTTTGTCAGTTGTCACCTCCTATTTACGGCGCTAACATTAGTTTCGTTTTCACCTTCTTGGTCGCTGTTTCGAATCAAGCGGGATGACCTTTCAATTACTTACTATATGAAGTTGTGAACCAAGCGTTTGATTCTTTATTTACCGCGGCGAACCATGATCCTGTTGCTCTTTTCTCTACTTACTTTAACTACTAGACTGTCAGAGATGGAGCAGAAACCCCGAAAAACTGGAGTCTTGTTACCAATACTTTCAGTCACTGAATCATCTATGCGATCCATCAAAATACAAACGGGAGACTGTTACAGTACGAGACATCGAGACCAAGTCTCGCTTTCCAAAGTAATCGACAAGCTTCATCTTTGTCTTATTAATATATACCCTCAATCCCCGTTCAAAAAATCCTCTTTATAGAGCCTCTAGCTACTTAGAAAGAAGGCGGCGTTCATCGAGCATGTATCAGGCGAAAAGAGAATGCAAACTGGTGTGACAGATCGTCTGAACATCATTAAAAAACGCAAAAAGGAACCCGAAGAGTGGCTTCGCCAATCGCGGTGAGGATTTGAGCCTCACGCGGGGGTCGAACCCGCAACCTTGAGATTAAGAGTCTCACGCTCTACCGATTGAGCTAGCAAGGCGGGTCTTATTTGATGAAGACTTCGCGAAAATCAGGCACTATGATTTTTCCCTTAGTCTCTGTGGCGCCGTAGTGTGGCGGAGCGAGCGGGGTCGGGCGCGCAGCTACGTCGCGTGGCTCAATATGACCCTTCATACCGAAGGGCACTGGCGTTTAGACGGCCACAGTGAGAACGAGGATATCTAACTATCCTTCTTCTACGCTAACACAATTCTCAAAAATTGAAAGGCGAAAACACCGAGAGCCTGGCAATATAAACTGCGAGATTCCATGATGGTCCTATGACTGTATTGCAGCTAGAAGAGAATTGATCGTGTAGCTTTCACTCAGGTAAACTGTGGAGGCACGTTGATAGTTTGGCCCAGGGGATGTCAAATCGCTGCAGACTGTGAGATTCATGTTGCGATCTACTGATTGATGAACATCGCCCCGTTATATAACTATATTCAGAGGACTTACCAAGCCGTGTTCAACTCGGTCATCTTGATTCTAATTTCTGGGACCCGCAAGGTTCGGAAAGCCTTAGATTAGAGAATCAGAAAATGAGTTACCTCATTCGCAGTGACAATGTTATATACTACTGCGAAAATAATGGGTTCGACATGAATTCACCGTGACGACATGTCATGCTACGCCTTTAAAGCCCTGCTAAGAATAGAAACCCATCATTTCAAACACTGTCTCCCTTCACGGATGCTCGAAGAGGTGCATCTTCATTTTGCATCCATCGGAGCCCCGTCGCCCAGCTCTGCCCTCGGCACCTCCCGCTCGGTGCTGTCCAGCTCACTGACCGGCTGCAAATCCCCTCTAATAGCCGGGTATGATGGAAGATGCCGCACACCCATATTACGGCCACTGAGAGAGCTCACATTGCTGTCAGAATAGGTCGACACGTGGCGCGGGTCGATGCTCATGGGCGATCCGGGGTGCTTCGTGGGATAGTAAGGCGAGTTCGGAGATGATAAAGGGGCGTAGGAGCTGGGAACGGCTGTTGTCACGTACGATGCTATGTCAAACGTTAGTATCGATCCGAATTTGGCCTCACACTCTGCCCATGACGGTGAAGACTTACCGTGGGCTGAATCGTAGGGGTTAGGGCTGTTTGTTGAATATCCCATCTCCGGGTGTTGACTCGGATGGGGACTTTGGACGGCAGCCTGAGCAGCCTGAGAAGCCTCCCATGCCGGCGGCTCGCGTCTCTCGTTGCGCTTCCTGGCGTGCCAGCCGCATCTCCAGATCATCGCCACGATAATACCGACAGCTACCGCAGCGCCGATGGCAATACCGACAACGGCTCCCGTCCCCAATCCGCCGCCACCACCCTCTCCGGGAGAAGACCCAGTCGGAGCTGCCGTTGGCGTTGGCGACGCCGACTGCGTAGGTGTCACGGACTCATCCGGTACGAACACGGCCCTTGAGCTCGCATTCGAACTCAGCGTCGCCGAAATGAGATTCGTCGCCGGGCAAAGCCCATCAGGCTCCCGACATGGGTTCGTCGCGCAGCACCCGATGAAGGAGATGTCATTGGTGCAGGTCCAAAAGATCTCGCTCGCCGGCCTCGCGTCGTCGCAGCCCTGGGCCGGTATGTTGGCGTAGCGGTCCGGGTTGAAGGCCGATATCCTCCTGTCCTTGGTCGGGCACTTTCCGCTGCCGTCGGCGCAGGGGTTCGTCGCGCAGCAGCCTAGGAACTCTACCGTGCTCCCCTCGCAGATATAGAAGTCGCCGCCTTTGGGGCAGCTCAGACCCAAGCTGGCTACCGCCATTGTAGTAGGTTGGTGGATGTGAAGCTGTAGTAAATTCGGTCTCGGTTGGAGGCTCGAGAACACTATCGGGGTCTAAGGATGGAGGTCCAAGTTGTATAGCATGTGGAAACCACAGCAGAGAGAAACTTAACGAGACTTGGTGGAAACACATGTTGGTGCTACTTGAGACACACGTTCAAATTGTATATAAGCTCATAAAGCGCAATCGAAGAGGGTCACACATAGCCGGGAAGCGGCCAAGCCTGCAGCATGCTGATCGCCGACTCGACAGGGCACATCATTCGACACGCCGGACTGATACGGGGCTGCTCTGACGATGCAACTGCAAGCAGGCTAACAGCCTAGTTATCCTCATTCTTTTTTTTTTTTTTTTTTTTTTTTTTTTGACTGCAGGCAGACAAACATATGTCTACTTGTTGCAAGGGAAGGGGTTGGGAGGATGCAGCCAAATCTCGAACTTGCGGGTCTCCACAGCCTCTTTGGGGGCACAAACTAGGAAGCCTGCTTTCGCTTGACATCTGGAATTGGCGAGCCTTGTCTCTACCTGCTGTGCTACTGCGAGTTGATGGAGAAAGTGTCTAAATGTAGGCCCTGCCAGTCTGTTGGAGTTGATCCGCGTCTGCTGTGTGTCTTTCTCAAATCTCTGCAGACAACCTTTTCTGGTTGTTTGCCACCTCGGAGGCAATAAAGATTAGACACGGAGAGACCGGGGGGAGACGAGAATCGCTTTGTTGGTCGGTGCCATATGTATAGAGATGGTGATCTCATTGGACATGTTGGGGGAGCACAAGAGAGCAGATGGGCAGACAATCGTCAAGTCGTTGGAAGCAACATAAACTTTTCCAATGAGTGCCAAGTGGGGGACAAAAAGAAGGCATAGTTTCTAACATATACATACTCATTCTTTACCTAATAATAGCAAATAGAGAGCTAAAAAGACCAAGAAAACGCTCAAACAATAAGGAGCGTAAAGGAAATATCCTTTAGTTTTCAAATTATTGATTCAGGTGGAAATGGGTATGTGAGTGATGAAAGAAGGTCGTGGTAGAATAGAGAGTCTGCGCTCTATTTTGTTCCCCACTCGAGTGCATACTCGGCGAGATAGTTCTGTTGGTTGTGAAATTGGATTGAGTCTGTTGGTTGATGATGTGATGGTTGGTTGCGTTGGTGGTGGTGGTGGTGGTGGTGGTACGTGGGTTGGGCAGGCTGTGGCTTTGTACTTTGAAGGATCACCTGCGGAGTTCTTGGCTGCTCAGCTAAGGATCAGAGTGAGATGCGCTCGTATCGCCTCCTCCTGGCAACTGAGCAAAAAATACGAGAGCAAAAGAGTTTCGTAGTGGTTGCAACATGAACTCAGTCCTAATCCAGGGGGGGGGGGCAATCGCTGACAGGATGGCAGGATTCCAAAAAGTTTCCGAGGCTACGGTCGGATTCACTACTGGGTCGGCTCATCGTTGATAGCCCGTAACGAAAGAGGAACCCCAATCGATTTGTCCGGGCAACCAGTCGTCTCGTGTTCGCGCTTGTCCGTAGAGTCTAAATTTCACCTTTGATAAAAAAATGTACCTCCTCCATAAGCGAGATGACAATATCCGAGAGGAAGAAGGAGGGTCGGGGAGAGAGGAGGACAGGGAATCTCGCTGACAGCCCCGAACAGGAGCCTCGGTGCTGGCTGCGTGTGTCATGAACTTGATCGTGACAGCACGGCTCGCCAGATGGTGTCTTGAAGGCCTCCGCCGCCAGACGAAGTCAGCATCCTGAACATTCTTTGGCGTCGAATTGGCTTTCGCCACAAGTTATGCTTGGAGAGGAAAGTTGATCGCAGAACGTTATTGGTGAGAGGGGGGGGGGGGATAGTAAGCGCATTCAAACTGTTTTTGCGACCCTTTGACAGCAATTGTAAAACGGATTCTTCGCTTGCCAGCACAGCATTCAGTCTGGTGCTTGTTGGTCCCTGAACCCTCAGAAACAAAGACCAGGTATTAGAGCTGAGTCGAAGTTGATCTCGTGAAACAAAATTGTACATCACAGAGTCACCGTCATGGTATTTTGGATTTAGCCAAACATTACGGGGATAGTGTGAGCCATGCGACAAGTGCGGGTGGACGCCGATGAAATTGCCTTTTTTTGGGCGATTTTTTGGATGAGGGAGGGGGGGGGAGCCTGGCGAGGATCTCCTGGCGAGTACCGTTTCCTCGAAGACCCAGCCCGGAGGCAACGCAGCCATTAGCTTCAGACTCCCGGGCCGGGCCATGAATCGAATGGGAGGCTTCATTGCCACACAGTCACACAGAGTTCACTGCTGACTCGGGGTGGCTTAAATTTGTCGGGCCTCCATGACCGCAACACCTAGGGCCCGGTTCCAAGGCTGCTTGACCCTGGGAAGGGCCCAGCTCCGGACCCGAGAATTCGGGCTTGAGCAAATCTTGCCGCTAGAACCTTTAAGCCGTGGAATGTACAGCAATGTATCACGGCGGACACCGGCTCGGCCTGGGTCCTCTATTGGTCCCGTCACCGCGGTAGGAACCGGTACCGATGCCGTCTCTCGAGGTGATGAGGCCCCTTGGACATGTGGGTACCAGCTCTCCGGAACCTTTGCACCCGATACACAATCCAAGGGTGCGGTTCTGGTGTGCAAAGGCTGAAGATCAGACGATGTCCTCATCATTGACATGTACATGGCGATAAGGAGTACAACCTCACCAGTCTGCAAACTCACTTCTGCGTTCAAGAAAACGCCGAGCATCTATCGCCGTCGGTGATGCGGATGTTGTGCTGGCATCGCACGGCGAGCGGATTCACGCAACACTTCGGAACGAAAAACCTTCAATCTCGCCGCAGCATCGCGTAAAGATAAGCGGTACCAAGTGCGGCGATGTAGCATTGATCCTCTCGGACGGCGTCGAGAATCCTCCCAGACGGCCGTCGAGACTCGTGGCGGCGCCCCATCCAGTGGTTGACCGGCAACCCTGTTGATCAAGGTGGCAGCACTTGCTCTGGTGATCCGTGGCCGGGAAGTGGAGGAGGCGGCCCCCCATGCCCGGGGAAAAACCCCGAATCCTCATGTCTCGAAGAGCATCGCATCCGAAAGACCTGCGGGGCATGTGGACATCAGTGCGCATCGGCGAAGCTGGACGTCGTCCGAATAGCGAGAAAAGAGCGAGTACACGTAGGTAGCATTGAAGGCACGTATGGTGATCTCCCCAGCCAGCCACCGGCCACCAAAGGGGTTCGCGCCGAATGTGATGGCGAGCACCAGCGACCTTGATGAGGGTACGGCAAGGGCTCATAGGGAAGCCAATGATGCCTCTGTGGGTACATGTGTATGTTTGAGGGCGAGCAAAGGGATTTATGGCGGTGGGACGTACCGCCTTGGCTTGCAGCCGGGGCTCGGTCCGGACGGTCTCAATCACTTCCAACTTCCTCCTGATGTTCCTGGGCAACTAGGTTACAATTAGGGAGTAAGAGCGGCCACTGAACCGCGTCGGTCGTGTGGGTGACCGTGGTCTGGTCGACCAAGCGCGCCAAGGGACCGACCCAACCAAGCGCTAGTTCAGGGACAATGAAAGGCAAGATCAGCCCAAAAACAGAGAATAGGGATGGACACTCACACACACTCTCTCTGTGGCGTTGCGTTTAACTGTCTTCGGCTCTCGCTTTTTGGTGCGGGAAGCGATGTGCAGCGTTGGGAACTAGCACCAGGACCTTTGAGCCGTCTCGTTTCACGGACGTCCGGAGGCGCACGTCCATGTCCGGCGGTCTCTCCACGGGCGTCCGGGCGCGAGACGAACCCCTTCAGGTGAGGCGGTTTCTAAGAGGGGAAAGTGAGTAAATAGAAACAATGGAGTTGTTGGAGCTTGTTGAGGAGAATGCCATATTTAACGACCTGAAAATCCAACTTTCATAGCCTCTCTTTTCGATACACTCGGCAGAGCTCACTCACTCACTTAAGCAATTGACTCATCGGCATCTCCACGATCTAACTCTCTTGACTGAATACCACCTAGCTCCAACACTCTACAGTCACATAAACCACATTCAAAATGCCTGGCGTTACTTCTACGGGTTCCAAGTACGATGCCATTCCCGGCCCCCTGGGTTTGGCCTCTGCTTCCCTCGAGGGCAAGGTCGCTCTCGTGACCGGTGCCGGTACGTGTCATCCAATGCATCCCACTTGACGGGATGCGCTCTCTCGGGAGAGTCGCAAGCGACTTTCAGCAAACTTCCACCACATATGCCGGGTGCACATCGTGGTGTGGTCTGTTCGTCTGATCTCAGCCCAGCTAACGTAAGCATTCTGCAGGCCGTGGTATTGGTCGTGAAATGGCCCTGGAGCTCGGCCGTCGCGGTGCCAAGGTCATCGTCAACTACGCCAACAGCGCCGAGACCGCCGAGGAGGTCGTCCAGGCCATCAAGAAGTCCGGCTCCGACGCCGCTTCCATCAAGGCCAACGTCTCCGACGTTGACCAGATCGTCAAGATGTTCGCCGAGGCCAAGAAGATCTTTGGCAAGCTCCACATTGTCTGCTCCAACTCTGGTGTCGTCTCCTTTGGCCACGTCAAGGACGTCACCCCTGAGGAGTTTGACCGCGTCTTCTCCATCAACACCCGCGGACAGTTCTTCGTCGCCCGCGAGGCCTACAAGAACCTCGAGGTCGGCGGCCGCGTCATCCTCATGGGCTCCATCACTGGCCAGGCCAAGGGTGTTCCCAAGCACGCCGTCTACTCTGGTTCCAAGGGAACTATCGAGACCTTCGTCCGCTGCATGGCCATCGACTTTGGTGACAAGAAGATCACCGTCAACGCCGTTGCCCCCGGTGGTATCAAGACCGACATGTACCGGTAAGTGCACACTTCAACGCAATTCAATATTCTTCAGACCAAAAGCCTAACAGACCAAAAAGTGACGTCTGCCGCGAGTACATTCCCGGTGGCACTGAGCTCGATGACGAAGGTGTCGATGAGTACGCCGCTGGCTGGTCCCCCATGCACCGTGTCGGTCTCCCGATCGATATCGCCCGTGTCGTCTGCTTCCTGGCTTCCCAGGACGGCGAGTGGATTAACGGAAAGGTTCTTGGCATTGATGGTGCTGCCTGCATGTAAAACTATACCTCACCTCATGTAGTAATCGGAGTAATGGGCATCGAGCGGGGATACTAGATTGGTTACTGTACATTTTAGGTTTAGACATCGGGGATGTAATGAATAAAACCATGTGCCCCATTACAAACAGTCCCTCTACATTGTGTTACTTTACGTCGTGGCTAGTTTCGGCGTTGCTGCATTTGTGCTGATGGCATACTCGATGTGAATTGGTCAGTTCCCCGTCACTCACTATGTAGTATCTTTGTCATAAAATTCTTATTTTACTTACAAGTAAAGGAAATAATCATCAGTTTCATAACTATAATCAAAGTATGGGTTACTAAAGACGGTAAAAGGCTGACGTATAGGCTACTCTGAATACTCCGTAGTTTTCTAATAGTTACGAAGGTAGTAAATAAAATTTCTTAATGGAATGCATATTATTCAAAATTTCATAAAGAACTTAAATATCAATTTTATAAGACACTATTTAATTGTAACAAAAGGCCATTTTTGCCTACGCGGCTATGCATCCCTCTAGAGAGGCATATCCACACCCCGACGTGAATATAAGACAACATTTCTAAGTATAAAGACGTGTTATTTACTAGGCCAAGTTCTTAAAATTCTTAATATGCAAACAAACGACGGGAAGTAGTAGTGCCCGAGGTGGCCGTTAGCAATGTAAAACAAGAACGTCAGACTTTGTTCAGGATAATGGCGACATGTAAGTCACTTTGTGAGATGAACTTGATCGGCTAGCTGAAGAAGCCAGCAGTCCTAAATCAAAAGTGTAAACCGACTTTTCAGCCTCTATTTTGACCGAGGTAGATGAAACGACATGGAGTTGTCAAGGCTCTGACCCTGAGGTTTTGCCCCACTTGATGGCACAATCACCAGGTTTGCGTAAGTCCCCTGCGTGACGCACTATTACCTATTCCCAGCAGTTCTCTAAACAAATCTCAACTACGGATAGTCAAGCCAGTTCATCATTAAAATAGAGTTTCGTATTGAGGTCACGTAGTTCAGAACCGTGATCCAGCCGCGCAATACCTCATTTCCCATTGCCCAATGGCATTATCCGGGACTCTCGGAGAATTCGACAATTGCTCTACAATTGCTCTGAATGGTGGAAACGGACAAACCCTCTCCAGTCCGGTCTTGGAGTCTGCAGTTGTAGATATCAGGTCTCCATTTTGTTGAGCGGTGAGTCCCAGTGCAATATATCTCAAATGAAGGCTGCTTGTCGTAACCTTGAAGTCGGCGAAGAATATTCGTATCCAACCCACAATTCGCTAACAGATTCTATTAAGGGGGTTGTGAGCTGTTCAAAGAAGAAGGCGATCGTCGTGAGCTTGACTCGTACAGAGCCGATTCAGCCGGGGCTCGAGTCGCTGCATCAGTCATTCGCATACGAAGCGAGCTCGAAAACCAATGTTACCAACAATCAAGATGCGGGAAAGCCGTGCCAATAGACTCAGTTCGCCCATTGCTTAAATACATTCGACTGCAGTCCAGTTGTAGGACCAGCACCACACCAGACACACTCAACCACTACACGTTTTTTTTTTTTTTTTTTTTGATTTTACAACAACCAATCTTGATCAACCTCAAAATGCACGCCTCCCACCTTCTTGTCGCCCTCTCCGCCGTCGGCATGGCCACCGCTGCTGTTAGGCGCACCTGCAGACACGACAGAGCCAACCCCGGCAGGGGCTGGTACTATATCGTCGAGGGCGACGACCTCAACCACATCGCTGCCGACTTTGACACCACCGCCGCGTTCATCGGCAAGCTGAACGGCATCACCAACCTCGACTTCATTCCGGCCTGGACGACCATTATCGTCCCCTGCTGATAGATCATTCAACCCAGCAGTATCACTTAGCCACGCCTCCGAAACATCGCCACAAGCGAATTTCGTGGAAGTCAGCAAATGAGGGGGTTTGGTCAACTGAAATAGCTACGCAGGGTCCAGCAGCAAGCTTGGACGAAGCATACATTGCGCCGAAAGCTCTTCAAGCCCGCTAGAGTGTTCCTACGCTTTGCCTCACTAGTTGTCTTTATTCAATTTCATATCGAAACAGAAGTGTCAAAGATAATTCTTATACATTAATATTATAATACTTTCGATTTGATTTACGTATGGCTTCTGTTGAAAAAGTCTAGTTACCATCTACAACATCGAAATTCTTGAATTTATTAACTGGACATATTACTGTTTATAAAATTCCGCCGCCGTGGTCATCTGTCTCCTGCCCTCTTGGGTAGCTTTATGTTCGAAGGCATCGTACGACTCTGTTCATACTTCTGAAACACCTCTACTTGATTTTATCTCAGCTGCAGGTGACAAAAGGTCATGTGAAGGACATCATCAAATGCAATCTACCTAAGGTACTTAGTGAAAAAGATCTCAGAACATAGACAAAGGATTTGGTCCAATGACCATTATCCTTGCCACCATATAACAGATGAGAGACACAGTATACGAAAAACCAGAGAATAATATTAATGATGTCCATCCTGTGTTAGAATCGCCGTTGCCTAGGAGCAGACCCCCAAGAGGGATGCCTGTCAAGGTCCCAAAACTTGCTGAAAGCATGGCAGTGGACAAGAACCGACCGTAATCTCGAGAGTCACACAGCTGGCCAATGCAAGCCGGGATCAGACTCACGTTACCACCACTCGCAAACCCGAATACGAAGGTGAATGCTAGTACAGTTGACCATGAGCTTCCCGCAGGTAGCCAGAGTGCAAAGACTGACACCATACACAATCCCACAGTAAGTATAATGGTGTTGAATCGACCAATCCTGTCTGATATGAAGCCCGGAACGACCCGTCCGACAACGCTACCGGCATTGAGAAGAATCGGCAATATGTAGCCTGCATTGGCGGTTTGTCCCTTGCTTACTGAAAATGACACAATATAAGTGAGTGGAATAAGCACGCCGTACTCCATAAAGAAGATTCCTCCACAACATGATAAGAATCTTGGGTCCTTGAACAAGTGAAAGTCTGGCCAGATGGCAGCGAAGGCTTGGCTGGGAGGGAGACGCGTTCGTAGACATAGGTTGGTCGGAATCGCAAGGACTAGGTATATCAACCCTAGAAGGCGCATGCTCCAAGCGAACCCAAGCTTCGGCAAAGTTCCTTGTAAAACAAGGGGAAAGGCAATGCCTCCAACTGACCCCCCCGTTGCTGCGATTCCCGTGGCTAGACCCCGTCTAGCATTGAACCAGTGACCGATGATGGCAAAAGCCGGGGCGTTCAACAGAGACGCACCAAAGCCAGCGAGGATTGAGAATGTCAGAATCAGTTGGTAGTATGCTATTCATGCCTCGTTAGTGTCGTTCTCATTTTGATGTGTGAGTATCAGTGTATCTTACCTTCACAGAAACTCAAAATGACGAGGCTGCTGACCATAATGATGCTGCCAATGGCAACAAGAACGCGGTGTCCATGTTTGTCAAATATAGGCCCTGCTAGAACACCAACCAAGTAGGTAACAAACAAGTAAATTGAGAAGATCCAACCAATCTGAGAAGGAGTGTAGTCTCGAAGCTGGTGCTCAGAGAAATAAGCCTCAAAGACTGCTGCTGTGTTTGGCAGACCAAAGACCGACACCATGGCGCAGAGTGACCCAAGAACCACGAACCACCCCTCAACGCCGCCTTCCGGGTAAATCAACTCCTGATAGTCCGTGGCTCCCTTGCTTGCAGTGTAAGTCGCGGCTTTCGCGTTGCTCTTGCCACAAGTGTCATTATGGCTTGCACGACTGCCATCGCTGTTCTCAGCGGACCTCGCAGTCTGTGGAACCGCGTCCAGTGGCTGCGCAGATTCAATCATCTTAGCTAGGCGGCAGAATTGGAATGAATCGTAGGGTTCCCCGGAAACAAAGATTGAGGGGACAGGCCAGTTTTTTGCGACGTCGTGTGCAAAATCGTTATGGAGGGTGTCACAAGAACGAGTCGTGCCGGTGTCTTGACGCAAAGGGGTTAAAAAGCATGTGGGATTTGGCATCAACACCCAGAAGTAAGAATCCGGCCTTCATTGTGGTGGAGATGGCAGAAGCAATCTCGCCTAGGTAAAGTACGTAGTCGCAGAGAAGACATCAACCTAAGCCTTCAATACATACTTTAAGTAGCACGTTGTTTTTAGGTTAAGCTGATTATGGTTCCCATTCAGGAATAGACTTTTACACTTAGATGCTGGATGCCAGTCGCTCCGCTGGCTTAAACTATCGAAAAAACGCCGAGGAAGATGACCAACGAGTAGCGGGTCAAATGAGTCAGGGTCCGGGGAACATGTTTCCCGCGCAGGAAACATATCACCACACTTAATTCGACTATGGTTATCCACACCAAAGCATCGTCGCTCGCGCCATGCTTCCCCGCTCTTCCCCTTTTGGAACATGTTCCAACTTCGGTGCAGAATCAAGTTGACTGGATTAGCCCAACAATCATGCAGTGATGATATCGGATTAACCGCGTTCGGCTTTACGGACCACACAGCTTTCTGCGTCGTCTCATCTTTAGTAATGCTTCGCTTGGGCTGGCTCATTTCGGGAACGTCGCCCTTAAATAACCTCACATATTACAAAAGCTTCTCAGTATTTGATTTCAAAGCAACTGGGCTAGCCACCAAGTCGTGACAAGCACTGTATCACTCGCAAGCCTTAGTCTAGTCTGATTTATCTCACTGTTCACTCATCGAATTCCTGTTCTCCACACTCAACTCTGACATTACGCCATGGCCATTATAGCTGTTGCTGGCGGCACGGGGGCGGTAGGCCGGACTATTGTCGAGGGCGTCATTGCTTACGGCGGCCACAAGATTTTTGTTCTCTCGAGAACAGTACGTATGGAGTGCATCAGAATCCCTTCGAACCTGACTGACACCTCCTGATACAGAGCCGAGAACCTAAAGATGGGGTACAATTTCTCGCCGTTGATTATGAAGACGTGGAAGGAGTCAGCAAGATCTTGCAAGATAACCACGTTGACACCGTCATTTCCGCCATGGGTGTCGTCACGCCAGAGACCAATCAGGCCCAGATCAATCTTGTCAAGGCATCGAACAAGTCCAGCTCGACGCGCCGCTTCATCGTCAGTGCGTATGACATGCTGCATACAAGGGAGTACGAAATGCTAATATTGGATTGTGCCCTGTCTATCCTACCGTACGGGCTGACCAGGCTTCAGTCAAATTTCTCATTATCCTCTCGCCCAGTACGCGTTTGAGGCAATTGACGAGCTCGAAAAGACAGACATTGAATACACCCGCGTTGTCAACGGCTTCTTCTTGGACTACTTTGGCATGCCCCATTACAAGACTCACCTTCACCCCTGGGTCAACTTTGTCAACTTGGAGAAGAAGTGGGCTGTCATTCCTGGCGACGGGTCAGCCAAGGCCAATTTTATTACAACCCAGGACATGGCCAAGTACATTGCTCGCCTAATCGGTCTTGACAAGTGGTCCAAAGTGAGCAGCATCGTGGCTCAGACTCACTCGATCTCTGAAATACTCGCACTTGCGGAGAAGACACGAGGTGAGAGCAAGTCCCATTCAAACTTTTATGCGTTTAGAATTCGCGCTGATAGACAATTCCACGCAGGCCCCGGTTTTAGGGTAGCTTATGATGACTTGGAGAAGCTCAAGTCGGGAAAGATTTCTTTCATTGAGGATTTTCCGGAATTCGAACTCAGTCGGGAAGAGTCGGAGGCCCTATTTGCAAAGGTTCATTACTATGCAGGCATTGGAAAGTTCCTTGTTCCCACTGAGGATACTTTGAATTCCAAGTTCCCGGAGATAGTGCCAAAGACGGCTGCCCAAGTCTTTGAGGAGTCGTGGCAGGGTAAATGAGACATTCCTCGGACAGTGAGTGGGAAAGCTGAGAGGTCAATCATTGAGAACACAGACATGTAGTCTATTTCATTCAGAAGGAGATTTTGTCTATCCTCACATATTTCTTTTGGCCGTGGGGAATATGATGCTCCTAGTGACCAATTTGATCAATTCTCCGCCAACAGGCCTTGCGTGCTGCCAAGATGCTTCTCACACAGCTTCCTGTATTCTCCTGCAGATCTCCAGCGCATACTGAGCTCATCCAAGAAGGTTGCTAAACTAAGGATGTCGGAATGATAGGCCTGGTTGGCGTCTTTGTGATCCGAGAGTCGATGAAGGTTGGCGGATGCATTATACACAGCATCAAGTACGAAAGGCGAAATAATGCCAAGATTGCCGATCGGGTTCTGCCCGTCGAAAAGTTGATCGGAAAAGGCTTTCGCAAGGTTTCGTACGTCCAGACTCGCCTGCCATACGACCCTCGCGGCGCATAATTGTATCTTGTAGGCTTCATGATTTTCTGAATCGACCTCGTTTTGGAGATCCAAGATTTGGGGGCCATCTGGGGTAATCTTGACTCGAAATGTGAGCTTTTTTAGGCAAAGAAATAGAGCCGAACGAGCAGCGAAGCGGGGTCCCATCAGTCGAAGATCAAGGTCGGGTCTGCTTGGCGAATTGGATTCTTGGTCGATGATATCGATCCATTTCTGGATTTTCCTTGACACACAGATTACATTTTCAAGATGAGTTTGATCGAGTATCCCTTCCACGCGGGACAGGACAAGCGCACGATCGGTGAAGAGGGCGGCTTCGCAAAGTCGTGAGAACCCGGACAGTTCGGCAGCAATTATCGGGTAAATTTGGTAATCAAATTCCCAGTTCTTGTCATAGTTCCGAGATTCCTGTTGCAAAACAAGTCATCAAATGTATCTGAGGAAAGGGCTGCGACAGTATTCACAATGACATGCCCATTTCTACTTACCCACTTGTCGTCATGCATAGGAAGTTTCATGTCTTCCTGAGGTCTCGATAGTGCACACGGGCGCTTGCTCCCGACAGACATGAGTCGATCAAGTATGAACACAGCCCACCATGACCTTCTTCTTTCTTCTTCGTCTGTTTCGAACCACAGTGTCTGCATGTGTCCAAGAAAAATCAGTTTCACCATAAACAAACACTGTAAGGGCGTGAAAGAGCGACTTACGGGCTCTCCTAGCAAAATGGTATCGGTTGATCCTTGGAAAGCTGTGTCTCTTGTTGCCCAGGATACGCCCAACAGCTCGATGTACCGAGTACATGCTCCAATGCTCATCCATGCAGCAGGATAGACTGCGTGGCAATATTCGTAAAGTGTAGCGAGAATCATTGCTTGAAGGGTTGGTAATGACACAAACCCGCCAGACTCTAGTGCGCACAAGTAGCTCTTGGTTTCACCATAGAGTTCTCTAGAAGTGTTGTCATCGGGGCTGGATGTGACGAGTCTCATTGCCAGAGCAAGCGCGACCAGGTCGGGCTGACTATTCTCAGTGAATGGAGTTTCAAATTGCTTCTTGGCGGATATGAACCGAAACCAAATGTGTACGGTTTTGAAATACTCGTCGCTGAAGCTTCGCACTTTGCTGCTTTGATCAAGGGCCAAAAGGACGCTCTTCAAGTTGTATAAAGGATTAGCTGTTGCATCATGAGGTTCTTCAGCCGCAAGCCTTACCTCGGGTACTCGGATGTCCGGGCGACACAGTTTTTCGGAAGGTGCCTCAGTGTCAAATCGGCTGATGTCGAGAAAGGCAGAGACTGGAAAAGCACTGCAGGTGTGGAGGGAGTGAGTCTCAGTAGACAGGACGCTGACCGAAGAGCCGTTGTTGGGATCATCAATATTATGATCCGATGGCGTTAGCATGAGCGGCTCATTCTCATCACGGATCGTGTGACGATTACAAAATTGTCTCTCGATCGCATCAACTCTGGCTTGCAGAGCCGCAAAGTCCACTGCACTTGGTGGGCGATCCAGCTCAGGTTGTGAATGAAGCAGTCGGCGCGCTTGATGCGGTCGATCAGGCCGAGGGAGCTCTTCATCGCACCGCCTCTTCTCGCCTGCTCTTGCGTTTCTGATCCATTCCGAAGACATTGTTGGGGTCCGAAAAATGCATCACAATCAAGTGCGTTGTTATAAAACTGTGGTGTCGTCGCTCTGGAGAAAGGGAGGAGACACGAAAGGTCAATCAAGGGCACCCCTAAGCGCTGGTGCCAGAGACATATTTGCGCCCCAGCCACAGCCGACCTGGGTGTGTGTATCTTGGGGTGTGGCTTGAAAAGGCGGCTAAGTGTCAAATTGCTCTCACCACCTTACCCGAGGATCTTTGTCCTGTTTCTTTTTCTTTTCCTTTTTCTCTTTGATGGTGGCTCTGAAATCATGCCAGACATGCCAATAATTCTCCTTGAGTCTGGGGCAATCAAAAATGAGATTTCAAATTTGGAATCTAAAACTGCCCGATTGGGATATAAAGTGATCACTTAGTATAAGTCTGTCTATTGAACGAACATATTCACCTTTGGGTCAGACTTGAAGGTGAAGTTCCTCGATCGCACAAAGCACGCACAAGAAGAAAAAAAGGTGCACTACTTACTGATTACATTCACCTTAACTTGCCATGGATAGCTCCATTTAAAAAAAGCAGCTTCTTTACCTATTTGTCCGAGTAGGCACCGGCTTTCTTTCACACAAACAAAACTTTCTACCGACAAGCTTTGTCGAAATCTCATAACCTCATTGTAGCAAAGATTTGCTACACAGATCACACGAAAAGGCGTTGTTGTAGGCGCTCTCTGAGATTATCTTCTAGCTGCCAGCTGCATGAACGTGAAGCAGGTCAGGCGAACCACAAAGACTCTGATTTCCTATTCCATCTAGAAATGTTTTGGTACTAACTTCCATACTCAGGTCCTCCATAATGTGTCAAAACATGTATTACACGTTCGATTGCGGCCATCGCATTGGACACGTCGCCGTCCTTCGCTGCGAGAAATGCATCAGCTCTGGTTTCGACTGCTAGTATCGCGAGACTTGCGAGGATGAGAAGCTGCCCGGTGGAGCAGGCTTGTGCCGCGATTGTAAACGAGCCCCTCGTGTCACGAGCGTGTCTGCGCAAAGCAACAAGGAGCAGCCCGAAGGGTTCTGGAAGAAGGCCGCGCAAAAGTTTGCTGCCACGGTCGGAGCGATCAAGCGGCCGATGAAATAAGGGATGTTTGACAATTGCGAGGGTTGGCTTGAGTAGCTTGCTGGAGGGAGACCACCCCTGCCAAAATTATCATTGATATGCATAGCGTTGCGTTGGATTGGATTCATGACGAGAATAAGGGAGCATCACAGAGGGTCCTTGGCAATTCATCCTGGTAGCAACAAAAGCGTTGACAACTCAAATCTACAATTGCTTTTCGGACAAAGAAATGAACAACTGTTGGGACATTGATCTCGCTGCCAATCGAGTTGGGAAAATACCCCTACAGCGTGGACGCGTTTCACAACACATCAATTGCCCGACTTCACCGATCTTAAACATAACATGCGAGAAAGATGTTTAGCTGGCATTCGCTCCATCTGACGATGGGACACTGTAATGCGTGGCACCGAGGTATTTTTCATAAAATCTACAACTTCGATCTGACAGGCTGCTCATTGAGCTCAGCCTCGGCTTTCTTCCTAGCATCCTCCCAAAAGTTGGTTTTCGCGGATCCCATAGCCGCCCATATATCCAGCAACTTGTCATCGAAAGGTGGCAAGACGCGGCCCGTTGTTCCGGGAGCTGGGTCACCAGCGACAGACCTGAAATATTCAAACACTTCCTTGTAGAATGGAGCAATGATGTAGTAGTCCTTGCCTCCACCGAACTCGGCAACCCGATCTTTCTCCCATTGCTTCTGCTCTTCTTTTGATGGCAAATGATTGCCCCTGCCTGCAAGAAGACGGGATACTGTTACAGCTTGCCATTCAAAGAGACGGAAGGTGAAGCCACCTCCACACTATGTCAACTCTGTCAGTATCTTTTCTTCGCTTCTTAGTAGGGTAGGGTGGCTTACCATGCCCAGGAAGGCGAGAGTGGGATCCTCGATATCCCAAGTGTGGAAGTATACTCCTGGCAGTCGACGGTCGACTTTTTGTACACGTTCTTGGACCTTTGGCAAGAAGGGGAAACTGAAAGTGAAGCCAGTTCCGAAGACCACATAGTCTACGTCTTTAACTACGGTGCCGTCTTCAAATGTAATCGCGCCATTATCCGAGTCGAACTTGATGATCTGCTTCTGCACGGAAATATGAGGGTGAGTGAAAGGAGCCCAGCCAAAGTGCGGGAGAGGTTCTCCGCGAAGTGAAGCATAGACCGGATGTTGGGCGACTGGCAGAACCTCGTGGAGTATCTCGTGTGATGAGACTGAACCCCCCACCACGATGACTTTCTGTAGCCATAGTGAGTGTCGGACACCGGATGAGTGAATGAAGGGGTGACTTACCTTGCCCTTATACTTGTCGGAATCTCTAAAGTGCTTGCTGTGTACAATACGGCCGGGGAATCTCTGGTCATACTCCGTGATTCCCTCAATCTTGGGGAGCCAGGGTATGTTGTAGTGTCCAGTTGCTACAATGAGTGCGTCGAATTTCTCTTGCCACCATTGGTCCTTGCCAGGAAGCTCTTTTCTAAGTGTCAAAACCCACTCATCACCCTTCTTCTCAGCAAGCTCGACAGTGGTACTGAGTTCAAGCAGTTTCTCATGCCCATTGCGGATAAAGATGTTCTCAACCCACTCTCGAATTTGTTCTCGACCGCGAAAGGGAGCGTCATCACCATACTTCTCTCGAATCCGGTCTGTCACTGTTTCCGGAAATGGTTCTGTAGTGAAACTCATAATCTCCGGCGTGATGTTGGTATGGAGATGCTCATGCTGAGCAGTGTCCGAAAACCGAACCTGGTGACTGTTGATGGCCTCTGATTTTGGAGTTTGAGCTGGAAGTTGGGCTGGAATTGGAACCAAAGCATCGGCTTTGCCGTCCAGGAGAGTTTTCAGGGATGGAATGCTGGCGGGTAGGTGCGGTGTATAGATCCTATAGCAATGTCAGAAGTCTTGAAAAATTGAAAAGGCTACTTGCAGTGTTGAGCTTACCAGGTTCCTCCTGGAATGGGCCGTCGATCAAAGACTCGAACTGTGTCGAAAGCTTGTTCCTTGACCAAGGCGTCTGTCGCGATAGCTCCCGATGGCCCAGCGCCGATGACGGCTACTCGCCGAATCTTGCCTGGCATATTTTCTTTGGTTGCTGGGACTTGGGAACGATGACAATTAAGATGGTGCCCACTAGCTTACTAGTTGCCAACGAGTCAAAGACCTAACTTGCAGCAACTCTTAAGTTATCGAGGCTCTTAATGGACAATGGCAATTCACGCAAGGCAAATCTTCAATAAAGTTCGGCCGTCTCGGCATCAATTTATTGTGTTCCGGGCCGTTGCACAATGGCGCCACGGGATGGGTGGCATTGCGTCTTGTTGGAAGTCTAGCACGCAAGCCGACTCGCGGTGGGTCAAAGGATGCATCTTGACCACCCCAGTAGCAAATCGATATCAGTCGGCAGCAAGCGCGTATCGGAAGGGAGCCGGCTGCAGGTCCAAGATTTCCTCTCTCTCAGCGGTAAACGTCCACCCCACGGCAGACTTTCGCAGCGTTCCGACCGCACGGGACCGGTCAATCCCGATATCGCCATTGTCCAATTGAGTGCTGGACCTATGTTATCGTCAGATTGTCGAATGATAGCCACATGACGCTTCGTGACATTACGAAGACTAAGTCTGCTCTAGATATACTAAGATGTCGGAACCCAAACTGAGCAGCGAGGCAGGGAATGCATTTTACCTTCGTCATTTGTCTCACGCAGCTACAGCTTCTTCCATCTCTGTCTTGAGCAGGAGGATTCCTCTGCTCGGCATACCGTCCTCGTCAAGCAACCTGGCGAAGCGATGATCAAGTCTCAACTTATCCAGATGGACACATGCCCACGCAGTCATCACATCCAGTCCCACCACGTCGCTCATGATGATGAACGATAGGAAGGCTAACTCGGGAGCAACGTCTTCGATGTTGAGGAACTCAATCACATCGCCGCCAAAATCCGGACTGGTGCCAGTGCTCTGGCTCGTCTGGCCACTGCAGCTAATCTGCTGGACTTGGTCTCTGTCCGCATCTTGACGCACCATGGCCGTCAGCACATCTGGCTCGGTGTGCAACACACCCTTGACGTAAGGTATGAACTTGGTCGGGTCATCATGCGGGTTAAGAAGGGGAAGGCTCTGCGCCGCCAGCACCGTAACGGGCACTCTGTCCAGTTCCTTGCTCTTGATATTTGATCCCATAATCTCCTCTCCAACATCGCTGGTAAGCGTGACTTCCGCACCCTTATCGCGTTGGCAGCGGTCGGGCTTGAGGACGTACCCTTCCGAGCCCGCGAACATTCCCTGGTTGAGAATCATGCCCACATCCCAGGACTGTCAATCCAACGCCACGACCTGAACGCCCGCTCTCCAGAAGATGACAGTATCAAAGTCGGACGAGTCCGCCCGCATGCCATGTGGGTAGGTCCTCATAAGGAAGTCCCTGTTGTGCGTGAACAAGGCCTTTAGCATCCTCCTCTGGATCGTAAACGCCGCCTTCTTCGAGAGCGACAAGATGTATTAACGGTATGACCTTTGCCTCCTTCTTCCCGCATGCTTCCGTCGTCTTGACTTCGAGGAAAAACTACACTGCTTGTAACCCTTGTTCAGCTTAGGCTAAGCGTGACCCAGCTCGAGACGATCTCGTTATTATCTGCCTCGCTTAATCTTCGGTTCTTCGAGTCTGAATTTCGATACATGTAGTGTTGGAGCTTTCGAAAACTTCTCTCCGAAATAAGCCACATTTCCCTTCCATTGGCGGTCATCTCAATCGAAAGATTCAAGTTTGCTTCATTTTACTCATCCGTTTTAAACTTTTGGTTTAGGCTATGGGATTGCTTATAACAACCCAATCGTACCGGAGTTCGCGCCTGATCCGTCGAACGCCGTCATCGATGGCGTCTCCTCCTCGTGACCTCGTCTTTTCACATCTTTCCTAGGCTACATATATATGCTTCTACAGATCTTCAAGAATGGAGGCATTTCGGTATGTTGAAAAGTCTGGAACCAACAGGGACAGTTACATAGACTGATAGGCAGCAAGGCAATGTCATCATCCGAAGGAAACAAATCTTCCTCAAACATATGAGCACAGCAGTGATGCCTCTTGATACAGGAAATATCAAGGTCGCCAGCGCCGGCCTCTTTGCGCCTACTTTACGCCACCATAAAGGCACTTTCTGTATCATTTGCACCAATACAAGGCACGGTCGAGATATCCGTGCCTCGGACAACTTCTACATCACCACTACTGATAAGTGGCCAGTCGAATGGTCCAATCCAATCTCCTTTCCCCTGAACGTCATCGATCCCAGCCTGTATCTCGACGACGATGGCCGCATCTACGTTCCGGGATCCTGGAGAATAGACCGCCTCAAACAGCCCAGCTGCACAAGGCAGCAATTTGAGATAGACATCACAACCGGCAAGCCCCTGTCCGATACCCGCGAGATCTGAGGTGGCTTCGCGCGTTACAGTACCGAGCGTCCTCATATTGACAAGCGCGGATGCGACTACTACCTCCCCTTCGCTGGGGGCAGCACCTTTGAACACTACTTGTTGAGCATCGGGCTCTCAAAGAACACCTGGGGGCCCTTCGAGCAGTGCGAGACGAACCCCGTCATGACCGCCGATGGGTAGCCTGACGAGTACATTCAGAACATTGTTCATGGCGAGCTCTTCCAAAACTAGAGCGGCGCTTGGTGGGCTGCGGTTCTTGGTGTGCGGAACGAGAATGGTCGTCCGCCGATTGGGCGGGAGACGTTCTTGACCGCGGTCGACTGGCCGGAAGGTGGGTGGCCGATGATCCAGCGATCCAAGATGGAGTTTAAGCACGTCATTTCTGGGCCTGTTGGTGGCAGCGAATCGTTCATCGTGTTGATGATGTATACATCTGCGATCCCGATACCAAAATGTCCAATCTCAGCAGCGGGACAGAGTTGGCACTCCGTGTGCAGTATCAAAGGCCTATCCTCTCCTACCGGCACGAGCACATTTGTCGGCAAGCGACAGAGAACTGTCGAGGCTTCTGCTTCTGCACTTCTGGATATTTCCAGTCTCACAAAGGGATAACCCGTGAGATCTGGGCTTGTCATTTAATAAGGATGCACTGCGATACATTTCGTTGTCATTTGACCCCCAGTCTTCGGAAATCATATCCAACATGCCGACAATGTCAAAGAACAGATTTCAGTAGACTTCTTATCCGATCAATGAAGACACGGTCATCCTGGAATTGCGTGTAGAGACTCATGCAGAAGAGTGCACCCTGTCATATCGCGAGAACAGGTTTATGGGCTAGGTTGATGCGGGGAGGGCGCGGGTTGCATGCAGACTTGGTTCCCCGATCCTTGGTTTCTTTGCGCATGCTTTGGAGGAGGAAACCCTCGGTTCCGAGGTCCATTTCAGAAGTTTCACCATAGACAGCAAGACAACCGGAGTCGGTTTGACCACCGACTATTGAATAAAAGTAGGCACAAGTTTGTTAGGGCTGAAAGATTTGTACATGTACAAAAAGTCGCCGTTGATACGCCGCTTGAAGAGTAATCGGCTCCTTGTTCATCCGCAGGAGCCGTGGCTGAACTAGCCCGTGACGTAATATTCCCAACTCCGTCGATAGCCGCGGGACAGTATTAACAACGGCTCCGACATAATCAATGAAGCTGAGAGTAGCATCTTCAGCTACAAAGCCACATATGTTATAAAGCTGGGTCGTCCGCAAAGTCTCTTGAATCTCTAGCTACTACTTTCCATGGCTACCGTTTCTCGATAATTATCTCGACAACGATGGGCCCAACACAATTGCCTCCGTGGAGTCTTCCTTCAGGCGTCACATCTCGCTATGTCGACACTTCGCCTGTAGGACTCAAATTTCATATCCTCGAGTCTTTCCCAAAAGATGTTCCCTCAAGCAGTCCCCCGCCCCTGATCCTGCTCCTCCACGGCTTCCCAAACCTGTCGTTCGACTGGTGTGCCGTCATGACCAAACTCACCGCGGCCGGATACTACGCAGTCGCACCCGACATGAGAGGATTCGGCCGGACGCACAACGCCGATCTGAGTCCGATTAGCGAAGATTCTATTCGTCCGCTCACCGCGTTGCGGGATATGGTGACTCTGGTTCACGCACTCGGCTACGAGACAATTCACACTCTCGTCGGGCACGACCTTGGGGCCTTTGTGGCTTCTATGTGCGCTATTGCGCGACCAGACATGATCAAGTCCTTGGTCCTGATGGCGCACCCGTTCAAGGGGTCTCCCAAGTTGCCTTTAGGGACAGCAGCTAATCCGCAGTTGGCTTCTTTTCTTCGATCCAAACAGGAGGACAGCGGAAAGGCGATCAAGAGTGACAAGGACATACAATCCTCTCTTCTGAAGCTTGAGCCGCCAAGAAAGCACTACAAGTACTACAACGCCTCGTCAAAAGCAGTTGATGAGTGGACTCATCCCACAGGCCAGCCCATGCATGATTTTCTCAGGGGGTATTTCCACCTCAAGTCCGCAGACTACAGTCGAAACAAGCCCCAGCCCCTCAAATCTTGGACTGCGGAAGAGATCGCCGTCATGCCACACTACTACGTAATGAGGGCTGACCTTTCGATGCGCGGAAACATCGAGCTGGACATGGCGCAAGAGCCGGCCAGCGTGCATGAAAAACTCAAGGAAACACCATGGCTCACCGACGCTGAGCTGCAGGTCTACGTCGACGAATATTCCCGAAACACTTTCCGACTCTCTTTATTGTGGTACAAAGTCCTCATCGACCCGGGCCTAACCGCAGACCTCCTGTGTTTCGCGGGAACAAAGCTCGCGATCCCGACAAAGTACGTCTCCGGGACGCACGACTGGGGCACGTATCAGGTTCCCGGTGCTCTTGAAGCCATGGAGACCGGCGAGAGCGTCCGGCCTGGTTGCTGGAGGGGGTCCGTCATAATTCCTGGGGCGGGCCACTGGGTCAACATTGAGAAGTCTGAGCAGACGGCGCAAGAGATCCTCAATTTGGCGGTGTCACTGTAGCCGGAAAAGACGGGCTACCCTTGGCAATCAGGTTTCCAAGGCTCTTGGTTGAGGTTTTGATGGTTTTTGTGCAACGAAACGATTGCTTTGTGTCACTTGTGTGAGATTTTGGCTATTTTTCCCTTCCTAATGAGCCTATGAGTTTGAGATAAATAAGTTGATTGAGAACTGGTGGCGGACCTAAAGACCGGAAGTAATCGATTAGTGCTGTACGGGATTCGCTACCTTCGTACTGCTGCTATCTACCTTTGTATAATCATTCTCATTCTCGAGTGATTTCGTCTTTTACGCTCCGAACTCGGCTCTGCCCAACACTTGCTGTAGCATAATTCAGTTTCGATGATCGAGCAAGGAGACAGTAAAGTGATTGATCTCTATACATCATCCAAATTGATATTCCTGACCATTGTAACGATGTCTGGTTCAGGCAAATCCGCCTTGCCTCCAAGGCGTACTATCTTGAGCAGACCTCGCCCTTGAGTAAAGCGTAACCTCGTTACCCGACTTCTCTTAAAGCTAGAACCATTAGATCATCTTGAATTAGCTTGCCTCAGCAAACACGACATTTCGAGAGGTTCCCAACTATTACGTTGTGGAACCTCTACGGACCGGGTCGAATTTCCAGAAATCGGCACCATTCATACTCGAAACCTTCATAGCTGGGAGTATGGTCAAGGTGCAGGGAATCCTCGTGCCCCCATCTTGTGTCTTCACACTTGGTCGAAGACAGAAGAGATGTAGTAGTCATCCAAGTTACTAGAATGCACTCAAGACACCCTGGGGGTGTCCTGGACTGCTAGTATCCCGTGACGACTCATTTACTTTACATGGCAGGCAATTCACCATCTTCATCCAAAGCGGGCCCCACTCGAGATGGCCGCCTTTCTCTTGGACCGACCTCAAAATCGGCCCTCTCTCGCCCTCAGAAACCAACCCTGATGCTTTTCTCTCGTAATCTTTCTCCGTTACCTCCAGATTCTTCCACCATAGTCGCCTATCTCCGTTGTCCCGATGTTCGCACTCTACTAAAGTAAAGTTCCCTCTCCCTCTGCTTCCACTTCACCTTATTATTCTCTTCTTCAAACCGCCTCGGTCCAGTTCGTGTAAATCACAATTTGGACCTAGCCACGATCATCGATCATATTCTCCGGCTGGCCCGATTCACGTGGATACATTTCCGTTCTCATCCCCTTCTGCTTCCTTCTTTTCGATCATTGAGTGATCGATAGTTGTCCTTTAACACGGATTCAACGACAACCGTTGTCATCAATCGCAGTCGGCGACCACCATCTACCATTCACAACCTCATAAACATAACACCACTCACCATCTCTCCCAAAAGACAACCCGCAAACAATCGGCGACATGTGTCAAGCCATTCGTCTCATGTGCTCGTGCGCGACGGCACGAGACGCTATATTGAAATGCAATGAGTACTACAAAACTGGTATCGAATGTGAGATCACCAATAAAGATGATCCCAAGTCCGAAAAGCTCTGCGTGGCAGTGTATGATAATAAATGTATCAACATCGACTGCAAGTATTCGAGTCCCGAGATCAAGCAAGCGATCCAGGACGAAAACAATCGCAAAGAACAAAAGATCCGGGCTTCTTTATTGAAAATCGAGGCATGTTTGGCAGCGGAGAATGTCGCGAAGGCGAGCAACGCCTCGGTGGCTGAACCTGATTCAGTCCGTCCTCGAGGCGAAGACGAAGCCAGCCCCATAGTCATCACAGATAACGAAGACGAAGACCTTACAAGCGCCACAGTCATCTCAGACGATGACGACGACGGAGACCACGAGGAGATGCAAAACAGCGAGCTCATGCCCGCAGGAGAAGTTGAACCTCATCTAGATACGGCCACTCCTGCACGAGGCCAGCATGCCAGCGAGAGCATGCCCGCCAGCATCCCCGAGCCCCATGCAGAGAAGGCTACAGTCGAATTCTCAAGGATTCTACTCAATGCTGAAGCTTTCCAGCTATCAGAAGTCATAGGCAAGTGTTTCATATGGCTCGTCTTGCTAATTGCCTCTCACTAACCCCCCATCGAACAGAACAACCCATCGTCGCCAAGCACACAACAGCAGTGGCTCCTGTTCAATCTTCCCCTGCCCCTGGATGTATCCCGACAGCGGCATCCTCCACAAGCTCCAGTCACTCTCGTAATCCGACTAAGAAATCTCCATGTACCAAACCAGGCTACTACAAGTCGCCCGTCACCCAAATCAACGGCGGACAATGGGCCTTGCCCGTGCCGTCGCCAGGAGCGCCATTCGGCTCATTCCAGCAGGGCGGATATGCCCGTCCTACCGCGGACCAGCAGACCGTCACTCCGCCAAAGGAGACAGGAGGACAGGAAGCCATGCGGCCTACCCTGAGCTCGTCTTATAAAGCGACCCTGGACCTGATGAAGGCGCGGACCCCGGGTGCCAGAGCCCTATCAACGAAAAATTCGGTCCCTCGACAGCCTCCGCGGATGCCGCCGTCTCGGTACAATATGACGAGCCAAGCATACTGGTTTACTCCTCAACCGCCAATGTCGATGCCGAATCCTAGTGTACAGCCGAACAATCTGCAAACCGTTTACGGGCTGCAGCAGAATAATGGCAGCTACCACAGCAATCCACAGGGCCAGCGGTTCACGGCAACGCAACAGAGCTTCAGCAGAACGCCTCAAGGCTCAGTCTTCCACAACAATGCATCGATGGGCTGCGAAATGCCCACCTTCTATCAATACAATACGGCGATCCCGTCCCAGGGCCTCTCACTCCAGAATGGCTATATTGCTAATCCCGGGATCTCCCAACAAACATCCCCTGCCTTTGGTACCGATTTCAGTCTGAACCGGCAGGATGCTAGTCTCTTTGGCCTTCCTCTCTTCAGCTTTCCGAATAGCTACCAAACCGTCTCGCAACAAGCAGCACCGACAGATTTCCACCCCGTGGCTGCTGCCTCAAGCTATAAAAACCACCATCCTCCGCACCTCTACTCACAGAGCCCAATGTTCCAGCAGACACCACGAATTGCCCCGGGAGCGCCGTCTGGATCCTCCGCCTCCGGTCTCAAGAGACCACACTCCGCCATCTCCAGCGACTCTTGTCTTACAGGACTGTCTCCACTGGCATCGGGCAGGTATGATAATAAGGGACTGGTGAATACGGTCCAGTCGCCGCTGGGAGGAGGCGAGCGCCAATCCAAGCGCCAGAAGCAATCGAGAATGTAGGCGACCGATCGTAGGCGGTCGAAAATGTTGGCGAGGGACAAATTGGGGGGCCCAGTCGTCACATAGAGAAGCTATGACTGTTGTACCTTATAATCATTAATGCAAAGGGTATCGTATCCTCGCAGGGGGGCATCGGTGTGATGCTTGTGAAAGGCGATGGCAGTGCTTCTTCCACAAGGTGCTTCGTCGCTCGAGTTACATCAGGCTGTGACGACTCAATCACAATATGAAAAGGCTTTAAAATGATGTCTTCCACTGTAGGTAGAGAGGTGGAGGAAGGGGCGGGCTTCGTTGAGTGTAGAAGCACGGCAAATCAACGCCCGCTTGCGCACGCGAATTGTCAGGTAGCCATCGAGTTGTTGTGCAATTCAGAGACCATCTCTCTCGAATGTTGTGAGAGCCTGATATTGCGCATCTCCTATTCACCCGGGCCATCCATCCTTGTGTGGCCTGACCGCCTAGATCAGCATCACTATCACATGCATGGTGGACCAAACATGCTCATTAAAGGGAGTATTTTCCCAACATTGAAATCTATCTTAACACAATTGCGGAATAATGCTCGTACATAGTCATAATCATCCCAGAAAAAAAAAAACAATGTCTAAGCCCCCATTATACCCTTACACCGCCCATAGACCTTACGCCGACCTCTCTCCATATGTTTAATCGCGCAGGTACTTGAGGATTTGATCACGCTCCTCAGGCGGCATCGTGCGGATGACATCGCGAACACCACGCATCGCAGCGCTCTTGTTGCCTCTCAGGACTGAGCTAAGCTCAGTAGCCAGATTATCGGCCTTAACAATCTCGATTCTGTCCGTGACGGACTTTCGGTTGGCCTCGTACCACTCAGCGACCTCACGATCGGCGGTCGCGAAGTTAACGACACCAGACCAGCTCTCAAGATACTGCAGGTTGCGGCTGCGGGTCTCGGGAGTCTTGGCCTTGTCGTTGCCGGGGGTGGAAGTGAGGACGGTGGAGGACATGCGCTTGAGGAGGTACTCCTCGTTGAGACGACGGCGCAGACGCCAGTAGAAGTAGCGACGAGAGTTGACCCACTCGAGTTGGTCACGGATAACACCCTTGGCCTTCATGCGACCAGCACGGTCGTGCAAGTCGGCGAACTGGATGGCAACCTGGGAGTAGACAGGCAGAAGTTGCTTCTCGCGGATGGTCATCTTCTTCTTGATCTCATCGGCCTGCTCCTTGGGCAGATCAGCAGTCATCTGCTTCTTGAGAGAGGCGTAGACAGGATCCAGACGGGCCATGGTCTCAAGCTGCTTGTCCTTGCGGTACTTAATACCAATGATACCCTCGGGTTCGAGGACACCACCACGGGCGTCGACATCAGCGTACATCTCCATGGCCTCGGGGTTGATGGTGGGGTCAACGACGACCCATGATCCACCACGGAGCTCTCCGAAAGGAGGGATGTAGACGAAGATGGGCTGCTCGTACTTGACGAGAGCGTCGACGATGTAAGAACCGTACTTCAAGACCTCATTGTACATGTCGCGCTGACCACCAGAGAAACCTCTCCAGTTGGCAAGAATCATCAGAGGCAGCTGCTCACCGTTGTTGAAGTCGTTGATGGCTTGCGCGGTCTTGAAGGCAGAGTTGGGATACCAAACACCACCAGCCTCGTTGGTGATCTGCTCGATGGAGTCGGGATTGGCGGGATCGGCAGGAGTGATGTTCTCGACGGAGCGGGCCTCGACGGCGATAACACCCATAGGGATACCGCCAAGGCGAGCACGACCGACAACGACGGTACGGGCCCATCCGCCGAGGGTCTCGACGAAGGAGTCCTTGTCGAACAGGCCGGCCTCGAAACCACCATTGTCGGTGGTGTGACCACCAATCATCCACCGGACATCGTAAGCCTGCTTCTGAGGAGGCGTGTAGACGACATCGCGGTCCCAGCCGTCAGTACTGGGGCTGACAGGGATGGGGCTGCCGCGCTTCTCGGGAATGAAAGACATCCACTCGACAATCTTGGAGACACCATCAAAGTCATCAGTACCAGTCATGTGGGAAACACCGTTGCGGTACATGATTTGGGTACCACCAAGCTGTAAGTTGGAAGTGTAGATCTCGCGACCAAGAACGTTGTTCAAGGCGGGGGCACCGGTGAGGATGATGGGCTGTCCCTCAATCTGGACAGCACGCTGGCCGAGACGGACAAGGTAGGCGCCAATACCAACGGAGCGGCAAGTGACCAAGGTAATGGTGAAGATGTCGTTGTAGGCCTTGCTCGTCGCACCAGCGATGAGACCAGATCCTCTCAGACACTCGACACCAAGGCCGTCCTCCTGACCGACGATGGTGACAATCTTGTGGCGCTTCTCACCATTCTCGGAGATCTCCTCAGTGATGACGTCCTTGGCGAAGCGCTTCTGGGCCTCGTCATCGAGGTAGAGGTACTTGAAGCCGTTGTCCTGCTTGTTGGCGTCGTTCCACGCGACCTTGAAGTAGGGCATGAGCTCGTTGGCGACGCCGAGACGAGCACCCGAGTTGGCAGACAGGTAGATGCGGGGAATTCCAAGCTTGCGAGCGAGCTCGGTGCACTTGTAAAAGAAGTTGTCCTCCTTCGGGCCGAAGCTACCGATCATGTAGGTGATGTCGTTGGCAACGACGATGAACTTGCGACCCTTGGGGTACTCGGGGGTCTTGGCGTTGAAGATCCAACCAACCATACCGCAGGTATTGGTACCAGGCTCACGGTTGACCTCTTGCAGGGTGTCCTTGTCGTCCAGTACAAGCTCAGTGTACGAGACACACTCGCCAGCCTTGGGCTGCTGAGCGCCCAGAGCGCCATGCTTCTTGACCGACTGGGTCCAGCTGTTCTGGATGGCCTGGCGGAAGAGTTCGGGGAAATCGTAGACGTACTGGGTACCCATCAGGTGAGCCTTGTAACGCTTAGGCTGCAGAGGGTTCTTGGTGGCATAGGGCGTCGAGACGGGCAACAGGTGCATGGGGCCCTTCTCCTTAGTGCCGCCGATGCTGTTGAAGACCCACTCGCCCTTCTCGGACTTGCGTTCGGCGTAAATATCGACGTCAACAACATAACCAGATGTGTTAGTGATGATGACACGCAGGGGGTAAGGAACGCCAGTGTCGGGATCAGTGCAGATGATACGGATCTCAACTTGGGCGACACGAAGGCGCCAAGCGCGAGCACCGAAGCGGTCCAGGAAACCTTGAAGGCTACTCTCAACCTCCTGGGGGTGAAGCTGGAACACGGGCGTGAAGTTGATGAAGACCTGGTTCAAATCGGAGTTGTTGTTGCCAATGATTTCAAGAGCATCAAAGATGTCGTTGATGACGCGATCGGCCTCGGAGATCAAGTATTCGGCAGTGGGGATCTCATCACGGAGACGGCCGGGACGAATGACGGCGCGAGTGAAATAGCGCTTGTCGCCGTCAACGGCCTTGCCAACACCCTCGTAGACGTGGATGTTCTTGTTCTCGGTGAAGACAGGCTTAATGTGGAACTTGGCCAGTCTGCCGAGCTCAAGCTGGAAAGCAAGAGCAGGCTCGCTGTGACGAATGCTGTCATCCTCGACATACTCAGGGCCTCGGAAGGTGTAGTAGCCCGGGTAGGCACCGTCGTTGCGACCACAGATGAAGGTGATGCGGCGGACGTTGCGGTTGAGAAGCTCCTCCTTGAACTGCTCGACGATGGGGACAATACGAGAGAGAATCTCCTGATCGCTCTTGCTTTCGGCGTCGCGGACGGCGACGTTGATAACAGCAGATAGCTCATCAGAGTCGACCTTGGGAGCAGCGGGCTTGCGCTTGCCGCTCAGGTCAGGAATGAGACCGGGGGTGCTACGCTTCCTGGCCTTCTCAGAGACGGTCAGGGTTTCGAGAGCCTTTCCGAGCAGGTCCTCAGCGTCATCAAGGTACTTGACAGGTACGATGACACCCTTGCGGTTGGGCTCAGAGTCCCACTTGTGGTTCAGGTAGGACATGTCGCTGATGGAGTGAATGCGCTTGAAGTCGAATGAGCCGCCGCTGCCGCTGGGAGTGGCGGGAGAAGAAGGCGCCGCGGACTGCAGAGGCAGTCCGTACTCACTCTGGCCGATCTTGCGCAAAGCAAAGTCCCAAGTGCAGAAGAGAGGGGTATCGGTCTCATCAGAGTGGTACTCAATCTGCTTGAGGATGTACGCACGGTAGGCACGGCGAACGTAAACCTCAAGGGCAGCGAGAGACACCCAGGAATCCTCGTGAGCGAAGAATAGGGTCAAAACGTCAAAGACGGTGTACTTGGAGTCGACAACCTCCTTGATAACCTCCAAGCTGGGCTCACGGTGGTCCCACGCGGCCTCACCGTAGCGGGACTCAACAACGGATGAGCGCAGAATGTGCTCCATCTGAGCCGTACGCTCCTCCAGGGAAGGCAGAGAGCACTGGATCATGATCTCACGGGCCTTGAGGGAGACCTTGGAGGTAGTGCGGGAAGACTGAAGCTCGGTCAACTCCTGCAGGGCGGTGCGCAGATACTTGGCGACGTTTCCGACGTTGGGCTTGTTCGGGCGGTACTCCTCGAGGATGGCGAGGATAAGGGAGCTCTTGGCACCAACACGGCTGTGGGAGAGGACAGTCTGGACAACCTTGCGGATGTCGTCCTTGTTCTGGTCACGCAGCTTGAGAATAACGCTATCCTCCTGAGTTCCGTAGCCTGTGAACAGGCGCTCAATCTCAATGTAGGAAGCCAAGAGATCCTTGATAACGGTCAACTCGTGTGCCTTCGTTCCCTCGGAGTATGCGTTGAGAACGTCAGTCAAGGGCGCCAGGGTGGTCTTGAGCATATCGGCATCACCGGCGGCGACATTGTCCTCGATGAACTTCTGGAAGGCCTTAGCCAAAGTCTTGGCGGGGAAGTCTGCGTGACGGCTCTTGGCGCGATCGACGATCTGAGTAAACTGGTTGTCCAGCTTCTGGGGCATGCGACTGTGCAGAGCAGCGAATTGGGCGTTCCACTGACTGAAGGGAAGCTCGTGGGTGCGGAGGACTTCGATGAGCTGCTTGAGGGTGGCAGCCATGATGACGGAGTTGTCGTATCCGAGGAGAATGTTCTTCAGGGTGTTGTGCAGAAGATCGAACCTCTGCGCAGGCTTGGTTCCGACAGCGACAGGCTCCCCGTAGACGGGAAGCTGGCCGACAAAGGGCTGAGCCTGCTTGACACGGCTTGGGTCGTCGAGAGCTAGAATTCCCAAAATGTCACCGGCCTCCAGAGTAGCTCCCGGCTGCTTGATGAGCTGGACAAGGCCGTCTTCGGAAGCGATGAGTGGCATGTACATTTTCATGACCTCAACCTCGGCGAAGGGTTGGCCAGCCTTGACGTGCTCGCCGTTCTCGACCAGGTACTTGACGAGCTTACCGGGAGAGGGAGTGCGGAGCTGGGTAGGGTCGTTCTCCTGCTCGAGCAAGCAAGTCTTACCGTCAACGGAAAGACGAGTCGCACCGACTTCCTCCTTCCAGTAAACACTGTGGGAGCGGCCATCCAGGAGGATAAGCAGACCACCGTCACTGAGGACACGAACACCGACGGAGCACTTGGAACCGTTGATGAAAAGGTGGTAGCTGTCCACGCTGGCACGGGTGGCGGTGAACTTGTAACGGAAGCCCTCATAGATGAAGTCGATGGCGAAGACGGTCTTGAGAATGTCCTTGGAGGGGACCTGACCCTTCTCCAAACTGGTGCGGTACTCGGTCATGCACTCTTCGCTGAAGAGATGAGCCTTGGTAACGGCACCGCAAACAACAGCCAACATGGGGTCGGGACGTTCAGCAGTCAGCTTCTTGGTGATAAGCTCGTCGAGCCAGCCGGTGGTGATGGTGTTGTCCTCGAAAGCCTCGGTCTCCAGAAGCTTGATGAGGTACTCGACCGTCGTTCGGAAGTCACCACGAATGCTCAGCTCCTTCAGGGCAACAACCATGTGCTTACGAGAAGCAGCACGGTTCTCGCCGTAGGCGAAAATGTGACCAAACTGAGAGTCGGAAAAGGAGTGAATACTGGAGGCGGTACTGACGGAGAAGTAACCCCAGACGTTGGAGGAACTCCTGAAGTTCAGGTCGTGCATGACACCGTTGGAGGGCTTGAATCCTTCACCTGGATCTTCCGACGTGATTCTGCAAGCAGTGGTGTGGCCCTTGGGTCTGGGGCGACGCTGCGTCTTCTCGCTACCCTCTTGCTTGAACTCGAAGTCGATATCGGTGGATGTTCTAGGGTCGACTCCGTACAGGAGACGGATGTCGCGGATTCTGTGCAGGGGAATACCCATGGCGATCTGGAGCTGGGCCGCGGGCAGGTTGACACCGCTGACCATTTCGGTCGTAGGATGCTCAACTTGGAGACGAGGGTTCAGCTCGAGGAAATAGAACTTGTCGTCGGCATGCGAGTACAGGTACTCGACAGTACCAGCAGAGACGTAGCCGACGAGTCTTCCGAGACGAACGGCAGCGTCCTCCATGGCCTTGAAAGTGATGTCCTTGGCAATGGTGACGGGGGCCTCCTCAATAATCTTTTGATGACGACGCTGGACGGAACAATCTCTGCCGAACAGAGAGATATTGTTACCGTATTGATCAGCAAGCAGCTGCACCTCCAAGTGTCTCGCATTGCCGGCCAACTTCATGATGAAGATGGGTGAACCGGGAATCTCGCCAGCTGCGGCCTTGTACAGCTGCTCGAAACCGTCCTCGGAGAGGGCCTTTCTGATACCCTTGCCACCACCACCCTCTGACGCCTTGATCATAACGGGGAAACCAATGGCCTTGGCCTTCTCCAGACCCTCTTGCCACGATGTGACGCAGCCCTTGGAGTAGATGTCATCCGCGACAGTAACAATACCGTGATTGTCGACCTCGACGGTGTCGACACCGGTACCTGACCAGGGGATACAGGGCACCTTGGCGTGCTGTGCAACGATTGTGGAGGAAATCTTGTCACCCAGAGATCGCATAGCGGAGCCCGGGGGTCCGATGAAGACAATCTTCTTGGGGGAGGCAGCGAGGGACTCGGGAAGCTTTGGGTTTTCGGAAGCGTGACCCCTGCAAGGGAATCGTTAGCTATTGTGGCAAGCGATGGTGACAGAAGTAGCAGAAGACTCACCATCCGGCCCACACAGCGTGGACGTTCATGCGCTCGGCAATGTCAACAATCAGCTCCACGTTGGCGTAGTTGTGGTTGTTGGTACCGCCGGGAACCTCGACGTAGTGGTCAGCCATGCGAATGTAATCGGCGTTGGCAGCCAAATCCTCGGGGGTGGCCATGACGGTGAACTGGATGGCCTTCTCGTCGCCGAACGTCTCGTAGGCCCATTTCCGGACCGAACGGATCTCCTTGACGGCAGCGATACCGTTATTGGCGATCAGGACCTATTTCCAGTCGGTCAGCACACTCTGCGTTCCGCGTACCCACCACCACGATCTTCTAGAGAAAAATCGGGGCTCAACGTACGTTGGTGATGACGGTGTGACCATCTTGCTGAGCAACAAAGTCCTTGACCTTGGAGGCTGGCGCATTGCTCAGCTTGTTGCCGCCAATGAAGTGGTCGGCGATTTTGTGCTTCTCGGCGTATGTTGCCTTGCCGTTAACGTGAGGCACAGTCCGGCCGGTGCCGTTGGCTGCTGTGATTTCGGTCATGACTGCGGTGTGTGCGTGTGTGTGTGTGTGTGTGTGTGTGTGTGTGTGTGGGAAATATCGCGGGTATCTCAGAAAGTGACCGTCATGAATTGGGGCGAGCTCGAGGAGCTTGGATTCGGGATGTGGTGTGAGGTGGGGGTCCGGGAGATTTGGTTGCTCGAAGGGGGAAGATTCGAGCAGGAGATTAGTTTTGTTGAAATCTGTCTCTGCAGCAAAGAACAGTACGGGGTATATGCAGAGCAATAGATCGTGGCGGAGGTGTAGAACAGAGATTTGTTCGCGTCTCTAGAAGTCGGGAAAAGAGGTCTTGTTAGCACATAACAGCTCTCTCTCACTCTCCTGCGCGGAGTCCAAAAAGTTTCTTGTTGGGGAAACTGAGCGCGAAGGCAGCACTAAGAGGTGGGAGAACATTGGGGGGTGAGGAATGCAGGAAATGGCAGGGGGGGAGATGGGCGACGCAGGACGGGTGCCAGGGAGAGGCAGGCTACTGGGCTGGGCCGGGGAGAGATTGCGCGCGCAACTGGTAGAGAGCAGCCAGCCGGCAACGATGGAGCCGACGTACCTGATTTTGAATTGGGGGCAAGCTTGGTAAGACAAGATGCTTCCTTCTTCTGTCTTGTGGCTAGGACAGAAGGTCTAAAAGGTGTGTCAGAAAAGGGGAGAATGGAAGGGAGAGAGTGGGAAGAGAGAGGTCGAAGGAGGAAGAGGGAGAGGAGCAGCGAGGATGTGGGTGTTGAAGGTGTTATTGTAGTCCGGCGACTTTGTGGATGGGATGAGGAAAAAAGGACAGGCAGGCGGTAGACAAGAGACAGTGAACTGGAGACAGCAGCAGGAACAGCAACAAGAACCAGGCGCAGGGGAGTGTTGACTTCGGACGGGAGTTCCGGGGTTGAGGTGTGAGTGAGGTGCAATGAGCGTAGTGGAATTGGGGGCCTGGGACTTTGACGGGGATTGTTGGAGCGGCGTTGGCGGCGTTGGCGGCGTGGGAGCGAAGGTGTGAGGAGGGGCGCAAGTCACCAAGCCAAGTACCTTTTTCTGGAGACGGAGGTAGACGCCGTGTACCTGAGGTGGGACGGGATGAAATGTGGGGTCTGTGAGGGGCGTATGAGAGGGAGGACACTCGGTAACTTCCTCAGGTGAAAGGCCGTATTAGGTGAGGAAGGAAGTGGGTAGGCGGACGGAGAGAGAGGGAGACTGGACTGGGGATGGGGTTCAGGAGGAAGGGGAGAGTGAATTCGGGTTGGTGTAAGTGTAGATGCAGAAGTAGATCCGTACTTACAGTAGTAAGTTTGTTTTCTCTGGTTTTACTACCTCTTGTCGGAAGAAGCTGAAGCTGAACGAGATGGTTGGGTCTTTGAAGCTGCAATTAGATATTCCCTCGACACTGCCGCCTGCCTGGGGGGCTTTTCGCTCTTCGAGATCCGTACGATAAAGGAGATAGAGTAGGGGGGTTTACACAAGTACCCGGAGAATATAATAACAAGGACGGGGAAGCCCGTCGGGAGATGGAGATAGAGACAAAAGAAGGAGAAGGAGGAGGCCAAGTAATGGGACGACGTGGGCGAAGGGAGCAAGACGCACTGGCAACGATACGGCAGGCGATGGCGACTTGTTATATTCGCACTTGACGGTGGCACGAAGCACCGGGCATCGCCATGGGGACGGAGGGCAGAGGACAGAGGACGACGGACGAAGCTTCAAATCAACTAAGTATACGGTGTCGGTCTCGGTGCTTGGTGCTCGAAGTGCTTGGTCCGTCGCGGTGCGTCGTGGTGCGTAGTGCTTGGTGCTTTGCTCTTGTCGGTGCTCGGTATTGGGAGGTAGGTAGTTTCTGTGGCCAATGTCGATGGAGGAGGACGGAAGATTTCCCGGGATGGAGAACATATCAGAGTACGTGCCAAGTGCAGGAAAGGTACTTGCGTTGGTACCCGAATTCATGTACCCCGAGTACCTCCCTCCGACGGGTGACGGACCACCATCACCAAGTTCCCCCAAAGCAAGATCGTCCTCAGCCAGAACTGCCCGTTCAACGAACGCGCATCGCCATTTTTGAGACCAGACCAGCAGGGACCACTGGACCAGACCAAGGACTGGTTCCTGCTCCTTCTGCTGCTCCTGCTCCCGCTCCTGGCGATACTTTTGGAGATACTCCTGAGTCCTGGTGGCTCCTGTTTTGGCCTGGCACTACGGGTCGGTTTGCGTATGGATGCAGTCTGTGTGTGTGTCTTTTCTCACCCATGGACGTCTAATCCACGCCCATTTACCCCCCCACCGCTCATCTGGACTACCTTGACCGGACTGCGGTTGTGTGGATGCGTAAGGTAAGGTATGGATACTCTACAGAACATCCGCACAGTAGGATGCTCTCACAGCTTTCCAGGTTGATACGGTAATGCATTGTTCACTCGCCCTCCCCCCATCTGCCAAATTCCCAATCCATCCATCCGGCTGAGATTCTGCCCCCCTCCCTCAACCAATGGCCGGGGTGTTGGGGGAGCTCCTGCCCAAGGGTGGGCGCTGGGCGGGCCAGCGGGCTGCAACAGTCCTTGTCCATGTCCAAGGTACCTGGCCTGAGGTACATTGAGGTAAGATGCCTTGGGTACATTAGCTTAGTGTCTCGCGGGTCTCAATAAAAGTCTTTTTTTTTCCCCTTCTTGTCTTCCCTCCAGAATCACAACCTCGGCGTTGTGTGTCTCTCAGCCTTTTTCAAAGGGATGTTTGACTGCTCCCTTGCGACCCCAGCCCAGCCACCAGTAAGATAAGGTTCGATTACAGATACAGTAGGTTCGTGGATTGGGTTAGGTTGAGTAATGTTACCTCCCGCAGCTGCAACTTCAAGACGAACGTAGACCAACGAGCCAGAAAACAGATCCTGGAGACAAAAAAAAAAAACTAAAAAAAAAAAAAAAAAAACTGTGAGGAAACAAACGTCAACCTGCATCCGCTGCCCCTGGCTTGAGGTACGTGCCCAGCGGGAGCATTGAATATCTTGAGATACTTCAAAAGGCACTTACTTCGGTACGTCTGCCTTGACGGGAATTCAGGTACCGATCCCGTAGCGCATCTGGCTTTTTCCCGGCCCAGGGGATTCTGCCGCTGGAATTTTTTTCAGATTGGGCCGGCAATTTGTCTCTCTCCCTCCCCTCCCTCCAATCAAAGCTCTCTGTTTAGTCCAGCCTCACAGCGTCTTCCTCACGTCTTCCTGTTATTCCTTTTTTTTTTCCCCTCTGTTGCGGCAGTCCCCTTGTCCGTCTATCTCCACCTGCAGCCCTCGGGACGTTATCGTTGGCCTTATCGATGGGCCAAAGCTCCTTCGGCGCATTTCTGCCCCGTTCCTTCCTTGCCTCGCACCTCAAGATTTCGGCTGTTACGCATTTGCTCACTCATTTCGTCACCTTCATTCAGCCTTGTAGACTCTGCCTCAACACCCACACATTCTTTGAATGGAGAGCTTATCGTGACACGCGACACCCTCGCGACAAGATGCACAACCGCATTCAACTCCTACTCCTGCTCTCCCTCCCACAACCAAATGTATTCTCCGGAAGCCCCTGATGGAGGATCGGATCGGGTCAGCCACCGTTGCCACCACCGAACCCCGACGGCATCTCCAAACAAAGTCCGAAAGCTGCTGCGTTACCTGGCTGCCACGACCCAATGGCACCTTGTCACTACTCTCTGACACCGCCGCACCGCACCGCCGGCCGTTTTACACCGATCGCCAACGTCGTCAACGCCGTATAATTACACCCAGACCCGAGACTCACAGCTCGAGAGCACCGTTGACACCCCCGACCCCAGCACGCAAACACATCCAGAAGAGTCCCCCGAGTCCAGGAGCCCGACAAGACCAATGCGCGCATCTCTTGCGTCCCATTTGGCATCCCATCTTTCATCGGCCCCGATTTCTTGTCGCCCGGTACTAGGTCCTTCAAGTTTCATCACAAAAGCTCCATCAAACTGTCCCCATCCATCACCCATGCCCGACTCCGCAGGCGGTCAGTCAGGCGTCGCTAGGTCGTACAGGGGTGCAAGCCTCAACAACCTACATCGGTAGTAGGTATGTAACTGTCGCCTCGCTTACGCACCTCTAAACCGCCTAGCCTTGCTGGTTCTCCGTCCGGGGACGTCCATCAGCTTCCGCTAGGTAGTCCTACGCGCTATTACTTGCGCAGCACACAGGACGGGCCATGTACCTATTGTTACCTTACCTAATGCCACCTTAGCCTTCTGCAGAACCTACCGCGCAGGCTTCAGGTCTCATCGAGGACAAGCCAAGAACGACGGAGAATGCTGGACGATCACTGTACAGGGCAAATATCAACATCCCAACTCTCGGTCTCATCCACTGACTTGGACTGGCACCCAGTGGCCAAACGCTCGTGTCTAAACCTTTTATGTCTCGGATGGGGCAGGTCTCGCGAACCACGCCAAAGTCTCATTTTTTTCAGTTTCACATCCTGCATTCCCCCAGAGTTCAATGTCTTGGGGAGAGCTTCACCATTCAACACCAAGCCAAGCGCCAATTCAAGGGACCACCAATCCAACCCGATAAGGGAATTTCATCAAGCTGATAGCGGCATAAGATTGCTAGACCCCGGCCTTCCCTTCCACCAGCAATGCCGCCGCCGATGAGCTTTGCCGGGACACGTCGACGTCGACGGTAAATGTCGGTTCCCCCAACAATTGGGATTTTGGGACACAATTTGGGGGTCGCCTTCGCTGGGCCCCTTCCAGAAATGCCAGGGGTTCAACAAGCACCAATAGCGAACTCGCAAAAACAACCATGCCCCCACCCAAAGAAGTCGAAGAGAGAGCACCGCAGAAGGGGAAAAAAACATTGCCAACCAGCGCCAGACCAAAAGAGAAAATCTCCACCCGCAGATCCCCAACATCTTGTCCGTCCATCTGCGGAGCCCGTGCTCTATGCTAGACCCCTGCCTGCAGCCAAACCGCCGGCGCCAACGACATCAATATCAACCACCACAGCCATAGCAGGGGGTTCGCAGCCTCAGTCGTCAGCTGCAGTCACAAATGTACTGGGCAAAGGAAAGCCATATGCTGACTGAGGCTAGTAATAATGGATAGTGAGAGGAGAGACTACACCTCGGACGAACGCCTTTCCTCAACTTTGGGCCCTCACTCCCATGGTGTCTGGGCGTGCGAGGCTCCCAACTATCTAATCTTCAACATGGGAGTGCTTCTCTGCAGCCTGAAGGCGCCCGCCTCATTGCCGCTGCCGCTGCTGCAAGCCTGCAACCACCACTGCGATCCCGAAACTTCCCGTCTTCCACCATGTCTTTACGATTGAAGTCTTCCGCCCCATATCTCGATCCCCCGGCCCTTCCCATCCACTGCAACGCAACTATCACGGCTCGTCGACCTGGCGCAGACTCCAGTTGGCACATTCCCACCGTAATAAAGTACTCGTCCCCATCGTAACCCCATATCAGAGGATAATGTCTGTATTGCCCAGTACACCAAGACGCTCCAGGGCGAGGATATCAACGAGCATTGGCCCCTCAGGCCGTCCCGTCCTCGGCGACTCGTTCGGAGAGCAGAGCGGATGCTACACTAGCTCCCTACAGATACTTACTTGGAAGCGCTAAAGACGGGGCGAGCAGATCCGATCCTGTCAAAGCTGGGGACGCTCTGCGCGTAATCTGATGCGCCCACTTCCGCCCATCATCCTTCGTCCTTGTTTTTTTACAGGAAGACGGCGCTCTCCAATACAACGGGCCCCACCTTCGACGTGCCTCTTTCCTAGCCGGAGCGGACGGACTGCTTGTGACTCTAATAATAGCCGGGCTTTCCCCTGAAGTTCCGGACTGTGACGCCGATGGACTAGAGCCAGCGCCGGTGAGACGGCTCCTCTTGCTGACTTGCTGACGCTGGGATTGGCAGCACAATCGACAGTTCAGTGGTTCAGAGGGATCTCTATAGGCGCAGGCGAACGTCTGTCATTCAGACCGTTGCCTACAAATATGTCCATGCCCTCACATTTGCCAACGGTTGTCGTCCATATCGTGAGTTCCCCACATCTTTGTAAACAAGCCGCATGGGACTGTGCCTGCAGCACGACTGCCGACCGCATCATGTCTCGAGCGGCTCTGAACGCCGGTCTTAGCTTACCCGTCCGAACCGGCCTTGCAGGTGCGTGCGTCGCTGTAGTCAACCGTTGCTCTGAGACCGCATCTGCACGGCAAGTTTAGCCAAACGACGTAGGTTTGGCCAGTTGGCATGTCGCTGGTGACAGTTGGACGAGATTGGGCCTAAGCCGGATCAAAGCCGAGACTGGGACGAATGTTTTGTGTAATGGAGATGAATTTGCTGTTTCTGCGCACCCCGCAACCTTCTTTTTGACCGGCCAGCAGACGTCAAAGTTCCACAGCTGGGATGGCTCTCTACCTACTGCCCTTGGGACTGATCACAATCCGAAAAGTTGACCTGCCTGATGTGAATCTGTCTGCGCATTTCGGGACGTTGCTTTGACAGAAACCTGCAATGAAACCAACAGTCAGCACCGAAGCCGCGGCCTTGGATCTGATGTCTGGTCAGACAAAATCGGCAGCTGCTTCAAATGGCTGTCTTGATGTGTCTCCCGTGAAAGCCGGAGCTATGTGAAACAGATCAAATATCAAGGTGCTTCTATTCAGGGGTGAGCTTTCGGCAGTGAGCTTTCCTGTGAAGAATGTAGTCATAGAATACCATTTTGAACGATGGCCTGGGTTGGGATCTGTATGAATACTAGTAGCTAGACCTCGGCCTTGGCGTAACCAGCCAGCCATACGTACGCTTGACAGAAGGTATGCCTCAATAGTGTTGTTCTACCATGTCGCATTTTCATCCATACCTTTCTTAGGCATGCGTGGCATATATGTGAACCGAAAGATTGGCCACGTCTTGGCAGTCTTTGACTCGAGCTGGCATACCTACACGATTTGCTCCTCGACGTGTGTCTGCGTCAGACAATGTGTGCAGTAAAGTCCACTCGCGCATGATTTACCTCCTTGAGGCAGGATCACCGTGGGAGAGCCACGTTGGCATGGCGGTGAATGCCGACCTTTGAAATGTGTACCTTTTGAGTCTGGTGGATTTCCTAAGGCGACGAGGCTGATGGTTGCGGCTTCTTCCGTTTGTCTGGCAGATCTGACGGATGGATGGTCGTGTTGTGGGATGTCGCTGCCCGGTCGTCTTTTGGAGCTCGGCGCTTCATCTGTAGCGCAATAGCGGCATCTATAGATAGAGCTCATGAAAGCTTTTGAGCTGACCCGAAATTTTTACTTTGAATTGATTGTAAATGCGTTCACGCGGCTGAGGAGTTGACATTGTCTCAGTGAGGATGGCGAGATGGGTGGTGTGGACGACACGGCTTGGGATGTCGCGTACCACGTTCAGTGGCGACATATCTCTATAGAGTGGACAATTGAGATTTTGAAACTTTGAATGTGTTCACTTGATACTTTTGAAGGGATTCCATGTGAGAAATGAGCATTTCAATGAGTGTGCGTCGAGGTTGCGATTTCTTCAGTTGAAAATCACATTTTATAGTTCAAGATGATAGTTGCTGAGAACGAGCTTCGGTATGCAAGTCGTCATCACGTCACAACTGAATCCCAATTTCCAAGCTTTGAATAAATTTCTTATAGCTTCTTAATATCAATCATATTTTGCACTCATATAATCCGTCTGTACTTTCTTCCGAGACAGAAATGCGAATGAGGGGCCCGTCATCTATAGTAGCAAGCTAAGAAATGTGGTCGTCATCATCGACAATATAGCGTCACTGAATGCCTCAGCCAGCATGACCACAACATCAATCAAATATCGACAACGTCCCATATAGTCCAGTGGTTAGGATACTCCGCTTTCAATCACTTTATTGAACAAATACCGGAGAGACCCGAGTTCGAACCTCGGTGTGGGAACGCGCATCCTTTTTCCTGATTGACGTGTTGCTTTTTTAATAGTCCTTCATCACCATTGTTGTATGTGCTGCTGGATAGAAACCTAAGAATGAATACCTCACTAGATAAAGAAAGGCAAAAGCTTGGAACAATCCAGTCGGAAAGCCTAGGAAAACGAAACATGTTATTGTTCGAGAATCCACTGTTCATCTGCCATTGTCTTCAAAGTCTCGAAGTGATTATCCGATTCATCATGGGGCAGGGCAGGCAGATGCCGCTCTCCCACATTCGGCCCATCCACATACGGACCCCGCCCTCCCGGCGGACGGACCCCCCTCCTCCTCCTCCACGGCGCGGGTTCGGTTGGTTCAAACCTCTCCACTCTGCCAGCCCATGCCCACCCCACCTACCCGCCGACCAACGCCGAATCGGCGACAGAAACCTCAATCCCGGAAAAAATCACACGACATCTTTTTCCTTTCCCATCCGATCATCACCACCAACAAACAGTCCGTGTCTACTGTGCCCTGTGTACCCTATCTCAGTATCGAGTGCCGAACCGGGGTGCAATTGTTGGCGTGGACATCGGATATACCAAAGCCAAACTCTCCAAGAATACCTCCGGCACATCATGTCCCTCACTCTGGACAGTCAGACGGTCATTCCAAAACACAATTAGTTATACACCACACATTACTTTACCGATTCATCCCTTCCTCACTGACATAGCCCTTGACATAGCCCTGCACACAAAGATAGCCTTCACAGAAACTCCGAGGAGCGGAACATGAAGTAATAAACCAGTATATTCAGACCAAAGGTATGGCTCGACGGTTCTGGGGATTGTGGTCGGGGTTAGTAGTAGTAAAAAGGTAGTAGTAGTTTTGCTTGCGTGTCAAAAAAGGATTCCCCTGTCGCGATAAAAGAAAGCCGCAATGTAAGAGGAAACCCCCCAAAAAGGCACCGCCATGCTTTGTCCCCGTTTGAAACCGCAAAACCGCAAGAATCATACCAACGCCTCGGATGCAGCAGTTTGTATCCACACGCCTGCCCTGAAAACCCCGTAGTCATGAAGAAGCAATGGACAAAAGAAATAAGTATGAAGGAAAAGAAGAGACTTTTTGTCTCTCTCTCTCTCTCCTCTTGGGAAATGAGGGAATAAGGTTATGTTGTTTCGCTGTGCTCGCGCAGCTTTCCTCCGCCCGGTGGTATAAGCGCCGGGTCAAGTAGTCAGAAACAGCGTGATCGCTCTGTTGGTATCAAGTCTGTCTCCTCCTGTAATATTCATCCAAGCCTGCTTAATACGTCTCCTCTTCGACCAGTTGATCTTGAGCGCCCATGACGGAACTCCTCAGGCCCATCGAGCTTCGCCTTCCCGAGACACTCCCTCCGCTTTGCCGCCTTGCGCTGGGCATCGGGATGCCGCTGGTTGGGGCTGGGATACCGCTCACGGAGTTCTCTGCGTCCAGGCGGGAATATGTGCCTCTCCTGCTAGGTGTTCTGAATTCGCTACTTTCGTCGCCCTCGTCAATGTCGATGCGGCTGCTGATACTAGCAGAGCGCGCATGCAGGTTGCCACCCAAAGAACTGCGAGGACGACCTAGAGGCGTCCGGGTTCCAGACATGCTGGTGCGGCTCATAGGGCGGGGCGGTGCCATTTCTGATCGACTTGACGGTCTGGCGTACGACGAGATGCTAGCCCGCGAGCTCGGCCGAGACATTGTAGAGTCGCTGTGTTCGAGACCGGCGCCCGGGTTCCGGTTCGGCAGCGGGCCAAACGACAGGCGGCTGACACCTGAAGTGCTGAGACGAGGTACATGCTTGGATCTTGTGCTGGCAGAGAAGTTGGGGTTGGATGGTGTAGTGTCATCGCCCCGTACGGATGAGGATGTGGAGCCACTCGGGCGCTTGCGTGAACGGATAGTAACCGTTGACGGTACGCTGTGAACCCCAAGGACCGAAGAGCGGGGTGAAGCTCGAGGGGGTGTCGTGACGGGAGCAGGGAGTTTTGAACGTGCGTTGTGTACGCGGGCTTCCAAACGCTGCATCTGGGCGGTGAGGGTTCGAATGTGGGCGAGAGACGTGTTGGCAGGCTTGGGGGGCATGCGGGTGGAGATGGAGCGAGGTGCGGTGCGAGGCGCGGGCGTGCGTGCCGGTGCCCCGGTAGAGGGACGACCCCCAGATGGCCGGCTGCTGCTGACGGACGTCGTGAAGGAACGAGGCTTCGGCGTGATGCTGTGTTCGGTTGACGGCAGACGCGACTTGCGCGTCGCTGATGCCGGCGTCTTGGCTGGTGTCTTGAGCGGCGTCCGGGAGATAATCCTCTTCGGTACAGAGGCGGAGACGTCGGACATGGGCGGGGAAGGAGGCTCGCTGATCTGGGCGGGTTTGGCGGCCGGGAGAGCTTCCGCATCCGGCGGGGTCGATACCATGGGCGAGCTGGCCGTCGAGCCGGGAGAGGCGTCGAGTGTCTTGTCGAAGATGGGAGACGAGAGGATGGAGAGATCGGTAGAGATGGCGGAAAGGTGACGCTGCTCTTGCTTCTTGATCTTGTCTTGGAGTAGCTCGGCCTCGATCTTGAGGTCGGAAAGCTCCTCGCGCAAGCGTTGCGCCTCGATGCGCAGAGTCTCTCGTTCCTGTTCGCCGATTTTGATCTCCTCCTCCATCATAACATTGCGCTCGATCGCACTGTTGAACTTCGATTCGAGGTCCTCGAGGGACGAACTAGTGTTTCGTGCCTGCCTCTCAAAGTCATCGTTGGCAACTTCGATGTCGCGTAGCTTGAGCTGGAGAGTCCTGTTGGTGTCGCGCAGGGTTGTGATTTCCTTCTCGAGGGTGTTTTGGGCCGCATTCGCATCCTTCTTGGCTTGATTGTACTTTGACTGCAAGGAATAGTGAGTCAGGGCTGGACGTCTCGCGATGGATGCGCGCCGTCAAACGGGCAGGGGGCGGGCGCGATCTCACCTTCCACTCCTCCGCCTCGAACTTGAGGCCCTCTGCCTTTTCCTGGAGTTTGCGCTCCCTCTTTTCAGCCTGCTCGACGTCCTTCTCGAGCTCCTGTTCCAGCTCCTTACTGGATTCTCTGAATTCCGACAGCTCCTCCTCGAGTGATGCATACTGAGACTTGTACCAGCGCAGCTGATCTTCGGAGCTCATCGCCTCGTTGGGCGGTGACGATGGTGGCTCTGCCATGGCTGTTGTATTGTGACGCAGTCGCAATGTTTATCGGGATCGCATGTGATGTTTGGCGGTCACCGGGTGAGTAAGGGTGGTTGGTATTGGGCGCAACGGATGCGAAGTGGGGGCAATCGTTGCGGTCGCAGATAGAACTTGTTAAAGTGATACAAATGAAAATTGTAGTCGTCGATGAAAATAATCGTAATAGTCGTCGAATGCGTGCTGTTGAGCCACCGTCAGTCTCGCCATATTCCCGAATTCCCCCAAAATCCGACGCGATCCAGGGGGGGAAAAATGGCACGTACCGACTCCAAAGTGTTGTTTTGGGGGGTTGGGGGTGTCGTATCAAAGCGTGGGAAAGACAAGCAGCCCGATGAAGAAAAGGAGGAAGCCGAAGGGAAGAATGGAAGGGTCCGGATTGTCGTGTGGGCGGTTGTCGATGTCGATGTCGATGTCGATGTTGGGCGGCGAAGACTTACCTGGGTCGTCGGTGGGTGGGTGGTGCTGTTGTTGTCGATCGGTGGCCGTGGTCGTCGTTTGTCGAAGTCGTCGTCGTCGGTGTCGAGATGTCGGCGGGAGAGATATGCATCTGCACTCTCCAATGTCGGTCGACACTTCAGGGACTGGACTGGACTGGACACACAGGACGGGACCGACTAAGGACTGCTGGGCATGGCTGGGACAGAACAGGACAGGAAAGGGAAAGGTCGGTGCAATGTTGATGTCGGTCAGGCGTGTGGGCGTGTGGGCGTGTGGTCGTTGTTGCTGTTGCGGGTTGCCCCCTGTCGCCCCTTGTCGTGGCACTGCGCTATTCTCTCTTGGGAATAGTATGCTACCACGGGCAACAGCAGGTGAGTGGCTGAAGACAATTATGTAATGGGCCACGGGAGAAGACGCAGGAAGAGCAGCCCACTCACAGCATCGGACGGGGACCCTTACGGTGGGGAGTGTACCTTTTTTTGGCACCAGTGAGAAGAAACAGATACGTACCGTCTCACCCGTCCTATCGCCTGCTGTTCTGTGTGTACGGAAGGCGGATACGTCCCTGATGAGGTAAGGTACCTCCCGACCGTGTGTGCTGTTCGCTGCCCCTCCTTCGTCATTTTACTCTGCGCATCCGCTGGCTGCTGCCGGCACTGGGCAGAAGGAGTCATTTCAAGCTTCAACCACGCCGCATTATTTCTTCAGTCAACGTCTCTGCCACTCCCAACTCCCTCCACCTTGGGCTCCCAATATGTCGACGGCGAAGCTGTCCCAATCCGGCTGGCGGCGATCGTCCACAATGCAGTGGGGCACCTTGTACAATGCGCCATGCGGAAGACAGCCACGACAGCTTGACCTTCCAGTCATTACGAAGATGCACACCAACACACCATGATGTCTCACTCTTCGTCCGCCTTTGTCAAATCAGACGCCCTACAGCTTCTCACGCGTCATTATTTTCTGACCCTCTGCAAACACGCATCGAAACTATGCCGGTGACTGAGCGCAGCGTGCAAACGGACTCAGCAATTGGAGGCCAGGCCAAAAAAGACTTTGACCCCCAATTCCAATCCCATCCTCGGACGATGACGGATGGACAGCCGCGAGCAGGGCCACTCCCAGGTCGACTTGACCTCCGTATCAGGGCCATCCCAAGTTTCGCTTCATGCAAATGCACTGATCCTTCTTGGCCCACCAACTCACCCTCGCTGCCCACCTGGTCGGTGCTCCTTTTCGTTGGCCGTCTGCACGACATTGGAATAATATACACGCCGTCAGGTTGCTTTGCACAGGCGCAGCCGCAGCCGCGGTGGCGCCGATCGACGGAGAGAAAAGGAAGAACGGCGGGAGGCAGAGAAAGGTTCAGATGCCATGTTTCAAACCCCGAAGCGCCAGGGTTCTGTGTTCCATCCGCATGACACTGAGAACCCATCAGTCTCATGCCACCAATTCTGCAGAGTCAAAATTGTCGCCTGTCAACTCACCAAGCCCATGGCCGCACTCTCATGCAACTGGCCTTCCAAATTACCGAATGGCTACTCCATAGTTGCACTATAATATTAGCTCAACGGATACGCACGCGGGAGATCCCCCCCCAACGAGCAGGGAGCTCCGTTACAGTGCGCCGCCGCCAATTTCTGCCCGGCCGGCAATCATCACACCCGTCGCAAATGCAAGTCGTCACCTCCGTCTTCATGTCGCTTCCGATACAGCGGTGCAATCGATATCGAGGTGACGGACCGGACGGACGGTGCAACCTCTCGGCGGACCCAGATCCAGTCACCCAAAGATCGATCTCGCGCCGAGACCACGGCTCTTTGGCCGAAAAAGGCTTCGTACTTCGTGGTCCCCATTGTTTCACGCCAACCGCTCGGAAGTGGCGGTCATAGTGCCGACTCTCGGGCCATTTGCGCTCTGCAGACAACGACCGTTCGCCGCGGCACTGAAATTTCGGTCGCCAGATAAACGTGGAATATTAAGGGTCCATGTGTTGTTTACTTCGTCTTCTTTTTCACCCGAATTTTCGTCCAAGCTTGGCGTCACAAATCTTCCAGGGCGGGCGGGCGTCCGTATTCTGGAAATCCTAGCTTGCAGCGAGCTCCTGATCGAAAGTGGCCATCTTCTGCTGCTTTTGCATTCAGAGTCGGCAACCCGAGTTTGAGCTAATCATTAACTATTAGACAATGACTCGCAGAAATCTGAGCAACCTCTAGGCCGCGAAGGTCCGCAACACATTAATGAAATTGGCTGCGATCATCGACACTTCTAGCCTTGCTGCACCTGGCGCTCTATATAATGCTTGGACATAGGCGCGCCGCCACGCACGATAGTCCGGGAACCATCGGTGAACACTATTTGAGCCTCGGCATTTGTCGCATTAGGGTACTCCACCAATACCGGGTCCGTGATGCTGCCGTTCCGCCATTTCACCGTCACGAGCCAGCCGCCCTTGGTTCGGGCCCGTGAAAGCTCACCATTGGGCCAGTTTTTGGGACACGCCGGGAGAAGTCGAATCTCGACAAAATGCGCCTCCGTTGTATCTTGCAAGACACTCGACTGCACCAAACACTCGAGAATGCCGGCACACCCACCAAAGTTGCCATCAATCTGGAACGGCGGGTGATTGTCGAGCATGTTGGCCAACGTTGAGCTCTTGAGCAGCATGTCCATATGCTGCCCGCAACCTTCACCGTCGAGAAGTCGAGCATGGAGATTGAGCAGCCAAGCCCTGCTCCATCCCGTGTGTCCGCCGCCATGTGCTGCTCTTCGTTCCAGTACTCTTTTGGCAGCAGCCGCCAGCTCTGGAGATCTCACCGGGCTGATGCTTTCTCCCGGGTATAGTCCGAACAGGTGGGAGACATGTCGATGGCCCGGCTCCAGCTCTTTGTGATCCTTTACTCCCCACTCTTGAATCAAGCCATCAGCGTTGGTCGACAGCTCGGGCACCCTGCCGAGGGTCTCTTTCACCCTCGTTCGCAACTGGCTATCAGTGCGCAGTTTATCAGTGCTCCAAAGATACTTCTTGAATGCAATTCCGACAATGGTCATATCGATTGCGGAACCTTCGCAAAGAATACCAGGACTGCCCGATTCGGATATGAACGTGTTCTCGGGTGACAGCGACGGGTTTGTGACCAAGTATTTGCCGCAAGCTGACGGCGTCAGGAAGTCAAGTAGAAAAGTGATGCAGCCCTCCAGAACCGCGGCCGCTCGTTTGTGAAGGGTCTCATCATACTGATACTGCAGTATCTCAAATACGTCAATACATACCCAGACACCACCGAGAGGCCAGAGAGTGGAGGGCATCCATCGATCTTGGGGGTCTGTATCTGCCCAGATATCTGTGTTGTGGTGCGCGCACCATCCGTCACAGCCGTACATGGCCTTCGCTGTCTTCTTTCCCCGCTCCGCCATTCGCTCCAGTAATTCAAGCATCGGAATAGAACATTCAGTCAGATTACACGGTCCGGCCGGCCAATAATTCATCTGCAGGTTGATGTTGATGGTATACTTGCATCCCCAGGGAGGAGCAAAGGAAGGGTTCCAAATGCCTTGCAACGTCGCTGGCAGCGCCTTTACGGAGTTCCGACTTGACGAGATGAGTAGATACCTACCATAGTGATGGTACAGGGCAACCAGTCCCGGGTCTCGGTTTTGCTTGATTCGCTCGTCTGTCGGAAGATGGTAGGCATCTGGCCACATGCGAAGTGCTGTTCTTTCAAAGAGGTTTTGATAGTCCACTTGATGACGCTCAACCAGTTTCTTCCACGGGTTCCCCAACGCTTCAAGGACGTTACTCCTAGCGGCTTCTTCGGGGTCATTTTCTCGAAACTTTGTTTGAGCGCCAATGACAATGGAACAGGCGGAGGAGGTTACCACCAGGCAGTTGCCGACAGTCTCTACGGACCCCTGCGCGTCATCACAAGAAACCCCGAGGGTGATGGACAGCCGGTTGCTGTTCCGTCCGCCAGGCGTTGCAGCCAGTGTAATCTGCCCGTCTTTTGCGTCAATATTGTCGAGGAACTCGTTTGTCTCCCATTCAGCCTCGCTGACTCGGTTCAGCCGAATGACGAAACGAGTGGCCTCAGACGCCGTGATTCTGAACGCTAATACATTATCTGGGAAGCTGGCAATGGCGTCTCGACGGTAAGAGACACCTCGATATTGGTATTCGACAGTCGTCTGCGCGGTATCCAGACATAAATATCGGCGATAGTCCGTCACATCCTCGATGGCGTGACCAAACTCGACTGTGCAAGTGCCAAGCGGCTCATAGTGCCGCATGCTGGCGGGTGTCGCGAAGAAGGCCTCCCTAACGAGGGACTCGGCCTCGGCGTGTTTTTCATCTCGGATGAGCTGTCGGAGTTTCGGTAGGTGGCGGAAGGCGTCTTTTGGGGTCCTGTCCTGCGGCCCGCCGTACCACACCGAGTCCTCGTTCAGCTGCAAGAGCTCGGTGGAAGTTCGCCCATAGACCATGGCGCCCAGCCGCCCGTTGCCGATTGGTAGCGCCTCTGACCATTCGGAGGCGGGGGACTTGTAGTGGAGACGCGAGGGAGGGCGGCCCTCGCCGGGGCCGGAGCCGAAGCTTTCTGGGCCATCGAGCGGGAACATTGCGCCTTGGAACGACGTGCCGGTATGCCGGAGTCCGGATTTGTCTACTGCGACGAGGGTGGTCTGGTCTAGCCTGGGCCCCAAGCTTCCAAGACGGAGGGGTTTGTGAAAAGACAAAGACTCTGGTGAGCTGGTGATCGGGATCTGTTTTGGCCGTCTAAAGTCCCTCTTCCAAAGACGATGAGAGTCGGGCGGCCCTAGGCGACTTTAACCCCAGACAACCCACGATCGACCGGGGTAGATGCTCGGCGTCGTATCATTTGAGGAAAATTGGCTCGGGGAGTGTGGGGTAGCCGGCCGGCCGGCCGTCTCGAGCCAATCATCACGGATGAAAGCAGACCGAACATGCTCATCCCGGAGTGATGTGGTGGCTGGTCTGATCCAACTGCATGTCTACAGCCGCCCCGGCCAATCGCCATGAGACAAAGCCGATGTTGTTTGGGCTCTTGAGTGGATCTTGGGGAAACAAAGAGGTTACTCTGGAGGCGATGGAATGAAGTCGGCAGTGGATTTGGACTGGTTCGTCTGCAAGGAGCATCTGATGTGAACCACATGGCCACTTGGAACGTCTGAGAGTCTGGGGATCGCATCCCTCTTCAGGATTCGAGACCCAACCATCGGAAGGCCATTCCGTCTTGCACCAGAAGGATAGCAGTGCAGGATGAAAGCAGCCATTCTGGACGCGTCTCCCGCCCCCAGAGCTAAGGATAAGGAAGCTCTATATATCCGCCGAGGCACCGCTGCAACCTGAGATCCCACGGACCCAGAGTCTCGGGCTTCTCGCTTGTTCGCCAGCGTTGACTTTTTGCTTCGCCCCAGATCTAGGAGACTTGGAGAAGCGATTTTCTTCGCGAAAGTCAGAATTTTCAGTCCATCATGGCGCCTCTTGAAGAAGTTGACCACACGGTCATCTATCACGACGATGTCGCCCAGGCGAACAAGATTGGTGTTGCCGTCGAAGAAGTTGCGGCAACTCGCATCTCGGAGGCTGACATGATGCGCAAGTCGGCTGAAGCCCTGACGCTGAAGTCCAAGACTGGCCTATATATTTTCGGCTACATGCTCGTGATGGGCTTCAACCAAGCGGGGTAAGCACATGACGGTCCTTGCCTGTCTCTTGTGGGCGTGGGCATGATGGAGCTGACATGCCTGTCAATAGTTACGGTATCGATTGGGGCGTCATCAGTGGCATCAACTCCAATGACCGTTGGCACGACTACTACGGCTTCCCCAACGCCGGCGTCATCATCTCCACGATCAACGCCCTGATGCAAATCGGTGGGTTCCTAGGCGCTCCCTTTCTCAGCTGCGCCGACGTACTCGGCCGCCGCGGTGTCAACTTCCTAGGCAACGCTCTCGTCATCATCGCCGCCATTATGCAGGCCATGGCCCCGAATCTGGCCTGTCTCTTCATCGGCCGTCTCGTCCTTGGATTCGGCACGGCGCTTTGCACCGCGCCACAGTACGTCGCCGAGCTTGCGCCAGTCCATCTCCGTGGTCGCCTCGTCGGCGTCTTTGGCGCGTGCTTCCAGGTCGGCTCGCTGATGATGATTGGCATCATGATGGGTTTGACGAACTGGGACAGCGACTGGCAGTGGAGGATGGCCTTCTTCATCCAGGCCATCTTCCCTCTCTTCGTCTGCCTGACAATCTACTTCTTGTGCCCCGAGTCGCCCCGTTTCCTCTACATGCGCGGCAAGAAGGAGGAGGCCCGCCGTGTTGTGGCAAGGTACATGACGACTGACAACGACATCAACCATGAGATTGTCGACCTCATGATCCTCCAGATTGAGGAGTCTATTGAAACCACAAAGGCCGGATTCCGTGCGACCTGGGACTTCCGCGTCTTCTTCACCCGCGCCGTGTGGTTCCGCACTGTTGTCCTTGCCGTCTATGCCGTCTTCCAGCAGTGGAATGGGTATGCTACCTCTTTGCACGCCCCTCGTTCTTTTATGCTGCAGTTGCTAATACATGGTCATCCACTAGCGGCGGAATCATCGGGTACTACCTCGCCCCCGCGCTCGACACAATCGGCATCACCACGCAGCTTGCTCAGCTCGGCATCAGTCTCGGCTCGACGGCAATCTACTTTGTCTTCACCCTCTTCGGCTCCTACATTATCGACTTTTTTCGCCGGCGCACCCTCATCTTCGCCGGTCTGATTAGCATGATTTGCGCGCAGATTGCCGTCACCATCACGAGTTGGCAGTACAACCTCAACGAGCAGAAGACGACGGCCATCTTGACGGTCGTCTGGATCTATCTCTTCCAGGTCTGCAGCGCCACCTTTATCGCGACCATGCACAACCTCTACCCGGTCGAGCTGCTCTCTCTGCCGCTGCGTGCCAAGGGCATGGGTTTGTTTTCCATGTTCCAGGCCATCGCCGCCGTTGTACACAATTACGGCATTGGTATTGGTGTTGGGAAGGTGGGGTACAAGATCTGGGCTGTGTATATTGTCTACAACTTCATCCAGATCTTTATTAGCTACTATGTCTTCCCTGAGACGAGTAGGCTGAATCTGGAGGAGATTGATACCATTTTTGAGACGCCGGGAGGCAAGCCTGTGAAGCTGAGCATCAAGATTGCGGATGCCAAGAGGGAGAAGAGGAAACTTGATCGCCAGGATGGGGCATCGCGTCTTTGATGTTGAGAACCGCTGATGTCGGATGGCAGGAAGTGAGTTTTGGGTGTTGATGTAGGCAGCGTACTGTTAATAGTCTGCTCTTGGGGTTCCAAGGGCCTCGATATCCAATTTGATTCATCTATTATTGAGAACTTTGAGAAGTGGTTTGCTTGCTGAGGGGATTCTGAGATGTGAACATTCGGAGGAGGCCCCGTACCTCGTGTATCCTGACGGTCTCGAGGTCAAACCGCCCACATCCCTTCGCCCAGCTGTTGTACGTGCCTCTTTTCGCACCTGCATTCATCGGTTTTGAATTGCTTTGTGCTTTATGAGGGTCTTTTCATCTTCCGAGCGCCGTCTGTGGCCATGGATGTCTAATTGTGTGATTTACACAAGCGTCATACACAAAGAGGGCGACACATGCATCCGCGGCATCCCTGAGAACCCACATTCAGGGGACTAAGAAGCAGCAGCCGAAGTCCGTTCAAGTCGCCTCCCGCGCGCTATATCCACCGCTGCATTTGATATCAATCCATCAACAAGGGTTCAGCCAGCACACTACGCCTTCTTGGACTTGAACCATGTTTAAATCGACTCTTTCGATCGCTTTTGAAAAACCCACGGACCACCTCATACCCTTATATATGTCTGTGAACCATCCAACATCACCAAAAGCTCACCCTCACCACACCAACGGACAAAAAGACAAAAGGATAATCTCACGATGAGCTGCGTGATGTGACAAGAGTGGGATTCGAACCCACGCCAATTACTTGACTAGCACCTGAAGCTAGCGCCTTAGACCGCTCGGCCATCTTGCCTTGTTTGCTGATGATGGCTTCGTGATGGAAAGGTGGCCATGTAGAGGTGATGGCAAGGGTGTGTGGCCCTAGGTGGAGTGCATGCATGATGTGTACTGTGGATTGGCTGACCTGGATCCATTTTGCTGTGGAACTCACATGGCTTATCGGGCTTGTCTTCTCGGGACCCAGCGAAGGAAGTTGGGAAACTGTAGAGTTATTTGAGGTGTTGTATTTTCCTTTGGGATTTGATGTTGAGAGGCAAAGTCGGTGGCTTTCTGTCTGTTCAAGGTGAGGATGAATCTCTATCGTTGTGGCTGGAAAATGGGAGACTGAATGCATTGATACGCTCACTGAAAGGGACTGAGATACGGTCCAGGACGTAGGAAAGGCACGGATAACGAAAGACATGGCCAACGATACAGGGCATCACACCTTTAACGTGAAGTAGCCAATGTCTGGACTGTATTTCCAAGACTGTAATGAGTAGAAGTCGACTAGACTCATAAAGTACGGGCTACGTAAATGATCCAACCTCTGAACCAACTCAATGTCACCACCACACATCCAGATGCCTCAAAAGACATGCGGAATAAACCGTGCCGTCGAGGCGTGCCACCTTTCCCACTTTTCCCCAAACTCGGCCCTCAACATACGCTCCTCCTCCCGGACTCTCGTCCACACGCCCAAGAGGAAGACGCAGCACGCCACGGGGCCGAGAACCCACTGCACGGCCCGCAAGCCCTCGTGCCACCCCGGCGCGACCCAGCAGCTCAGCACGCCGTCGAGCCGGGCGAGCAGCGCGACGTTGGACAGCACGAGGACGACGACGCCCGTGTAGCTCGGGTGCTGCACGCGGCTGTAGATGCCCGTCGTCTTGAGCTGGTCGGGCTTGGTGAGGTGAAAGGTGAAATTCTTGCCGAGGGACCGGTAGGGTCCGAGGCGGAGCGGGACGCCGGCGAGGAAGATTGCGGAGAGCGGGAGGAGGGTCGAGGCGGACCAGGTTGTGAGGGAGGCGCTGAGGCCGTTTTGGGCGCCGTGGCCGAGGACGGAGGGGGGAATGTGCGGATGGTAGTAGCTCAGGGCGGCGAGGTGGAGGGAGAGGAGGGCCAGGGGGAGGAGGACGAATTTGGGCGTGTGTTTGTGGGTGAGGAGCATCCAGCGGATCGAGTCTGCGTGCTGTTGTGGTGGTGCTTGTTTTTGGTGATGGTGATGGTGTCGCTCGTCAGGGTCGCCTGGTTGCTGGGGAGGTTTGGGGTTGGGGTTGAGGAGGCCGAGGTAGGTACCGACGGTCGAGGCCAAGATTGCGACCGAGAGTGATGCCTGGAATACAGACATCCTGGAGGCGTTGTGCTGGATTTGTGAGGTAAGATGCGAAAAGGTAGAGGTGAGAAATGCAACGAGGAGGATGAGAGACATCGCGAGACTTATCCAACGTCCCGCGTGACGCCTGTGGGGTGGCAAAAGCACAGGCCAGCAGTATCTGACGGTACTTTGGTGTGGCTGCTTATCGCTGGTAAAGACAAGGTACTCTAGATATCCCCGGCAGTGTCGTCGGAATTACGTCCGGTTCATGCCTCGAGACTGATCAGCGTTTCCTCATGCGCGTGGTTTCAATAGAAGCGCTTTTCTAACATGTGCCTCAAAACCTAGTTGAAACTCAAGGTTTCAGCAATGAATATTCAAGGGTATTGGTCCCGAAAGAATATTCAATATTCACGTGTGACCACTTACCTTTCCGTGGCGGTGGTGCCGAATGCTGGTCTGCAGTACTTGCTGACCGCCGGGCTCTCTGAAGTGTGGTGGCACGTGGGTGGCTTGATTGAGTCTACGCACTCTTGAATTTCTTCATGGAGGATTATCAGATGTATGTATAAACTCATGATGTGCGTGCTGGATCGGCGTAGTTCAGAATTCCGACTCTCGCTAGACTCCAAGAACCTAAGCCTATTTTCAGTTTTTGCATCGACACCATTGAAATGTTGTTATGCTGCTCTCTTATCTCGTACCGAGTCTGAGTTTGATGGTATGCGCAGTTCCTCTATAGTATGGATGTGTTGGAGACATCAAATCCCTGCTGAGCATCGTGCTCTGATATCTCTTTCAAAGCAATCCAAAGCCGGGGTCATTGGCTCTATAAGGACGCCCAGACGCCTCAAAATTGCACGAGAAACTAAGCTGAATCAAGTACATAGCCAATCCCTCATCATGTAAAATACGTACCCGTTCATATTGAGGTACTGTCACAATGCGACATTCACGGTCATGTTCTGATTCCTGTATTATGCTGCGCAGCGAAAACTTTGGCTTTGATTATGAGGCAGTTGATTGCCATGCTATTATATGCCAAGATTCTTTTAGCTTTAGAAAGATGAAAAGAATGATGGAGCTTTGCGATCTCGGTGCGTTGGATCTGCGTATCACTCACTATCGTACTTGCAAGCCTGTCATCAAAACGCTCTAAAAACACAACCAAGTCTACCTACCGTGACCTCTATGTCTATGTCAGACAACACCAAATTAGAAAATGACATGATTACACCTCTTCAACAACCTTGACTTCTGGGCCCTCAATCGTCTTGACCTTTCGGCCTTCCCACCATGACATGAGACCTGCGAGCATAGCGACACCGCATCCCAAGCCGATGAAAGTGCCAGTGGCCCAGGACTGTATCGACGTGTTAACTCAATTCAAAACCAGGTCTACAATCCGGGCATACGATGGCTCGCCAGCGTATTGGGATCACGGGCAACTTACAGGTCGATCAAGTCGGTTGTATCCCCACATGAAATAACACAGCACAGCCTGCAGGAAGGTGTTCCAAACCATCATCCAGATGGTGAAGCCGAGCTTCCAGAGCGGCGTCGGCGGCGCGACCTGGCCGGTGAAGGTCTCTGGCGCCTTCTCGCCCTGGACGGCCCACGCGGGCGGGCGGAACCAGCTCTTGTTCTGCGCCGCGAGCTTGAGCATGGCCGCCTGGTTCTTGAAGTTGACGGCCCGGATGTACCAGTACAGGTCGCGGAAGCGCCAGGGCGCGAGGCCGAAGCCCGTCACGCAGAAGAGCGCGTTGAGGATCTGGCTGGAGATTTCGAGCCACTTTTTGCGCGGCGAGTTGTCGTCGTCGGCGGAGGGGTGATTCATCGCCGGTGCGGCTTTGAGGAGCAGGAAGAAGAGCATGGCCTGGGGGGGTTGTGCGGTGAGTCAGTATGGCGGCTTTGAATTTTTTTTTCATTTTTTTTTTCACATCACAGGAATGAACTTACTCCCCAGGCCTACAGTTGTCTTGATTAGCATAATTCATGTTGGGTAGTATGTCACAAGGTGTGTGCACGAGGGAGATACTTACGACAATGTTCAAGCAATAGATGGTGATGACGAACCCCGAGGGCGTGAGGAAGAACTTCCAAAAAGCCTTCAAACCGTTTGCAATCGTCGTCTTCCACGGCGCCTTCTCCTCTGCTGCATGCTTCTGATACAGGCTCTGTCGTCGCTGGAAGGGTGACGGTCGAGCCTCGCTGGGTGGCGGGTTCTCCTCGTTCGTGCCCTCCTCGTGCGTAGCCGGCCGTGCTTCGTCCGAAGTCTCGGCCAGCACGGCGGGTTCGTCCGCTTCCCTGATATTCTCCGCCTTGTCATTAAATGCATTGCGGCCCCCACTGCCGGATTGACCATTGATGGAAAACGTCGACGCGCGCCGGCCCGTGTTGGACCTGATGAGCGCCAGGTCGCCGTGGGGTTCCTGGAAGGCGTAGCGCGCCGAGTGGCCTTGGGCCGTGAAGGCGATGTTGTCGCCGCCGGAATCGGGGTCGCGGAGCTCAGTGAGGGTCGGCGCCTGGGCAATTGCTGTGCCGGCGGCCTGCCACATGCCCAATTGGGGGTTCGCGTTCATGAAGGAGATGGACGCGCCCCGGACGCGGCCCACGATGCCGCCATTGTCGGCGGCTGACGGCTCGGCCATGGTTGAGGATTGAAAATGGGGATGTTGATGATGGGGCCCTCCCTGGTGGTCGCTGCGGTGTCGGATGTCGCGGCAACGCCGACATCAAAGGGTGCGGCGCGGGATGAATGAGACGGGGGCGTGAGTGAGATTGCCTCTCAGCACGCAGTCTGCGTCTACAGACGGAGAGGGGGCAGCCGAGTAGTCACGACTGGAGATGCCTCACTGATTGCAGGTTCGTAGCCGCACAGATTGTGATATGTTGAACGCAGAATCACATTCCCTTTTCCCTTTCCCAGGAACAAGCACATCGCGACCAAAGGAGACTGCAGAAATGTGCCATCACGTGGGGGCTGGGTGAGCGAGCTATCCTGCTTATCATGACCCAAACCCCCGGCGTCCCGCGAACAGTCTCCATTGGGAAAAAAGTCTAAATTGCGTCGCCCGTCACCTCCAGGCTGCTTGATGGCTGATCCTGGGTTAGCTGGAAGGGCCAAGACACTGCCGTGATTAGCTAGCCCGCATATCTCGCTTTCCCCGTCCCCGAATCCCTGCTGTTTTCGCACCCCAATCCGGCTTGGCCAGGCTCGGTCTCGGTCGGATTTGGTTGATGATGGGCCGCGCTGCTGATGCCCTGAGTCGCGGGACCCTTTTCTGCTGATCTGATCTGGTCAGGTGGTTGAGTGAATTCGCCTGACGTCACAAAAAGCCGACCTGCGACTTGTCTACATTGTTCTTACTACAGTAATCACAATGAATTTGAGGGCATGAAGCCTCAAGTATGGCTGTGGCACGCCAAGGTGATTGAAGGTCCAGCTAACAAGGAGTTGATTGACACTTTGGATCTTTGTTACGTTGATTTCTACCCTCCTTCGTTTGCTACTCGCTGTGTCTAAAATTTGCATATGTACATACTGCAGTCAAGAGAAACAGCGACACCTAATTGGTGGTTCCCTAAAACCTAGTTTCCTCGTTCGCATTACACAGCGAGGTCTTTACAACCGGGACTTGCACTTCAGAACGTAACCTTTTGTTGCAGATGGAAAAAAAGAACGACAGCTTTTCGAGTCAGCGCCTATGGCACAGTATTGTTTTCTGTTGAAAATCGGTGGAAAGAATATGTTGAGGTAACCAAGCCAAACCATGATATTTGCTTTTACATTACTCGATAATGATGAAAGATGCCAGCTGCATTGCGGTTCCTGTGATTTACTGATATGCATCTGGCAAGTGAAGGATACTAATCATCCTTCGTGTTCCCTCAGGCAAGACAACGAGACCCTGGCGAATCGCTCACATCAAAGCTCCAAAAGTAGGGAGCAACAAAACAGTCCTCGAACTTTGGACGTTTCTCCACATCTTGTGTAGATGCCACAAGCTCGAGCCCCCAGTCATCCTAAAGGTCGTGATGCTTGGGGAAATGTGTTGCTTTCTAGAATGTCGCAGCCAAACCCGTCCACGCTGCCGCGTTCCTCCCGACGCTGTTGATTTACCAGTCACTATAGCCAGAAGAAAACACAGATTTGGCCAAGTCTTCATCAATATCGTGCACGAACATGCATGCGGCTTCTTCTTTGACTTCCACAACGTCGACATAGCCGTCAATGATGTTGGGTTTAACGTCAATCTTTGAACCGGGCGACTAGGGATTGTTTTCGAATAACAACACAAACATCATCAAGGGAAAAGATTTGATGCCACAATTGGCATCGGCAATTGGGTACTGTCGCTGTGCTTTTGTGTTGGAAGTTGGTTTTGAGGGTCGATCTGCATCACACGCCATCGTTGAAAACATGAAGTGATCAAAGCAGGTCGTGTATTCTTTGAACCTTATTGGCTAAAACAATTTCAACAAAGGCCAGAGCCGAAGAGAAATAATTGAAGGTCGCAAATGACGAACACCCTTTCTAGCCATCAGAGTACTTGACACAGCATCCTGCTCCGATGAATCCGGTACCACAGCCGCCGCTGACTTGGTACAGACTTAGAAGTGAAAGATGCGACATGCCGAATTAAACCATAAGTGGGAGAAACTAAATAAAAGTAGCATCTCATATGATCAAAAGTTGTGATTCCGAAGGTGTACGTAGAAGTTTTGAAGAGTGTTGACGTATTGTGAACGCAGCTAGCTGGTATCACATGTAGGCGCAAATTGAGACGAGAAGTGATGCAGTGGAAATGGTGCGACGGTATCAATGAAGATAATGTAACCAACTCAGAGGGACTGTCTGTCCACTTGAAGAGGGAAGCATCGATGAGAAACCTCAGACCATGCATGAGAGGCATAGACACATAATTAGTTTGTGAGCAAGTCGTAGGTTGTCAGTGCTTATTTACCGGAGATACGGAGTATTTAACTACGTGGCCGCTGACACCTTGTATTTGCCGTCTCAAACTTTCGCGTTTCAGCGGAACTAATACGCCGATCATATAGTACGTGTTTGTCACGTATATAGGGCTTACTCGCTTTCCACTATAGGAAGGCAGATATAATAGGAGACCATCAGGTAGGCTTTCTCAATCACTAGATAGCCGAGTTTTCTTGGAGTCATCAAACGACAACTAGCAGCAGCGCAAGACGCTTTGCGACTCGTGAAGGCAAAATTGTGGTTTGCAGAATCCTTCCAGACGACAGAAACTTCTCATTAGGTTACGAGGGGCTGTACAGGGAGTCTCTATACCATGGGATTATAGCTAGAGTCAAGCTTGTGTTGGTTTCTACTTTGCGTAACTGACTCATTTTGGAACCGTCGAACGGGGTGTGCTCTGCCCTAGGTTCAACCAGCCCACTTTCCCCCCAAATTATTATGGTACACTTCCAGGTCGAGGATCGCTTTCCACGAGCCTGTAATGATTTAAGCTTTCTTGATAACGATTGTCTCGGGGTCGAGGGTAGTTCCGAAGATCCATCGCCGCTAGAGGAATCGTAGCTACTTTTCTACAGTTTTAACTCAAAACTTGAATAACAAGTCGTAGAGACAGAAGTTCTTCAACCAGGACCCTACAAGAGTAATCTTCGTTCGATTTCGGTTTCTTGCCACGTTTGAAATCGTCCTAACGTGTCGTCCAATCAAGGAAGTTACATTGACAGTCAACTTCTAACTTATCTTCGATAACCGCACGGCTCTTGAGTAGCCTCATCGGTTTTGGCACACAGAAATCCCCCCTTGAATTCGGAGCCAAGCTCGTTCCTAACGCGAGTTGGCCAGCATTGGCTGTTTGGGACGCTGGCACTGGCTTGGGGAGCCCGAATATTGGCAAGATGGTGGCGTTGAGAATGGCAGTGTGATACAAATAGTGTTTTTAGATTACAAATTCCTCAAAAATCTCGACCCAAAATCACCATACAATTTTCCCACTGCGTTTTGATCCAGTTTGAAGTTCTGTTCACAACTTTGCGTTCTCTACCGCAGTGATCGCGAAGGGGTTCGCTGTGAACGTTCCATCGGGATCAGCGGAGGCTCTCGCTCTCCCAAGTCGCTTGTACTTCTCCTCATCTTCGTAGTAGCACTTCCAGACCTTCTCGTCACCCAAGTTCCAGTCGCCATAGGATCCCCAAAGGAGACGCCTGTCCTTCTTGCTGAACGGGCTGTTGGGTCCGTTCATGACCTGGTCATTCTTTTCTTGCCATGACTGAGCCAGCTTCTTGGACTCTTCATCGGGGTCGTGGAAGCAGTCCAGTGTCTGCACAACAGAGGAGTCTCTCCAGCTGTAGGATGTGCCATTGTCTCTGTTGACGAAGAAACGCGACTTCTGTCCTCCGAAACACTGGATCTGCACCGACAGCTTACATCTCATGAAGCGCTCGTAGTCTTTCTCTCCCTCATGCCCGTTAAGGTACTGTTTAGGGTTGTAAATGAGATCGATGCGATCAACGACGGCGTCAACCCATTTGTCCTTGGTAAGGCTGGTTGAGTTGGTCGAGTAGGTGCGCTTGACGTAGGGAAGATCAAACTCGCGCGCCCTGGGGAAGATCCACTGCCCAGTCATATCCGACATGTCCATGTCGAACTCTCCAAACTGAAGCGAGAAGTCTTCCAGCAGGCTCTTGAGCTTGCGGAACTTGCCAAACCAGGCATCGACCTTGGCGTCGTACTTGTCATCCTTGCTAGTCGGACACCACTGCGCGTACAGGATGATAGATGCCGGGAATCTTCCGTTCAGCAGCTTCAAGAAGTCGTCTTCGAGCGCATTCTTGATTCGGTCCTGGATGCGCTGCCAGACGTTGGCATCCTTGAGCTCCTTGAACAGAGTTGACATGGGAAAGTCCGTACTGATGACACTGACACAGAGGTCAAAGTCACGAGGGAAGTTAGGGTCGTCAGCCATCTCGGCAATGGCATTGAGCAGCGTGGTGAGCACTTCCTTGGAGTAGAGCCAGAGCGCCTTGATGCCGTGAGGTCCTTTGAAGCCGTTGGGTCCAGCAACAGTTCCAACGTAGCTACTGGACTTGTACACCTCGACGATGTAGTGGGTGATGATACCGAAGTTGCCCGGGCTACCTCCGAGAATGGCGTAGAACAACTCCGAATTGTTCTCTTTGGTGATGTCGCGGATAACGCCGTCGTGACACACCATACGGATGGTTCTGATGTTATCACCAAAGAGGCCGAAACTTCGGCCCAGCTGCCCGTAGCCCCCAGTCTGGCCGTGACCTCCCACGCCGACGTAGGCACATTGACCGGTAGGGACGAAGAGCTTTGTCTGCTTGAGGTACTTGTTGAGGTCCATCATCGTGATGCTGACGCCAATGTAAACAAGTGTGCGGTCCTCCGCAATGGGATCCTTGGGCTTCAAGATCATCAGGTCCTTGTAGGTGTTGCCCAAGTCAATCTGAATATTCTTGCCGCTTGTGGATGAGGCGCCGCTGTACTGGTGACCTCCGCTCTTAACGGCAATGGCGACCTTGTTTTCTCTGGCCCAGTTGACAGCTCTGATGACATCTTGGTCATTCTGAGGTCGCACAATAAGGTCGGGATTCATGTCGTGTTCTTTCTGATACGTCGAGGTTGCATATTGCTGGTTGAAGAAAGCGTATTGCTGCGTCTCAGACTCGTCTCCCTCCCTAGAGTATTGCATACCCTCAAAGTCTTCGATGCGCACCATGTTTGTAGATTTCTTAAAGAGAAGCGAATATGGTTTTCAATATTGTCTTTCAGGAGACCAAAGTTGCAAAATGATTGCAAGAAGGGGGCGAACACAGCTCAATAAATAAGTAGATTACATCACATGCAAAGTCCGCATCTACTCAGGAACCTCCGAAGCAGGATACACCCAGCTCAGCCGCAGAGATGTCTTCACTTGGGCAACTCTGTGTGACAGTCAATGATAAACTTACTTTGCGAATGGAAGAAGCTGATTGGTTTGATCCAAGACAAGATGGTCAGCAGTCTGACGCCCAGTCCCGGCACCAAACGAAGACAGGCTATGCAGCCAGCCTTCATAGCCTTCAACATTCCGAGGCGCAACTCGCTGAAACCAGGTTCGCCTTCAGAGGTGGCTTACTATCACACTATCACACCGGCTTACGTTGCAAAGGCTGGGGGGCCGGGCCGCGCAGGTGCGTTTACGAGCGTTGTAAACGGAGCCGTGGCGTGGAGCTGGCATAAGACACGCTAGCTGAATCCGAACATATCTGATGTTTTTTGGGCGCGGCTGAGATATCCCAGCTATGTCCAATTTCAGACCGGTAGCTAGGCATCACTTTCGGTTATGCCGCACTCCCGCTTACTGGCCAATGCTATGCCTACGCTGACAAGGCAACCCAGACAAGGCGTTTGCTGCGTCTTCTTCAGAAATGCTGTTTGCAGGGGCATCGGATGATATGCAGAGGTAGCTGCTCCAACAACATCTTGGCTGGAACCAACTGCGCAATTGAGAGTCTGGTTGGTCGAGCAATTTCTGAATATGGAACGTCATGTGGTAACAACAGAGTGGAGCTATAAGGCTACGCCGCAGATGCTGTCTGCGTTAATTGCCTCACGGTACGCATCACACTTCGTGTCGTCGCAATAGTACACACCGATGATTACATATAACGGTTTCCAGGTCGTTCTGCAGCATACACATATTTCACGAAGTATTTAGTATGAACCTCATGGTTGTCGCATGAAAACACATGAATAAAGTAAGAGATTGAAATGAGATGTATAGTCTTCAATTCTTTTTTGTTAGATCTAGACATCATATCGAAGAACGCAGGAAATCGATGGGATTTCTCGAAAACCATGGCTGATCCGACGGCTGCGGAAAACTGGCTTTCCGCGGTTGCCTTCTCCCCTGACGTGGCGAGGTCTCTCCAACCTTGGGAATCGAGGCCCAGGGTTGTCATCAGCGACAAACTCGGCCCGTTGAGGTTTTGTCTGTGCCAAGCCGGCCGCGAAAGAGGTGGTCGGGACTGGCGCGCTCACTATCTCCGTCTGGTCATAGACATTGCGATTTTATTGAAGCTGGTCTCGGAAAACAGTCATGAAGAGATGCCGTCCAGATGATAGCCTACTTTCTAGATCGTAAGATATGCGTAGGTATTAAAACATCAGATGTTTCTTTACACGGTCTTCTCTTGTAGGGTTTCTGTCATTCCGATCTATTTTTAACTGAATGGAACAGCATCCTCCTCGTCGAATACGAGGCCATTGAATGTGGCTTCTCCTCTCCAACACCCCGGTTCAAATAAAAACGCTAGGGTGCTTCGATTTTCTCCCTTGCATCTTCGAGTGAGCTATTTCTACAATGTGTCGGACTCCATCCTTCGGTCTGCTTTTGTCGTCGTTGCAAGACACACGTCGACGACGAGTTGCTTATAATGCAGACCATACGACAACTCGAGGGCGGTCTTGCCTTGGGCTAAACTACGACAATACTTGTCGGGGGTCCAGGTATCAAAGATCGTCTGCCCATTGCCGTGAACTTGGCTCTCGGTGCACTCTACATGGTGACAGCTCATCGAGTGTGGATAGATGACCAAGTAATCAATCATTTTCCGTGGAGTCGATGAATAGGATTTTCAAAGACCGATCTGGCTGTCAACTCATTAATGGTCGAGAAAACAACACTGACAGGGAGGGAGTCTCACTGCTCACCTATGTGGCTGCCCGATTGACGAGTCTTCTCCCAGATCCATCGGAGGGGAAGCCCTGTGACATGATCAAATGGTTCTGCTCCGGGCGTACAATAATTCGCCTGGACACCCCTGCAATACGATACGACTCGAGGGGGGATGATGGCTAGCCTTGCGTGCCAAGTTCTCCATCAGATGATCGACAAGAAAGGTTAAATTCGACCTATCATTTATCAGCGACTCTCAATGGTAACGAGTCAAAGATTTCGACCTCGAGACTCTATGTCAGGTGTTTGGTACCTTAGTCCATCAGCTCTCAGAAGGAAGAGAATTATTCTGCATTATCCATGAAATTTCTTATTACAAGATGACGGACGAGGTGGACCCGGACCGGGCCATTGCAGAGCTCGTGGGCTTCGCCAGGAGCCTGGCAGAAGGACCTCGATTTTTCAGACTTATCGCGACGTGTGAGGAGAGATCTTTGAATGTACATAGACATTTCATGCCCGACGTCATGGAGTGTTAAGCAACACCAGCGCAAGAACATGAGAAGAAATGGAAGATATGGCCATTGAAGGAACGGTCATATTTCTTTGTAGTGACATGATCATTCAGATAGCAGAGACTAAAATCACATTTTGGCAGCTGGTTAATGGCAGCAATGAGCACCAGAGTGTTGCAGAAAATGGGTAAGCAGCACGAGTATAGACTGAAAGCTTTATGGGTAGTCTACCTCCTTTTCAGGTGACCGAACTGGATCATCTTCCCCCAGACCTTCCCCATGTTGTTTTCGGCAAGTCTCTTAAGCGGAACAAGTTACCGGACTGAACCGTGTTCCCCAGCACCTTCCATCTTGAATTGATTCCGGTAGGTCTCTCAAACTGGGATGTGACCAAGGTCGAACATTGGAATGATTTAGCAACGGTCCCAGCGATCAACGACGGAGGATTTGATGGTTTTTCTGCTCGCTCTTTGCTGGCTGTCCTGGTTTTTTCTTTTTTTGTCAGCCAGTTTTTTGATACCCCAAATATCGTAAGAGAGCATCCGCTTATCATGTTGCGCCGGTCAATGACAGGGTTCCAGCTGCAGCCGACACGACCGCAGCTGCCAGGGCCAGGGCCAGGGCCATGGGTGGGCTTGCCCTTGATCCCATGCTGGACTGACCAACAATACCTCAACACACGCGCTCATCAGCAGCCAAGCATCGACCAACCTCCCTCCTGGGCGCGGGAATGCGTCACTCAAACATGTTTAGAATCTCTAGGCGAAGGCTGACTTCGACCCCTCGATCATTCTTCGCATATTCATGCTACAAAACCAGACGCCCAATGTCGACCATGTCAACAATGGTAACCTCACCATATGAGCACATCGACGACGTCGAAAGACTCGACTTCTATCGTCCAGGGGGGTATCATCCCATTATCATTGGGGAGAGGCTTCGAGACCGATATGTTATTGTACACAAACTCGGTTTTGGTAGTTACTCGGCCCTTTGGCTAGCGCGGGACGAGCAACTAGCCCAGTATGTGGCGATCAAAGTTGGCGTGGCGGACCACAGCTCCAGGGAGGTCGACATTCTGAGCCAATTTTCCGCCCGCGCCGTCGAGAACGTACAGCTTGGTGGAAGTTTGATCCCCTTACTACTGGATCGCTTCAACCTCGACGGACCAAATGGAACACATCCATGCTCTGTCACTGCGCCGGCAAGATGCAACCTTGCTGAAGTCTCGGAGCCAGGCTCTGGCCCGTTCCAGCTTCGCGTCGCCAGATCACTTGCCGCCCAGCTTGCTATAGCAGTTGCGTACGTCCATCATCTGGGTTATATTCACGGGGGTGAGTACATGTACTTGGTCCTGCTTGTCATTCCTGGCCATCTCTAATGCTTGGTAGACATTCATATGGGAAACACTCTTCTCCAGTTGCCAAGTCTCGACCATCTTTCCGCCGAGCAACTATACGAAGAATTTGATCCGCCAGAGTCTGAACCTGTTGTCAGAGTTGATGGACAGCCGCTCTCACCAGGTGTTCCACCTCACGTCTATCCGCCGATCTGGCTCGGCAAGCCTGGCGATGAAGTCACCCTCCCTGAAGCCAAGCTCGTCCTCGCCGATTTTGGGAAGGCGTTCTGCCCTGCGCAGGAACCAAGGTTCGAGTCCTACACGCCACTTCAGATCCGTCCACCTGAAGCAAGGTTCGAGCCGACAACGCCGCTGTCATATGCATCGGATATCTGGAGTCTCGGGTGTGTAATTTGGGGAATACTTGGAGTAAGACCATTCCTTTGTAATTGGTTATTTGGACCAGATGATGCCACTGCGGATCAGATCGATGCTCTTGGATCGATGCCGGATGAATGGTGGGAAACTTGGGAGGGGAGGTCAAAGCGATTTAGCGAAAATGGGAAGCCAAAGAAGGGACGCGAGGTATGGAATTTTGATCAACGATTTGAAGATGCGATCCAGGAACCAAGGAGGAGAAAGGGACTGGAGGCGATGAACGATTCGGAAAGAGATGCTCTGTTCAAGATGATACAGGGCATGCTCGTTTTTAAACCTGGGGATCGTCTTAGCGCAGAGGAAGTGCTGCGATCGGATTGGATGAGGACGTACGCGATTCCCGAAGCCGAGAAGACCTGGGGACGGAGGTTGCTCTGCAGCGACCTCTCGTCCACAAACAAATGAAGTATTATATAAGTACATTAGTATACACTCGATTGAAGCCTATAATCTAACAAGTACCACCATTTGCCCGTACTGATTTCTTTGTGATCGACCATCATGCCAAAGTTTATGATCTTACCGACCTACTAAGCTTTAAATACGAGCCACACTATTGAACTGTAGCATAACGTACCTAAAGGTGTTGAAATGCCGGCCCTGTCATAGGGTCATTGTGGCTTCTTATTGAGCGTCTTCTGAACAAGGGCCAAGGAATGTTTCGATGCACAAACGAAACATCTCCAAGGCGCTCAAATTGTTTTACACCACGGTCGATAGTTGAGTGTGCCCACATTAATCAGACAAATTTCAGATATTCACATGAGAATAGTGACCTTTCAGGGTGCTGAGGGTTTGGCAAGTGATTCCAAACCAACTATTGTTTTGATATGGGTCACTACTACGAAAACATATTTGGTTGAGACCTATATGAAACCTAGCCAAGTCCACCTAGGCGGTCTTGACCACCTTGACCACGTGGTATGACTTTATCCAGCTCGCTATTGGTGAAATAAACAACATCTACCAACAATACATGCTCACCCACGCATAAAATCTCAGAAAAAGGATAGTGTTATGTATTCTGGTCAGTGGACCGCTTGTCCCTCCTGCTCACTGTAATATTGGGCTTTGGACATGCTCCAAGGTGAGAGGCATAGGCTCAGAGGCACAGGGTCATAATGAAGAGGGCATGGAAAAGTCACGGCTGATCAGTGAAATCTTCAACTGAAAGCAGAGTCAACAGTTTTATACAAGAGCGTAATGAGAGAAGAAGCAGGACATTCCTTATGAAAGCCATACAGAGACAAAGGAAAATCCATGGATTCGATCATCAGATCGCAATCAAGACTTCTTGGCCCAATGCTTACCACTCCAAAGATTCTCCGTCGTCCACAACCAATAATCCCGGCCCTTAATCATCCACACTATGAAGCTGGGCAGCTGATACCCCATCGCGGCACCGACCCCTTTGCTCTTTCCAATCGGGACTAACTGTGTCTCGCGGACGTCTTCCTTGAACGACCTGTCCTCACCCGCAGTCTCTGGTACAGTAGAAGCCAAAAGAAGATCCCGCTTGATGTTGGCACACATGACAGGGATAGCACTCAGGATATTGTGAATGGCTGGCCTAGCAAAGGAAGACGCGTCGCCAATGGCATAGACGCGCGGTCCGGCTTGGTCGACACGGAGGGTCAGGGGATTAGTGTCGACTCGGCCGTCGGGGAGCAGGAGCGTGTCATTGACAAAGTTCGTGTTCGGTCGCATACCAGTTGCGGGGATATAGATATCGGCCTCGATCGTCTTTCCGCTGTCTAGAGTGACTGCTGCATTTGTTGCGATTTCTGCGGCCCCAGCCCCGGCTGGCGCTACACTCTTCATTCGAACGCCTTTGAGAACAGAAACTCCGACTTGGGCGAGGTAGCGTTCTGCCTTGCGGGCGATGGCGGGACGAAGTGCGGGGAGGATTTCAGATGTAGACGAGACCAGAGTGATGGGCACTTTGGGGTGTTTTGATCTTCGGCCATTCATATATTCGCCCAGCTCGCCGGCGGTCTCGACACCTGCTGGTCCTCCGCCAACGACGACTATGCTCTTGGACTGTGACAAGGCCTTGCGAAACTCGGCCCAACTCTTTCGTAGACTTTCAGAGTCTTCATGGAGACCGAGGAGAGGCGAAGGAGTAGATGCGCCTGTTGCGATGACTAGAGCGTGGTAAAAAAGAACAGTTGTTTCGTTCTTGCCCTTCGACGTGACGGAGACGGTTCGGTCCTTGTGATCGAGATCTGTTGCGGTTCCTTGAACAAAAAAGAAGTTGTCTCCTCCGTACGGCTTGAAGAGGCCGGGTATGTCGACAAATAGCTTCTCCTGGGGAAACATGTCGTCGGATATGAGTGCCCGAGGGCACGCGGGTCGACACATGACTTGCGCCGAGGGACTGACGAGGATGACCTTGTACCCTTTGGCGTCGGGTAGAGCTGGGACGGCATGCTTGAGAAGGTAGTGGGCCGTAGAAACGCCGCCGTAGGAACCGCCGAGAATGATGATGAGCTTCTTTGATGTCGCGGTAGTTGACGGTTCCATTGTAACTCATACGGCCAGGGTTTGAGACTGATGACGCTTAGAAGCTACACCACAAGAATGGGTTAATAGTAATTTTCAAATTCTACGACACTCAAAGACTATCTGAATCGAACTGAAATTCTTCACTTATATACGCAGTTGATAAGTTCTATCGCGGAACACCGCGGACGGATGAACATTGCTTAGTACCCGCGACTGATGTTGTTTTGTGGCGGTGGCTTGAAGAGGAGGAAGTGCTGGCGGACTCTTCGGCCGAATTGCGGACGAGTACGCTCACATCGTTTTCTGTTTTTATTCTTGATCCATCTCATATCAAGACACGGCTAAATGATGTGACCTTAAACGCATACCGACGAAGGTCCTTCGATGTTGACAATACACCGTTCAAGGATATATGGAGTTAGATGCTAGACAGACTCAAGTGGGGTAGGTAAGACGAGACGAGACCTCCCGTCGAGGAGAACATCTCGTCTGTGTGCTATTTCGGCCGAGTTCTGGCCAACCCCGGCCGAGACATGAACAGGTATACGTAGAAGAGCATGCGGCGGCCACTTTTCCAACACCAAGCAGTCAGGATTGCATTTATGCAGTCTCTCAAGCCAGATAATAAAGAAGGTGCTAGAGGCAGAGACAAAACTCGGGGAACGCCGAGAGACGGGGATTCAAACTTGGCTCGGAATGACATAATAGCAACTCGAAATGGCCCGACCTGCAGCGTCAGAAAATTTCCAGAAGGGCGAAAAAAAAGAAGCAGAAACTTCACCGGGCCTTTTTACCTGCCTTACGTAACTGGAGGGAGAGAGAGAAAAGCGTCCCGTCGGGTGTGGGGGCCGTACGCTGCAGAGCCATTGCAAGGCCCGGACGGACCCTGTGTGTCTGTGTCGCGGGGGCTCACTACCTGCTGGGTACCTGTACGGGTAGCCGGCAGGTGCGACGTAATTGCGCGGAAGGGCGCCAAAGGGAGCACCAAGGGAGAAAAAACGACCATTTTTGGTAGGTGGGCGGATATCTTCGGCGTTGGCGGGGTCATTTTTCGCTCCCGCTTTCTCTCTCCCTCCCACCGTCTCAATTCTCGCACCATCCCACCACGCGGATTGCGTTTTCTCTTTTCCCACCACTTACATAGTCCGTGGACTGACTTTCTCTTTTGCACTTCTCATTTCCTTCTTCCTTTCTCCCCCTTCACGTCTCTCTATCTGACATCCCTCCCTAAAAGTCACCCATCTATTCCCATCCCAACCGCAATCATGGGAGACGCCAGTGCCATCAACACCACCCGCGTGGCCTTCACCGCACAGTCGGCCACCGAGCTCATCGGCAACACACCCCTCGTGCGCCTCAACAAGATTCCCCAGAGCCTGGGCATCGAGGCCGAGGTCTACGCAAAGGTCGAGCTCTTCAATGCCGGCGGCAGTGTCAAGGACAGAATCGCCCTGCGCATGATCGAGGAGGCAGAGCGAAGTGGCCGTATTAAGCCCGGCGATACCCTCATTGAGCCCACCAGCGGAAACACGTAGGCCTCCCGCCGTTACACTCGAACAATAGCAACTGCATGCTGACTTTGACTACGAAGTGGTATCGGTCTGGCCCTCGTCGGCGCCATCAAGGGCTACAAGACAATCATCACTCTCCCCGAAAAGATGTCTGCCGAAAAGGTCTCCGTCCTCCGCGCCCTCGGCGCCACCATCATCCGCACCCCGACCCAGGCCGCCTGGGACAGCCCCGAGTCGCACATTGGCGTCGCCCGCCGCCTCGAAAAGGAGATCCCCAACGCCCACATCCTCGACCAGTACGGCAACCTCGACAACCCGCTCGCCCACGAGTTCGGCACCGCCGAGGAGATCTGGGCCCAGACGGGTGGCAAGATCGACGCCCTCGTCGCTGGCGCCGGCACGGGAGGTACCATCTCCGGCATCGCCCGCGGCCTGAAGAAGCACAACAAGGACATCAAGATCGTCGCTGCCGACCCTCACGGCAGCATCCTCGCTCTGCCCGAGGCCCTGAACAAGGAGCACGAGAACGAGTCGTACAAGGTCGAGGGTATCGGCTACGACTTCATCCCGGACGTCCTCGATCGCCAGCTCGTCGACAAGTGGTACAAGACCGAGGACCGCGAGTCCTTCCAGCTCGCCAGGCGCCTCATCGCCGAGGAGGGCCTCCTCGTCGGCGGCAGCTCCGGCTCCGCCATGGCCGCCATGGTTCGCGCCGTAAAGGACCTCGGCCTCGGCAAGGGCCATACCGTCGTCGTCGTCCTCCCCGACAGCATCCGCTCCTACCTCTCAAAGTTCGCCGATGACGACTGGCTCGCCGCAAACGACCTCCTCCCCGAGGTCAACGGCCTCGAGACCCAGGCTACCGCCAACGGTGCCAACAACAACGCCAAGGGCTCCGTCGACCCTTACGAGGGCGCCACCGTCCGCGCCCTCCGCTTGAAGCCCGTCATGTCCGTCCCCGCGACGAGCCCCTGCTCCGAGGCGTCCGAGATCATGCGCGACAAGGGCTTCGACCAGCTCCCCGTCCTGTCCGCGAACGGCCACAAGCTCGTCGGCCTCGTCACCCTCGGCAACCTGCTCAGCTACATCTCCTCGGGCCGCGCCACTGGCTCCAGCCCCGTCAGCGACGTCATGTTTGACTTTGGCCGCTTCGATGAGGTCGTTACGGATCCCAGACAGGCCGGCGAGACCGGTGAGAAGAGCAAGAAGAAGCGCAGCTTTGTCGAGATCACGCTCGATACCCCTCTGTCGGTCCTCAGCAAGTTCCTCGAGTGGAACAGCGCCGCTGTAGTCACTGAGAAGGCCGAGGGCACCAAGAACCTGTCCAAGCCCGTGGCTGTCGTCACAAAGGTCGACTTGCTCACCTGGGTTGTCAACAAGAAGGCCTAAACATTTTCCCATTTTTTTTTCACTCTCCACAACATAATAAAATCATGACTTGGCCTATATGTAGAGTACTGGCCTATATATAGATATCAAGACTACGCATGAGAATGCAGATGAAGTTATTTTTTGGGTATCGGCGTTTCGAAAGCGGGCATAGCAAGGTGGCAGGGGCAAAACTTGGGTGGCATCAACTGATCCCGTTTGGCAGTATTTGCTTGGAAATCTTTGGATGGGAGTAGACTCAACATCTACACAGAGAACAGTGCAGCAGCCAGTCTGATACTAGAAGAATAGAATCACCACCACACAGCTTTGCGCATCTCCTGAATATGGAATATTCTCATCATCCGAACCATCATGTGCTTTTATTATTAAATGCCCTCTGCTGCGATGCTCATTATATCCGCTGGGCAATCCAAGACCACCACCTATCGGGGCCCGTTGTGCTTCCCGTAACGTTGCCTGCGATGACGTCCACATCCACATCGAACTCGCGCAACTGGTCAAAAGTGAACTTTTCCGTGCCATAGGCGCCCAGCCAATCGTCGTGCTCCTCGGAACCGACCTCGTCGATGCCGACACCGGAATCCAGCAGACCTTTGCTGCGCGACGACCGTATCCGCGTAATCTCCGCCTCGAGGTTCGACTTGACCAGCGCGCCAGGCAGCGCGGTGAACAGATCCGTCTTGTTGGCGGCGACGAGAACGGGGATGGGCGGGGGAGGCTTGGACGACTTGCTCGACGCGGCGCGCTTCTGCAGGCCCAGAAGAACCTCGTACAAGTAACTGGCAGTGGGCGCGAGTGCCTCGTTCTCCCCAATGGCGGCGGCGTCGACCATGAAGACGATTGCCTTGAGCTTGGAGGACTTGCTGCCGCCGCTGGTGATGCTGGCGAGCTTGCCGAGGGCGTAGTTGCGCAGCTTGCCGTGGCCGGGGGTATCGACGAGGAGAAACTTTGTGTGGGTGCCGCTCGTGTCCTCGTGGTTGCGGAAACTCTGCGCCGTCTTGCTGTCGCGCGAGGCCGTGAGTTCAACTGTCTGTGGACGCTGGCTCGTGTGCGTCGTCGCGGGGGCGTCGCCTCGCTCGAAGAGGGTGAGGAGGGCCGTCTTGCCTGCGCCGGCGGGGCCGAGGAGGAGAACCGAGGGGAGGGTCGTGTAGGGCGTTGACTTTATCAGGATGTAGTGCAGGAGAATAGGGAAGAGGAGGACGATGGCGGCGCCGATGAGGATGACTGGCGCCGAGGGGGTCAAGATGAAGTCGAGGAACTCCGTGAACGAGCTTATTTTGTCGGCCATCGTTGCTATCGCTATCGCTGTCGCTGTGACTGGCGTTGGCGAAGGATGAAGAGTTGTCGGGTGTTGAGAGTCGGTCCCTGGTGGTGGACTACCCTGCGCGAACGGCCGACTGGGGGTGGAGGGGTTGGATGGTGTGAGTCGTGTGGTCGTTGACAGATTTCCAGAAGAAATCGCCAATGCCGTCAGTGGAGACAACGCGAGCCCGGGGTGGAGCTTTCTTTCCCAACGCACCTCATCTGCACCTCGAACTTCAGCCACAGTGTCCCCGCTTTTCAGACGAGGCTGAGCAGGCCGAGGAATCCGCCCTAGCGTGCGTTCCAAGCGCCAAGCTTTGAGGCGCTGAGTGCACCCCAGCCAATCACGGCTATTACGGCAGACAACTGCAGTGCGTTGTTGGCCCGCCTTTGTCAGCTCAGCCTCGCTAGTCCGATTTAGGGGGAGGGTCCCCGGCGATCCCCTGCCAACCTCGAATTCCCCAGTCTTCGACGCTGCCGAGCTGCCAAACCTGACGACACGCAATCTCGTCCTCTTGGCTCCGGCGCCTTTTCCGTCCTCCTTGTGTTTATCATCAATCTCTCGTTTGTGTCCCACCCCCTGTCCCCTCTCTGGCCAGCGTGCGCGCGTGCAAGCCTGTCTCAATTCTTCGCCTGAACCGCATCCATCCATCTCTCTGAGCAATGCGACGCTAGGTTCGAGCCGAAGTTTAAACCCTCCGAGGAAACCATATTGTTCCCTTTCCAATCCGCAACAGCTCTTCCTAATCGATAACCGTCATCCTCAATCCGAGACATCGTCAGAAAAGCTCGGCCCGCGACCGCCGACCAGCCGACTTCGATGGACAAATCTACCTCGCCGGCTGCTGCCGTCGGTGCCGCCGCGTCCGTGGCCCCGAATCAACCTGCGAACAAGACGAGCGCTGCCGCGCCCACACTGAATAATGAGCTGGAGATGGGAAGCATTGGCGGCGATGCGCCGAGTGCGGAGAATGACATCATGCAGATTGCTCGAGTAGGAGATGTGCCGGCCATGGAGAAGCTCTTTGAATCGGGCGAGTACGATGCGACCTTCACGGACGATGAGGGCATCACACCCTTGCATGTACGTTGCATGCCACCTCTCGCATGGCCTTTCAGTCTTTGTCACGGCCAGGTCGGATCACATTGTGCTAATACACCCTAGTGGGCAGCTATAAACAACCAGTATGCCATGTGCAAGTTCCTCATCGACAATGGCGCAGAGATCAACAAGAAGGGAGGCGAATCCATCGCGACACCTCTCCAATGGGCCGCTCAGAGATGTCACTACTACACTGTCAACCTCCTCCTCCAACGCGGAGCTGACCCCCTCATCACCGACGCCCAGGGCTACAATACCCTCCACATTTCGACCTTCAATGGCAACACCCTCCTCCTCGTTCTCCTCCTCCACCAAGGCATCCCCGTAGACGTGCTCGATAGTTACGGTCACACGGCGCTCATGTGGTCTGCCTACAAGGGCTTCCCGCAATGCGTAGACCTCTTCCTCCGCTGGGGCGCCAGCATTCACACCACGGACGAGCAGGGCTTCACCGCACTGCACTGGGCGTTAGTCAAGGGCTCCCCAGCCTGTATACAGAGGCTGCTCGAGTACGGAGCGGATCGATTCGCAAAGACGCAGACTGGCAAAACCCCCGCTGTCACCGCGAAGGAACTTAACACGACGGGCGCGTGGCATCGGGCTCTCAAGGAGTGCGGTTACGACGAAGACGGACAGCCGATTGAACCCAGCTTCCCTGGTTCGCGCTTCCTCCGCCAGGATAAGAGGGGGTTCGTAACCAAGTTCTTGTTCTTGTGGCCCTTACTTTTGGTTTGGTCCATGATCACGATACTGGGAAGCATGAACGTGTTTGCTGGCGTCTTCTTCTCTCTAGTCGTTGGCTATGCGCTTCAATGGTGCGCACAGCAGGTCATCGAGTTTGCGCCTCCAGACATGAGAAACTTCCACAAGACTGTAAGCCTTTCAAACGACATTTAGATGATCTGGACTGACGAGTGTAGCCCTGGTTGGCTGGTATTTTCTCTGCATCCTTGTTCTTGGTAGGTTTGAGGTGGTTGACCACCATTCTCCCGGCGACTACGGGGTCAGCTGGTAAGTCTCAGTAAGAAGTACGACCCTGGATACGTTGCTGATATCACATAGCTGGCATCCACTCTCACTGGTGGCTCAACCTGGTCTTTGGCGTACTATTCGGTCTCTGTTCCTATTTCTACAGCGCCGCGATGCGATACGACCCCGGATTTGTTCCCAAGATGAATGGCATCGCCGAGCAAAAGGCCGTCATTGATGAGCTGCTCAAGGAGTGGAAGTTTGACGAGACAAACTTTTGCGTTACATGCATGATCCGGACTCCCCTCCGCAGTAAGCACTGCAAGCGGTGCCAGAAATGCGTCGCGAAACACGACCAGTGAGTGCACCTTTGGTCTTTCCTTCAGAACCTCACTAATCAGATTAGTCATTGCCCTTGGGTCTACAACTGCGTTGGTATCAACAACCACCGTCACTTCTTCATGTACCTCATCAGTTTGACGTTGGGCATCATTGCCTACGACTTCCTTGTGTACTACTGTAAGTTTAGTTTATTTGTACCCTGTTTCCGCGCTAACGCAAAAGGCGCAGACTTCACAGACATCTCGGACAAGGTCTCGGAGACCTGCAACTTCCTTAGCCCCAGCCTCTGCAAGGTTGTCAACGCCGATAGCTACACGGCAATCTTGACCGTTTGGACGACTTTGCAGCTCACCTGGGTTGGCATGCTGCTGTTCGTGCAATTTGTCCAAGTCTCTCGCGCAATGACCACCTACGAAAACATGTTCGGTATTCAAGACGGCTCCCTCACCTCTGCCTTCACGTCCACCGGCACCCCTCTCGATCCGAATCACCCGTCATTGACTCCTCCGGAATCCGCTGGCGCGCTCGCCCACGGCCACAAGCACAAGGCCGGCCGTCTTCAACAGTGGTCTCGTCTCCTTGGCGTGGACCCCTTTATCGAGACCATTCGTGGTCGCGGCGCTGCAACCCAGAACAAGCGCAGGAAGAAGAACCCCTATTCCAACGGCTGCATGGTCAACTGCCGCGACTTCTGGTGCGATCCCGCGCCTACATTCGGCCAACGTGAGAACGGATCGGCCATGCTAGGTGGCGAGCCTGTCAACTACACCGCCATGTACGAGAGCCCGACCCTGATGAATATGAGCAGGGGTCGGAGGAGAGCAGGCGGCTACGAGACCGTTGCCGCAGAGGAGGTATAATAGACTTTTCGATCATGATTGGGAGGGGTTCACTTGGATCAGTTTCACGACTGGTGGGACAAAGCTTTCCCCTCCCTACCCCTTGCGCGCGGTTTGCTTTTGAAGCGACGACTTCTATTGAAGAAAAGATTACGACGAGGCTAAGATGATGTTTTCCCCCACAACGAAAGAAAGAGCGGCGTCAACGGGCGGCTGCAATGCATGGCTCGGAATGTATTAATTTTTGTTATATGTAGAAGTATGACTTAGGTGTTGGGGAACGGGAGTCTATTCTCCGTGTTTGCAAACTTGATTCTACCGCCTGAAGGTGTCTATGTTATTTGACTATTTGACTGTCTTTCGATGCCCTCGCCCTATTCTACTTATTGTCGTACTCCTGAGGTTAGTAAGAAATTTCTGAAATATTTAAGTGCCTTTGCGAGAAAGCAAAACATTGCATTGACACACTTGGGAGCCTCTCTGATGAGATTCTTGAGCCAAAGTAATTGATTGCCACAACACTTCAACTCCCTTGATCTAGCTCAATCGCTTTCCACGCAGAGCTATCTTGATAATTTGCGACAAACTCGGAAACTCTGGAGTCCCCTCCGAACTGGCGTTCTCCAACTACTATGACCTTCACAGCTGTCCCCGGCTCTGGCCTCTGTACTAAGTCCATCAAAGGCTCCAGAAGCAAAGTATCGTGCTGTGGCAGAACCTCGAATCGATCTACCGCCAGATGGAATACAACTTGTCCCGGATCGGGGAGCAATTTACATGTGTTCTGCGCAATGGAAGCAATAGATGCTCGCAGAAACGCCATTGCAGCCTTTGAGCAATCTATTGCCGCCACGTGGCCCTTTCCGGCCTTACGGGTTTCAACCATTGACCGACAAGTTTGCACCTTGTCCAGGAGATCACGGATATGAGGCTCGGAGTCCGGGCTACTTGATTCTGCAAGTACCGCTCGGCCTGCGGACGTCGTTTCTAATAGCTGGTAACCGAGAGAAAGGAGGACAAGAGCGGCAGTCGGGACCGGATGAAGATTTGTGCTACCAGGTTCTTGTGTACTGTCTGACTTGCAAAGGTACCATGCAGAGATGGCTTGCTTGTCTTGCAAAAGCCGCACAGCCTCTACAGTGGCCTGAGATGCCCATGCTAGAGGGGAGTCCCAGGGAGCGATAGTTCGGCCCTGGATGAGGAGGAAAGTCGATGATTTGATGTGGGCTGCTTCTTCCAACCAACCGCTGAATGAAATATTGGACGTTAAAGCATCCACTTGGAAAGGAGGTAGTTTCCTAAGGTGAGAGAACTCAGTTTCGAGTAAGGAGGCAAAGGCCTTCAGCTGATTGGAAGCGTTCGTGCGAGGAAGATCCAGAAGTGTGCGGATCTTTTCAAGTCTGGCATCCGATCTCTCATGTTTTGTTTCTAACATCTTGTATTAGCTTTTGGGAGTAAAATGGACTGACATCTAAACAGCATTTCGTCAAAGGGAACTTGAAGTAACACTCACGCTCAAGGCTAGCATTTATTTTGCTCTCCACTCTACCAAGGCGCAAGTGAGCCTCAACATCACGCTCCTTGACGAGTTCGTCAATGGCGCTTCGTAAATCTGATATCTTGGCGTCCAGATCGATGTGTGGCGGGCTGGATATCACATGCCAAAGCCTCCTCCAGGAACCGTAAGAGTAATAAACAGTTGCCTCTCGCAGGAATTCGATACCGAGACGGTAAACAGTAGCAACACATTCTCGTAATATGATGCTACTGCTGTAAATCCCAACAATCTTTCGGATTCTTGCGTACTCGGAGGTCAACGTCTTGATCATGCCATGAATTCTCGTTTCTGTTTCTCTTTTATTCACAGCAACCTTCAAGCATCAAAGTCAGCGAGAATTCAATCCGGTGACTCAAGTGAGTTCTCATCTCGGGATCCAGCCACGGTCCCAATCTCCAAAGTTTACTTACCACCAGAAAGAGCCCTAATACTTGGAGAGCACCCGTCACAAAACTCTGATCGAGGCCGCCCATGAGCTGCACAACACCTGAGTAGGCTTGGCAGTACCCTTGGAAACCGACGAAAAAGTCGCAAAGGCCCCTGCCTGCTCGCTTGCTGACTCGATTGTCAGAGCTATGAGCTTCTTCCAACGAGGAAGTGGTGGCAATTTTCTTGGCAATGAGCATATCGAGTTCGTCTAGATCCAGAGTCTCAAGGACTGATATGTCATCTGGTTCCTTTCTGGACAAGCAAAGTCTCCGACCAGAATTCATAACTTTCTTGCGAGTCCGTTCCCAGAGTGGGTCGATAGAGGCTGAAGGACTACATGAGGCCTTTTTCTTGATAGCTCTGTTCAGTTCACGAAGCCCATTAGAGAACTGTTAAAAGCAATCAAGTCATCAAATGACAGCTGAAAGCAAAATATCTTAGTGAATTCCATATACTTACGCTTGGAGTCCGCTTCCGGTTGTGGCCCAGAATTCAGATATCTCTTCCACAGTATATCTCACCCCTCTAGACGTCGCTGTCTGTGCCATGTCGTATAACGCTGATAGGCGGGGGATGTGAGTTGAACTCTTCCGTTAAGATAATACTTTTCTCTGTAATCTTTGAAGCTTTCATTTGCCAAAGAAATCGCAGAGATGTAAGTTTATCAACCATTCATTAACTACTCAGGGGGGGGAGGGGAATGTGGAGGCACTAGAGGTCCAGCGAGACACACCAAACGAAGAAGGCTCTAGAGCTGTCAGCTTGGAAACAACGTTCTTACCAATTATAGATTGACTAGTCTGAGCGATTATCCACGAGAATCAGGGCTGTCACCATGTTCAGGTGAAGTAGGCTGCGTCGTGTTAACCTACTGATTGGGCGGATTGTAGGCTGCACCGTGCAATCTTTCTGCAGAATAACTGCGGATCGACGTCCCGCGTCATTTATTGATATTTTGCATACGAGGCAAGTTCAGAAGACTGCGTTAGAATAGGGAATGGTACCTCAGTCCCGAGTGGTCAGCGGATGACATGGAGGGTACAACTGCAGCCAAGATACCGTCGGTGAAGTGTCTTATCCTCAGCCGTAAATAGCATAGCATAGCATCCCGGCATCTCAGTGGTCGCCTCGTCCGCCGGTAAAGCATGTCAGACACCTCTTCCACCACTTACGAATTATTCAGCCCATCTTCATATACCACATCCAGCAACTTGACGCAGGCTACGTGATGCCCCCACACGCTAGTGAATCTTGAAGTCTTGAAATGGGACATTAGTCCAAAAGTTGTTGCCTGAAACCTTGGAAAATGTCAGAAGTGCCGACGAGGCTAGAACGGTTTGACCAAAGTTTTGCTTGTCTCTGCTGCTATTTAGGAGCCAGGAGTCTTGGTTTAATCCATCAAGTCCTTCGGTTCCAAGATAGACCTTGACATCCACACTACTATTGCATCTTTACTCCAGCTCGCCATCATATCAGTTCAAGCCTCTCTGCATGTCCCAAATACGCCAAAAGCTAGAATCATGTCGACAGAAGCGCAAGAATTTTCAAGTGATAAGATCCGCGCCCTCGAATACAGGTATGCAGAACTGCTCGAAGTGAGGATCAAGCAGCTGGAATCTGCATGTGAGGTCGACAAGGGGAATGCAAAAACTGCGGACGATGGCTGCGTTCCGCTTTTCGATAAGAAGGCCAATGCCAACCCAGTGAGCGATACAAAGAATTGGCTACGAATAGTGATACTGACCATTACTTTTAGCATGAATCGAATGGAAATACGAAGCTGAAGGATGGCGGTGGCACTAGCTCCGAGAATTCGGCAGAGGACAGTTCCCTGACACGCTGTCGTATTATACAACGTTCACGGGAACCCAGAGACGGCCCAGCCGAGCGCGTTTTGGACCATTCTGAACTCGTCAATCTGGGACTAGGGGCCATCTGGACTGGAAGCAAAAACGACGATTCGCCTCCTCAACTGACGTACGTCAGAGTTGTGGAAAAGGATGACAGATACTCGTATAGTGAAATCCATGTCAACGGGCCCGAGCTGAAAGCCTTGCTAGGAGTAGCTCTTGAGGCATATCCCAGTCTGCATCTTCCATCACCTGATTCGCCTTCTTCCTGGGACGGCACAAAAGACACCATCGTCTTCACCAGCCCCTGTGAGCCGCTTATACACAACTGGGACAATCTCAATCAGCTGTCTACCGAGGACTCGGCACTGACTGCGGAAATCAAGGTCCGCATCGAAAAGCTGGGACCGCGTACAGACACGAACGTGGCCGGGCCTGAAGACCAAAAGACTCGAGCACTGGAGTATCTGGGAAAGGTTGACAACCTGAAAGCCGCACGTAATCAACTGACAGAGCTGCTCAAAATTGTCAAATTGCTTCCCGAATTAGGTAGCTACTTCCAATCTGTCGAATTACAGAACAACTCTGGCTCCATCCAGTTCGAGCATCTATGGACTATATTCCCCCCCGGAGAAATTGTCTACTCGACTCTCTTCATGAACGAGCCCCAACTGTTCATAGTGAAAGACTCTGAGGGAGCATCTGAGGAGGAGCGGGACTATGATGAGCAGCCTGGAGAAAACACGGTCAATGTTTCATGGTCGATGTCTGCATGGGCCTACGATTGGGACGGATTTTGCTTTAAGCGAGTCACCGTACAGTTCAAGTTCGAGCAATATGCGGGAAGTAAGATGATAAGCGCACTTCATTGTCATCCCTTCAAGTTCCACAAATCAGGGGAGACATCACTTTCTGATGAGTTGTTTCGGGAAGAGTTGGAAACTTTATTATTTGACCGTGGCAGGAGATTCACGGAACTGTGTGTCAAGTCGAAGGGATCCCAGATGTTCGACTACGACGGATTCGCCCTTTCTCATGGCACTGGTTTTCAAAGTCAGATCGAAGACCATCATGATTTCCTCAGGCGCATGTTTGGCAGAGGCACCCAGAGAAACAGAGAGCGGAGATCACCCAAAAAACGACGTATCCAAGGCCGCGTCATGGTTGATTTCGAAGCCTACCTCCAGTTTTCGCCTTACATAGGCATATATGGGCCAATGGGATCGGCAGAGTTTTCTCGCAGAGACACTGAGTGTCGATGCACGACTTGCGTTACAAACGCTGCTCTGAGAGACAGTCAGAAGATGGCTTGGGACGGCATGAAGACACAGGACCACTTTGAAGACCTCCAGTTCAAGCTTTGTCCACCAAGAGTACTTGGCTATCATTTGGACTCAAGAACGTGGTTGGAGCTCAACGTGGGGAAACATAACACGAGCCAAATCGATGGTGCCGAAGAGTGGGAAAGCTATCTCAAGGACATCAAGGAGTTGCGCAACTCTGACGCCTTCAAAAAGCTACAACTACTTCCAACGCAAAAGACATTGATCCGGGACCTTGTACGATGTCACTCGAGTGGTACGAATTCGAGGCCGATGATGACGGACATCATCAAAGGTAAAGGAAAAGGGCTCGTGATACTACTTCATGGGCCACCAGGTATTGGGAAGACTCTTACAGCGGGTAAGTCAGCTACCGGATGCGGTAATGAATGCAACTCGAGGAGTACCTCTTGGCTGACCTCAATCTTCAGAGAGTGTGGCCCAACTCGCCGGCAAGCCCCTTTTCTCCGTCGGCGTATCGGATATTGGACTCATCCCAGCTGAAGTAGAGCAGAATCTCGAAGCTCTTTTTGAACTTGCGGCAAATTGGCGGGCGGTATTGCTATTCGACGAAGCCGACGTCTTCCTGGAGTCAAGAAGCAGTCACACATCGGACCTTAGCCGAAACGCATTGGTCTCAGTTCTCCTCAGGGTGCTGGAATACTATGACGGCATCTTGATACTCACAACGAATCGAATTACCCAGTTCGACATCGCCGTACAAAGTCGCGTGAATCTGGGTATCAAATATGACGATCTGCAACGCGAACAAAAGTTGGAAATCTTCAATAACTTTGTGGGGCAGCTGAAACCGGACCAGGTGGAGAAGAAAGATGATATTCTCAACTGGTTCAAGAATGAGGAAGAAGCGAGAGACTGGACGGATGGACTCAATGGGAGGCAGATTAGGAACATCTTGTTTTCGGCTGGTAGCTTAGCGCAAGAGGATGGAGGACAACTGAAGCTGGAACACATCTCGAGGATGGCGAAGAGCACTTGGAGGTTCCACGACAGCATCAAGACGGTGGTTGACGAGGCTCGCCGGCGAGCTGAGGCTGGGAGAAAATAACGGGTGGCTATTGTCTATACTTTCTTGTATCTTTTTGAGCTCTCATCCACTTACCTAACTTTCCCTCCAAATTTTATTCACTACCTGGATCCGACAACCGGACTTGTACCATTCCAAGCCTAGCTGCAGTTCCCATCTCTTGAATATATCTTTCAAGCCGGCTTAACGCCAATGAGAGTGGGTTGCTTGAACTTATACCTCATCACTTTCTGCCATATATACACTTGCAATAAGGAATTCACAAGACCCTCGTTGAGGTTACTCCATAGGTGCGATGGGATACTCAGCGCTCTCAAAACGTAAACCGGGAAGATAGACAGTCCACTCTCAAGTCTCAATAGATGGGAAGAAGTTGAACGACAGTACAACCTATAAGTGGTCTCTGGCCCCACCTAAAGAAGCTCAACACCACGGCGTCCTCTCTTTTGCACGCCATAAATCCGCCTGCCCCCCTCGGGCCGCCTTCCTTTGGATACTCCAGCCCATCAGCAGTGACAAAGATTCCCGGGGTAGCGGACGAGCACTTCAGCTCCACGGTGTTATCGTTCGGCACCGACGCAGTACCGCCAGGGGTGACAATCATGCCGGCAAAGGGGGAGGAGTCGTCACCGAGATGAGCAACGCCAACAGTGTCGTTCTTGGTTTGAAAGAGGGCGCCCTGGCCGGCGGGTACGAGGACCACGTCGGCCGAGCACGCAGATTGAGAGACGTAGCTGAGCTCTTGGCCCTGAACGTAAGGGCCAAAGTCTGGTGGGAGATCGGGGTAGGTCATGTTGGCCCAGAGGCGAAAGCCGTCTGCTATGCCAGCGTCTCTGATGGGAACACTGAGTGCCATTGCTACGGCTGCTATGGCAAGACAGTGGATCAAGGTTTGTATCATTATTTCAAGTGGTCGTCGACCGCAGGAATGTAGGATCTAGTGCGAGATTTTTTGGCTGGATGATGGTGATGCCTGCATTCGAGTTCAATTTGATGAAGCAGATGTTGCTTGTTCGGTTCCTCTCTTATATAGAAATCACGCTGTTGATGAATGTGTTACTTCTCAATGTAGCAATATCGAGTCACTCGGATTTGTGATTATTATTACGCAACACAATCATGTCGGCCTACTTGCCTTGCATATGCACTTTGCTCGTACGATGCCAGGCTCGCCAATGTTCAGCTAAGTTGCAAAGTACCTATGACCATCTCCAAAAGCCGTTCTTCTAGCTACGATTCTGTAGTCGAGTGCTAGCCGAGGGAATGGGAGGGGAACTGGATGGGTCGCCGTCTGTCTCAGATCCTTCACCTCAGCCGTCTTACGCCCATATCCAAGACTCAAAGTCGTATTCTCTGCTCATCTTGGCCGATTTCTGCTGATATATTTGGCTTGGCAATGCTAGTGCTTAGGGGATGCATGCGCTGCTACCCGTGTTCAGGTTTGATCTGACCCGAGAAAGAAACACTTCGCTTCCACTATTCTAGAGTTTATACCCCTCTTTACCTACATCATGCCAAGGCCATTGATAAAGGCGACTATGATGTGTCTAACTTCCCCATATGGCTTTGTATGTCTGTAGAGGCAATGCGAAGCAACCCGTTCTCCCATGGCTCTAGATCCAACACGAGATCCAACTGCGAGCTCAAAAGTTTTACTCGGTTCAAGAGACGAACAGGGCTGACAGAGTTGAGCGAGTAACATTTTTTCAACCCAAATCAGTAATTTTGACTACAAGCAAAGGTCAAGCAAGGTCGAGTGCAGAATTACCTAGGCTACGAGAAGAATTATTGACTCTCCTCCCAAACCGGCTTGCCTATCCTTTTTCCAAGGCTCTCTAGTTTCAAATTTAACAATGCGGGAGCGAGTCCAGGGTACACGAGTAGGGCGATGGAGTCAAATAACCGTTTCTTTGACTTAAACATATGCCATGGAATGCAAATAACTCTCAGAAAACGAATCGTCCAGTGGTCCCAATTCGAGGCGCCGGGATTCAGAATCCTTCTACTGAGCTCAAAGGGTTCAGGAGTAATTCAAATTCTCAATGGCCTCAAGTCTCGTTTACTTATGCAAACTTTGAGATCATGTATACTCCGCGGGCTCAGTAAGAACCGAACGACAGCTATGGCGGATACGTTAATGTGTTCGCGGTCGGATTACGTGGAACGTGATGGCCAGAATGGAAAGTCGTCAAAACAGCTGATGTGACTCTGGTGGCAGCTAGCCCCTGGGTTGCAAGGACATCCCGGGCGGGTCCTTAGCGATACAAAGATCCAACATGTCTCACACGGATGGCGCAAGGCATAGACAGCATAGTCACAAGATGCGAAAAGGTGTGTGAGCAATGGCAGGTTATTTTGTCTTCCCATGCTACCCTAACTAATCAAGCCAAATGAGGCCGAACGCTTCTGCTAAGTGACTGCGTTCATGTTCCCAACGCCCATTGTTTGAAGTGGTACCTATTGTGTCACACGAACGAGTCGATGCTTCAATTTCAAGACTCAGTTCCTCAACTTTTATCCGTTCCAAAACCTCTCTTCTGATCCTCTGACAGGCTCGTCAGTACCGCTTCGCATATTGCCGTGGCAGATTGCTGGATAAACGGACGAGCCTGGAGAGCTCAGGATATGCCCTTGATGTCTTCCACGCGTGATGAACAGAGACAATCTCACGTCATCCGGCATCGTCCCATTCCCCAAAATGCAATTATTGATGACATATCCTCTACACCCCTCGTGTCGTGTGCTGGAGGTCCCGTATCCTCGACCACGCTCAAAAGACAAACTTGGCAAGGAAAAAAACATAAAATGACGAGGTAACTGGACGTGCGGTAGCAGCCGCTGTTGAAGGTCAAGAGTGAAGACGAGAGCGAATTATGCATTAAAGGAACTCCCCGCATGCTATTCGTTCCTGTGTACCCATCCGAAAAGGCAACTCGTTCCCTCGACGCTGCGTTGAGCTCATCAAGTATGGACAACGAATGAAAGACCAAGAAAGCAAGGCTGTTTTGATTGTTTCCCGATGACTCCAGAATGCCCTTCGTATGCTCGGGAAGTCATGAAATCGAATCGGAGACCGTGGATTGCATATGACTCTTTGAACGCCCCGCGATGCCGTGACCGTCCCTGGCCTTCGGCGTCGAAATGCCCGTTAAACGCCAATGTCCGAAAGATGAGCTCAAATTTTTTCGTCCAAAAACACAATCGAGAAAAGACAAATGACGAGACCGCTAGGAAGCAGCAATTACATGTTGGACATGTTGGAGCGAGCGACGCCGTTAACCCCTAATTGCTGTTGCCGCATGAGTCTCGGTATTGAATGGAAAGCGCTCCTGCAGTTGCTGGGTGTATGGAAATTCATTTGGCGACGTACCGGCGAACGGGAAGCCACCCACCGAGGTCGCGGGTGAGGCAGACCTCATTGCTGCTGGGGTGGTAGCCTGACTCGGACGTTGGCTGACAGGTCGCTCGTTTTGCAGGGTATGACTGAGTGGAGATGAGGCTGGTGATGCACCGTAGGATCCCAAATGCTGAAAGTAAGGGTTGGAGTCGCGGAGATGGAAGGCGTGGTGTTGAGCGGGTCCGGCGTGTTGAGCATGGTGGGCTGTGCTTGGGCTGCCGTTGGAGCTTGAGCTGGTGCTGTTGGAACCGCGGGTAGCAGAAATATCGTCGGCCCCGTCAAACTTGCCGTTTCTCAAAGTACCATCTTTAATTTGCGGACTGGACTGCTTGGAGCCGAACTGTTGATAGCCAAGGTCAGTACATACTTTTTGGGCTGAGAGTGGGCGATCGGTGGGAGTCGGTGATGAAAGGGTCGGGCATGGACGGTTGCTGACCAGAAGTACGTACAAAGCAGTATTTGTTGACCAATTCCTCATACGATGACGAGGCAAGGGAAGGGTTGGGGGAGTCGGTGCCAGGGACCGCGGGCTGTTTGACAACCGGTTTGGAGACACGGGGAGCGGTCGTGGCCGGGGCCGGCCTCGTTTGCTGCGGCTGTGGTGCAGGAACATGAATCTTGCGGTGGCTCTTCATATAGAGACCATCCTGGTTGCGGTCCTTGCCAATAGTGTCCTTGGCTGCCTGTACAGCTGCAGTGAGTGAAGCGCCAAAGTCGTAGCGATTGGAGAACGCTTGTCCGCTGGGGGCAGTCAGACGGCTCGAGAGGTTATCGCTAGCCAGATTGCCGGTGGACTTGTTGATCTTGAGGCGGAGCCCCGCCGTCGGGCCCGACTCGCCCAGATACTCGTGGATGGGTTGGTCAAAGTTCAGCTTGGCCTGGTTGCCAAAGTCGTCGAAGCCGACAGGCATGGACTTTGGTCGAGGCGCTGAAGAAGGGCTCGAGCGACGGTTGCTGCGGGGGAGCGCCGGGCGGCTAGCGGCGCCCTGCAGGCCTCTCTTGCCATTCTGGGGGAGGTGCTTCTTGCGGAAATCAACCTGGAAGTTGGTACCATTGTTGTTGTCCCAGTGTTCCTGACCATTGACATTGTACTTGATGCAGAAGAATAGCGTCTTCGTCTCGAGGTTAGCCAGGTCGGAGAGCTTAATGGTAAAAGTGAATCTGTCTTGGGCAACGTTGTCGTCCTGAGCGCGGACCTCATGTGAGTACTCAGCACCAACCTCCGAAGTCGTCTTCCAGTAGTCCAGGGTGAACCGGCAGGTGACGTATTTCTGGAATGCCAGGTTGGCAACAGCGACAGAACCCAGCAAGTTCTTCTGGTCGGGTGACAGCCAAACTCTTTCGAGGCGGACAGGCATGGACTTGCGAATAGGAGTGTCAGTAGGGTGATTTGCCGTGACAATTTCCCACTCGAATGGAGGAGTGCGGGCGTTCTGACGTTCTTCTCCAGGGAAGGGGTACTCGGTATCACTGTCGTAGTTATCGACCGGCGAGGACCCGGCACTGACAGCGAGTGGCCGATCGACCTGGAGGAAATGGCGAACGTGTTCGAGGTGGGAGTCGAAGTGGACGGCCTTGGAGAAGGTTGGGGTGCCAGGCATGCTGGACGGCCGCCTGCGAGCAGAGGCGGGTCGAAGTGCGGGTCTGACAAGCTCGCCAGATTTCTTCCGTACCATTGGGGGCTTGTTTTCGAAGTTGTTACCGTCTGAATCGGACTCTGATCCAGGCATGGAAGCCGACTCCATTACTATTCTGGGCTCGGTGTTGGATCGCACATGGCTGACGCGACGGGCGACCGTCTTGGCGAGGGCGTCCAGGGAGCTAGTGCTAAAGCTGGTGGGAAGCCCTTCCTTGGGAAGATCATCCTGGGTGATGAGAGATAACGCGGGTTGGTCGAGCTTAGAACTGGTCGGAGACGCTTCCCTCTTGACGGGTATTTGACTAATGGCATCCTGAAGCTCCTTAAGATTCTCGATTTGCCTCCCACGCTCTGCGACATCCTCCTCTTCGCTTCCCGAGTCGGGTGGTGAAATGATGGCGCCGTTGGGTATGCCTCGCTCGTCGGTCAGGGGCGGCGGCGATTGCCTCACACTGCTGCTGTTGGCCGCCATGCCCTTCAAGTCGTCGGAGGTTCCTGGTGGTGTAGGCTGGTCCGAGTTGCCATTTGTTGTGGGAGCAACTGCAGCTGCCGCCGCCGGGGTCCTCCTGTGCTTGGTGAGGTATGATGCTGACCTTGGTAGTGAGGGTCTGGGGCTGGACTGGAAGGATGATCGTCTGCTCGCGTCGGGCGATGACGGCGCTGAGCTTGCTGGCGATCGGTGGTGGGAGGGGGGTGTATAAGGCATTCCCGCTGATGAGCACTGAGAGTGTGCGGGAGAAAGGTGGTGTAAGAGCTTGGAGTCGTGCGCCCGGCACGGGTAAAGTGTGGCAGCTCGAGAGAGGTGTTAAAGCAAATTGGTATCAATTCAGGCTCAGAATTAGGATAATAGGCGGAGTAGCCGAGGAGGAGCGACGAGGCGCTGATAGGATCAGGGTTTCTGTGTTATTGAAAGGTTCCCGTCAGCTCGGTCGCGACCATGAGAGGCTTTAGGATTATTTGGTCGGATAGGGAAATCGGTTCTGGTGCATCTGTAGCGATGACTGAACTGCTCAAGGAAAATAAAGGGAAGAAGACGAAACTGGGAAGAAAATTGGAGGGAGAAAAAAAGAAGGTGCTGGCTGTAGCGGCGATGGCTGTGGGACACGAAAATCCCACGATAAGAATCAAGAGCAGGACCAAGGAAAGAGAACGGGCAAAGAGTGGTGTGCCAAAGGGAAAAAACAAGTAGGCAGTGATGACGAAGGTGGTGATGTATTTTTTTTGTTGTTTTTTTCGGGTGTATTAGGTTTTGTGTAGGAGTCGTGGTTGACCACTTACATGGAGGGAGACAAAGATGGAGGAAAGGACGGCGGGCGCCTGTCGAGTTTTCTGCACTGGCAATATTCCAGCAGCAGGGCAAGAAAACTCTTGTTTAGGACGGGGAATGTCGGTAGCTGGGGAGGAGGGTCCCGTGGAGATGTCGTCGAAGCAGGTGGAATGCAATGACGAGCTGGGGAAGGACGGGCTCGAGTGTCTCGAGGGAAGAAGGGGCCGATGGAGGGCGAGGCGAGGGTTGTCCAACGCGGTGGCTTGCGACGTTCGTGGGGATCGTGGGGATCGTGGGTCGGTCGGGTTCTGGGTCGAGCTTGACTGAACAGAAGATGCAGAGACAGAGGAGACCAGCCGAATAGGTGCAAAACTATGGGGTCAATCCTTTCCTTCCGTGCCTTGGGACAGAGAGAGTTATGCCGTTGACTCTCTTTTTCGATTCCGTTGTCTCTCGTGGTCAGGGTATTGGCCTGTGCCTGGATTGTTTCTTTCCCTGCTCTTGCTTCCGGGAGACGTCGTCGTCAAGAAGGATGCAAGAAGAGCAAGACGATGTGGATGTCTGGAAACGACTTGGCTTGCTGTGATTTTGAGGTTGTTGGACTTTGGTGTTTCGAGCACACAAAGATTGGAGAGAGAACAGGCTGGTGGGCGGCTCCGGAGGGGACGGAGTGGTTTTGAATGGTGAGCGAGTTCCGAGCACCGCAGTCCGCGCCCAGTACAAAGTACCTCAGCAGAGTGTGGGAGACCGGGGGCAGTGTGTGTGTGGTGTGGTGTGTGCAACACCACGGCCGCTCTCAGCAAGAAAAAAAAAAAGCTACCAGGCACCTCACCTCTCCATTCGGGTCTGGTCCCAGCACCCACGCCCCAAGCAAAGAGACGAGCGAGACCAGGACCAGGGTCAGTGACGGGCACAACAGAGCGGCGGAGACAGTGGGCGAAAGAGAAAGATGGGTGCGAGTGTGGCAGCCGCCAGCCAGCAAAAGCAGCAGCATACAGGTACCGGTCTCCGTACTACGTCCGCTACATGCCTTACTTGCCCACGCCCCCCAGCTCGCTCCTGTTCCCAGGCGGCGGGAGTCGCAGCAGCACGTACCTGATGGTCAGGAGCACCCCTGCAAGTGCGAGAGTCCAAAAAAACCAGGGCGGCCATGGGGGGGGGTTCAACATGGGCGTGGACGTGTTCGGTCAAGCCAGGCATGGTGGGGGGGGGGGGGGGGGGGGGGGTGGGGGGGGGGGGGGGGGGGAGGAAGAAGGGGAGGGGGGGGAGAAGGGGGGGGGGGGGGGGGGGGGGGGGGGGGGTGGTTTGGGGGCACGGCGGGCGTGGGGGTGGGGGGTGAGGGGTGGTTGGTGGGAGTGTGTGGGAGAGGAAGAAGACGAGGAAGGTGAGGAACAAGGTGGTGGTGCATGGCGCACAGCTTCGAGGATGAGCAGCAGCTGCATGGCTGGGGCAAGGAGAAAAAAGGTTGGGGTGTGGCTGGAGCGAGATTCGACGCCAAAGGAACGTGGCGGCGACGGGGTGTGGGGCCAGCCAGACCGAGAAAGGAAGAGCAGGAAAATATAAGAAAAAAAAATAAAAAGAGCGTCCAGAAAGCTAAGAGACGAGGCGACGCTGCGTGGGATGGTGGCACGGAGACGGCAAGCCGGCTGGGCTCGACAACTGCTGCTTGCGTTGAGGAACTGACTTGTTGGCGCCCATTTGGCTGCCATTTTTGTGCGAATATCCGTACTCTCTGTCTACTTCATTCTGGTACAGATATCCCTCCATGTGTATCCGTATAGGCACAATACACCCCTCTGCTGTGGCATGGCAGAGCATAGCATGGCATTCAACTTGGCTTGAATTGCCCGATCATATTTGCCCGTGAATGGATGCACTCGGGCATTCGGGCGCTCGAGTGCCTCCATGTGCCGTCTGCAAAGCAAGCTCGAGGTAGCAGAGTAGCTTACTGACGATCGAGGGCAACTAATCCTGCATGGCCATCACCACCACCACCTCCACCTCCACCACTGCTGCTGGTTTTGCGGCCACTCCTGTTGTTGGTTGTTCACCATGAGGGGACCGACACGCACGACACAACAAGTGTGCTCCGCTGCAAGATGCCTGACACTGGCGGTACTCTATCAGCGGCAGGTGGGGAATTCTGGCCATGGAGAGATACAATGTACAGAGGGTTCGGGATAGCGTTGGCGTGATGCTCATGGTGGTGGTGCAAGAATGGCGGAAAAGCGCGAAAGAAAGACTGAGCAAGCTGGCACTGGCTGCAGTCACACCCTCCCCTCGCCATCCCCTTACCTCTTTCGCCATCCGGGAACCCCTTCTGCCACCTTCTGGCCAAGTGCAATTCAATTAGCAATTGGCCCAAATGTTGGAGAAGCTGGAGGCGGCGGCGGCGGCAGGCTGGCTTAGGAGGCTTGGAGACGCGGTGGTTGATTATGGTCTTGTCCGGCTTGGTACGCATTGCATCTGGTTCATGCCATCTTGCTTCCCTGGACGGATGAAGAAGATGTGTAAGATGAATCAATGGGTGTCTGGCTTCTGGTCAGAATCTCTGGACGAGCACGGCAGCGTTGCTTCCTCGAGAGACGGCAGATGTCAATTGGGAGGTGGGATGAGAGACAATGCAATAATCGATTGCTGCTACCGGCCTGTACCGTTGCGCCCGTCCCCTCCGGTATCGAGGATTTCTGGGTGCGGGAGGGAGGACGTTGAGGTTTCCGGTGCACAATATGGGTAGAGTCAGATCAGATCAGCGATGACTGGCCCTGGCCATCCATCCACTCCCCCACCCGCATGTCATATTCCTATACCTAGACTGATATGCTGAGCCAATCCATGCCGGGATGCGCAGTGCGAGATGCCAGAGCAGACGACGGTTGAAACGTGAAGTTGCCAGAGCAGAGCAGAGCAGAGCAGGGACAGGCGAGGAAAGAAGAGAAAACCAAGGTTCCGTCCGGGGACAGACGCGTAGCAGGGGCGGGACGGGAGGAGTAAGCAGTCTGGTCTGGTTGTGCTGCCAGTGGCCACCACCTTGGGCCATGGTGGTGGTGGTGTTGGTGTTGGTAGTGCCGGGTTGAGGCGTCCACGTCTTCTCGGTCAAGGAAGGACTGAAGCCAAAGGGCCGCCCGGGGGGGGGGGGGTTGAGCCACAGCCAGACCAAACAATCATGGATTGATTGAAATGGCGACCACACACAGTACAGCAAACAGCCTCCGGGGTGACTGACGGACAGTGAAGGATCTTTGATGGGACGGTACAAGTGGGCCTTTCTTTTCTTTCTCTCGCGAAAAGAACGGGATGTCCAAGATGCGCTAGCAAGGGTAGAGGCACGTATCGAGCTGGGTCCAAGGCAGGAAGTGACGGGGACAGGAGCAGGGACAGGGATCCTAGCCAATTTAGCGTTGGTGTGGATTTAAAATAATGGTCCCATCATTCTCTCATCAAAGAGCATGACAACCCACAGCTCTCTCTCTCTCTCTCTAAAGTCAAGACTCGATAGCCTCGTTAATGGTAACTGTTGACTTGGAGCTGGAGCCTGTTTGTACAACACCACTGCTGCAGCATTGCCTGAGGTTTCCGTACCCTCTTCATCAGCATATCCCATGGATGAAGTCGGGGAGGAATGCAACGCTGAGAGTTGTCGGAGCGGTGTTGGCAATGCCGGAATCGTGCGCATCACATAAAGTGAGAGCCATGGGCCTAATCGATATCGACAACTCGTCAAGAGTATCAGGCACGTCTTGGCGCCCGTATGTGGAAGTCGGGAGTATCAGGTCTGTTCTTATATCGTTCCTATATCGACTGAGAAAGTGAGAGGAGTTGGGACGAAGAGACTGTCCAAACTATAGCATCGCAACGCATCCAGTCGGCTCAAGTGAGTAAAAAAGCTAGTCGGAGGACCGTTTGACGATCGAGGTGCTTGCGGCTCCAGCCGGTCTGCCTCCTTAAGGTTCCATTACCCTCAACAGTGTCCAAATACATCCGTGGCCCCGTGATTCGTGCTTGCTATGTTCTTACCTACTTACCCCAGGCCACCGAGCCACTGTTTGGCGTTTGCTGTTCTCAATTATCTCTGCCCAGTCTCGAATCTGGCTCGCATCACGGCTGTCATGCCGGGAACACAGTTGACAGGGCGGCCGGTATGAGAGAGATGCTGTTTCCATCGTCACCGAACCGGGGACGGAGATTGTGGCACCTCTTGTCTATCTGCTACGTGCCTTCTCTCCCGATTCTCGCTTGCCCTCGGCACTGTGCACTTGACACGGCCCCACATCGCTTTCACCAGCCCCAGTCGGGTTCAGCTCAGCCCAGGCCAGGCCATGCCGCCGCAAAGGAGACGCAGGCACAGACCGACGCAGGCAAGCAGGCAGGCACGGCAGGCATGGGTTTCGGGTTTTGGAAGTAACGGCCCTGCCTTACCTTATCACCAGGCCCTGGCCCTGTCCCTGCCTTTTTCTGTCTGCTCGGGGCCGGAACTGAAGTTTTTACCCGCGCGCACACCTTGCTGTCTGCACGACTTGACTTGCGCACTGCTTGCGACAGTCAATAGGAGGGACTGGGCAGTCTCGTAATAGACGAAACAAGTCCCAACCCTTTTCCCCAGTGTCCCCGGCCCAAGGAATCTTCCATTGTCATTTCACAATGCTTGTTGGCAGCACACGGATGGGGAATCCAACCACGAGGCGCCAAACCCCCGGCGAGGGAGTCGCAAAAGTTTAGGTTGTCGCGCAGCATGATGTCATTGTTGGTTCTCGTGGTCATTGGTGGCAGGTGCACCTACCATCGTCGTCGTCCGCCCGCTCTTTCTCGCTTGACTGGGCAGTAGATTGCTTCCCTTGCCTCTTTGGGTGCGTGCCTGCCTCGCAGCTCAACGCAAACCATCGTGAGATTTAAGTGGGGGAGAGGAGCTGCCCTTCCAGGTACGGATACTCCATAAGGTACGGATACGGACGGAAACACTCACTCCCACTCTCCAGCCACACCACGACGTGGCCCACGACGGGTGCACGATGCTCGGGTCGCTAGCACTCCCTTTCTGTCCGATTCGTCCCACGATCCATTCTGTGGATAGATAGCAAAGCCGCGCATTACATCATCCTCAACGTTGACCTTATCTTGACCATCCCGTCTTATCAGAGTCCACCGGTACCTTATCATGGAACCACCACGCGGCCTTAGATGTCTTGAGGTTCTGTACGGAAGATGTCATTCTGACTCTTGTAGACCAAGGCGCGTCTCGGTCGTGTCTCACTGTTAGCATGCTTTCTTTTCTCTCTCTTTTTATCCCTACACGTATACTGCCTGTCTGTTTCTTACTGCCGTCGACAGTCGCCAACGTTGAAGGATGGACATGGCCACGACTCGAGCAACCGTTCGATGTCAGCCACAGCCCTGCTCAGCTCGAACCTTACCCTACCTAGGGACCACCTATCTGGATATACTTGGCCCGCCATTGACACGCAGTAAAAATGGCTCCAGTGTCTGTCCCCAGCGGCCCCGTTCTGATGATCTGATCGGCCGGTGCCCGTCCGCAGATAATAACGGAGTAAACTAAGACCAGGTCCCCGGGTCCTCGCCTGAAAGCAACGGCGATACGAAGCAGAGCAGAGGTGGAACCAGCACTCGAGACAATGAACGAGGATGGAGGATGAATACATGGGTAAGGAGGGACACGCAAAGAAGGGGGAAAAAAACCGAGACCAGTTCGGTCCACATTCCAACGTTTTCCCACATTCCATCCACCATTTCTCCAAAGTGGTTGTCCCCGCAAGTTTGCTCTGGAAATGTTCTCAACAAGGCCGAATCTATGACAAACATCAAACACTACTGCGAAAAGCTTGGTTCCCCTCCGCCATGCTGCGGCTTTGGGGGCCAATTTCTTTTTATTGGAATGCGGGTTGGAAGCTCAAGCAGACGACGGAAAAGACATGCAAAAGGTCAAAGTCAGCGTCAGACAACATTGCACCCAACCTTTTTTGGATGGGGGTAAACTTTGCTGGTGCATTGTGTGTTGTCTGCGAAGTGTCTTTGGCCGCGCTAAAACGACGCTGACCCGCCGCCTCACTGCTGACTGATGAATCCAGTGATTCGAGTGTCAATTGCGTTGGTCTCTCTGTCAGCCACGCGCTGCAGCCGGGTTAGGGCTGGCGATGGCAACGGCATCAATGCTGGGATCAGCTTCAACCGTCGCCGTTAGCAGGCTACCGGCGACTGGTATGAATGGCATAGACAATACCGATGCTGACTGGAAGGCGTCTACAAGACCTCGACCGCCGTCCCGCACACGGTGTGGCTGCCTGCAGCGACGACCAATTAATGCAGCACCCTTCCATCAAAGACATCCGTTCCCTGCTGGCGGCAACGGCGTGAAGAACTTTTCGTCGTCAAAATGTCTCATTCTGGCCAAGAAACGGCTGGGCGAGGATTGAGATCTAGACCAGCATGCTATGAGTCGCCCGAGTCATCACAGAAATGGCGCACACGCATTGTCGCACTATATTGCGCTGCTACTGCCGATGGTTGCATTGGCGATGGCAATGGCAACGCCTTTCTTTCCCCTTGTTCCACCCGAGCCAACCGATGCGGAGGAGACTTCGTGTCACCGCTCTTGAGCCTTGCTTCACCCTCTTATTGTTGCTGTTGGGCATCGGCGATGAACGGAGTTTTGGGAGGGAAATGCCCTCTACAAAATACCTCGTCAACGGTAGCGGCTGAGGCTCCTGGCGAAGCAGGGTAAAATGCGTTTCGATTGGGGTAAGAGCAGGCACCGCTTTGGGCATTCGGCGGCTCAAGTCTTGCCCCAGAAAGAATAGACGAAGCGCGAAAGCGACAGCAACAATACGGTGACGCACGGAGCGTTGGGTAGTCTCAAAGTGGCACGAGCTGTCGGCAACATTTCTCACTGGATGCGCAGACGCTCTATCACGATAGCACCGGATCCTTGGTTTCCATCTTGATTGCAATTTTTTGAAAAAAAAAAAAAATTTGGCTTCGTTGCTTTCTGTTTTCCTTAGTAATTCCATTTGAATCTGTGCGACTATCCGTAGGTATACATCGATTCAAAAGTGGGCACCGGAGACCGGGGCAGGCCGTCGGGATGGGATTTTGGCCTCTTACTATAGTAAACTTGCAGTGTCATTGAGCGCCTCGCCGCGGCACGCACCTCCCGCATCCACCGCACCCATGTTTTGTGAAAGGACGGAGACGACGGGGAAGGGGCAGAGTGGGAGTAGACGCGGAGACGACGACTGGATGGGGATGAATCAGCGGGGATGATTCAGCAGGAAAGAGATGGAGTCGCACCCACCTTACCATTTTTATCGAAAGGGAGGGAAGGAACAGTTACTGGCCAATCAGAAAACGGCAGCGTCACAAGACCCATGGCTGTCATCGTGAAGGAGAGAAGGAAGGAGGGAAGGAGGGGCAGCTGTGGGAGGAGACCAGGGGGTACCCACTCAATGGACTCAGTCTAGCCTCGTCTCTTGTGTTCCCTCCCCCACCAAAAAAAGGAAACTCACCAAAGAAAGGCAAGAAATACAGTGAGGTTTTCCCCATCGAGAAAAAAAATGACAAGTGAGAGTAAAGTCAATTCCCATTGCAACATCACGTCGCCCGCCCCGACCGTGCTCCACCACCAAACATCCACACTTCGTCCACAACTGTCGCCCATCCTCGGACCTCACCGGCGCGGGCTCTTTCTCGAGCGCGCGGATATGCCGCTCCTCTGCTCATCCATATCCATTATCATCGATGCCATGTCATCTTTACATACCAGTCCATACCGTGGTACCAACCAGATGCTACACCAAAGTCTGCTGCTGTAGATACAAATCGGTAGGACTGCTCCAGACAGGCCTTCAAGGACCGCCCAGCCCAGCGGCGAGCATGCGAAATAAACGCATCAAGGCGTTGGCGAACTAGGACCAGCTGTCTTCGGCATCAGTGGAAACCCTTTACGGACACGGTGGACGCGCCCATCTTCCAGCCATACCACCACCACGATGTCCCATTATCTATGTGTCGCAGTACAACAATCTCACCAACAGAGATATTCCTCAGGCATTGCTTATCTGGTTAATGTGCCATACTTTCCCCCGAAACCGGCGCCGGCCCCACTGGACGGGCATCCTTCTCACCACCATCTGCACCCGATCGATCTCTGGGACAGTAGCTGAGTTGTCGGTCAGCTGAAGGACCAACAATCTCCATGATAAAGCTGCCTTTGTAGCTGCCAAATTGAAGCGCTGTACTCCTTCGGGCAGGGACCTCTCAATATCTCCAGCCTCCGTGCTCCGCAACTCTTCAGGTCTTCCATATTGACTTTTATCCTGCGACTGTCCAGCAAGCAATGACTTCGCAGTGAGTCCAGCACCGAATCAACACCCGCCCTCGTCATTGTCTTTGGATTTTGGGATAGCAGTCGTACGGATCCCCACCAGCCCATGGTCCCCATTTCCACTTAGCACTCGCATACCTCAAGTAGCTACATCCAACATCCACTTCTATACTCACCTCCGGCACGGAGTAGGGGCAACAAGCACTCACATCATGCACTCGGCGGCATGCAGCAAGGCATAGCCCCAGCCAATGTGACGAGTGGAAGCCGCAGGGGCCGAGGACCACTCGTTGAATTCCATGGCCTCGCTTGGAGCGTTATAGCCCACGCACGCCACCACCGTAGGTCCAGCCAAATCCCTCCTGTGGCTCCTCATCTCTGTCACAATCGCTCTGGATAGGCATCGTCAACCTTCGGCCTTCGGGGACTTCTTCGCCCTGGCCCAGGGAGTGCGACATGGGTATCGAACGATGCAAAACCTCACTGGCCCTTTTCGCAATTCGTGCAGAACGCCCATCGACATCTGAAAGCGCCATGGCACGCATTACAGGATCCTGGGTGGGGAACCGCTTACCAACAGCTCCATCTGGCTGCACTTCAGCCTTCATTGCATCACGAAAACTTTTACTCCACCTCGCCGTCTCCTCCTATCTGTACATATCACCACATGTGTCAAACTATTACTCACAGCTTGCATTCCGGGGAAACATGCGTAAGGTGCCTTCACCCCCTCAGTCTTCGTCTTGACGTCTCAAGCGAGTATTCACTGTATGACACAGTGCATCGATAATCAATCATATTCACTCATCCAACCGCCACCACTGACCGCTATCGTTCGCTCATATCGGTTCGTCGCGGTCAATGAATGCCGGACCACCTTGGCAGAAAACCTGGAAATAGGGGACCCGAACGATATCACCCAACAGTTGACATTCATGGAGCTAAGAGCTGCCGGCGACTCAAGGGGCTGCATCTCGGAGCCAAGCGCCTCCATCGCACATCTACGCCGTGGTGAAAATTTGCGGTTGGTGGCTTGGTTGTGTGCCATCAACCAGGCACACCTCCCGCAAGTACGTCTCACCGCGTCTCGTTATCTTTGAAGTCGCAATCTGAGATGCCCAAAACGTACATCGTTTGCCTCTGATTCGCTGCGCAATCAAACTGGCCCCTGCCACCCTCAGCTAGTCGCCCCAAAGATGCTAAATTTGCCCCTGCTCCTAGCGTCCCGACAAGGATCTCATGGTAGCCCGGCCGTCACTGAAGCAATCCACGAACAAAGCACGCAAGCTCTTCGTGCTATTGTATAAGCCACACCTACCGCGAGCCGAGACGGCGGGGCACGCTTGTACCCTAGACCGGCTCGCAGTACACGGGGATCAGCGGTTCCGTGGTCGTCTATCAATGAGCCGGCCGGAGACCTGGACGGGCCGGAGTCGACGGCTCAAGACAGAGTGCGGCAGCCCTCCAAGCGCTCGATTCTCGAGTTTGCCTTGCCATGGAAATCATTCGGTCTGATGTGGAGCTTGCGCGGTTCACCAAATCTGCATGGCCAACTACAATGACGAGACCTATTAGCTCCTGCTGGTTGACGGAAGGGATTGCGTCAAAAACAATGGGCATGTTAAACCTTAGCCCCAGGTCACACATCTGTCACATCGAATGGTCTGATGTCGATTACGAGGAGACTGATGGTCAACCTGCGCCCTTGGCTCATGATAAAGGATAAGGGACCCTTGGACCAGGTTCCGAGAGCGGACCCGAGGCAGAGCGTGAACCGCCAACCTCACCCCGGGTATCAGGCAATGGGATGAGGGCGAGTTCCATGTCACAAAGGTGTCTCTGCCACATTTGAGATGGCGGCTGGCGCACAACCACCGCACGCAGCCTAGTTGCCAACTCCGCAACAAGTCCCCTAATCCCAAGGGACCCTACCGACCTTCATGTGCAGAGGACCCTGAAGTCTACCTGCAGTGGCTACCTTCTTGGCAAAGATTGACGTAGAAACGGAGTCAACGGCTTTGAATACGAGTTGTTCCAGTGAACCCTACCGCAGTGAGGGCAACTCGCTTGCGACCGCGGCAAAGTTATCTCCATCATCGCCATTACTATGACTATGCGTAGGAGCACAAGCATACACTAACGTAGCCGACATAATCGACCCACGCTTGATAACAACTAATCGATCATGATCCGTTTGATTGAATGGAGGTGCAAAGCCGCAACATTGCATCAGGAAAACGCAATCTGGCCTTGAACTCTGTCTTTGCACATGCTTGAGGCGCATTCCAGGGAGTCGCCGGCTCTGAGCGGTGGTCTGATGGTTGACCAGGATCATCATATCATCCAATGTTGATTTCTTACAGCTTTGGAGCACCGGGGATTTTTTGCCTGACACTTAGTGGGCCCGGTCACTATCAATTTCATGCTGTGGTCCTGGCAAGGCTCCTGATTCGTCGCTCCATTTCGTTGGGGACGGGTTGATGGCCTCAAATGGAATGAACTCAAGCTCGGCATCAATTCTCAAGACAGACGAGGGACGATGTTCGAACTATGCCGCGTACCACCATGGATTCTTTGTTTCCACGCGGCAGCGTCTACGGTGGCGTTTTCTTCACTGGACAACAGCCATCTCCTGGTGTTTCGCAGACACTACTGCACACAAGGTTCCAGGGATCCAGGAGAGTCAGACGCCCCCTTGTCGCAGACCTGACTGTTGCGACCAGTCCCCCACGTCCAAGTCATAGTCGAGCTTGCCGAACTATCAGATCATCGATCCAGATCTCGAGTCAACGCATCGGCAACTGTCGAGAGAAGATCAAGTCCTACGTGGAGGTCGCAGCCCAGGCCTAGGGACACGGTATTGTCGGGTTCCGCCCTGTGATCGACGTTGAAGACTGGAGACGGAAGATCCTCTCGTGATGGATGACAGTCTCCGGCGGCAGTGAGCGCCAGACATGCTCGATGGAATAGGTGAAGGTTAGGATGAGCTCCAGACAGCGCGAACACAGTGCGGCCGCCCAGGTGTGGCGACCGTGCCATTAGAATGGCGAAAGCACTGTAGCTGCGCCTCCCTGAGTTGCTAGGAATGCGCGAGTGTTTCCTGCAAGTCACTGCTCAAGCAGAGGAATGGCCATCGCACTAACTCGTACCCTCGATAGTCAACTGAGAGAGGCACCAAGTCGAAGCCATCTTCTTCAACCTGTCGGGTCAGCTTTGCGTCACATCGAACGGACGAGATCATCGATCGAAAGTCAAGGGGCGGTGTGAGGCTGGCAAGCGTCTTCCATGGCCAAGCATCCCATCCCGCGAGCGAGTCGAGACTCGACTGAGCCTCAATTAAAGTTTGTGCCTTCACCCCCACTCGGCGACGTGGTGGAGGTAGAAGGCGGAAGACAGCACTCGACGACAAAACCAGGGCACGGCTTCCGAGTCACTCCCGGCGCGCGTCAGCTTCCGGACCATCCGTGCCAGGCGACGTTCACGGGAGCAAAGTACGGACTGACCTGGGGCAGGCTTTGTCCTTGCAACCGCGAGGATCTGGTAGGCCAGCCTCTACCTGATTTTGACCAATCACATCTACAGCACTACATGGATCTTCGCTAAGAGACTGCCCGTGCTATGTACGCGATTGGATGGATTTGGGTTATCAGCACTGTCTATGTATCTTTGGCGGAGAGCAAGTGTAAATCTATCTAGACCACTTTCTACAGCTCAACAGCCCTATCAAAATCGCGAGATAACTGATACTCTCTGTCGACATTATCAGGAGGACCGGAAAGCCATGAAACCTTGACTTTGTGTCTACGCTGGCAAAGAGAAACGACCCAAAAGGGATGAGGATCGAATCAACCAGCCCCCATCCTTTTGTCCAACAAGTCGCCTTACCCTCGCAATCCGTCACTGGTTTTCCTAGAGCATGTTAGCCTATGGTGTACCTCGATCTCAATTGGCCAATCAGGCCATTGTTCGACACCATTCAGCTCCGGGCTCGGCTCTTATTTGACGTGTCGCAGGTGCAGGCGTCGGATGCGAACACACTATACTCCGTACCAAAGGTTTCCTTGATTGTCCTCAAAACCTCCGGGGGAAAAGGAATTATGCCAGAGCGGTGTGTCTCCGGGAAACCTAACCCGCCGTGCCCGCCTAGGAATCATTCCTTCATATTCACTGTGCATCATGCGCCATCATCTGGCTGTAACTTGAGGTCTCAGCCTCCTGCGCTAGAACCCGGGTCTGATCCGACTGCCTACCTAGTCACCCCGCAAGATCCGAACCAAAGCTAGAATGACCCAACCCCATAATTGTCAGACTCAATGGCTTGCAGTAATCCCACGTCCCAATTCGGATGGCACGGTTGTTTGTGGGGGATAATCCAAAAGTCCTGCAAGAAAGCTCACGAGATCAATGTCGACTGCACCGGTTTTATACCACGCCCGACGCAATTTGAACGAAATCCAAACAAACCATGACGCAACGAAGAGGCAGCTGACAATGTGACGCCGGATTTTCACTATCAAGATCAAGCCCTATTACGACTTGCGATCCTCTGAAGGCGTGGAGATCATGATTGCAGACGTGTCGTTTCGTCTTCGTCTTCGTCTCATGGCAGGGACACATGGCAGTTCACTCTGTTCATCGTCAGGCACAGAACCCAGGCTTGGCCTCTTTGGTATACGCTCCTCCCGTGCCATGCAACGGCTGAAGGAGGCACCAACCCGCGTGGGTCGTGAGTAGTGGTTCCCCGCGAGCATCCGGATGATGCCAGGTGACTGGGACGGATCGACAAGCAGAGGTGGCATGCTACTCTAGAATTGAATCCGGTATTTTGGCCTCCAAGCGCGATGATTGGGCTCGATATGCCACTTTAAGCCCCCTTCAACGAGACATGAGGAGGTTAAACCCTGATTCTCTCCCGAGGCACGGCGCATAGGTCTTGGAGACAACAGCTTCATCCGCTCTCAGATACGACAACGGGGGCCAAGGCGTTTCTCGACCGATGACGAGCTCCACTGATCTGCACGAGGTCTGCCAGAGTGAGCCAGGGTGCTGCCAACTTTCGCACGCGAGGGCTGCAGCAGTGTGGCACCCATCAGACAAAAAAAAAAGCCCCTGGGATGTTGTATTTGCATGCACGGTACTGCTTTGATAAGGCCTCTCAGTGGCCCTCGCTTCAGCGGCCAGGGCCAGGAAAGGCCACCGATGAAGAAAGGAATTTGATGAGACTGGGGGAATGGGACTTTCCTCTTGTTCGACAACACAACATGAAGGCGCGAGCAAGGATCCGATTGGCAAATTTGGCCCCCATCTCCGGTGTCAGCCCCAGAACCTCATTCCATCCGTGCCGGTGAGACGAGGGGGATGGATGGTGTACACGTACACGTCTGCTTACCGATGAAGCAGGTTCACAAGCAATGAAGGCGCACAAGTTGTTTCTTGTAAGTCTTGGACGCCATCATCATCGTCATCACCATGATCATCTGACCCAGCGTTGCCTTGGAAGGAGCCCAAAGAGTACAGCTTGTCGACCGACGATGGGCTGTTGATGCTGGAGAGCATTGAAGCCAATGGGGCCCCTCCTCTCGATGCCCTTCTTCCGGTATTCCGTGGTTTTCTCAGACGAGGCAAGAAAAATACGTCCGAGACTCGACGCCCTTTGGCTTCGGTACACGGAGAGTCGACAGAGTGCGGAGGAGACAAAAATCATGGCTGCGGTTGGTTGCTATGAGGAGGATTTGCTCCGGAAACAGCCAACCTCAAGTTAGCATGACATGGTAGCAAGGCAATAACGGCAATGGAAAAGTCAGCATGGGCGGCCCATGGTGCGATCTTCACGTACCATTGGACATTCTCCCGGCTCGGTTGATTCACAGCACTACGCCCGGCTTCATCTCATCTCATCGCTCCCGAGTTGCAACTCCAAGGTGCCACCAAACTTGCCTCAAACATGAGAGACTGTGGACACCGAATGGAGTGTATCCACCAAAGAAGCTCAGTCTGTTCTCCTCTCAACTGAGATATATCCAGAAGTTCAAATCCTCAGTGGGGAGGGCTCTGGACAGGGAGACACGAACATGGGCATAGAGGCAGGCCGCCAATATCCTTACTGCACGAAATCTCTTCACTGTGTCCAGTCTACATGGGTTGCGCGTGTCTACGTGTCCTGCAGAGGCTAAATGACGTAGTGACCCGTTTCACGGCCCTCAGCCGTCATCGGCCATTAACTTGCACGATCGAACCTTTCTCTCATGAACTAGGCGCCCGGGGCTCTTAGCGGTACGCAGGGCTTAAAGTGGTCGACAAAAGCCCCCTAACCAACCCCCACAGCGCCGGGCTCTTTGCTCCAAACACGCTGCTAGCTCCGTACCGTTGCCGCCTCAGGCGGTACGGGCCCAGCTGCTACAGGGAAGACGAAGGAGACTACGGTGACCAAATGAGGACTACGGGGGGCAGCAGGCGTCTTTTCCGTGCGCTAAGAGCGTCCGCCAGAGCCCGCAGTTTCAGCAGCAGCCTCCACTTTCGTCCAAGGCATGGCGAGAGATCCCAATTCAGTTGTTGCTGACGAGACCATTGCTAGATATGCTCCCCGTCTTCCAGCGAGTCGTTTTGCCTGTGAAACGGGACGGAGGACAACCCGTCACCGGCGTACGGTGGAATCAGGTCCTCTCCCGGACGCCATCACTCTTATATTGTCCACTATCACAGCCATGAAGCGACATTGACGACAGAGACGGAGAGGCTGCGGTACCATCTCAATACCGGAGCTTTTCAAAGAGAGATCACCGATGACGATGGAGTTGCTGTACTATGTGGTGCCCACTCCAGAAGGACTCGACATGGGTGGCTCACAGACTCCAGAGTGTCCCCCATGGAACCCCATCGCTCAGTGGCCCCTCTAGGATGAATCTAGACCACCAATGGAACTGCTCAAGGCATTTCTCTCAGTCTCGAGCCTCCTCCGCGCTTGGGCTTTGGAAATTGCATCTGGAAATGGCATGGCCATATCGACCAAACACGAGAGGCAATCGACAAAGCCGTGCGAGTGGACGCACCCCGGTCATCTCACCCCTCCCCTGGGCGTCTTGAATATGCAGTATGCTCTTGGAAAATGGAGTCAAATTGTTTGGACAACTAGCACACAAAGCACAATATTTACAACCATGCGTGTTGGAAAGGGCCTTTTCTCACGCTGAGTCCCGTTCTGACCGCCACTTCACCGAGACTTGTAAAAGGCTACCGAGACATTCACCATGTACACACCGCACAACGCCATCGCAATCACGCTAGGCAAACCACTAGTTCACTCCATCTCGTACAACGGCAGTTGGGCACTCAAGGCTGTTGATGACTTTCTTGATCTTGGTCAGTTCCTTGCAGCCAAGATCGCCATGCAATCTGAAAACGGTTCATGCTTCTTTGAGAAGACAGGACGCGTACCTCGCCCGGAGAATCACTCCCAATCGGCAGGCCTCCTCGGGACATTTCGCTTGTGGTTCCATGCAGCGGCTCTGCCTTGGTTTGGGACTTTGGCCACTTTCATCCCGGCGGGTGGACAGGCGTCGCGTCTCACCAAATGCTCTCCCGCACTCCAGTCGTCTGCCCATCTATCGGGGACCTCGAGCTTAGGATGGGAGCGCCACTCTCTAAAGCCTCAACATTTTAAAGGTGGCTGACCCTGGAGGTCTCGAGCCACGCATAACTGCGCCCCATATACACTTGATGTCGCCCCAGCCAAACAGACAGGTGGTTTTTGGGGGTTAGGGCAGCCATCACAATCCCATCACCTACCTTACCGCCTTAGCAGGAGTAGGAGGCTCGCCACTGGCGGCTGCTATGGCTGATATCTCTGTGGGTGTTTCTGGATTCGACTTCACTAATATCCCTCAGTAGCATGGCCGACGTCCCGTTATCCAGTGGAACATTTTGCGTGCGCAAGCTACTAGAGCTCGGGCTTAGCACATTGATGCTGATATTGAACAAACTCTCGATCAAAGAGCGGTGAGATTCATCTGGTCTTTCAAAGATGCGAAGTCTCCAAAGCGATGAATGCGGTTGGCCGATCCCTTCGCCCTAGACGCTATTGGTCTACAGATTTACAAGATAGAGTTTCGTCAATTTGCCGGTGCCATACTGGAACCGCGGCCCACTTCCCACCGCGCGGACGTCGCCGTATTGATCTGGGATGAGGCTCTTTATCAACTCTGGCTGACCTAGCCATAAGCATCTTCACCATGCCGTAGAACACGCGAGGGCGTCTGCCGCACGGGAAGTCTCCTGCCGTGCACGCCGAAGTGAAGATATACGCTTCCGGAGCATTCATTCCAAGCTTTCTCAACGGTCCGAAGATGGTATTTACAATTTGCCATGCAGGCCACGGATACCTGGACGAGGCTTCAAACCTGACGGGCTCTATGCAAAATTTGGTACCAGGAAGCCGGCGATGCGCATGAGCTGCTGATTCTCGGACAGCAAACGAGGAAATTCGCAAGATGTGACAGGTCTCGTGATCTCTCGGACCTGCAACTCTCGGGTTCAACACATCAGGCGGTTGTTGACATTCGACTAGTCCACAGCAACGGCTTGAACTCTTCAATTCCGACATCTGGGTCATTCAAATATGTGCGATTTGTGTGGACTAATATTGTGAAACGGTCTGTCATTGCAACATAATGAGAATTTACCTAGGTATCCTCCTCGAAAGCGGCACCGATGCCCTGGCCGTCCGGTGGTTTGGGACTCCGGAACACAGCATCTACGGGAAGCCTTTTTGATTTGCCAGTAAGAGAAGGACGCTTTCCATCTGACACAATACTCACAATATAGAGAGGATTAACTGATCGACTGCTGGTATCACCCCAAGGCAGTAACACGGAAGCTTCGATTTGGGCCCTACTCGACTCCCTCAGTAGCCGCATAGCATTGCGTTCCACTCCCACATCGTCATAGGATACTCCTTCAACTCAGAGAATACGATGTCCTTCCTTTGCACGACTGGCATCCTTTACTTCCGGTAGAGGTTCTCGACAGAGTACTCGGAAGGACTCATTCCATTGCTCTGACGGAGTGTTGCACAACATTAGCCAACACACGATTCTCTAGTTTTGCTTAGACGTTCACCGGAAAGGTTACACAACAGGAAACGAATCTAGAAATATGATTTATAGCATTGGCCTTCACTGGCCGTTCGTCGTGGTTGCAACTCCCTAATATCGTACCAATGGCAAGGGACCTAGCCAACCCCGCATTCTCGAAGTTCAGTGAGTTACTTGCTGCTGATCTCACGCCCATAGCATGCAGTCAGCCTCAAGGACTCTGGTGGCATCAATGGGACTGTCGTCGGATGACTTGATGAAGTGCCGTTGCAAAAGACCTTGCCGGCGATGCAATAACAGGTTTGAACCGCCCAAGGACATCTCATCAGGACTAGACATTGGCTGACTGGGCGTAGAATACCAGCGATGTTACATCATGATGGATCTCTTCACTGGGCACGATGGCCGACAGACTACGCCTGAAGGTCATGACACGGCGGTTTGCTACGACTCTTCGTGGTGAGCATCCTACCAACCGGATGAGGCAATGCCATGCCCGTTGATGAGACGATGTATAGAGGCAACATCCTTGTCCAGCCAACCAGCGCCTCACATCGTTACCCCACAAACCTAGACCGCGACGACGACATGAAGGCTCCGGTGCCATGCCATGTCGGCCTTGCATGTCCACGGCACCCCGTGGCACAGAGCAACGAGGAGACCGTTTCAGCATCGTCCCTAGTCCCCAGGTCTACCTTGGAGAAAGCGGGGAGGCGGTCGAGGCGCTAAGACGACCTTTGATCTCACGGACGTTTATCAGCACTATACCACGTTGGACAATGGTTCCAAGCCCTCCTCCTGCTTTGGGCGTTGACTGACGCCCGCAGTCCGATGTTCTTTGAATTGTCCGAGGCGTTTGTGCGGAGTTGTTGCTTGTTCGACGTGGTGGCGGGATTGTCAGCCGGAGCGGTCGGCTGGGTTCACCGCTGTTGTCATGGCGTTTGGGTTCACCCCGGAGCGGCGCCGGTTGGAGAACAGGGGCAATTCAGAAGACGGCGATTCTGATGTGGCCCCATTTGGGGCCTCCTGGAAGCCAACAAGGGCATGCATTTTGTCCGTATTGGGGGGAGGAGTGCGTGTTTCGTCGCCGAACTCTCGACGGGCACACGGCACACGGTGTTGGGTGAATGGATTGAACTTGTCCACCGTCAAAACTGATCTGCGAGTTCGGGCCAGCTGCCTGAGTTCAATTTCCAGGGTCTTCTCCTTGTCCAGCATTGACTTTTTACCCTCGGAGGCTGGGAACCTGGGGTAGTCTGGGGAAACTGATCTTCAGCTACGGACGAGAGGTGGGCTGTACGGCTTACAGCCAATGGCGAGGAGTGCTTGCGGATTCCGTGTCTAGCTGTGCTTAGCTTGGTACTAGGTTTCGTTCCATGTCTCCCATTTCAAGTCCTTCCGCGGGAAAAGCCAGACAAGCGGAGCAGTCCGGTCTGGTTCCAGCGGCTGCTTGAGGTGAGGCTGGCAAACGCTTTCCTGACAGCACGACAGGCATCCACACCAGATATCTACCTCAGTGAGTCGTAGTATGCGAGGACCGGCAGCAGCGGGGGAGTTGCGATATCTCCTTGTTTGAAGCACGGAGTCGGGGATCATCAACCGCACCTGCGAGCTCTCTTAATAAGACCCGCGGAAATTCTTGGACCTGATCTGAAGCTGTCTGCAAGCAACAATGCAGCTGGATGGGGAGACATTCCTTGGCCACCCTCCACATTGGAAACACCACTGCGAGCTTGAGGGTATAGATACGATTCAGTCTCCAAGTCGACCCCGCATTTGTCGCCTTGTGGGCAGTTTTGGCAGCAGCAGCTTGAGCCTCGAGCTCTGAGATGACAGGCATGTAATCATGTACCGATTCTATGTCCACGGCCGCAGCCAGAGTCGCGGGAAAGGGGCCGCGCCGTCAGCACACCAACCCGACTCCGGTCGAACCCAGCGGCTCTTTTCTTAGCACCCGCTCCATGGACGGTGTGATTAGGCCTTACCTACCCCTCTCTCGGACATGGCGTGCTTGTTCTTGATGGTTTGATGTTCTGCCTGGCGTCCTGCCTGGTAGTAATAGCAATTACCTATGGTAGGTATTGCTCGGTTGGGAAGGACGTCGAGGGTAGAGGATTATGCAAGGATTGCCAATCCGGTGCTCCCGCGTCGATAGCGTCCCGAACGCAGCGACGGGTCTGTGGTCTGGGACAAGAGCAGTGAGCACACCATCCCCCTTGATGTGCATGCGGTGGGGTCTCATCGCCCGTTGCTACCCTGTGTTTTACCTGCCGTATCTGCGATGACAAAGCAGGTGTGGGTTTGGGAGAACACTGCTTAGCAGAGCATAGCAGAGCAGAGTATCAATAGGGAGATTCTCAGATATGTGAGACATATAAATTGGATAAGCGTTGGGAGGAGGCAGTCAGCACGACATGGGGAGCTATCTGCATGCGGAGGGCATTAGATGGTGGAGAAGACGTCGTTTGCTTCCTCACTGCTGCAGCTGCTGCGCGGGGAGTGACAGAGGGACAGCAGGAGGGAAAGGGGTCTAGTTACAGTCGTCATCAACACGCGACCGACGGGAGATGGGTGAGGAGTAGGGCGAGACAAGCACGAGACATGCTTGATGCGGCGAGACATGATGTGTTGGATGAGGGCGGGATCTTCAGCAGTCTGTGGCGCTGATGTGGACGCGGGGAAAGTTTTTGTGGGAATAGGTTTCCTTGGCCTCTCTCTCTCTCTCTCTCTCACACACACACACACACACACTCTGTGCAGATATCGTTTGATGGTCTAGACCGATGGGCACTGGGGAATAAGATGGTTGAAGGCGGTATGAGGTGAGGGATGTCAGTTGTCAACGGGCTTGGTGGTTGTGGATTCATGGAGCTGGTAGGTGATGACGGGGTGAGGAAGTGGAGGCACGACGAGTATGCGTGGCATGTGGTTTGGAGCTACAACGTGCTGTCACTTCCACGAGGTCGGCGGCTTTGGGAGCTGAACGATGCATCGGTGCTGTTGGTTGACGCACGACGGCTTCCACGGCTGTCGGTGGAACCACGCGCGCGGCAGACATCGTGGGAACCCCCGGGGTCTTTCGGCGTGTGGATTCGGAGAGGAGGAGTGAACTCGGCGGGTATAACGGATCCATCGGGGGGTCGCCGATGGGTACACTCGAGGATATGGTGCCGGAGTCGCACTCGCACCGTTTGATGGCGCACCAATGTACAGCGTTGTACATGACGTCCCTTGGTGCCGGGGGCTGAGTGTCAGGCCAGTATTGAGGGGACGGCAACTGTAGACGGACTTTCTATTCATGGAACCTGGATTTACTTCCGGGAACATGAGAGTTGTGGTGACACGACAGCACGGATGGGGGGATGAAAGTTGAGTGAGCAGTCTACCCCGATGCCGGGGGCGGAAGGCTTGCAAGTGGAATGGTGGTTCAAGTAGTATTTATTTCGTAAGCGACTGAGGCTGCCATTCCCCGGCGCCATGTAGGACCCTGAACCCGGCCGGGAAGGCCTATTTTTTGCCTGGAGTTTTGCATGTTTTGTGTCTAGCTGTCCTAGTAATATTGACGTTGAAATTTGAAATGTACTGCACGGTCGTTGAGGGGATAACGTTTTCTCCTTCTTTTGGAGGGCCCGGGACGAATTGGATTTTCTGGGGGGACACGACATTACTTTATTCACATGGCGGCGGGATTTGATGACTGGATTTTTGCACGTTGAAGTTGACGCCACCACCCTCCCTCCTCCCTCCAGCTGCACCTCCGCCTCCGAGATGCAGAGTCAAAGTCTGACATGTGTTTTCTCGTGCCCGAGGATGGCCCGGGCCCCGGGGGGGGGGGATGGTGGCAGCAATATGACAAGCCTTTGGAGTGATAGAGGGAAAAAGGAAAAAAAGGCAGAAGAAAGGATTGTTACTAAAAGTCTCTGTATCTGATTCGGAATAAGCTTTTGCGGGGGGGTTTACGTTGAGTCGTCGACCGTGCCCAAGTTTGGGTTGGTGTTGATAAGTTTGATTTGGCTTATACTTTTTACGGCTGACTTGGCCTTTTTCCCACAAGATTTTGCGGGGAAATCGTTGAAAGTCCTCGTTACTTTTCAAGGTTATGCGTAGGATTTCCCGGGGTACACCCTCATCGAAAGGGAGCCGTCGAGCCCGAGTCGGACACGGACGAGGATAGGCGAGTGCTGGATCCCCGGGGGACCGTTCATTGCCAACCCGCCCCCGGTCGCCCATCACTAGTGAGTTCTTGTCACGGCGGATTTTGGGGAGACGAGAATTGGATCTGTTGGGCAAGGGGGGGAAAAACGAAAAAAAAGTCTGGCATGTGTGCGAGGGGTTTGGGGTTTGGCGCACCGGAGATATTGCCTACTCTCGTCTGACTGTTTGTCAAAACCGCGCAGTGGCGATGGGATGCTGGTGGAGACTGGACGTTCTTCATTTTCATGACTGTACGTTTGATGATGGGAGGGGAGGGAGGTGGGCGGGGATGTGTCGGGGCTTTCTTGACGAGGGGAGTTTTTGGACAGTCTCGGCGGTTTTTTCTCTCTTTTGATGGTGGAGATAGTCCTCTATTCGAAGTTCAAGACGAGCGGGTTGTGGTTGCGCGAATGTATGGATGAGGCGCAGGTAGGTCGTTGGGGAGGTGGAGGGGAGGGAGGGAGGGAGGGGAGATTAGACCAGGTCTCGAACTCGACTGGATGGATATTCGGCAATTGGGGGGGGGGGGTATCAATGCTTCACTTTGTACGACTTGGTGGTGTTTTCGATGACTGATGGGTTGCGGTTCGCGGACGCCACGGCGTAACGTTCGCCACGGGTGGAGAACGAGAGAAAGAGACCATTTATTGCAACACCACCAACAGCATTGTGTGTTTCTTGCAGTGGTCTACTTTGGATATTGGGCCCATTAAAGGTACGAGTAGTGGATTGGGTGTTGCGATGACTGTGTTGGTATGGAGAGGAGGGGGCTGCTTTGTAATTGTGAGGCCATTCGATTCTTGTCTTTTGTGAGATGTGAGGGCGATGATGGGTGAGAGAGGCTGTGGATGGGAACATTTCGGCGAGAATTCTTCGGGCATCAGATCACACATGGCATCGTTCATTCTTTCTTGTGGGAGAGTAAGCAATTCTGCTCCAGACGATCATGGAGAGAAGAGGCGGGCAGAGATCCAATGGCAACACATGTGGCTTTTGATGAATGTGTTGATGTGAGATCATAGGGGTCCTGGGGAGATCGTCGTCGATGGGTATCTACGGTCTTGTTTTTTTCTTTCTTTCATATGTGTGTGTGTGAGTACCGCTGGATGGAAGGGCTGCGCTACGTGTATGCGAAGATGCAAATCGGGTCGTTGGGGCTGGATGCTTGGATACAATACGTTGACTACGTTCAGGCGAGGCGACGATTTCCCCGCCGGGGGGGAAGAAGTAATTAGCTATGGCGGCAGCGATGCAACGTTGTGAGAGCTACCTGAGCTAGGCTGCTGCTAGAACCCTTTGTGTGTCTGAACATCAGGCTTTTTTTTTTAAAAATTCTTTTTTAATTTTTCAGGGTCCGACGATCATTGAAGATTGTGACATTGGGGTTGGACGGCGACGGGCGCGGACGAAACGGGGCGAGACGCGGGGAGGTGTTGTGGTGGTGGTGTTGGTGGTGGCTGGGTGGAGACTGACGAAGTTGGAGGGGATTCCGGGTTTGTAGAGAGGCATTTCTTGTCGTGTAGCAGCCTACAGAGATAGGAGTTATGGGATGGATGCGGGAGGGTTCTCTTTGGGATGTTGGTGGTGGTGTAGGAAGTGGTGATAGCGGACGCGGACGAGCGCCGGATGGCGATGATGGTGGTGGTGGTGGCGTGCGTGTGGAACATTCGCATTTGTTAGTTCTCGATGGGCGACCAGACTTGTCAGTCGTTGCAAATCTTTGCCCTTTTTTTCCTTTCTCCCCCCCACCCCTTTTGCCATCTCGTCTGTACGTAGTATGCGACTCCCGGACATCTGTATTCGTGGGCTTGAGCCACATAGATGTAGGACACTGGGGTGTGCTGGTTGGGGCCGGAGCCTCCAAAGGGCCTTGCGTCTTCCGACATGCAGTATGCGGAATGCGGTCTAGGTGTGTATGCGAATGTGTGAGAATGCGCGTCTCCTGGTGTCTGCAATCCCGAGGAGGAGGTGGTGGCATGGCATGCAACCGGGTTCCGATGATGAGACGCTGTTATCAGAGAGGGAGGGGTCTGGACCTTGCTCTGGTCTCCAGGGACCAACCCATTCTCTGTAAAGTATCCGTACCGATACTGTTCCTGTCTGATACTGGCAACTGCAAGTACCCTTGTTTACGAATACTGCGTGTGTGTGCGTCTGGTGCGTTTGCTTGCCCACGATGCTGCATGCCTTGCCATGCTGCTCGCCGTTCTCTATCCGTGGTGCATAGTATTATGGCCGTCGGGAGGCCTTGGACTAGACATGGATCAAAGGTGTGATGCGGATGCGGTCAAGGGGTGCGGGCATACCTCAGATCCAGAGAGCCCCTAGACGGCATCAAATCGAGAGGGATGTGCGGTGAGGTGAGCCTGAAAACCCCGTCAAGAATGTTCCTCCTACTTCTTCTTGCACCCTCCCCCTCCAATATCAAAGGGAACCTTGAAGATAGTTGAGGTTCTTTCCAACTCTCCAGGATGGTGATATCGACTCGTAAGCACGGTAGCTTTTGCATGCCTGCCGCGCCTAGAACTGGACCCCCTGCCCGCCCCAGTGCCTCGAGGAGAGTAGGGGGATTGTCGTGTTTGGTCTTGTTTGCTTTGCCTTCCTTGGGGCAAGTCTGTGCGGGCAGTCCGGTCGGGGTCGGGGTGAGAGTGGTGCAACACCCGGCACGTAGAAAGTTTATTCTTGTTGGGGGAACCTAAGGCGCTTGGGAGGAGAACACACAGAGAGAGGTGTGTCTAGGTAGCTGGTTGTCATGAAGATTCTCTCCGCTACGAAACTACCTAGGCAGAGCGAGGTGCCAAGATGGGCTGACCGTTGGGTGGTTTGGGTTGTGTTTGCAGTGTCCGTGCCAGACGTGGGGTTGTCTATAGCAGCCACCGCCCTCTCTTCGAGGTCGATCAGTCAGTCAGCGTGAACTTCTGCTGTCGGTGTGCTCCTAGTCATCGTTGCTGTATCCCCGAATATATCCCTTATTTTCTCCCATCGCAACGCGAAACAGTATAAAATCGTACGCTATGACTATGCCCCGATGAAGATAGCGCCGGCTTCGGAGGCTGGCAAGGCTGGCATGGGAAGTAGGCTTATTTATTGTTTTGTTTTATCCGTCTCTCTGCTAGGTACTACTTCTTCCCAGGCTCGAGAGCTACCCTGGCAAGCCTGGCCGATGGCGCCCGCGACGGTGTGTTGGACAGCGCTGCTAGGGCGGCCGGTGGGCGCTGTCGCCGGCTGGTTTCGTCCAACTTGAGGCTTTTCTTCTCCTTTTTGGCTCTGCTGGCGGTCCGGCCGCGGCGTTGCTGCTGGAGCTATGTACTACCTAGTGCTCTGGACTGACTGGCCGGCATGGCTGGCAAGAAGGGGTTGGACGGGCGGGTTTCTGGCTGGCAAGGCTGGACACGCCAGAAATACACTTAACATAAATAGGAACAGAGGCGTTCGTCTAGAAGGTGAGAAGCGTATGGGCGTGGGCGGAGGGCGTAGCAGAGAGGGGGATCTTGCTACGTTAGGGATTTCCTAAGAGTTCTTTTCTTTGCGCGGCGATGGTGCTAAGATCGTTATCTGGGCAGGCGACGAACGTGGCTAGCGGGGGGAAGGTGGAGTTGACAAGAGGGAGATGGAGAATGGGGAATGGGATGTCATCGTCGTCGCGGTGGAGAGCCTCATGATGTGACGAGCAGGGCAAGGGGGTCTAGCTGAGCCGTTTCTTGCGCGCCTTGCAGTTTGGCTCATGCCTGGTCGCCTTCACGATGCTTGGTTTGGTGTTGTTACAGGTCCAAAGCGGGCACTAGGGCGTAGAGGGCCTGGCCATTGGCCGTAGGATGGGGGGGCTTCCTATGGAGACGACCAGTTCGCAGGTCGTTGAAGCATGTATTGACGTGTGAAATCCTCCGAAGCACATCACATAGACCAGGGGTCGCGGGGATCCAGGCCACTTGCGGTATGGCAACGGGGTGAGGGACCCAACAATAGTCATATTACGATGCTGATGACAACGGCGATGGGACAAGGCCCGCCAGCGGCAACGGGAACGGGATGACATGAGATGGGTGGTGAGTTGAGTGGTGAATTGACCAATCCTTGGCATGCAAGACCACCCCTTTAAGACTTGAAAGCCGATGTTCGGGATTATTCAGGTCCAACGGCAGGGAAGACGTAAGAGAGAGCATTTCAGCGAGGCACATTATGGTGAGACAATATCGGACAGTTGGGACTGCGGGTTGATGTCGACCCCTGCCAATTACTTGCAGAGATTTTTCGCCTCTGGTGTTGAGGGGCGCAGGCGTGTGAATGACGAATGAGCCATTGCGCTGTACTTTTTTGGGATATGCGAACACGAGAGCAACTGAGAGTTCAAGTCTGTCTGTTCTGTGGGTTCGCAGAGTTGAGCGATTGGGCGTCAGAAGTTACAGTTGCACCAGGAGGAAAGGTCACAAAAGAGGGGTTCAAGTCTTTGATGATGGGGTTTGAGTTGTGTGAGCGGGCATCGGATTTTGATAGACGTCGAGTTGCTACTTCTGTGTATTGGCGTGAGGATATTCAGAGTCGATGGCAACGGAAATTGTCGTTGCCGGCAGCGGAGTCCTCCGCATGCCCGACGACACCGGAGAGACCTGCCGCCTCGAGCAAAGAAAAGTCCAGCTAGACAAACATTGGCTGGAAGCTTGCCTTCCTTCGTAAGCTTTGCAAGCAGCGGGAGCTGTCCTGTTGGATGCGCCTATTCTGACAACCAAAATCGACACTGTCGATCCCTGAGCGGGTGGTGCTGCGCTCGAGTTACCCGGGGATCAGACGGAATGTCTCTTGGCCAAGAGCTACCCGGGCCGGTGAGCGTTGGTAGTTCTTCTGTCGGGGGGAGGTGAGTGAGGTGAGGAGGGGGGTGAAGGATTCGATGGGCCACGCTCTAGACCGCCCCGGGCCTGCGACTGTCAAGATGCGAGGATGCTCTTCTCTTTCCCCTTCGAGGCTCACTTGCAGATGTCGACTCACACTTCGTGAGGCCCAGCGGGCGGGTCCCCCATCGCCTGGGGACGTGGGCTGCTGGCTTAAGCGCGGAGACGAGGATGACTGGGGTGCTGGATGAGCGGCACACGCAGCCAACGTTGACGCTTTTTTTCTTTTCTGCTCAGGTCTTTTTGATGCTTCGGATACGCTCAACAAGCTGCACGTACGAATAAAGGGCAGATTACTCTGCTGATTTCATGTGGATTGCATGGTTTGCAGGAGGTCTAAGGGAAGTGGGCGAATGGACATGTCGCCGTCCTCCCCATCCTTTTCCACCCCCTCCCCCCCTCCCCCCGGCGTCCGCCGCGTCGCTGAGAACAGCGGTAGCTGCTGCTTTTGCCAGCTCTGCCTCAATAAGCCGGCATCGGATTTATAAGATTTTGAGGGTGAGACGCAAAAGAAAAGCCACTCTGCTTATCGGTGCACTGGAGATTCATGTCTCTGATGAACCCAGCCCCAGCCGCCGTTTTGTGGTGTGTTCCCCAGAGATTTGGACTCGGCTGATCGAGGATAACAACCCGAACCCAACCCCCGCAAGACCCAATTCTTTTGTCACTGCTTGGAGGTATCCGTAATTGGTAAGGGTTTTTCACTCTGCTGCTGCTCAGATCATGTTGAGGCTAAACGAGGGGAACGGACTGGGCCATCACTTAAGGAATCATTCATCATGTCAAGACCGATGTGGATGGCGCACAACAGAACCACCGGGCGTTCAAAAACATCTCTCCAAGCTCTCCAAGCAACCGACGCCGCGCACGTCTGCCACCCTAGTTTGCCTCTGCCTTGGAACCAGAGATGCCAACCTCGCCTCTGTGGATTCTATGCATACGTGTAAACGCATAGGTTGTGTGGGTGTTACGTTATTGTTGGGAAGGTGGGAAGCTGGAGGCGTCCGTTGCCAACGCTGGTGGAGATGAAGAGCGGCACAGACTGACCTGCTACGCAGAAGAAGCTTCAGTGAGCTTCAGTGCGTTTGCATGGGTGACTTGGCGAAAACGAGGTCAGCTACTTTGGGTTTATGCGGTGTTGGCAGGGTCGCTAGCTGCTGTAGGGGTTGGTTTGGATGGGTCTTGCTAGTCTCTACGTCCCCGACCACCTTGTTCTTCCACCCCCCCTTTTCTCTCGTGCGTGTGGCTCTCGCTCGGCCGGGTGGCGGCAAGGTTCGCGCGAGGCTGTGCGCGTCTTCTTCTGCCCTCACCGTCCTTGCGTTATCGGAGAACAATGCTTTGTTGACTTCGCTCCGGAGTGTTGTGCCGTTGGCTTTTTGCTAATTATGTTGTCAAATATCACGCCGAGATTGGACGCCCATCATCAACAGTCATGATTACTCTTGAACCGTGCCACTACAACACGCGATGGATCCACGGTCTGCACAGAGCCCGCAACGTCTCGCCGCCATGTCTCTCCGTACTGCGGTGATGACGGCCCCAACAATAACCTGTCCCTCTCGGACGATATCCAGGTCTTTCAGATGGAGGGTCGGGAAATATCATCCTATGTTAGGGTAATCCCCATCCAGCCTCGCGCGATCGCTGTTTTAACTAGCATGACTTCCCCCCATTGAAGCCCGAAGCTGCTTGCTGCAGATATACCGGTGTACTGCGACCTCGCCCGGTGGGTGTGAGATTGATACCCAAGCGATTGACCTCTCATATGCCACACAAGACTAGAACAAGCTACGCAGGCCCTGCAAGAAGACGTTTCAGGGTTCAATGAGGCGCTTCTGCGTTGCTAATCAACTGCAGCCATAACGTACAGATGGATTGCGTGGGTGGTGGGTATGAAGCATTGCTGATCCCTCTTCCATCCAAACAACCCCGTTTTGGTTGGCTGCCCGCCCAAGTAGGACCCTGAAGTTGAAGGAGGTGGAGGGCTTAAATGACGCCAGTGATCGTCCCGTTGTCTGGACCCTGTACACCCTTTGCTCCATCCAAATTCCACGTCCAATGCTCCTTCGTGTTCTGCGGTACTTGGTTGACATTGGCCTGTGAAGAGAGGGGAATTATCCGGGGATCTTCTCTTGGTGACGCGAGTTTTGTGGAACAATGGCTCGACCGACGATCGGTGGGTGAGGTAAGGTGCGGATAGCGCGGGTTAGCTGGGGAACAGGCGGCTAAATTTTGTGAGCTGATCTGTGGTGATGTGACATTGAGACGGCAGCTATGATTCTGAGGCTTTCATGTTCACATGTTATTATGGATGCTTCAGTGTGTGGAGGATGGTGGTAAGGCGGCTTGGGACGTTTGTGTCGATCGATCATGACAAGGTCAGGTCAGCTTCATCTTGTGCTGGTGATCTGAGGTCATTGCAATGACCATCAGTAGAATGCTTCTCGGCAGTTTTTCGACTTTACACGATCTAGTCTAGAGCAGAATCATAATCTCCTGCCACTTCCCTCGCCCCAACGAAGGCAGAGGATTCGGATCCCACATGAAGTAGCCGTATCTAAATGTTTTGGCTAAACTCAGTAAGTACTGAGGAGGCCCGAAAGTCGGTCAAATGATTTGTATCTACGATCAGACATAGTTCCGTTTGGCAACTTAAGCAAGGATGCGTCGGAGTTGCCAGTGTTCATGAGCGAGATTTGATAAGTTCAGGTCACCTTACATGTTTAGGATTTCAGTGTTGGTAAGCATGGAACGTTTCAAGCAACTTTGTTCGAGGCTGAGCACGATGCTGAACTTTGGACTAGGAGATGCTTTCCTCTTTTCGGCCATCAAAATTGCCGTGTAATAAATAGGTAATACACTGTCATTTTTTGAAGACTGAGTTTACAACTGGTTAGTAAACTACTCTACCATGCCTTCGCTGAATGGACTGGGCTCTAGGAATTTTGGACTGTCGAGTAGATAAACCTGTTTTATGTTCTCTACATGGCCTATATCGAATTAATCCTACACAACAGCTTACTGTGAGCTGTGTCAACACTCTGTCATGATTAACCCAAAAAGGGTTTTCTCAGCGTCTTGGAGCCAATTGGTCCGAGGCTACTGCATATATACATGTACTTGTTCTAGTGATTCATCGAGACCCTGGCTTGGTTTTGTCCATAGTGATCGTGGTGGCCGATTTCTTCTTGGCTTTCTTATCCTTCTTCTTGAGCTTAGGTACGGCGACGACGTTGGCGAAAAGTTTTCTTGTCTGACTTTGTTCAAGCGGCTGCGGAGAACTGGGACTCTGTGGTGCTTGTAGATTCTCCGAGGCATCATGTCTGTGAAAAGCTGCCTTGATCGCCTCCAGGACTTCGTCTTTGTGGAACGACGAATCATAATTGCTTGTGGCAGTGACCAAATATGATCTCATTTGTGCTTCCAATCTCATTCGTGCTTCCCAAGCCTGTCTTCGAGCCACTTTCATGGCTTGCCGAGCCGATTTTGAATGAAGAGAGACATCTGTCAATTCCACTCTCTTGGCCTTGATGAGTCTCTCTTGAATTGGCGTGAGCTGTACGATGATGCCAATCATGAGTAGCAGGAACGCCAGAGTAATCTCCACAATGGCCAGATGTAGACAGATCAGAAGGCCCGATGGAACTTTCCCAACAGAATGTGGATGTATTACCGGGACTGAGGGTGAATCGGATCGACTGACCTCTTCATTCGCTCGATTTTGAGGTACGCTCTGTTGACTTCGGAGCCAATATCTTGAGCTCTTAGGAGTGACCACGTCACCCGACGTTTGACTGACTTGTGGTACGACCAGGGTCTTCTCCCTACTTGTTTGAGTTTTAGATGTATTCTGTTGGCCTTTAAGAGGAGATTTTGGACTCGGGAGGGCGATCGAATTGCTCGAAGTCGTACTGACAAGTGGTACAACTTTGGCCACAAGCGGTTTGCATATATTCAGCCCGGTGGCTGTTTTGAGAGGCTCAGTAGTAGCTACCGCCCATTTTGTGCGGGCTAGACTTCGGTTAGCTGTGGAAAAAGACTTTTGTTCGACCACCAAATTAGGAACTTACTTCTGCTTTTGGATATCGTTCTCCAAGTATGCATCGATATCGCGTTATTCCCAAAAGTGGTTAGCCATAGATCAGTGCAGTCTACCGGCCAAACCTGATAGCGATAGTCTTGAGCTGCTTGAACAGTTGGGTGAACTAGAAAGATCCGACAAAAGGTCGGGGTTCCGAGACGGCCTTTTAGTACGGGCTCCTCAATATCTTGATAGTTGGTAAGGCCATCTGGATGAAAGCGTTCTGGTGGCGGTGGAGTCAGGACAGTGGTGCGTGATCCTTTGGAGATGCGCCATGCGAAGATGAGAGAAGCTCCTTTCATGTAATCAGACCATGCCGATGAGCTCTTGCTCTTTCGTAGACATTGTGGATTGCTCGAAACCATCAACGGTCCCATGACGGTGGTGAGCGTCTGCAGTCCTCGGTGATCCGCCCAATCTTGGGCCTGTTTTCGTCGCACGTCGCTCCATAACACCTGCTTGTCTTCAAGCCACGGACAGCTATCGAACTGTTTCATTATCTGCTCAGCCTCTCCTGCCTTTAGGTATTGCGGGCAAACTGTATGAATGAGGGCTTGGCAAGATATAGTCTGCTGACTATTCGTGCCTTCTGGTTGGTTTGATCTCTCTGATGCCATGGTTTTGAGCAGTAGATGTTGAACAAAGCAGCGAAGTCACTCGCAGTAACGATAGGTAGTCAACAGTAGTCTTCTTCATATTATAACCATCGAGTGAATGCTACGGTGCCTCGGAATCATATGGGGAAAGATTAATGAAAGTTACTATTGTATGAGGGCCACACAAGACGTCAGAAGGATGTCTCATAATCGACGGTTCCCATGACAATGCGTGGATCTGAATGGCTATGACAGAGCAACCTTCAGCTAAAGTTCCTTGAGGCTTGAATTGAGGTTGTTACCCCGCCTTGCGTGCCAACACGATGGCCAATTCACGAGCAAAGATGGTGAGTTTGTGCGAACCTGAGGGGTTTGCACCGGGGCGAGAACTTACTGCTTCAAAATTCAATTCTTCAATCAGCTGATTGGGTTTCCTTTGCTTCAGATACTTTTTGCAACCTGAGAGTGCCCAGAAATCATTCAGCCAGCACGAGATCACACTCTCAAGGATTTCACACCTGCGTCAAATGGTATTACAGTTAAGAGTGATGTACCATTAGCTTATGAACCCCCCGAGAAAACAGCAAAACGTGGATTAAACTGCATAATAAATTGCAAGAGTCAGTATTTGATCATGTTCACACTTCTTTAAAGGTGATTGGTCAAGTCTTGGTAGCCCAGATATGATGAGTTGGCTACAGCCTCACTCACAGTCTCAGCGGGATGGAGACAGCGCGACCAGGATGCTGGCCAATGCTTGATCCTAGCTCAGACCTCAAACCACAACAAATTCAACGTGCTTTCGAGTAGTTGGCAATACAAAGATCTGAGGCAACGCACTTTCCTTATGGAACGACTCAGTCAAGCAGGAAATCCTTTCGGAGCCGTTGTCGTAAATCTACGCTTGGAAAGCTATTTTCAGGGTAAGGTACGAGTAGGAGCCGTTTTTTTTACCTATTTAGTTCGGATGACTAAGTGACCTTTCCCTCTTGCAATCTCTACATATAAGAATACATGCCAAGGTTTTGTCAGGGAATATGAGGCCCACGATGATACTGACTGGATTAGAGGATATAAGGTGTTAATTGGTGCCTGTTTTAATGGCGGCGTTTTCGCGACAATTATTTATCGATTCTGCCTCCGAGACACTAGGAAGGACTGGCTAGTAAGGGAAATGTAGTGGTCAAATGACGGACGTTTGGGAGGTCATCTGACTTAGACGCTTTCACTAATCGATAGATTTGTACTAAGCGAGCAACAAATTCTTGTCAGTCAGCAGCAGCAGCTTCTACCATCAACTAAGACTTATGGTCTTGTAAGACACAGCATCCGAAAAGCCGCTCTGAGCTCCCTGGCAAGGAGATCATGACAAACGATATGGTCGGGGAAAGTCAGGCACCGCTGCGAAAACTAAGCCAAAAGAAGATCACTGATGAGCATCATCTGTCAAAGTGGACCAAAAGATTGGATTTTCTTTTCGCATATCTGGGTGAACATGTAAAGTCGGCATTGGATGGCTCTCTCCCCCCTGGATCGGCCAGACGGTGATTGTAGTCCCGGGAGAGGAATATCGTCTCTTCTGAATAGCAGCTTCTTCTGCGCGGAAAAGAGTGAAAGGTTCGTCAGGAAATGTCGAGGAAAGTCTTGAAGTGCAACGTCTTAAATTCTTTCAGATCTTCGGACTAAGGACAAAGCCTTGAAACCATCCGCATTATCTTAAGATCAGCCTCAAGGAAAACTTCGGCGATTAAAATCGACGCTCGCTGGATCAGATGGTGTGCTCGTTGAGGACTGGGAATGTCTAAAGCGCCCAACGATTGTGGAGAATGCCCTGCCAAGGATTCCACAGCCAAGTAATACTGGACTCAGAGATTCTGCGAGAACTGTACAGCCAACAAGAGCGGCAACGATTTCAGCTTTCACTTGGTATCTCGCATCCTTTCGGACTTTCCGGTGATCTTTCGCCCGAATGACTCGCCACAGCCTAGCCGCCGAGACATTTTAAACAAGAGACGGGGGCGGCAAAGGATTCAAATATTCACTCATGCCTCGGCAAGCTGCCAATGATGCCATCCTTATAGGTCATGTCGCTGTATTTGTTACGCAACTCGATCTAGGATTGAAGTTGGGTGGATTATGGCGACATTTCTAGTTTTTCACAATAGCTCTCCCTAGCTCGCCCAACTGAGGTTGTGCCCGTTCCCAGAAACAATAAGCTTTCGGTCGGCCCGTCCGGTGGCCTTTTACGGTAAATAGACAGACACATCAAATTTCATGGTTCGGGGGATGTCTCTGCTCTTGTTGGATGCGCAAGGACAAGCCCCCCACTCTCGCAATCACGCAATCAACGTCGTGTCATGGAAAGACGCCTGATAAAACACCGATAAGGATGGTGATATCGGCCCGCCTCCATATCTGTCGTGGACATGGGGTCCCGCCGGCCGGGGAAGTGGGCAGCAATTATGATAATTATGATAACGTTCCGCTCATATGGTTCCCTAAACACTTAAAATAAGCAATTTTTGGTATTGTCTGATCCTTAAAAATTGCTGAAAGTGTTCGGGCCTCTCTTAATTGGCAAACTACCAAACTCCACTGAACGGCCAAAATTGAATGAAGGGGAGGTTATCACAAGTTTAGAGAGGAATTGGCCACCCACTTCCCGGGGCAAGGATATGCGTGGGGCTCGAGGGTAATGTCGCAACAAGCTTCCTCAAGCTCGCGATCACCATTGGCCCCGCCTTGGCCTTCTGGGCAGGCCTGCGGTTCCTACGGCAGAGAGTTTGATGGAGCCCTCTATCAAACTGGTCTGGAGGTGTATCTCAGAATGCAACGTTCCCGGGACCAGTAGATAACATATTAGTAGGGGGCACTACGTAGGCCAAAACCCAGATTATCGTCCTTCTTCAGCTTCTCCTTCTTCAGTATCTTGACCTGCACTATCAAGTCATAGAGAGCCAAGTTGACCACCATGGGTGAGTACTTTTAACATAAATTTGACATGCGCTTAGTTTGCTCACATGCCTCTAGCTGAGAATGTTGTCGGTCTCAACGTGCACAAGGTCGTCGAGCCCGACTCCGACCAGGGCGTCCATCCCGAGAAGGCTCACCAAGTCAGTGCTCTTGACGTAGAGTCTCAAAACAACTCTCTCGATCACACACGCTCTGTCATCGATGATGAAGCATATCCGGCTCCGACCGACGAGGAACGCTCGACGTTGCGCAAAGTTGCAGACTCCATCCCCATGATATCGTGGTCCCTTTGCGTCATCGAAATGGCCGAGAGAGCATCATACTACGGTGTCAAGGCCGCATTCAACAACTACCTCCAGTTCCCTCTGCCTGAAGGAGGTCCTGGCACCGGTGCTATCAACAGGGCCAAGCCCAACTCTCATGCTGGCGCTCTTAATCTTGGACTACAGACAGCTTCTGCCCTGGGTCTTCTATTCACCTTCCTGGCTTACGTTATTCCAATCTTTGGTGCGTGGATTGCAGACGTCAAAATTGGCCGCTATAAAGCCATTGCATGGGGTGTGGGTATTGGAGCTGTTGCCCATGTCATCATGGTTGGAGGCGCTGCTCCCTCAATCTTGAAAGCCGGCCACGGAGTTGCGCCGTTTCTTATCAGCTACTTTCTCCTTGCCATCGGAGCCGGTATCTTCAAGCCCAACGTTGCGCCCACTGTCATCGACCAGTACAAGCACCAGCGCGAGTACACCAAGGTTCTCAAGTCAGGAGAGAAGGTTATTGTTGACCCCGAGACCACCGTCAGCCACATCATGTTGATCTTCTACGCGTTTATCAACGTTGGCGCCTTCTTCTCCATTGCTGTCGTCTACATTGAGAAGTACCATAGCTTTTGGTTGGCTTACCTCGTGCCCGGTATCGTCTACTTCCTGCTTCCGCTTTTGCTTCTCGCCACATACAAGCGAACAGTCAGAATCCCGCCCCAAGGTTCCGACCTGAACCGCTTTGTCAAGATTACTGTTTCAGCAATTAAAGTGAGCAAAGGCAACATCTTCTCCAAGAACTTGTGGCAAAACATTCGCCCCACTGCCCTTGCCGAGCGGGGAGTTCATGTCGGATACTCTGAGAAAGACGTTGACGATGCGCGCCGTACGTGGCAAGCTGTGCAGATTTTCCTGTACATTCCCATCTGGAACTTGAACGATGGTGGTGTTGGAAATGTTCAGAGCAACCAAGGTGCGGCGATGACATCTGATGGCGCACCAAACGACTTGCTCGGTCACTTCAACCCATTGGTCATCATCGTCTTCTCCCCGTTCATGGCGAACATTGTATACCCATTCCTTGAGCGCCGAAACATCAAGTTTGGCCGTATCAGCAGAATGACAGTGGGATTCGTTTTGGCCATCATCTCATCCCTTATCGGCGCCTTGGTACAATGGCGCGTCTATGCGACGAGCCCATGGTAAGTGTTTCTGATAACTTGCTTCAAACCTACTGAATGCTAACCTTTTATTGAAGTGGTTACGCTGCTAGCGACTGCGATGACGTCTCGCCTATATCTATTTGGTGGCAAATCCCCAATGTCGCGCTTGGCGCCATGTCTGAAATCTTCATCAACGTTACGGCCTACGAGCTGGCCTATGCTCGCGCCCCAGAGCACATGAGATCGACTGTTGTCGCTCTCTTCCTGTTCATGACAGCGTTGAGCAGTGCACTGGGACAGATTCTTGTTCCGGCCATCGAGGACCCAACCCTCATTTGGGCCTGGGCTGCCCCGGGTATCGCTCTCTTCGTTCAGACCATCATCTTTTGGTTCAGGCACCGAAACATGAACGACGATGTCTTCATGACTCACAAGGAGGACTTTGAGAGCGTTAACTCTGGCGAGAATAAACTCGTCGAGAAGGATGAGAAATGATGCAGAACGGGAGTGGTCTGCAGATTCTGTGCAGTCCTGGATGCTTGCTTGATTGGTCTCACAATCCATGTCAACCAGTCGTCCGGAACTATTGCACCTGTTGCTATTAACTCAGTTTCATTCAAGACAAATTGATAAATCGTAGCTGTGGAAGGCCATCGGGTAGCATACATGGCATGCCATGTGATCGAGTTGTTGCAAACATTTTATCGGCGCCGGTGCCATGCCCTTGATTAATTCCAACGAAGCAGCAATGTGGATTGACATGTGTTTCAACGATGATAGTAGACGGCTTGATTTTCTTTTAGCTATCTGCAGTCACTGATTGGTGCATTCCTCTGAGCATCGTTAAGTGACTTCCAGGGAGAGGAAAACCTGTTAAGTCTGTTTCTTCCGCGCTCAATCGCCAAGCCGTTGATAGAACATTGATCCGCTTAGCATAAAGTGCGAGACATTCCGTTACGGTACCATGGGACCCATCTTCGAGCCGGCTTCATTGTCAGGCCACAGCCCAAGGAAACCTACATGCAGGCTCATACACAGCAAGCATGTGAGCGAGGATTCCTCGTCGAGATCACTTTTATCACAAGACGCACCACAACGGACAGTGCTAATGCAGGCGGTGAGAGGAAGAAGTTCACGACTCGTGGTTTACTTCGGCCGAGTTGTAGGATTTGGTCCCTGTTAGTATCGTATCACAGGGTATCGAACCGTACGGATGATTGGATCAAGTGGTAAGCGCATTTCATCTGCGTGTGGAAGTAGGAGATTAGCCTGCAGGCCAGATATCGTCTCGTCCTCAGGCTTACTCCGGCTTCTAAGGCCCGCGGCAGTGGATCCGCTGGCTCCACTGACTCAGCGGTCGACTTGGACTTCCATTCCGACAGTCCGATTCCAGGCCGGATCCGGGCCGGATCCTACAACTCGAGCTCGCAACTCGTTCTCGCAACCCGCGTCGCGATAGTTTCGACATAAGCCTGGATCGTGGTCTTATGAGAATGATGTGGTGTCAATATACGGATAAGCGAAATACCCTTAGGTTCCGGTATTCCTAGGCTATCTTCCTTCCACCATCGTAATTGGCGGCAGCGTAGAATGCCTCCCTGGTCTGATCTTTAATTTTTTGAACCACTAGATGAAGAAAAGAGCAGCAAGGGGAAGGAGGGCTTTTAATATATGGGTTTCAAAGTTGTGGAATTTGTTGTCTTTGAGGTATTTGTTTTTGGGTGGCGGGATTCCCGACTCAGTTGAGAGGGTATCCCATGTTAAGCGACTCATATAAATTTATTGTCGAGGGTTGCGACACGACTCAGCAACTTTTTGGACGCTCGGTGCCAGCTTTGTAAGCCCTCGGTACCCGTCAATACCGATCAATAGTAAAGGACTAAGAGCTGGTTTGAAGGGAGAGAAATTGTGTCACTCAATGTTGAATGATCATGAACGTGCCTTCTCATAGTCTTGCGCATAACCCTAAACAAAAACAATATAAAAACCCTTGGGACTTGAGCAATTTTGCTTATTAAAAGATGTTATCATTGGTTTACGTATCACAGGGGTGATTGTTCGAGTCGTACCGTGGTGACGAAGGGTCAATTAATCGTATGTTGATCTCTGCATGAGGTGGAAAACAGAGGTTCTAACAGGAGGTTAGACTGTTGAACGCTGGTATAGAGGCCCTCGGATGGCCCCTGCGCCAGCGCTGACTTAAGGTCGAATTAGGCTTCCAATCCGACAGTTATAGCTTAAGATATTGATAGTACTCTTCAAGGGCTGACTCGGGGAGAGAAAGTGGTCACTTGACTTGAGCCCTTCCTCACTATTGGCTGGGTGACAAAGAATTGCCTTGACCGTCTTAACATTTGGGCAAAACCTTTTGAAAGGCTCCTCTATAGGGTTCCCGGACTTGAGACCCACACCCATTTCTGTCAATACTGCATCTCATTGATTATTCATGCAGCTCAAGAGACCAACGCCAATTTGCCATTTTCAGTGCAAGTGCCCCTACTACTTTTGATGCAACCAGATGAGCCTCTGGCGGCCTTGCTTATAAGATTGAGGAGCTCTGCTTTCAGCTAGTATCGAGGAAAATATTATGATAAATTAAGGTCTTGGCACGGAGCCGTTTTCTTGAGAGACTCGGCATGTCCAATGGGAATACACTTCTTTCTCTCTTAAGCCAAGATCCCTCAGCGGTCGTTTAGTACGGCACACGCGGGGATAGCCTAGACACGCTAGGCACCTGAGCATCCCTTTTGAGTCGGATGTCGATATCCTCCAACTGGGGCCCCTTGACAAGTACCATCATTCTGGCATCAATTTTCCTGTTGATTTTTTCTCAATGACCTTGTTGAATGCAATTATAGTTGAGTGGGTGACAATTGAAAGGAACGTTAAATCAGGCCTTAGCCGAAAGGACAAGAGGTATTTGTAAAAGACATGGGCATGTTCAGCTTAAATAGACAATCTCGCCCCTGAATGGTCAAAATTTCATCAGGCAGCATTCTCAAAATCTTCTTGCAGGAGACAACTGGATATTAAGATTCGATGGCTGCGGCTGCCTTTCTTAAGACCTTGGTCCTTGCTTTCTTGCTGATCCAAGGCGCTCAAAGGTAAGCACATCCACATCCTTCTTTGTCCAGAGGATGACCCAGACTGACATGACCTACGACTAGCAAGGACCATAGCAGTCATAACTGCTGCCTTTTGACCGTGGAGGGATGGGTTCCTAGGAACGATTGGACAGAAGCGGTGTGCACTGAGCGCTATGGGTCCGTGGTGAGTATATATCTGTCTGGCTAGATCTCAAAGACCTGCTAGTACTAATCAAATCAACAGGCGAATTTTGATGGTGTTAAGTGCATCCGAAAGCCCGGTAACGAAATCAGTGGTGACGACTTTTTCGCCGCGTGTAAGCTGAAGGGAAGATTAGACGGGTACGCACAGTGGGAGAGGGGATCCGGGTACCGTGGCACTTGCTCTTGATTTGAAGTCAGTACAGTTGCATGTATCTGAGCTCTGTCTCTTGATACGGATCTGAAAAGTCTTGTTTTGATAACTTTTTATTCCCCATTACGGCTCCAGGCGCCTTGACGCCTGTGCCTTGACGGCCAATTCTGACACTTGTACACCTAAATATGGACTTGCGCCAGGGTCCGTTCCTTGCACTTTGTTACCTGTTGAGAGATAGGATGAGTAATAACGCTTTATGTACGTTTGTGTACCCGCGATCTTCAAAGTCAATACTCACTAGTGGTATTTGAGATTTGGGCCCGGTTTGGTATTTGGGCATGTTTACTAATGACCGCAGGCTTTCTTCTCAGTCCATAGATCTGCTATATAAGACTCAAAAAATTTCGATCCTGATATACACGGTACCATTTTGAACGACTGTACACTACTATGATTGCAGGCCGAAGTAAGGCCTTCTGTTCAGTATCTACGGGGGCATCATAATGGTGGTCTACTGATTATCTAAGCTATGGTACTTCGACCTTTGATGTTCTGCTTTAGCCATTCGAGTTGCAGTATTTCACGACCAGTGGGCCATAACCGCAAATATACGGCCAGGGACTTGAACCTACCCCATCACACCATACGCAGTAGTTCGAGAAATGGTTCAGAATCCCTTCTCGTTGATTATCTGCAAGGGTCTGCTTGCAGGTTGGCTCCTGCTGTGTGAATGGGCAGGGAACATTTAAGGCATAATTCAAAGCGAGTTTAGCTGTGCCACAGTGCTATAGCGTTCCCCGTGCTACGAAAACAGAACTTTGATCCTGGGAATGCTCAAATAAAGAGACCTGATCCTTCCAATATGCTGGTGTTTCCTGGTAGTAATTGTCCAAGGAGATAGGAGAAGTTGGCGCCAACCCGGACGACCGTTCGTGAGTACCCGTTCCAGAGACATACCGAAGCTGTTCAGCTTCCAGGCGAGGATGTCCTGTCATGATTCCATTAATACATGTACCTTGGGCAAGGTGGATAGCTGGAAGACAGAGTCCCTGAGCAGGGTAAGCGGGCCTTAGACGGATGTTTGGCCTAAAATGGAGTATATTCGCCTCAGGATTTTGAAGTCTATGCTTACCTAATTTAGGGTGTCAACGCTTAAAAGACCAACAGCACTTGTTAAGTGCTGATCCAGGAGAGAGGAAATGGTCACGTGACTCGAGACTTCACTCACTTATAGTGATACTGTTGGCTCGGTGACGCTACCTCCACCGTGTTGACATTATGGGCAAGATCTTTTGAAAGGCTCCTGTGTACACTACGAAACATGCGGAAACTTTCCGGCCCGAGATTCGGGCTAGACCGATGACATGGCCTTATCTAGGACTTGTCCGCCCTTTTTGGGGACTCATCGGAGCGCCCGAGCGACTTCAGGAAAGATAAGTTTGAAGGCAGCTAACGCGAAAGAAGCAAATCTTTGAAGAGATTGATTTCTGCCGGCTTTGTAAACTTACGGGGTTGGTTGGTGGGTGCAAAGCCAGCTATTAGGTGAATGGGAGCGTAAAAAGCAGTCTAGGATTTGGTCACGAATGGAGGAGTATGCCGAGGATCCAGCACACTGACCTAGCCTGGAAGAGCCGCTGATTCAGCGGCAAACCGACCCGGCTTTAACGGAGTCGGCATCACGACATCTGAGACTTCGTGATCAGCAACCTGACTCCTGTGCTTGAAGGCCGCTAAGCATCTCCCTGCCATTGAAACTGGCATGGCTAGATGGAGAACGGCAGCTTTGACGCGGCTTGTCGGGGTTGGGTGGGGGTTCCTAGTGCGGATCTCTCCTTGTCCTATCGCACTTGAGAGTACTAGCAGACCGCATCCTCCTGACGATTTGATGCTTGGATACGGATATGCCCAACGACATCCTGTGTCTCACATCCCACGCTCATATCAATGTGAGCGGTTCCTTGAACGAACCATACGCAATGGAGGATGGACAAGAAGATTCGTCCAAGAGAAGACGAACGCTGGCCATCAAGCTTAGGCAGTTGTTTCAAGCGGCTTCGATGATTGAGGTGTTCAGCACATCATTGCCCGCACTACGAGTCATTTCGCTGCCCATCTTATTGTCTGAAGACTTTTGCAGGCGGAAAAATTAGCCGGGCGTTGGTGTTGAGACGATGAAGATTCCTCGAGATGGGGCTAACAAGTTGCTGACTCGTGAGTACGGAACAGTTCAGATTGATGCTGCTCGTTCGTAATAAGGCTGAGATATGTTTCATGTACAGCCTTCATCCAGTCGGCTTTGAAAAATGACCGATGCGTTTGGGTCAAACAGAGTCTGCACATCCCTGCAGCCCCAGATCCGTCACGACTCTGGCATAATCTATACTTGATGCTTGCCGTCAGGGCCCACGCATTGATACGGACAGACGCCTGATTACTAGGTAACTCCCGCCGAAGCAGCAATTGGGGAAGATGGATTTCCATTCCTTGCCATTGTGCCGTACTAGCATCCACTTGTGGTCAGCTTCGGTTTCGGATGGCTGGACAGCGCCCACAGTTGCTACTCGTATGAACACCAGACCGTTTTCTTTGTCATTCCTAAGGCCCTCAAGAGAACCGCAAGATAAGGTATTAGAACCATTAGCAAGACGAAACATCAGCTTCTTGGACACACCGGAATTTTAGTCACCGACGGAGCTATAACAGCACGCTCTTTTACCAAATGGGAAGCGCGATGCAACCTCGATGGCTCGGCCAGGCCCCTTTCTTACTTTTTCACGACCATCCTACTTTTCGTATTTGTTGACTCTATACAGGGTACGAAGCTCAACATGCCATTCATCAACCAGAAGGGGATGCGAGCTCGCCAATAGCCGCCCTAAGAGAAACCATCTTGCAAATGCGAGGAATCTGATGCGGCAATGGTTGAGCGCGAACCCTAAAAAGCTTATTCAGCTGGTCACTGGCACAGGGAATACGATTGTGCTCCCTACATTCATGGCGAACGACAAACACAACCATAGTGACTTGAGTTTCACCGTATTCTCTCAGGAGGTAAGATAGTCGTCCCTGAGCCGGCTCCATGTGAAATGGAATAGAACGGTTCTGATCAAGCTTTTACTTACTTCTTCTCTTGTATCCCATGGCACCGAACTCCACCGAAACGAGGCTTAGTTTGAAATCAACAAGAATTATATTCTCAAGGATTTTACTGCCGGCGATTGACCCCACGAAAACCCTCTCTTTATTCGCCCACCCCCCTAATTCACTTGTTCTTTTACAGATGACAGGAAACATGCAGGCAGATCAAGGAGGCCGCCAACATCATTCAGCCTATTATTGACAAGCGAAACACCCTCAAGCCCAAAGATATTCCCGAGGTAGAGCCTGTGTACGAAGATGCAATTGAATGGTTTCACAGGCCTCCAAATCGAGGGATGATGTGTAGAATCCAGTTATCAATCAGCTGTTCCTGTCGACTGTCGTCATCCATACTACTCTCGACCTTCTAGGCCAGGTCTTAGTTGATTTAGGAAAATACCCAGAGATGATTGAGAATCTTCGCAGGGAGGTTCAATTGGTGCTTTAGGGGAGCGGCTGGAAGAGGACATTTCTCTATAGTGTGTACCCAGGTTGCTCGATAGCGTCGTCAAGGAAACTTTGCTTGTCAAGCCTTTGCATCTTGGTAAGTTACATTTTCTCTAGACTGGCCATGCCGGCGGTGCATAATCTGATTTGTCCCGTGTTCCTAGCTAGCATGCAATGTGTCGCAGTAACCTTTATCACAAAAGGCACGAGCACACCCGTGTCTTCTCACGCTCTATGGGATGCGGCGGTCTACCCAGTGCCGGGCAAAGAGAATTCGTAACTGCTACACATAATGAATAGTGCCCCTGAACACCTCGGCTTCAGCCACAGCGAGCACGCTTGCCCCAGTCGCTTCTGTGCCGCCAACGATTTCAAGATCGCTGTTGTGCATATTATGCTCCATTATAAGTGCAGGCTTCCCGCTGGTGCTGATACCTCGATCACTGAATACGGCTTCACACCGTGTCTGAACCGCAGCTTGTAATTGGAGATTCGGAGGCGAGCCGACGAAGTTGATCTGAACTTCGGAAGCAAACATTTTCGGAACCAAAATGGAGGCATAGTCACATTTAGGATTGGGGTGGGCATCCTGAGGGCTACAAGCAAGACGTGGATCACCCAATGATGATAGTTCACACAAAAAATTAGTGTTGGTTTTCAATAATCCAGGGTTTCTTACTCAGGATGTGAGGCCTCGTCGTAGTTGCATGTCCCCTCGTCTCGGGGCCCTCCAGATTTGCAAACGCCTAGAGATCAGCCGAGCTAGTGAGTAATTGCATGGACTGGACCTCAAAGGTTCTCGAAATTTGGAAGCCATGCCGCCCACTTAATTGGCCATGTGTTGAACAAAGACGTCATATTAGACACCGAGCAACATTTGTATGTCCCCAGATGCGGGGTCACGGCGAACTAATGAGGAGTTCAAGTCGGCTATATATCTCCGCACCTATATGTAGACTGCATCGGACGCAACCTATATATTTGTTTTGCGATGTTGAATAAGCATTCAAGCCCTCCTAAAAAACGCCGTAATTAATTCTTATTGAAGCATTGAGGTCATGGCTTACGATTTGCCTTTCAAGGTATTTGATCATCCTTCCTCTCCTGTGTCTTGGCCACTGATGATGTCAGCTCGCCAATTCCGATCTTTTCAAGACGGACGCCTATGTCCACGGCTCTTGGGTGACGGCATCCTCAACGAAGCGATTCGAAATCGAGGATCCAGGAACAGGCAAAGCCTTTGCCTCCAGTCCAGATTTCGACCGTTCCGATGTCGATGCAGTGGTAAAATCATCACACGAAGCCTTTCAGACCTTCCGCTACGAGAACCCGAGGTCTCGGGCCAAGAAGCTCCTGGAATGGGATCGCCTCATTCGCGAGAACCGGGATGACATCGCTCAGGTTCTCACCCATGAGTCTGGGAAACCCGTCGCCGAAGCGCAAGGCGAGCTTGACTATGCCTTGGGCTTCACGTGGTGGTTCGCTGGAGAAGCTGAGCGCATCCGAGGAAACATCTCGACGCCATCCGCGCCTAATCGAAGAGTCGTGGTTGTGAAGCAGCCCATTGGCGTGGCCGTGGCGCTTGTCCCATGGAATTTCCCTATTGCGTGAGTACCGAATCTCAGATTCTTGACCGGGTTTTTGTATTCCTTGGATGCTGAAATGGTTGCAGAATGATTCTACGCAAGGCCGGCGCTGCATTGGCAGCCGGATGCACAATGATTGCGAAGCCCTCACCCGAGACACCCTTGACATGCCTCATCCTCGCACACTTAGCCACAAAGGCTGGATTCGGGCCAGGTGTCTTCAACGTAATCACAACGTCCCTCGACAACACCCCAGAGGTCGCAGAAGCTCTGTGCAAACATCCATTGACGAAGAAGGTCTCGTTCACCGGTTCTACGAATATTGGCAGTCTCATCGCCAAGCATTGCGCCGAGGGTCTAAAGAAGCTGACGTTGGAACTTGGTGGAAACTGTCCCTTCATCATCTTCGACGACTGCAATCAGGATCAAGCCCTCGAGCAGCTGCTCGCCCTAAAGTGGCGTCACGCAGGTCAAGCGTGCATCACAGCCAACCGCGTATACGTCCAGGACGGCATTTACGAAGAGTTCCTCCACAAGCTAGTGGAGCGGACCAAGAAGATTAAGATGGGACACGGGACTAAGTCGGATACTACCATGGGTCCCCTGACTACACCCCGCGCCATTCCGAAAGCCCAGGCTCACGTCAAAGATGCGGTAGAGGCAGGCGCAAAGGTGGTACACGGAGGCCGAAAAGGAACAGAAGTCGGCCTGGAGACTGGCTACTTCCACGAACCGACCATCCTACGCGATATGAAGCAGTCCATGCTCCTCAGTCGTGAGGAGACATTCGCCCCGGTCTTGGGAGTGTACAGATTTAGGACCGAGGACGAGGCCGTTCAATGGGCCAACGACACGAGTATGGGTCTGGCCAGCTACTTCTTCACTAAAAATATTGATCGGACATGGAGACTGATGGAGAACTTGGATGCTGGCATGATCGGGATGAATACTGGTAATTCATCAGCAGCAGAGTCTCCATTTGGTGGTATGAAGCAATCTGGCTACGGGAAGGAGTCTGGCAAGGACGTGGCTATCGAGGAGTACCTTGTCTCCAAGACTGTGACCATGACTTTGGAGGATCACTACTGAGAAAACAATTGTTGTAGATGCTGCACGCTTCTCGCAATTCCCTAAAGCAATACCTATACTCTCTGTGCTGTTTACCAGATACATTCGGTGGGCAATAGATACAGTGAAAGTCTCCAAAGCCGGGAATCAAGGAAACCCGAAGGCGAGTGGCGCCTGGCCAGACAAAGCCATCGTCATACTACTCCTCCGCATTGTGAATCGGCGCCTGGTACTACCTCAAAACCCGTCGGAGCGACGAAATTGCCACACCTCCCGTTATCACAAACGCCTTGCTGAATTGCATTCCCGCATGCGTGTCCGTTGGCGGCGATTTGCTGGGCGGAGGGCTTGTTTCGTTTCGCAAAGTCGCTAAACTCCCGGGGGATGAGCGTAATGGCGAGAGCCTCGCCTCGCATGCCTCGAGGTCTCGGTGCTGCGTACATGCTTTAGCTTAAGTCGGAGGTGTTGAATCTATAAATCTGGCTCTCACCGGCAAAGGCTACTTCTGACACCAACAACAACGCGAAGGCGAAGCCGCTCAAATGCATAATGCACCTGGCAGGAAGAAATTTGGGCAGGCGGGCGTCGAGAAGGCTTAGCAGGGAGTCGATTATACTTTATACAGCCGTCCTTCTTCGCTGTTCTCCCCCAGAAAATTCGACCTCGTTTCTTTGCGAATGTTAAAATACAAGGCCGACGTTGCAAAGCATCAACCTCTCTGGGGTTGTCAAAGGTACTATGTAGCATTTTGGCCGATGGTGAACATTAGACGTCGCCACGATATATGATACTTGTTTTATGTCGGAGCCCGTGAGACAATGACAATTAGCGGGTCTCCGGATCTGCGTATGAGTTGCGAGCCGTTGATCATGCAAAAAGGTGTGAAGCCTGGTCCCAGTCCATCATCCGACAAATCTCATACACTGCTGGTTGGGGTACCCTGGGCCGCATGATTGGGCGATTTTGGCCCGTTCTACCACCACATGCAATTTTAACTATTTATAAGAACACGAAAATCGATAGCGCAAAGGGAAAGAAGGTCGATATGAGTATGAATCTGTGGGAAATATTCGCATTATTTGTCAGCCCTTTAAGAGGTAGTCGGCTGCCCTTCGCGCATTCTGGAAACACCCATGGCAGCTAGATATTAGTTAATGATTGTAATGACAACGCATGCAGACAGATGTGTGTAATCTCTGGTTCTGAGCAACATTCACAAGAATTATAATTCATCTAGGTGGCCAAGGACTGTTGTCCAGTCAAGAGTTAAAGGGCAAACAACCTAGCCGAAAAGCGAGAAATAAATTATACAGCAGAACCTTGCCCGCAACGATCATCTCAGGCCCAAATACTACTGCAGCATTTATCATTATCTTGTCCCAGAGATGGGCCAGAAGCGAAACTTCCCATGATATCTTTGGCTACTCAGAATGGCACGACAGTCTGAATGGCCGTGCCTAACTTCGAATCGTCCTAGAGACATTTGGTGAACTCGGAGCAGCAATGGAAGATAATGACGAGTAGCGGAATAAAGCAGAAAGCGTAGTCTCCTATGTGTCATGCAGTGTTACGTAGCATAAACCTGACAAATGTTGCCGGAAACCACCGCCTTCACCCACACACGCTGTCTTTCAAGAATGACGGTTCCATCTTTACCGGCAATACAACAGTAGCAGAAGTAGCGGCGGCCTTGGACAGATGTCAGCTCCTGATGGCCGAGTAGTTCTTGGTGTATGCTGACAGCATTGGCTGATAACCACTAAAAAACGTGCTGCTGTAGCCGGAGACGCATGGTGCTGTGCTAGACCGTTTGCTGAGTGTCTGGCGCTGGTGCTTTTGGATCAACCTTCCTCTCAGCGCAATTACAGCTATAGTCGTATTTCTTTTCGTCAAGCCTGACGTCGTCGACTGCCGTGTTTGTGTCTTCGATCCAGGCAGGATTGCTTGTATGTGGAGCTTGTCTTGACCTTTGATATGTTGAATGAGTCTGACTTTCCCACAGACATCCAGATCTGGATGTTGGGTACCACATATGAGATTCAGTACCGTCGTCACCTCGATGTCTCCGTGGCTCATCTTCAGATACTAAGTCGAGACAACGACCGCGTACTGTTATGTCAATGAATTTCCCATTTCCTAACTTTTTCAACAGTTTTACTAAAGTTACCTTAAGCAGGGCAGATACTCTCTTAACGTTCGGCTTCGGTGCCGATATGGGTATGCAAATGCCCCTAGCAGCCATATAAACATACGTCTGGGATCAAGTAGTTGGTATCGTAAAGTCACGGCGATACAGCAGCAACGGCGGTGCTTGGGGCGTATGAAGAGGCGTTGCGGTCGTGCTTTTTGTTATGCATCGTTCTCTTTTGTTCAACCTTTATTGATCCTCTGAGGACGGGACCGAAAAGTGCCAAACAAGACACGATGAAGGGTATGCAAACCGCATCCGATGGCGAAATGCAAAGCATTAATATCTGAAGGCGGGCCTCACTAGTCATTCGGGGCATGAGCTCTGTCGAATGAATGGTGCCAGGGTATCATCGGTTAGGACTGAAGAAGTTCTCATAAAGTCGCCTCTTGTTCTGACATAAAGCCGTTGTCGGGTACTCTCAGCTACATAGAATTGGCTGTTCTCTTCTCAACGACTGAGTGAGAAGCTGTATTTATTATACGTCTATTTCGCAGCCGCTTCATGCTGTTTTATCTGATTACAGCATGAAGCTTGCTAGTCAGAAATCAAATTCCGTTCTGAGATATTAGGAGGCCTGATGTATAGGAAGTTTGCCATTGATCACACATTGTGTAAGGAGCTATTTAGAAATGGTCAGGGTTGAAGATAGCATCACCTCACACCTTACATCCAAGAATCCTTTTAGTTATCAGAGTCCGCTTGTTGTACTTAATCTAATTCCGGCTCATGCTCCACTATTTTATAGTCCATTGGTGATTAATCCAGGCGCGTGGGATTTTGAGATTCTGTTCCCAGTAACTTCTCCTTAAGTCTTGTACTCCAAGCGAAATATTTTGCGACCGGATTCTACCTCAGGGGATTATCTCCAGATACCGGCTCGCTGTGTATATACGGGGCAGTAGGACCGCATTGCGGTTGTTTCCATAGAGCCTGAGATAGCCTAGAACGTTACTGCTCAGGCTACGCTATGCTGCGTGAAGTCGTCGACTCACAGAAATGACATACCCCTAGACGAAATAAGGCATCAGTGGCAGTTCTGATGCCATATTACACCTAGGGGAATATAATTTCTGGGAGTTTCGGATGCTTGACATGTTCGTCAACACAACGCCTCGTTCTGAATCACACAAGAATTTAGCTTGGAAATTTGCTCAATACTTTGATGACTAACAGCTACTCACCTTTTCAAACATGTTTCCCGGATGTCCGATAAACAGTGCGTTACTGCGGGGGAGCAAACTTGCAATGCTTCCGGGCGTGTCGAAGGCAGTTATCCCTTCGGGGAAATCGCTTTCCGCAGCCGCTGTTCGGGCACGCATGACACTCTTCTTGAGCCGCTTTTGTGTGCTTAAGGCAGTGTTTTCGCATATCTTTGGGTAGGTCGCAGGAATAGCTGCAACTCCAATGTTGACACATATATTTTTTTCGTGAATGACACGATGATCTGACGGATTCATGACTGTGCTGTTCGAATGGCGAAGATGTTGCTGGAGTGATATAATTTGATTCAATTGCTAACCAGTCATGGCAGGTTTTCTCATCCCCGATAGTGCTCACGAATGGGCGGTCAGGATGGTTCGAAAATGGTTCGATTTTGTTTTCATTAGGCTCAAGTTGTTCGAGCGAGATTGTATTTAGGCAGTCGTCCAAGTAGCCCGATAGTGACACGAAGTCAAATTCATGAGTTTGGATCCCATTGGAAAGTCTGGATAGGACTTGATCCCAGGCAACACACTGCCTAAGTTGGCTGGGATGGTGTGCGGGTTGCTCAGTTGTGAGGTCGATAGGCGGCGGCGAGTCGCAGTCGAAATCGATCAGTGTTTCGGGGGAAAGGATTCCACACCAGAATCTCCGAGGGTCGATTGGTTCTCGTCAAAGGGCCGCCGTCTTTCTGACGGACGGCGGCCTGTAGAGGCGCTAAAGAAAACAATAGGGTGATGCCTTGCAAAGGCAATATGAAACAAGTGTCTAATCCAACCAGCAAGCTCCAGCTGAATGAACTGAATTTGCTTGGGATTTGAGAGAATCGAAGGGAATCTGAACCGATGCCTGAGGGGGAAAAGTCAGCGGTTAAGTACTCAATCGGGCCGCACTATGCATTTCTGCAAGTAAACAAGAGAGTCCTGTGGCTTGCAGGTGTCCGGACCTGCGACCACCAATCAGACAGTTTGCGGGCTAAAGGTCACACCGAAGACAGGACTCAAAAGTCAGCTTCAGCTGAAAAAAGACTGGACGTTGATCACTCAGCCCCCACGTCGTTATCGGTGGTCGTAGAAAACTACCAGTGCAGCGTCCACACAGACTAAGCCTTCGAAAAGCGTCGGTGTCGATCTTGATCTTGAGACAATTCTTCTATTCCGGTGCGAAGTCTATCATTTTCTGTGTCTCTTGGAGGAAAGATTCTGGGACCTCATCGAACGAAGAAACGCTGAATCCTTTGTTAGTGCATGTAGTTGCCGAGTCTCATACTCTTGTAGGCTATCATTGTTGCAGATTTGCTCAAGACCTTGGTTGACAATGAAAAGCGTAAGGTATGCAGAGTCAGAAGCGCAGCTCCGAGGAGTGAGTCCTCAAAGGTCAGACAGAGTCCCACTGTGTTGTGAAACGTTCTATCCGGCAGGGAACAGAGTCCCCGTGAGTCCTTTTGAGTCCAGAGGACTCTTCAAGAGTCAACAGAATTTCCATTCTTGAACGACTTCGGAATATAAATATTAAGCCAACTTCCGTTGGCTCAAATCAGTAACAAACCGTTGCTTATCCACAGCCAAACTCCCAGCCACGAGAATACAACCTAGAAGCGCGCGCTCTATCTATATTGCTCATCCAAAATGAACACCAACCCAGAAAAAAAGTAAGTTCTCTTGTAAAACAAAACCGATCTTTTCTTCCTAGATAGTGACAATAATCTGCATCCAGTCAGCCTCAGCAAGGCAAAAGACAAGGCCCTGACCTAACGCTACATCCGACCCGTGAGCTTCACTCCTTCAGGGAAATCTGCCGTATATTCCCCTATTCCGAATCCCTCAATGAGACAATGGATCGATATTTCAAGTCTCTTGACCCATGTTCGATCCCCCTGCCCCCGGACGAGAAGGAAGAGACGGAGACGGGAAGCGAAACGGATACTCAAACAAGCTGCGCTGCACTTGTGAATGGGGAACAATCTTGAATCAAGTAAGAAGAGAAGATGTTCACGCGACCATCATGACCGTCTCATTTGCTCAAGAATGTTAGTGACGACTTCTTGATTAGCTAGTTCAGGCCCAGACAATTCTAAATATCATGCTGTATCATGATATTATTTAGCCTTGCTTCCCCTTTCCCACAAGATGCTTCTGCTGTCTTTCGTGTTTATCCAAGTGTACTAAAACAGAGTTAGCAAAGCATGGCTGATGCACGCTAGGAATTCTCGTAACATACCTCAAAACAGCACGGCTTGCCGTCTCCAACCGTGACAGCGAGAAGATTTGCTTCGCTCCAAACAGGCCTGAAGCCACACCTCTCGATCTTTTCCCACCACCCCGCAAACTGGCTTATCTGGGGCCCCTTCTCGGGCACATGAATCTCAATCACCAGTTGCCCAACCGGGACCTCCTTGCCCTCAAGCTGGCCACCTTGTGCATAGTCTCCCAGGAAAGACTCCAACGTCGGGAACTCATCCCCTTCAATGTCCATCTTTATGAGATCCACGTAATCGTGTCCCATCTTCTTCATGATACTCTTGATTGACAGAAAATCCGTCTTCTCTTCTTCATCGTAGTAGTCGTACTCTGCAACAGCCGTCTTGAAAAAATGCGTCCGATTGGGATATGCTTCGAGTCCCGCGCCCCAGCCATCGACCGTATCGTCAAAGCCATAAATCTCAGCTGTGGTGGAGCGGCTTAGCATCTCCGCCTCGAAAGAAGAGTCATCCCCGATCCCAAAGCTGTAGATGCGAATTGGTCTCTCAGAGGCTCTGGAGTAGATTTTGAACTTTTCGTATTTACTCATCCCGCAAATCCACTTTCCCCCATCACCGAGTTTGCCGACTCGTTGGACATCCCACGGGCATGTGTACGTCGCCGGAAATAGGTCCCAGATAGTATACCAGAAACGGAGGCTTTCGTCTCTCGGAGTAAACCTGGTCGCAGTAGTATGAGAATTGACCGTAATTCTATGAAGAGGACAAGTCCTGTTCATTTACTCATTGCACTCACTTACAGTGTTGCGTCATAGTCTTTGTTCTCACTCATCCACTCGTGTCTCTTTTGGACTGAATCCGACCACGACTTCTCCGATAATGCTGCCCGAGCAAGCTCGCCCACATGAATATTTCTCTGTGATACTACCCAGGATGACCATGTTTCATTTAGGATTGGTGTAAGGAAGTAAAGAAAAGCGACCGGGAAGCAGACGGGAAGGATGCTCAACATTGACCATCTGTTCCAATACGCCGTCTTCCGAATCGCCATCATGTTTCGACGGGGTGCCAACACGCAGAGAATGGTGACTATGTTCCAGAATGAAATGGGATGAAGGGAATTATCAAAATTGTCTGCTTCGACAATCAAGAAGACGCAACAGAGGTAGGCGATGCACTGAGTGGTGTGGCACTGACTTTACGAGCCGTCAACGTCCATCCAGACCCCATAGTTCAACAGCCATCTGATCTCGACAGCATCATCAAAATAAAGTTCCATCTCCCTCTTTTGATGAAACGACCTGCATGAAACCGTTACCAATCCGAGGCGGCCTCATCGCCATGGAGTTCTTCCCAAGTGCCCGCCACGAGTCAGTTTTCAGACGGGGACAAAACATTAGTATACGCCTCGGTTCATCCGCGTTTTGAAGGAGCATATTGCTATAACAGACTCGATAGTTACGATATCGCACGACATTGGAAGTTTGGGTTTAGGGCGAAGAGTGTAGTCCGCGGGAGATCGCTGAGCTGAGACCACACCACAAAGTTATGGATCGGCCTCGTAGTGTCTCGTTGAGAAGTTTAGCCAGTTACGCTTCATTGAGCCATTGCATGCCGTGTTTCCATGCTATACCGAATCAATAGTTGTGCCGCGAGGTTTGATTCCCAGTCACGAAGTGTCGTGTCGAGATCTCGCCTATTCCGGCAACTGGTGAAGCTTCCGCCAAAAGCTGCCTTTAAACTTCACGCGATCTCAGAGAGTATTACCGGCATTTCGCTGTATGTCCTCGCGACTCTGAACCCAGTAGTGGCCAAGATGGCTCGTGATGCACGGTGCTGTACGCAATTCCCCCGACATGCAGTTTCATGGATACGGCGCTTTGGCGCAAGAGTGAGGCTTTCTACAAACAACTTTCGCAGCTACCCTCTGCATGGGTCACCCGGGAGGAGGGTAGGAGTCCCCATCATCATATCATTATATTTAGCCACTGGTCCACCCCGGACCCGCCTTGGCTTGATTTATATGACACCGGGTTCGACTCCGTATGTTGTATTGAAGCTGTCTATACTCGTGCACTTCCAAACTCGACATCGGTGTGGTCATAGTAATCGCTTCTGGCAAGATTTCGCTCAGTCACATTTTCATCATGAAGTTCACGTCAACTCTCGTCATCCTCGCTAGCGCTGGCGCTGTCGCAGCCGTAAGTTGGAACACTGCATATTGCTCCTGTTTGCATTATACAAAGACTGCTGTACTAACTAGCGGTCAAGTCGATTCCCAACGCAGGCGTGCCCCTTATTGAACGCGACGAGATTGTTGGAAAGATAGGGCTGGGGGCAACTAAGACGAACCCTCGGGAGAGGAGAGCTGATGGAAGTTTCAATTTGGTTGCTCGACAGACACACACCAAGGGAGATAGGATGGACCTTGGTGATACTTCAAATATCTCGGACGAGAAGCGTGCTGAAGAAGCTGTCCAAGAGAAGCGTGACGAAACACCGACCAAGACGAACCCTCGGGTGAAGAGAGCAGATGGCACGTGGAATCTCGTTCCAAGGGAAACCATCACCGGGAAGGCCAAGATGTAGGGCTTGACTTTGGGCCATTAATTTGACCGACGCTCGTGTGAGGGGCCTGATGTCAAAATGCAAGCATTTGACGGTGGGTGACATGGAATATGTGTGTTATGGTACAATCGCTTTCTCTCACTGTGTACTCAAGCAGGCAGGTACGACAAAATTGAGGTTACTGAGGCACTAAGCGTTATTTGGTCTGACGTTCTTACACTTACTACACCCGAGGGCTTAAGAGCCTCGTCAGCTCCAGACCTTGAATGTCCAGGGGAGGCTCCGCTTCGTTTTCCGCACGCCCGAAGCACCCTCAAAGGCACGCCACAGCGAGGCTCCAGGATGACTGAAGTGAAATTGTCATTGCAGCTGATGGCAGACTCAGATGACGGACACGAGGATGTGGATGGACCCGGAAAGGACGCTGCAGCATCAAGAAACACGCCATACTCGGTATCTCGGTCAGCAACAGGGCGTAAGATTGCGAGTGCGAGGCATTTTCGAGCTCGGAGTTGAATGTAGTAGCGATGATGCAAGCAACCACGCGGGTTTGGTTGTCTTGCGTGATACATCAGGTATAGTGCGGTGCAACCCAATTCAATCCGCTTGACACTCGTGAGTCCGTATGGCATTCTGACGAGGATGAGTTTTCAATACATAGCCTTCTAGAAGCATTCCGGGAAAGTCGGTTCATCTGCATAACACTCTCGGGACCAGAATAGTCTGGGTCCCCTGTCTTGAAACCGCTCAATCAAAGACCATGTCCCTGGCAGGCCGCAGAACGCACAAGCCAAGAATGCCGAGTATTTCGTGGCTCGTACTCCCTGTGTAGGCTTTACCCCGGAAAACCCAGGTGTGACTCGGAGCAGCCTCAAATGTGGGTACAAAAGTCCGGCGTATGAAATTAATGAGTAATAACTCCGCTTCAAAAGAGCGAATCTGCCTCGTAAGGCTGAGTATGGTTTGTCAAACGCCACCAAGTGTCTGGTGATGCCGCAACCCGTCCGCGCGGCTACATGTAGGTGTAGACACAAGCGGTTAAATTGTTCTTTCAAACAAGAATGGAGGTGACGGATCGTTCACGGGTTGAAGCAAAATTTTTCCAGCAAGTTCCAGTCTCGCCGAGCGGCCTCCGGTGGCCTACGTGGAGACGGCCCCCAAATCGGGGCTGAGAAGCTAATCTCGTGGTTGCGACATTCGGCTGCGTGCGCAAGGTACTGTGCAGGACTCATTCGTAAGGGCGCTTCAAGGAAGCAGATCCCACAGCCTTGAGGAAGTTTTCGCCGTCACCTGGTTGGAAACCCTTCGACTAACCCTTCTCGAGCTTCCGGGTGGTGGAAAGTGGAGGTCATCGGAAGAGGCATCGATCATGTTAATTCAGCCTGAGTGGACGTGGAAGTAGGCGACCTCCGGCAACGCAGCATCACCGCGTCTATCGCCAGGCAACGGGTGGCAAAGTTTTGAGGCCTGAAATGACTGGACCGAGAGAAGCGAGCCGGCGAAGGGTCGGAGGTGGTCTTGGGTGTGTCTGGATGAGTTGACGCGTCTGGTGTGGTGGGTGTCTTGGAGTAACGCGAGCCACGAGCCAATGATGGACGAGGTTACCTGATGAGTAGCTAATGGCGGATAGCTTGATGAGTGTCAAGTCCTATGGAGCTAGGACTCCAACCAATTCGTATTATACCAGGTTGCCGGGAAACGTACGGAGTAGATAGGTGGGAGAAGTCTACCCAAGATGTATCCAGGCAGAAGCTTAAGGTACAGAGATACGTATCGTCGGTAAGTCTGATGGCGAGCCGCATCGGGTGACCTCGACACCGGGTTAGTCATCCAAATAAAAACTGGAGACTTGTTTATGACCCGAGGGGTGGTTCGACTGGTGCCTGCTGGCAGCGGTTGGAACCGGCAGGTGGAGAAGAAGCGGTGTGGATCTGAGGAGGTACGTACCGCAGGCGGTCTCCAAGAGTTTGTGCGACCCTGGGGCTCTCCATTTCCCTCCTCTTCTCCAACTCGTTGCTGCCACGATACGATGCGATGCACTGCGACACGATTCGATGCGATGGCATGCGATTGAACCTCTCGGAGCGCTTGCAGACCTTGCAGCACAACGCACAACACACCCCAATCCTCTCGTCATTGTTTGGAATGATGAAATATCAAGCTTCTTTTGCTGTCCACCTGCACGAAACAAGGCCTGGTTGCATCGGTTGGTCCGACTGAGGAGCAGGCTGTGGTGGCTGTGCGGCCCCTCTGCGGCTCTAACGCACCCTGCTGTCGTTAGAGACGGGCACAGCCATCTCACCCGCAGACTAACACTGCCAGACATGCTTCTTCGACACTATGGATTTTTCGACTGGACTGACGAGACGAACACCACGCCTTCCTTGGATTGGCACGCCGTACGCCACAGGATGAGCATCGTCACCAACCTTGTCAAGCCGTCAGTGGCTCCCCCTTGCAGCCCGCGATCCTTCGACGGCGAGAGCGACTGTCATGGTACCTGTCCGGTGGAGTGTGTCGAATTGGCCCGCTGCCACTTGTCAAAAGTCTGATGATTGATTGCTTCAATCTTGGCCTCATGCACGTCCGCAGTCTGCAAGTCAATCAAGTGGAGCTGGCCCTGACGGCCACTCAGAGAAACAGCATTATGGTGTCGCACAAGAGACGGACAAACAGCTTGCATGAGGCCTTGCCAGATCGTAGTGACTCAGGTGTCATTCGTCAACGCCATAGGTATGATTGGTTGCTGTTTCACCCGACCCAGAACGAAGGGATCAAAGGAGATCGTTGCGACACGCTCAAGGCGGCGGCTGTCGCTTATTCGGAAGCGATTTTGATTCATCGACAAGAAACATCTCCAGGTCGGGCCGGGCCAACACGGGTCAAAGTCGTCGTCAAAATGTTTCGATTGCCGCTGTCTATATCACCCTGGCTTCCCCTACGGCTGCATGAACCCTCTCCCCCGCGTCGAATAAACGAAGAACCGGGGCGAGAAGGCCATAGACGTTGGGTGGCATGAGGGGGGCATTGACTTGGGAGCGAAAAATAGCATCATATCGCCCAGAATATTGTTTTGACGCTTTCCCACACAAAAGTCTGGATTCGGCATCTACCACTCAAAACTGCGACAATGCCGGACCTTCATGGGGGCCACCCACAACCTCTGCTTGAGATGAAAGAAGGGGGTCGGAGCGGCGCAAGTAGATGGAAGCTCGTGACCACCAGCCAGCCGGTTCCCTTTCCATCCAACGGTGAACCAGACACCACCACGCGGAATAACATCGCGACGCAACTCAACTTACACGACCCGTATCCACAACCCTCTTCCACACCCTCATACGCAAGGCCGCATAACTGGGGACTGAGGACTCCTTCTCGCGACATGAGCAAGGCATCAGGAAGCGCCACCTGTGCGCCCTCCAACCTGTCATAGCCTTGGCTCCCTCCAACGCCCTCGTTTTGACGGCTTACGGTGCCCCCCCCCCCCTGGCAACGTCCCAAAAGTCACTTCCCGCGCTCCGCCCCTAGTAGTGTGTTGTAGGCCTCCCCAAAAAGAGGCTGTGAGATACTTCCACAGGTAATTCCCCAGCGGAGGAATGCGGGCATGAGACTGGAGGGAAACTTTGCCCTTTCGGAAACGCTCAGCGAGGGGAACCACGCTAGGCCAAGGGCTCCGACAATCCTCCCCTCCCAAGAAAGAGAACCCCCCTGCGACGACCGAGCACGAAAGAGGTCTAGCGGCCAAGTGAAAGACTCATCGGCCCCTAGCAAGGCCTGAGAAGGCAGCAGTCTGACAGGGGAGGGGGGAGGGGGGAGGGGGGAGAGAATGGTGCGCAGGCGCAATGCACCCTCGCAAGGCCTCAAATCTCCACCATGCCACGGGCTGCAGCTAATCCCCAAGGCTCTGCCATGCCACCACCACTAGAACGCGCTTCTTCGGCTCAGACGATATTTAATTCAGACGCGGAATCACTTCCAGACAGGTTGTTCCTACACTGCTCGACATCTCCACTTGGACTATTTACACTTTGCAGAACGCTTCCCGCACATCGGCGACAGACGCACCCTACCCCAATCTATCATACCTGGTGGATCCATTCTCTACACTTAGGCAGAACCTTTTCGGGATTCTTCAATACCTGACTTCTTGACTCCTTCCCTGATCTGGTATATAGACCCTCATCCTTACTTGCCTTTCGGCTTGGAACATCACCCACTTACACAACCAACCAACATTCAGACAGACCACAACATCGAATCACCCAAAACTCTAATCACCTACCACTTCGACTTGACTGCAACAATACCGGCACGTTGTCTTCTTATCGCACACCCGAAGCCCACTACATCGACAACACGGTTGTCTACAAGCACAAGTCTCGTCGTCCAGCCAACTCTCACCGGGACTTTCAACATTCACCTCACCTCTCGAGGACTATTTCCTCCACTCAGCCGAGCACACCCGCGAGACGAGTTCACTTCGTTACGCAGGCAGTCCAATCTTCACCACCAACCCCGCGCACGCCGCGCCTTAATACGTTTACACAAAGCACAATGTGCACCACCGACGTTTACACCAACGTCTACCCCGACGGCCGGAGGAGCGAGTACCAGCAACCGACCTTGTGCTCTGCTTCCCGCAACGGCCACCTCTGCGCCAACCCCGTCATCTACAACCACCCGCCGCGCTCAGTAGGCTATCCTTCACCAATGCCCATGTACGCTGCTGCCGGTCCCTCGTACGCGTTTCCCCAGCAGATGCCGCCCTCGCCTCCCATGAGCTCACCCCGAGGCACTTCTTCGGGTAACGAGGGAGACCGCACTCGTCGGGAGTCTTCCTCAAGCGAGAGGAAGCACCGCCAATCTGGAGTATACGTGAACGGCCAAAGGGTCCTGGACCTCAATCGCAAGCACCGCTCGCGCAACGAGCGCATCGTTATCGTCGACTCTCCACCCACCCCCCGCACACCACCAAAGCAGTTCGCTTCGCCTTACACGGCGCCGCCCTCTCCCAATGCAGGCGGAGAGAACCCTCAGTTTCGCTACGGCCACATCCGTCGTGACTCTCTTCGCCCTGTCATCGTCGACGAGCGCCCGCGGTCCAAGGTCGAGATCGAGGTCATCGACAACAAGCACCACCGCCACCACTCTTCCGAATCGCGCAACAGCCATGCCAGTGCCGAAGATGAGGAGCGCCGCCGCCGCCGCCACGAGCGCAAGGAGCGCGAGCGTCAGCAGGAGGAGGAGGAGCGCCAGACTCGCATCAACTTACAAATTGCCGCTCAGAACGCCAAGATCGCCAGCCGTACCGCCGTCCCCGTCCCTCACGCGCCGTTGAAACGCACTTCCACTGGATACGGCCGCACGTTGGCAGACCAGCAATACGAACAGGACTTGGCAGACGCTGTCAGACGATTGGAGATTGCCGAGCGTCTTGCCGCTGATCGACGGGCTCGTGAGGCGCGAGAGCAGGAGGACGAGGCCGAGGCCCAGCGCCGCCGGTTGATGGAGCGGATGATGCCCCGCCGGCGGGCCACGGTGGGGCCGGGTAGCCGGAGGCACCGGGTTCTCTACGATGATGGCCTTTACCGATGGGAGTAAACGATTGCTACGATGCATTGGCTGCTTCAAGTGCTTTGTTTTTCCGTTACCGATATGCGAGCTTTGTGCTTAATCGTTTTCTTGGAAATTGTATAGATAGCCAGCGTTTTTGATTTACATGCATGTACATATACCACGGAGAGGGGATCGTCGGGATAGCGATGGGAAGATACCACCACAACAGGACACGTTGGGACACCATTAGATAGTCAGTGCATTGAATCAAGAACAACAATCACGATTCACACATGTACTTCCACCGTTGCTGTCGCTTATTTGCGCAACATCTTTGCGGTCCATTTTCTCGTGATAAATGATGATAATCGCGGCCTTGTGATCGTGTACCCATGCATGTCTCACTCCCGCCCTGGTCCTTTCTCGGCCCTTGAAGACTCGACAGTGACCCTGTTTCCTCTCCATCCCCCAGTCTCACCCGAACCATCACCACCCTCTTGTAGAAAGCGAGCGAGGATTGCGAGACATCTGCAAGCGACCCTTATCCGTGGCGCTTTATTGTTCGTTTGTCCCGAAGATGGTGGTAGTGAGACTCGCATGGACAATGAGGGAGAGGGATGGATGTCTGTGGCAGGAGGTTGCGTTGGTCTGAGTCAAGACACCACCACCACCACCGCCGCCACTTGGACGCGGGACGGAGTTGCGTAGAACGGTGGTTTTGGGGTGAGGCATATCTGCCGCCTGCTAGCAGATTGTTGCAGTCGCTATTCTTTTTCCCCCCAATTTTGAGACTGAAGTTCCAGTTTCCGGTTAATACTTTGCTTGCCGCGCAATGCGAAATTTTTCTCATCAGCAGTATCTTTGGGTGGTTTGATGCTGCCCAGAGTCGCTCTTCATTCACTCCTCATCGCGGAGTGAGTGGGACATAATCCGCACGGTTTGGCCGCGTCGCGCCGAGGAGAGGGAACTTCTGCCTGGTCTCGAGAATGCGCCACGGACTCTGGACTCTGGACAAGCTCTCTAGTTAACGATTTCGGGCCATTGTACAGAGATCGCCAAGGCCAACGGATTCCCTCGCGAAAAAGAAACTTGACAGGAAGCCCGACGGCGCGGCTTGCGCCGGGGGGAAGGGGGGCCTTAGAATAGGCGAACGACAGGCATGTCCCCGTCTCGTCGGCTTCGGAGACAAAATTGGGGAAAAAGGTCATTCACGGGTTATCCCTGCTGGCTGGGGTGTCCTGGGGAGGGAGACGGCGGGACGGGTCGTTTTGGGGGGGAGGGGGTTGGACGAGTGACATTTACACACCTTTCTCTCACCGAGTATCGCCGAGATCGGTGTGTTTGTGAGGTCAATAGCTTAAAACACCCTGTCGACGTGCCGGAGTATGGTGAAGAACTGGTACCCGGGCTATCGATCGCGTAAGAGGTTTTTTTTTTTTTTTTTTTTTTCGTTTTTGGGGGGGACCATTATACCTGCTTTGCGTAGAAAGACCTGGATCATGCAGCTGACGCTGCTTGTATAAGCATGATTTTTCAAGACCTGTCACGGAGCCAGAAAAGGGTACGTTGGAGACAAAGGCCGAATTTCCCCTGCCTGGCCTGCCTTCTTACATTACCCCACCCACTCCGTGCCATGATTTCCGCTCCGCCGGGATTGGTCCACGGGATGGGCTCCCACACCCCCCAAACACACAGACACAAGCCGTCTGCCAACCAGGAACCGAGATCAGTCTGTTCACCCGCGGGGGAGTCATTACGGCGTGGGAAATGTGAAGCAAGTGGTGACACATTCTGGCGGTGAAGGAAGCCGTGGTGGTGTGGTCGAATATTCTTGGTGTTGAGTGCCCAAGTTCCAAGATCATGATAGCTTATGCAAAGGTACTTGCTTTGTGTGTTTCTGATTCTCTGGTTTCCACTTTATGTTGTACCCAAATAGGCTGCATCGACCTTCCATGAGTTAGTTAATGGATGCATCTTGGATAGAGATGCTGTCTACTGGTGGCAGCGCCTCATACAGTAGATGTCCCAACTCCACCAGATGCATTTTTATGCTCTTATCTTTTCCCCCCTCTTGCCTTGTAGATGTGGCCGAGAAACATCCTCCAGATTCGCGTCAAAGAAAGCACTTTGATACATGAGCAATCTGCACGTGTACGTCTCTTGTTTCTCACACCACTATTTGATACACCAGCAAAGAAAGTATCTCCCAAGGCCTTCGAGCCAACCTTAAGACCCATGACTACCCGTGCTCCATGTTGATGATCATGTTGTGAAATGCTGAAAAAGAATAGGACATACTCATGGAGATGATCCTCAAGATCATACGTGGCTTTCGTGTGTCGATTCTTTTCTCACTTCAGTGCTTCCTGGCGAGTTGAAAACGCGGGAGAAGTCTTCTCTAGAGAGAGTGTTGTTGACTGAATGTTTTTAGCGACTAGAAACAGGTGCACCTTCTAGGATCCTCGGAATTCACTACCTTGGTAGTAGCATAGCATTCTCTGTGGCATTCGAGGTTTATTGATTGGAATTGCGAAGAAATATATATTAATCATGCTGGTGATGATATATCACTTATTTCTAGAACTGATAAAATCTGTAGTACCATGGACCTCGAGCCTGATGCCAATAGATCAACAATAACAAACAGATTCATCGTCAACAATCGACTTTCCTTCATCAGACTTTTCCAAAAATTCCTGAGCAGTCCAAAGTTTGAACGGAAAGACAGGAACCGCGTCCGTGCTCTTGAATCCCTTCTCATGAAGCAGATGCGCTACACAAGTCTCGGAGTTGTCATATAAATATTGCTCAAGACCGTGCTTCAACAACCACGACCTGGTGAGTTTGGCGGTGCTGCGGGGGTTCTTTGCAACTTCGTCCGAGTCGGTGTGGTGAAAGACCTCCCGAGACTTGAAGCCAATCTTCTGAGGAGACGCCGTTCTTCCCAACCTAAGTCCAGCCGCACCAGAATCAGCTGAGTCCATATGGATGCGTGAAGGCGTGGTAGTAGACTGCGGAAATTGACGCACGGGAGTTTATTGTGGACTTTGGTTCTCAAAGCAGCGGATCATCTGCCACTCATCGTGAGACCAACAGCGAGAGAGAATGCACCCTCAAGTGCGGTGGTAGCACCGAACCCAGAGGGCGGCAGAAATAGGTGAGCCAGATCGCCGCACTGCACCACTCACCCCCCGTTGGACACCACTGAGGCTGGGGGTCACGGAATCGAAGCTTCTAGTCAGTAGTCTCACGGTTGGGCGTGGACTTGATGACCTGTCGCACGATGGGTTCCCAGCCCTCGACATGCTTGAACGCACCGGTGGAGGCCCCGATACGGTTCCAGTCCTCGATAGCGGTATCATCATCTCTATGCTTTAGGCTTCAGCAGGATTCTGTAGATGACAAGCCCATGAAGAAGCATGCAGGTTATAGTCACTTCAACGAAAATGGCGACGGGAAATCCGGATGTGTTGGCGCGCATTCAGGGGGAACACTGGCACGGTTGAGGTGCACGGTACCGTCTCGTCTGATCCCGACTCTTTTACCTTTGTACTCCACGTTCCAGAGGGACCAGGTCAAGGGCATCATTGGAAGAGACGCTGTCAAGACTTTTTTGGACTACAAGCCAGTTGGACGGGATTACCACTGAGAAGTCGACAATGCTGCGTTAGATGTGCCGGCCGAGAAATTGGAAAGTGATGATCATCCGCGTCACGAAGATGCTGGATGAGATCCGTCGACAAGATGGAACTCTGTATCTCAAGACGAAGAAGCATGAAAATGGCGCGAGTTTGGACCAGGAACAGCCAGAAAGTAACAGGCATTGGTTGCACAGCAAATTAGACTTCTCGGGTCAATGGCTTTTGATTCAAAATTGGGCGAGATAGTTGCTAGGACTGCACAAGCCCAGATCTAACCGGAAGAAGATCGGTGTAGCTGATAGAATATTAATATCGTACTGGTTTTGTAGTTTTGTCTAGTAGATATGACCAGGTCATCTCATCCCCGACATTTCTTCACACTATGACGAGGTTCAAGTTATCGTAGCTGAGGGGCTTAGGGACATGAAAAGAGTCTATTTGTAAATATGTTCAGCATGGACTCGACACATCCCGAATTTCTTAGAATTACTTTCTCACCAGAATCAAGAGAAACTTAGTCTGCGATAATCCAATCAAACCCTGGCGAGCAAAAACGATCTAAATTGTTATCGAATTCTGCGACCTGGGACCAAGGTGATCGCAATAATGGGGCTCTGAGGGGTTGGCAAGTCTTGAGGTTCAGTACTAGAACTTCCCAACCTAAGGTTACTGTAAGGACACTTGCCTAGTTCAGCTATTTTGACAAAAAATAACAATGACTAAATTGTCGATTCCTTCGCATCTAGGGATTGCCAAGATTGACTGCCAAGATTGACTGCCAATGTTCGACGCTTATGAACCGAGCTACCTTACGGTCTACAACTGGGGCTGGGGCTGGTATGGAATACCAGTTATATTAGTCTTGCTCTCATCAACCGCGAGGTGAACATCTGAGGCCTAGATGAGAGCCTGATTTACTCTTGAGATATCTAAAGTTATAGACCCTAGTCTGATTGTTTAGACCACTTCGTAAGCGGGCTGGAGCATGAGCATGAGATGAAATGGCTGTTGGTTTGAGAACTACTTGGTAGGTTAACGTTCAATGCCTGGGTGTAGTTGAATATCTGCCCACATGGACTGCTGAAAGTCTAACTGTCCTTAATGTGAAAGTGATCCACTCGAGTCAATTACTAACTTGCGCGCGGGTGAAGTCCCTTATCGGCGCGGGCCGGGATTACCAATCTGTTCCTGGGATGGCGCAATACATCAAGATGACCTGATAAACTCCAACCATTGGGCGATACGTGCCTCATTGACAAAGCATAAAATGCCGCGCAATCCATGCTGATATCTTGGAGTATTTCGAGACAAATTGCCAAGTTATTTGAGGACCAGGTCATTCATCAACATCGCCAACCGGCCGCTTCTTCAAACTGCTCTTCACTCATTCTGCTGCTACAATGACCGTCAAGAATCTGAGTGATCTCAAACCTCTGAAGGTTGCCATTATTGGCGGCGGACCTGGAGGATTGGGGGCCGCGATTGAGTTTGCGAAACTCAATTACGTCGACTGGTCACTGTACGAGAAGAAGCCACAGATCAGTGAAACTGGCGGCGGAATCAGCCTCCAGCGCCATACCTGGAGGCTCCTAGAGTTGAACGGGGCTGCCAAGAACATCGACCCGAAAGATTTCTTCAGGCCACCAGATGGAAGCAGCGGACAGTCCAGGTAAGAGATACATGTACGCTTGTTTTCCAGCTCCGTACCGTGCTGACACCCGGACTTCTACTGCAGAAATGGAAGAACCGGAAAGCTTTTAGAACAACATGGTCATCCCGAGGATACCCCACCACAGCAACTGAGCTGTCGCATGATTCGAGCTAAGCTACAGGCTGCTTTGCTCAAAGAAGTTGATCAAACTCGGGTCAAGACCTCCAAAAAGCTGGTCGACGTTACGCAGCTATCAAACGGCAAGATCGCGATCCGTTTCGACGACGGCTTCAACGATGAGGTTGATCTACTAATTGGAGCAGACGGCATTCGATCTGTAAGAATACAAACCGTAATGATCCTGGAAGCGACGCGGCTGATAAATTGCAGTTTGTGAGGTCTTTCTCGTTCCCCTCGCACAAGATCAAATATAACGGCCAGTCTGCCTACCGTACCATCATTCACAAGCCTACGGCCGACAAGATTGAAGGTATCCCTAAATCTCCTGTTTTCTGGCAGAACACTGGCGGCAAATATGTGTATACGTGCCCACTAGGTGGCGACGATTTCGAGGTGACTGCGCGCATCCGCCGGCCGGCTGAAGGGCAAGACCAAGTGAGCTGGGGCCGTCCTTTTGATCTGTCGACAATCGCCGCAGAGTATGACGAGTTTTGCGAACCTGTCCGCAAAATCATACAACTCGCTGCCCAGGGTCCGACGCAGGAATTCGCCCTCTTCTCGGGGCCGCGGCTGGAAAGCGTAATCTCTCACGGTGCCGTCGCCTTGATTGGAGACGCGTCCCATCCGCTGTCGGGAGCTTTTGGTGCTGGTGCCGGTTTCGCCTTGGAAGATGTCTATGCCTTGACGCGCAGCATTGACTGGCACTGGAAGAACGGTGGGGGGCTGTCCGCCGCGTTGGAGTTGTATGATCAGATCAGGTCGCCCCATTACCGCGATTTGTATCAGACCTTGGACAATTTTGGTGCGCTCAACGCTAAGCTGCTCGCTGAGAATCTGCCTCCCAATGAGGAGATTGAGGAGCGAGTTCGGAGGGCGGCTGAGAGTCAAAGTTTGTGGATGTACCATTATCAGATAGATAAAGCTGTCGAAAAGCTCCTTGGGGCTACCACGCAGCACGCTCAGATAGCTTCTGTGCTCTGAGTTAGATTCATAGACTGAACGAAGTTAGTCAACTAGAAACTCAATGAGGCGCAATACTGAATTTGAGCTAGCACGTACCCGAACAGGAACGCTGGATCGATTCTTAAACCGCACCTTTTACTCACACACAGTACCTTATCCAATGAAGAGCACCATGCACTTGGGCCTGAAATTATGTGACCGAGCTTCATTTGCCGACACTCACGTCTCATGATCGGGGCGGGGCCGCCGAGAACGGTAGAATCGGGCCCCGCTTTCCCGCGCGTTGCGGAAACATCACCGTTGACGTTACGAAGTGTTCTTAGAGTGTGCTGTTGTCAATCGGTCCGGAGACATTGTTACGTGATGAGAGTCAACGTGGAGACTTCTTATTTTACCAGAGGACGCCAATTTTTATAATTTGAGCTGTTGACGGAGTCCGACGTGGCAATGCTTCGACAAGCAAGGCTTCAGTATGATTTCTCCTTCCTGTAAGGTAAGATATGTAGGCCAGCACAAGCGCTAATCCATGCAAGCTACATGTACATGTGGGTTAGAGAGATCCCGGATCGGTTTATACCTGTCTGCGGGGTAAGTGGTTGTTGTGTTTCCTCGGCTGCCACATCCGTTCTCCCAACCTCCTAATATCTCCCATAAAACATCAGACGAGACCGTGAGAACATTAATGTCACCGAAACAGAGAGCACACCTGTCTAGATCCGCTGGTCTGAAGATGCTCGCGGTAGTCTCCCTAGTCATCGGTATCTTGCTGGCGTTAGCTACACCATCAGGAGCAACATTCCAGAAGGACTGCCTCGCTCTCACGCCCCAGTCTACAGTCATCAATTCAACTGCACAACAGCTAACCCTTGTGGAGTCGGGTACCAACCTCACCTTTCCAACACAAGATGCATCATGCAACCGAGGAAGTCAAGTGGTGCGAGCAAACCTATGCCGGGTCTCAATGAACATCACGACCTCCGATAGATCTGAAATTGCCGCTGAAATATGGCTGCCTGAGAAATGGAATGGGCGGATGGTGACGGTTGCTGGCGGAGGGCTCGATGGATGTAAGCAATCCATTTTCAAGAGACAGCGACCAGTCTCCTACTGACGATGACTTTTGGCGCAGGCGTTCACTACGAAGACCTTGCGTACGCCACTGCTCATGGCTTTGCCGCCGTCGGTACGAACAATGGACATGCTGGAACCACTGGTGTACAATTCCTTAATAATGATGATGTTGTTACCGATTTTTCGTATAGAGCGTGAGTCATGACAGGTTCGATTGTCTGTTGTATATGTTAACCGATATAACTCACAGTATTCACATCGGCGTTCTCGCCGGAAAGAGTCTTCTCAAGTCTCTCTATAAGCGCAAGCTTACGGGCTCGTACTTCTTGGGATGTTCTCTCGGGGGACGCCAAGGCGTGCAGGCAGCAGACATGTATCCCGAAGACTTTGACGGCATCGTCGCGGGCGCACCGGCGGTGGACTTCAACAACCTCTATTCATGGCGGGCCGGCTTCTTCCCCCTCACCGGGCCTGTCGACTCCAAGGACTTCATTACCCCAACCGTCTGGATGACGACCATTCACGATGAGGTTCTCAGGCAATGCGACAAGATTGATGGCGTTGAAGACGGCATTATCGAGGATCCCAGCCTTTGCAATTTTGATCCTGGGACTATCCTGTGTAAATCAGACAGCAGCAACACCAAATGTCTCACCAGCGCACAGGTCGACATTGTGAGAAAGATCTTCAGCCCGACCAACTATACCGACGGCGAGCTATTCTGGCCAGCCATGAATCCTGGCAGCGAGATACTCACTGCAGACGGACTGTATAGTGGTAAACCATTTGCTCTTTCTCAAAACTGGTTTCGTTATGCGATTTACAATGATCCGAACTGGGACCCTGCTACCTATACGCTCGGAAAGGATGGCATCTTTGCCGAAAAGCGGAACCCCGGCAACATCAAGACGTACCCCCGCGATTTATCTGCATTCAAGAGGAGAGGAGGCAAGCTATTGATGTACCATGGCCAGCAGGATCAGCAGATAACTAGCTTCCACACGCCCATTTTCTATGACCGCTTGGCAAAAGGCATGCATCTGAACTCTTCTGGAATGGATCACTTCACCCGCTTCTTCCGCATCTCGGGTTTATACCATTGCACGACGGGGCCTGGGGCCTGGCTGGTGGGTCAGGGAGGTAGCGGTGGCAACTCCGCCGTCATTAGCGATAGTCTCCCTTTCAATAGGACTTACAACGTCCTTGCTGCCATTGTTGACTGGGCCGAGGGTGGGATCGCTCCGGAAACCATCACAGGGACCAAGTTCCTCAATGATAGCGTTGATCTGGGGGTAGACTTTCAACGCCGGCATTGCAGGTACCCATTGCGGAACACATACCGGGGCGATGGTCTGGATCCTAAACTCCCGGACAGTTGGCATTGTGTGTAGCTGCACGATTTGAAACGAGGCAGAAGGCTCGGTGAGACTTTTGAAGTTGTTTCGGGTCTTATGAGCTCGATATCAGACCACGATCATGGCTGGGAGATACATTGATTATCCTGCCCCCGGAGTACACAATGATTGAGATGGGTGTCTTTGAGATCCCACCAATTAGGTTGTCCTTCCTCAAAAAACTGTGGCTGTTCTATCATAGAATCCGAGACATACCTTCTCTCTGATGTTAAGGTCCATGAAGACTGAGTGATTATTGACAAAAAGATCCTTGTGTTTCCTTCTTGAAAATTAGATGACAAGTAAATCCTGCTTGGTTTTCACGGTCATGATCTTAGCGCGTAGAGGTTGATAAGCATATCATGGTGGCCTGGGACTGAATCTTGGTTCAGTCAGACTTGGGCATGTTGAGTCAGCCTGTTTAGCCATCACCGGGCCGGGAGTCGATCCCTTGTCACAATGAAAGGAAGCACCCAATCCAGTCAGCCAAACCTGGCCAAAACAATGGGCTTATGGAGACATCATTAGTCAATGTTTCGCCAACTAAGTCGTATTTGGGTGACATTTGTACAAAACGCACGGACTCCCGCGACAAATTTTCATTATCTCACCTCACTTGTCACCCGTCGAGTCATAACCCGGTTGAGACATTTCCATAATACCTTTGGTGCCTCCTCCAGTCCGACATTGAGCTGCGAAACTGTGGCAGTATCCGGAGACAACGCCAATATGGCAGACAACGTGGAAAGCCAGCGTGACCAGCGCGGTGATGAGAAGCATGCAATCGAAACTCCTGTTGCCGATGAACAGCATGCCCCGGCTGCTGGTCGGAGCAGTAAAGGCCTCGTGCGAAGAGTCTTGATGGCGGGGCGGGTCGAAGAGGGTGGAATTGAGCCCATTCCACGAGAAGTACGGACAAACACCAAGTACTTCAACGCTTTTACGATTTGGTGCTCCATCAACACAAACATTTTGGCGTAAGTTATTCGCTCTGGAACATGCCAGTACGTCTTCGCTCTGGCTGACGATTACTTCTCAGGATCACTTTCGGCATGCTGGGCCCAGTCTCTTTCGGCCTTGGTCTCCGAGATTCGGCGCTTGTCATCCTCTTTTTCAGCCTGTTATCAACGCTGGCCCCGGCCTTCTTGTCAACATTGGGGCCCAAGACTGGCATGCGACAGATGATCCAGGCTCGATACAGTTTCGGGTAAGTTGACCTTATTGCTATGAAGAGAGCAGACTGGAAAATATCGATTGCCTGCCGCCGAGACTAATAACTAAGCTAACGTCTCAACAGATACTATTTTGTATATATCCCCGTCGTCCTCAATCTAGCAACCCTCACCGGCTTTTGTGTCATTATTTGCGTCATTGGCGGCCAATGCCTGGCAGCAGTGTCCGATGGCGATCTTTCCACTGCCGTCGGCATCGTCCTGATTGGCGTGGCGGCTCTGCTGATTTCCTTTTGCGGATTCAACGTGCTGCACTTCTACGAGGGCTACGCTTGGATGCCAGCTCTCGTAGCCATCATCATTGCCGTTGGATGCGGCGGACAGCAGCTCCAAAAGCAAGCTTCATATGAACCGGCAACAGCGGCTGGGGTCCTCAGCTTCGGTGGTGTCATTGCATCCTACATGATCCCGTGGGCCTGCATTGCATCTGATCTGACTACCTACTTCGATCCTACCGGCCGCTTGGTCTCGTAAGTGCACTGACTTCCGGGGTGGAGCTCGGGACTAATTCTCTTCCAGACACCGCATCTTTGCCTACAGCTTCTTGGGGTTGGCTGTGCCGACGATCTTGCTCATGACCCTGGGTGCAGCCATCGGTGGCGCTATGAGCAATATCCCCGAATGGCAAATTGGCTTCGACAGCACCTTGGTTGGCGGCGTCCTGGGAGCCATGCTTTCCTCGGCTGGCGGATTCGGCAAATTCATCCTGGTCGTTCTCGCCTTCACCCTGCTGGCAAACATTTCAGGCACGATGTACGCAATCACGCTGAACTTCCAGACCTTGATCCCGTCATTCCGCCTGCCACGCTACGTCTTTTCTGTTATAGTCACCGCCATCATCATTCCTATCGCCGTCAAAGCAGCACACGATTTCTTCCTCAGTCTGGAGAACTTCATTGCGCTCATCGGCTACTGGTCTGCCTCTTTCGTAGGGATCGTGGTTGTCGAGCACTTTGTGTTCCGACGCGGGAACTCGAAGCTCTACGATGTTGCCGTGTGGGATGTACCCTCTAAACTGCCCTTGGGTGTTGCTGCTATCGGCGCAGCTGTGCTGAGCTTTGGCCTTGTTGTGCCGTGTATTGCACAGGTCTGGTTTACGGGCCCCATCGCCGTCTCGACGGGTGACATTGGCTTTGAGGTTGCGTTCTTCTTAAGCGCTGTCTTGTATGTGCCTCTGCGTTATGCTGAGAAGCACTACTCGGGACGGTAGTGGGATGTGATGCTCATTGCGTGTAAGTCGATAACCTTGGTTCGCAGCATCGACCTCTGGAAGAGCGGGGAGGAATGCATCAGTAAAAGACCAAGACAATACAAGTCAAAAATATTATCCAAGTTGCTCATTCTGTGCTGTAGCTCTCTAGGTGCTTCTACGTGGCTTGAAATCACAGGGACTTCTGTTGGACGACGCGATACATACATGGATATCTCTTGAGTCGATGTTGCGTTTCTGTAGTAGCACCGCTCGTCAATACGATTCTGATAGCCAAAAACACATAATTATGAAGACTCAAGAGATCACTGTTCATCACAAACCAGAGAATCAGTCAGGTAGACGGTAAAGTCGGAAGAAGAATCACAGCATGGGTGGAGATGTGTGATCACGTTGGAACAGGGATGCCTCGAAGTCGGTTTCATTTAGCTCAAGGCCACCATAGTGGGCGGTGCGACCCGTTGAAAAACCAAATCTTGGTGAGGTATCATTGAGATGATTATTAAACGACGCCCGTTGACATGAAGTTGTGCTCTGAGAATTTATCAAGGAACAACAACGGAGGGCAATCCGGCCGAAAGGGGCCGTCACTCCGCAAGACTTGGTCGGACATGGGACAGAGAAACCATAGGTCTTCCCGATTGAGCTGGCTTCAGTGCTTCTAACCTCTTGAAAAAACCATAGAGTTGTGCTACTATCATCGATCACCGACACGAAACAAGAACGAAATGGGCTCCCAAAAGATGTCCACTGCAATGATAGCATGCTCCCCCCAAAATTGAGTGGAACCTTTGGGTCGAAGTGCCCGCCGGCGCCTTGGCTCATGGCAGGATACCGGCGGGCAGTGTCTGCATGTATAGCTGAAGTGTTCTAGCTTCTGCCAAATGTACGTCTAGATTGGTCCGGCTTTCGTTTGAACCCTCAAGTTCAAGAGACAGCAAAGGCTTCAGGGCCCAGATTTGGCTCGCGATTGCATTTCCATTCATTGAATTTATCAAAACCAGCTAATGCATCTATCCGTTGACTTCTTGCACGAGCTGGACAAGCCACGGCTGAGTAAGCTTGTGTGTGTTTGTCTCTATCCGGCAAATGTCATTCCCGCGAGCTGAGTCTCACCGGATGCGGACAAGCTTTAGGCCACTGGCTGTGCGACGTCAATGGCTTCACTCTTCTCGTCGTCGGGATTGATTCCCCTCGTTCTGCTTCTAATCTCCGTGACAAAAACTTCCAGGCTCACAGAGAGACGAAAAAAGAGTCTGGATTCAATCATGGCCATGGATATTCTTCCTCAAGAGGTCGTCGACCAGATAGCATCGAATCTATATCGACCTGATCTCAAAAATCTGCTGCTACTCTCACCCAAACTCCGCACCGCTGCGGAGAAGTACTCTGACGGCTTCACAGATGTCAAGCTGCAAGTACGCGATCTCCGCGAGTTCGAAAACAGGTTCCGTGGCCCTCGCTTCCGCTGGCTGCGAAAGCTGGAGTATACGCTGGTGTTGTTGTCCCATCCCCCATCAAGCGAGACGAGCTCAACGACGGACGACATTGCGGAAACAAATCGTAACGAGGAGTATCTCTCAAGTCAGATTCATCGACTATTTAATTGCTTGAGGACCCTCCATGACAAGGATGGCCCTCAAGGCACGATAGATCTCACAATCACCAGTCCTGAGACATCCGAGAAAGATCAGACTAGGATACCCGAAGCATGGTTCATACGAGTTCTTCGCCCAGGCAGGCTCCCAACGCTTAACTGTATCGGCTCTCTCCACCTTGGACCTTCTCCGACCCATCGTCAGTCGGATTACTTTAGTAGATTCGATCTCAGAACCATACTGGACCTCTCAACCAAACTCCCGGGCATTAGGAGTATCAGCGCTGAACTCTTTGACGAGCACAATTGCGATGCTGAAATAGATCAGCTCCGCGTCCGAGGTAGAGAGGATTTTGCGAAACTTGCCTCGAACACGTCGCTGCAGACAACTACAGCAGAGCTGAGATTCCAGGGGCGGAAATCACACCAACTTCTCGATCACGAAGCCGCAATGCCGAAGCTCATCCGCTCAAGGTCCTCAGATCCTTTCAGCTCGAGTCTAAGACTTCTCTGCCAGAATCTTACCCAACTTCGTCTCAGCGCCATTATTGACCAGTCGTTCTTCTGGCCCGAAGATAATGAGGGGACAGTCTGGCCTAATATGGAGTCTCTGGAGGTCAAGTTCCATCCAGTAACGCCATCTGGTTCCTGGTATTTTATGGGACCACGCGGAGAGGGCAAGGACGTGCAGGGATATCCCGTCCAAGGAGTCGAATATTCCAGCCAAGGCCAGCCTGAAGAGAACGACACAATCGTGTTCGGTCATGCTCCCTGTCGGCCGTCGGGATGGCGTCTGCAGCCAAATCCACAAACCTTGTACCCGTTGCTCATCGCATTCGCCAAATCAGCGGCCAAGATGCCTCGCTTGAAAGAGGCTATGATATGGTCGCCGATCTGGTGGTATCTGGGAAGTCACGTCTCGGACAAGTTCTCTTACAACAAGGGCTTCGACATGATGAATAGCCAAAGATCGCTCGGGTGGGGGATTGGGTACACGGCGCCGGACTCTGATGGGGCTGACGACGAGGACGTTCGGCTTTTTGAATGGAGAACCGGCAGTTGGGAGGCGAATGACACGCTCAAGCAGCTGTTCCACGAGATTGGCCGTGAAGAATATGGTGATGAGTTCGATGATGACTGGGACCCTGATGCAAACCAGGAAGATTTGTTCTTTGAGGATTTCTGTCGGGGCCAAGGAAATTTGTAGTGTCTAGGATACAGAGTCGAACGAGAATGGGGGTCTGTCATTTAGTCACTTGGCTCACTCGCAACTATCTCATTTTATCACCGTTTACAACAAACAACCTCATGTAATACTTGTAACATCGTGTCAGAAACTAACATATTTCGGTGATTGATTGCAAGCTTATCTTCGATTCCACGCTGATTGGAGATTGATAACAACCTTGACTTCCAAGAAGTACTAATACCTTGGCTGGCCCCATACGAACCACTGAAAACTCCCAACATCATCCTCTCGGCATCTCGGCGCTCCTGGGCAGATGTATTCAAGCCCACAAGCGAGCAACAAGGCCTTGCACAGTCCGTATTGCTCCAGCGCTGAGGGTCGAGCGGGTGATGACAGCGGGATGTAAGTTCGCAACAGCGACTTTATGAGCGAACATGCCCGCCGGCAGAGGCAATTATTGCTCATGGCCCCTCGTCCACGCCAAGATGCGGCGCCGCACTCTGCAGAGAATAGCGGAAATGGAGCAAGTTAGAGGTCCCGTATCCCTGCGTCATCCCATTTGAATCCTTATCTCTTGGGTAAGCGGTCCGCTCCAGCGTATTGGAGTAGAGGTTCTTGGCTGAGACTGCTCAGTGCTATTATGTTATCAGCTTCTCTGGGGTCTGTGAAGGGTCGCTCAAGCCAGTGTCATAGTATTAATGATAGTTAGCTATCGGAAGTACGTCAGAAGCATGGGGTTACTGATATGGCGGGCGAGAACCCGGCGGCCATTGCCGGATACCGTAGACGGGGCAGCGGCGCTTTGATATATATCTGCTGGCTCTACTGTCGACCCGACTAACTTACTTTCGGCACTTTAAGTCACTTCCAGGGCTCTTCTTTGGCACTTTGGCCAATAAACCAAATATCTAAGAGATCGGCTTCGATTCATTACGGAAGGAGTCAATGATGAGCTCGACACCAGTTCTACACCAAGGATGGGGGTCGGTATCCTTTCTACCTCTGCACCAAAGAGAATCACTCGGACGCTGACAAAATCTAGCTACGGCCTCATGATTGGATTAGGTGTTCTTTTCGCGTACGTTCAGAGCTTCCCGTCTATTCCGGTACTGGCTTCTAAGCTCACTCACTCTGCAGCGTGTTCATGATCATCATTACTTGGGCACTCAAGAGATACAATTATGAGCTCCAGACATCCGAGATGTTTACGACCGCTGGGCGGTCACTGAACTCAGGATTAGTGAGGCCATGAAGACATGGTCACGATGGTAAGGAATACTAACCTCTACCAGGTTGCGTCGTCGGTGCTCTCGACGTGGACTTGGGCGGCGACATTGCTGCAAAGCACAGCCGTAGCCTACAAATAGTAAGAGCTGTGATATCTTTCGGCATTAAAGTCATACTGACAGCAGTAAGCGGGGTGTCGGGACCCGTATGGTATGCATCCGGAGCCACAGTCCAAATCATTCTCTTCGCCACACTTGCTATTGAGCTAAAAAGACGGGCACCCAATGCCCACACGTGTAAGATTGCCACATATCATGAAGCAGCGAAACACTGCTGACGAAACCGTCTTAGTCCTGGAAGTCGTCAAAGCTCGATATGGACCAGTTACTCACGGCGTGTACATTGTGTTCTGCTGCTTCTGCAATATCTTGGGTAGGTTTCGATGCATTCCTGGGAAGACCCTGTGCATCAGAGTGCTAAGCTTGTGGCACAGTGACGGCGATGCTGCTCACAGGTGGATCTGCGGTCATCCAGAATCTCACAGGTGCCCCAGTTGCTGCTTCCGTATTCCTATTTCCGATTGGTACGTAGCACTGGATCCTCCAAAGCTTCGTGGTGTTGACAGTCGGAAAGGTGTGGTCGTATACACTCTTTTTGGCGGTATCAAAGCAACATTCATTACAGACTACATCAATGGCCTGGTCATTCTCATCATCATCTTCATCTTTGCTTTCACGGTCTACTCAACCAATCAGCTTCTCGGTTCTCCTGGACGAGTTTGGGAGATCCTCACCGAACTTGCAGCCGAACGACCCTTGTCTGGGAACTCTGGCGGGAGCTATTTGACAATGCGTTCTCAAGGTGGAAGTATGTTTCGTGTCTCCATAGTCTGGTAATTCTCATCTCACAATCACATAGTCGAATTCTTCATCATCAATCTCTGTGGAAATTTTGGGACGGTATTTCTGGACAACGGATATTACAACAAGGCGATTGCAGCGAGCCCTATCGATGCTCTTCCAGGTTATGTAATGGGGTAAGTCAAGAAGAGAAGCGGGAACCTGCGAAAATCACGTTTGCTAATAACTCTTTAGCGGAATCAGCTGGTTCGCCGTTCCCTGGCTGACGGCGACCACAATGGGTCTTGCCGGCCTCGCTCTGGAAAAGTACGACGTCTGGCCGACATATCCAAACCGTCTAGCTGCAGCGGACGTTGATGCTGGGCTGGTCTTACCAACCGCCGCCGTTGCCCTGCTCGGGAAGGGAGGAGCTGTTGCAACCCTCATTTTGGCCGCAAGTTAAACTTTTCTTCAAAAGCTCTTTACCTGTGCTAATATTTGGCAGTTCATGGCCATCATGAGCACTCACTCCTCAGAGCTCATCTCTGTCTCATCCATCTGCACCTACGATATCTACAAGACCTACTTCAACCCCACTGCCACCGGAAAGCAGCTCATGCGAATCAACTACATCGGCATGGGCGCTTTTGCTCTCGTCATGGCTGGATTCGCAACCGGCCTCAACTACGTAGGGATCTCCATGGGATACCTGTACCTGATGATGGGTGTCATCATCTCCTCCGCCGTCCTGCCTGCCGCACTCACACTTCTCTGGGATGGGCAGTCATGGGCTGCCGCAACCTTCAGCCCGATCATTGGGTTCGCTCTATCAATGACGGCATGGCTTGTCACGACGAAGATCAAGTACGGCGAGTTGAGCGTCGCCAGCACGGGCGCCAACGAGCCAATGTTGGCAGGAAACTTGACATCCCTGCTCTCGCCCATGATCTTCATACCGCTTTTGACTTTCATGCCGCCTTTCAAGCCCCAGAAGTACGACTGGCAGAGCATGCTCAATATTCGCCAGGCTGACGATCATGAGCTTGTTGACGCTGCTCATGTGGATGTGGAGAATTCGCCCGAAGAGAGGGCGAGGGCACTCCAGAACGAACCTGATGAACAGGTCAAGCTCGAAAAAGCAGCCAAGACTGCTCGTTGGCTGACTGTGGGCGTGACACTCATTCTGCTGATTCTATGGCCGATGCCACTCTATGGCACTGGCTACGTCTTTGGAAAATCTGTGAGTGTTGAGTTGGTTTTTATTAACTGGGCCACCTAGCTAACGTTTTTTGTCACAGTTCTTCACTGGCTGGGTCGTTGTGGGCATCACTTGGCTATTTGCCTCCGTGATCATGGTCGTCTTCTTGCCGATCTTCGAATCTCGGAGCACAATTGTTCGGACCACCCGGATGATGTTTAAGGATCTGTTCGGCCTGAGAGGAAAGGGCAAACCCGTCAGCGAAGGCATGTCGCCAGGTTCTAGGACCCCGCCAGAGGTCGCTGAGAAGGCTGAGCCAAAAGTTTAAAAACCAGCATGGCTATTTGATTATCTCTTTGAATCAATGAGGTGACAGCTTTTCTGCTAGAAGAATTATGTCTCGTCATATCAGTCGACGAGAGGTGTCATACGCGGAGAGAGTCTTGGCATAAAAGTTTGTAAATTTAGGACATAGTCTCACATGTTGGAAATATTCTTTTGGGCTCATGTCCTAACAGGTAAATATGTTCCATTCTTCTCACAGAAAGGGAAGCTATCTACACAAAGTTTGGTGTCCTATAAGCTTCAATGCTGCATTCAAATGTCAAAAGTAGCTCAACAAGAGCCGATAACTAGGTACTTAGTGAACTCCATTGGTCGTTCGCTCCACAAATTCGTTGAAAAATCTTGAGATGCCTTCAACGGCCTCAAATGCAAATATTCCGGCAACGTCTGTGTTGATAAAGTCAATCTAACTTTCTTAGACAACTCGAGGGAAATGATTAAGCAAACTTACATTGGTCTGGTCGGACAAGCACCATTGCCCCAATCTCTGGGTCAACGCCATATTTCGCATAGGCTTCGCCGTGGCCCGCATGGTAACTAGCATCATCGACGAGAACATTTCGGAGGACTGTTGGCACTCGTTAAACAACATCGGGTCCGCGAATTTCAAAGAAGACTGGAGCTTTGGGGAGCTCAGCATTCTCAACAGCCAGTAACTTACATTTAATTTGCCGAGTTCCAGCGGTTGGGGTGAATAGACGAGGTATCTTCTTTTCTTCCAATGATTTTCGATCGGATTTGAGTACTAATACTAGGCTGACAAAGCCGTGTATAGACTTATCAATGATGGGAAGCTGCCGCATCAACGCCTCGAGCTGTTCAGCGGCCTTGATACATGGTCAGTCTTGTTTTACGCACGGTGACGTGATAGTCATATATGGCCAGATTTTGTGAACTCACCCTAAACAGACGCTTCTCCCCGTGCGGTTGTGAGATATCGCCTGGGAAGACAACCAAGGACCACCTTGAGTCGGCACGAAGAGCATGTGAAAGTTGCATGGCTTTGGCGTCGGAGAACCGAACGACTTGCGCGGTTTGGAGTCTCGTTCCCACACCTACACCAGACGCCAATTTATCGTCCGTGCCAGGCCGAACAAGAATTGAGGGCTTATACTCCGTAGCTAAGCCAGCAGTGTACCTCCCTGACTTAATGAAATAGTCCTGGAAGTCTTCGGGGGTGTACCCATGCTCTCTTCGATATGTCGAAGAAAACATCTTGGCAAATTGCCTGTCAAAGTCGATGAGGCCCTTGGCAGTCTGGTGCCTTTCCGACACGTAAGTCTCCAAAATCGAGAGACTCGCATGCTTTCGGAGGACGGCAGCCAGTTTCCATCCAATGTTGTAGCCATCCTGGAGACTGACATTCATTCCCTGTCCAGCCTTGGGTGAATGCGTGTGGCACGCGTCGCCGGTAAGGAAGACGCGATGGTCCTTGGTGAAGTGGTCCGCGAGGCGTTGTCCGATAGAGTACGCAGAAAACCATGATGTCTCGGCAATGTCAACTTGGTACGGCTTGAAGATGCCGTCGATGCGCTCCTTGACCCTCTCGGGTGTAACGTCGCCCGGTGTCGACACTGGCATTTCCATGTAAAACCTGACCATTTCGTCGCCCTCTCGCGGGATGATGACGAGGTTCCCCGAGTCAGACTGGATGACGCTCTTCTTGCGGATGTCTGGGAAGTCTGTCCTGGGGTAGATGTCCATGACAGCCCAGACCACATCACTGCTATCGCCCACCATCTTGAAGCCCAGAGATTTTCTGACGGCACTATGGGCTCCATCACAACCCTGAGATCATTTGTCAGCCTCTGTCCGAGGCGGGGGAGTCTGGAGGTACTCGCCAAAGCATATTTTGCACGGTATGTGCGCTCCACGCCCTTCTCAATGGCTTTCACAGTCACGCAACGGGCGTCGGGGTTTCCAGCAGCCTGACTCTCGACAACGACTTCGCGAATGTCGCTCCCATACTGAATGTGCGACTGGCCAGACGACTTCACAATATCCTCAATCAAAATCTCGTTGATGCGTGCTTGGTTCAAAATGACATGGGGTAGATGACTGAGTCCAGGCTCGGTGTCCGGCTCGAGATGCGACCTGCGGATGCCGCCGCTGCCGTCTGGAGACCAGAATGCGAGTTCGAGAACGTGGTAGGCTTCCTTCAGCACGTCCTCTGAGAGACCCAGGTGCTCCAGGATTTCGACTGTGCGGACTTGCACGCCGTCTGCCTGGCCTTGCTTGAGGGGGCCTTCGCGTTGCTCGAGGATTTTGAAGTTGATACCGCACCGAGCTAGCCAGACTGCTGCGCAAAGGCCAGCTGAGCCGCTGCCGCAGATGAGGACGTCGTACTCTTCAGACATGCTGTGAACAAAATAATTACTATAATGCGGTATAGTAGGTGATCGACACAGTGTATTGTAATCGCAAATGAGTCCAAGTGCACTTGTTCGTCTTATACTTTCTACCTAGTTTACCGACTCGCTGTACTCCAGCTACCGAGGCGCGGGGTTAACAGCTATTTCCCCGGACTTCAGAACGTGCGGGGGGGAACGTCATGGAGTTCCGTTCATGCATGTCTGTCTGTCTATACAGATATGGCGCATCCGACCTCCGACGCAGTCTTCCGAGTTCCGTCCGGGATGTAAGGTCGGCAGCGGCGACGATATTCACCGAGCCATCGTCGCCTTTGTGGATCCGGATCCCGCGTGGGTCCCCATCGAGAAACCGTCGGAGGGCCCACGGCAGGTTTTTTTCACAAAAGGCCGGAGTGTCGGCCACAAGACGTTCATCTCAAGTGATGGTCCGTCCCTCTTCTGCCGTCTGGTGCCAAGAAAAGCGTGGCATGTCAGTGAATGTGTATGACGAAACCTGCTTCGCCTAAGCGCTTTATGCACCCCAATTACCCCTCAGTCCGCGCCTCAACACTGCCGCTTGGCTGCAAACGAAGAAAAAGCAAAATTGGGCAAAAAAAAAAAAGAGATAAGGGCAGCTAAATGGAACTTAGCCAGTTAAAACTGCTTCGGCGGATCATATTTCCATTTCCACAATTTTACGTCATCGAATACATGAAAGAATTTCTCCTACCTTTTCGCTCACCTGTGCGTCATCATTGCAAGTCTGCCCTCCTCCATAGCAACTGAAGCCTCAGCAAATCATCACCATGTCTTCTTCCATTATTCCCACTTCCACCTCCGTCGTTGAGAGCGCCGTTATCAAGGCCCCTCTCAGCCATGTCTGGCACTTCATCAAGCGTAAGTTTTTTTTTTTTTGCAGTCAAAACTGAACTCACAAACGACCTTGGGCAAAACGCTGATATTTCATTCTCGACACAGTCCAGAACTTCCAGAGCTTCTGGTCCGCTCTGAAGGGCAGCGAGTTCGTCAAGGCTCAGGAGGAGACTGATATTGTCCGATGGACTTTCCAGGACGGCACCGTTCTTGAGGTCAAGCAGGAGGAGCACAGCGTAAGTTCTCAACCCTGATCGCGGCTTTTGGTCTCATATTACAAACGGAGACTGCATGTAGACTGATATATGATCCAGACCATCAACCACTACATCACCTACAGCGTCATCACCTCCCAGCCTGAGCTGTCTTACACCAGTGTTGTCAGCACCATCCGCTGCTACCCCGTCACCTCTGGCGAGAGCGAGAACAGCACCTTTGTCGAGTGGACCGGCAACTTCTCCAGCGACGCCGACGCTGGTGCGTTAAAACTCTCTTCACAGATATCAGCTCATGGAGCGGGTTTTGCTAACGATCTCGTACAGGTGTCATCCAGGACGCCAAGTTCAAGCGCCGTGAGGCCCTTGCTGACCTGGCCAAGGCTGCTGCCAAGTTGTAAATTTCATGCAGCTGGAGATAGTCGAATCAGGAGGCCTCGCACTTGCCTTGTCAAGTAAGATAGTTAAAAAAGTAAAAGATACCACTTGTTATTCAATGATCGTAGTACCAATGACTGTGTGATGAGTTTGTTGATAGTTTCATGACAGCCACTCGATTTCGACTGGCCACTCAGATGATGTGAAACAAGCTTGAGGTGTAGCGTCATTGGCTCACATAAGCCTAGAGCTATCAAGTCACAGTAGACATGTGTTGCTTGGTACGTCAGTCATTATGCCAACAGCGGACGTCGAGTATCTAGAGGTATTCAGCTCATAATGTATAGTCAATAGATTCCACATATTGTCTATTGAATCATGGTTGTACATACTACAAAGTTGCGGGTCTGGAAAAAGAAAAGACAAATTTGGACTCGTCCTTTTCATGCCATGCCAAATGTCTTTCTCAGATTCACCAATTTCATCACCAGCAGAGCTTTCAACAGTTGCATGCCTACACTCAACTGCTGCCAGTACCTGTTCCGAGCCAATGGATTCCGAGTCAAGCCGAACAGCAACGACAGAGCGTATCCCACGATTGCAGCCATTGCCAGCTTTTTTGGCCAAGTACGTCCCCTCCGCCCTGGGTGAGTTGGCCCCTGCGACATGTCAGCAACTCATGGTCATATACCTCCATACCCGCAAAAGGTGCTTACACTTATACGCAAATCTCCAAAGTCGGGGAACAAGCAGCGATACCAGAAGTACGCTTGAGAGTAGGGATAGGTCGAGCCGTTCCACTTCTTGCCGTCTGAAGTGTTTTTCAGATACCAGCTCGTGCACCCCGTGAACCAGACAGTCTTTTGCATGTCAGCCTGCATCTGGTCGACGTACTGACGCTCCGCCTCTTGCGTCACTTCGACAACCGTTCCCTTGCCGTCCAGCACCGGCTTGATGATGCGAAGCGCAAAGTTGACGGAGTTCTCCGCTGCGATGATGGCGGATGTATGGCCTGTGAGAGAGTTCGGTCCTGAATCATGTCAGTCATCATCCCTCATGTCCATCACCTAGCAAAAAAAAAAAAAAAAAAAAACCACCCCCCCCCGACGGGAGAAGAGGGCGTGAACCCCCCCCCCCCCCCCCCCGCCGACCCCCCCCCCCCCCCCCCCCACCCCCCCCCCCCCCCCCCCCCCCCCCCCCCAAAAAAAAAAAAAAAAAAAAACCAGCCTACCGAGAAGGATGAAGAAGTTGGGAAAGCCGCTAGCAATCGTGCAGTTGTAGGCCTCGGGGCCACCAAACGACTCCCAATGCTGGTCAATATGCTCTCCGTTCCGGCCAACGACATCCAAGCCCCCCACCGCGTTGTTCGTCACGAAACCGTTGGCCAAGACGATGATGTCCGCCTCTGTAACGCCCTGCTGTGTACGGATGCCCTCTGGCACAATCTCTTGGATAGGATCATCCAGCAGAGTAAGGTTCTCCGCGTGCAAGCTCTTCAAGTACCCGGCATCGAAAATGCGCCGCTTGCAACCCAACTCGAAATCCGGTATAAGCTTATCATGATACTTGGCCGGCGCGGTCGCCCGCATGTACTTCTCCGCCCGCGCCCTAGCATGCTTGCGATACTTGTTCCCGGCCTCCGTCATGTAGAACCCGCGCAGTTCGTTCTCTGCCGCGGCGAAGACGAGGAACCTCTGCAGCGTCAGCGTGCCCGGCACATGCCGCAGGACCTTCTTCATAAAGTCCGTGTTCTCGTCATCGACGGGCGGCAGGACCCAGTGCTTGGTGCGGATCGCCTGGGTGAGGTGCTTCGTCTTGTCCACGATCGCCGGCACGATCTGGGAGGCGGTGCACCCGTTCCCAATGACCACGACCCTCTTGTCCTCGAGGTCCACCGTCTTATCCCACCGGGACGAGTGGAAGATGCGGCCCCTGAAGCTTGTCGAGCCGGGGACGTCAATCTCCCGCGGCTGCATGAGTTGGCCCGTGGCGGTGAAGAGGAACTGGCACTCGTGCGCAGACAATTTGTCGGTCTCGTAGCATCGTATGGTCATCTTCCAGCGTTTGCGCTCCTCCGACCAGACGCACTGCTCGACGTTGACTCCGAATCTCATCTTGTCTATGAGGGAGTACTTCTCGGCCACATCATGGAGATACTGCCACAGCTCCTGCTGAGGAGGCAAGACTCGGCTCCAGTCTGGGTTGGACTCGAAGGAGAAGCTGTACAAGGCGCTGGGCACATCGCATGCGCACCCTGGTACGTACGTAAATGTCAACAACTGCCGGGGCAGTGTTGAGCCTGATGCTCAAAAATGGGCATTGCCTACCTGGGTATTGGTTGATGAACCATGTTCCCCCGAGCTCGCTGTGCCGCTCAAAGAATCGGATGTCGCCAATGCCATACCATCGCTTCAGCGTGGCACCCAGCCCGATCGCCGAGAACCCGGTCCCAACGCATGCGAACTGACTGTAAGTGGGCGTTTCTGAAGCCTGTGACATTTTTTTTTCTCCTTTGCAAGGAACTGGCCCGTGATCTTTTGTTTTGGGAGTGTAGTCACGACCTACTCGTCATTCACTTCAGATAAACCGTTGACTGTTCTCCCAGAAAGGATGAAAATCGAAAAGTTAGTTTCAGGAAGCGGCCAAACACCCGCGGAGGAAGAATAATGCGGGGGGGGCATGTCGTCGTCGACAAGCTGGGTCAACGGGGTGTGTCTGTCCCAAACTTGCCTCGGCTCGTCCCACGTTGACCCGTCTCGTCCGAGGATAGCAAGCATATGCATGTTAGTACTTCGTGGTTGTGAAACCTTGTCTGAGCTCTTGAGAAACTATATGACCGAAGATCACCTTCATAAGATGGGGGATAGCACCCAAAAGTGGAGAGCTATGGCCGGGGGATGAGGGGAAAGATGGAGCTGGCAGCGGAAAGGTTACGATCCCGGTCTGGATCATTGGTGGACGATGTTCCTTGGCAGATCGGGGGACACACATGAGCTACGCGAGAATGCAACGGTTCGCAGCCGGAGCGCCGGGGTAATGGACAGGCTGAAGCTCCGGTCCCTCTCGATTCGGTTGAACTCGTCCAGCTGGGGGCCCTTGCAGACCCATCACAGCTAGCGAGCTGCATCTTCAGCTCCCAAGACGTGCTTAGCCGACAGGTATCTTGACGCGGCCCGAGAAGCAGAGAACGGGAAGGATTTGTGGATCGGTGAGCTTTGCTCACGTTTTGTCCAGTTCCAGTTGTGTATTCTTTTATTCTCACTACATGTACACATGCACTCAGAATACTCAAACCTCCAGCTCATGCTCAGATCTCCGCGGGCTCCACCATCTCAAACTGGCCAGTGGTGTCATCAATCTTTTGCCGTGGCGTATATGGAATGTCCTTTGCACTCGCGGTTGTTTCCCTTGCCAGACGCCACAGCCACTCAGGGCCGGCTCGCTGCACAGCAGTCGCGTCAGTTCAGTCGGAAGCATTGAAAGACGTGTAAAACTCACCAGAGCTGTAACTGACGACATAATACCGGGCAGATAGATCGTTCGTCCAAAGCCACTGTACAACGAGTTTACAATTGCCTCTCCCACTGAATCCACGTGAAGCAGCGGCATCATGAAGTGAGGCTGGCCGGGGTCAAAGGGAACCAGCGGCGTTCGGATGAAGCCAAAGATTCCAAGCGTTTGACGAACTTTGGGCGCTTTGTGAATGTACTTGAGCTCAAGTTGAAGTGACTAAGAAACATCAGCGACTATCCAAGCGATCAGAAGACCTGGGGGAGAAGGGGGATATCTTTTACCTCATGCATCGCGGTAAGTCCTGCCTTGGTGGCCGAATAATCAGCAATCCTCACCGGAGGGACCACAGAGCTCATGGACCCGACGTTGACAATATGCCCATGATTGGTGCGGACCATGTACGGCAGAAATTCCTTTGTAAGCAGGAAGGGAGCGACAAGGTTGGTCTTGATGGTTAACTCGATGTCTGCGTACGAGCCTTCCGTGACACTGTAGCCCCGTGCGATTCCCGCATTGTTGATGAGGACGGTGGGATCGCCGACCTGGGTTCGGATCAACGTGCAAAGAGTCTTGAGCGCCTTTGTATCGGTCAGATCGCACTTGAAGTAGTGGATCTTGGAGCCCTTTGGTGGCTCCCAGGACAATGGCGCCAGGTCGACGACGACAATGTTGGCCCGCGGATTTCTCGCCAAGATGTGTTTGATAATGCTGTGGCCGATACCGCTACTGCCACCGGTGACAACGATGATTTCCTTGTCGAAATTCCACGTATGGTCTGTCGTCCAGTTGTTCGCCGACCACTTGTTGAGATACTCCGTGGTTGACAAGACAAAGCTTGCCAGAGCTGCGAGGAACGCAACGCGCTGGGCGGTGTCAAATCTGATCTCTGAGAGTCCGACCGCGCCGCTTTTCCTTGCAGATACCACCGCCAGTCCGGTCGCGAGTGGTATCGATAGGTATGGATTGAGGACGGATTTTCGAAGCCATCCTGCGATCACGTCGACCGTGAATCCTTCTCGTGAAGTCAACATGGTGGAGTATTTTCTTTCATTGACTTGAGTAGATCATGGAAACAGCCGAGCTGTGTTTATCTATAAAAGAAGCTGTATTATTGTTCGAGGCCGATGTTTTAATCTTATGCACGAAACTGGCACGTTTCAAGGTGAGCCGAGAACGACCCCAACCGCTTTGCAGCCATCCCTCTCAAGGAGGAGCCGAGGTCCGGGGCCACTTCCATGAGATCAGACCGACCGATGTGATACCCCAATCTGCATGAGCTTGAGGTTTGGAGATCTACGCTTCTGTTCTCTGCACGTCAAAGTGAGGGGTATCTCCAACGCAGAAAGGCAAGGATCTAACCTGAAGAAGCGAGGTGATGCTACGTGGGATACCTGTTTCTGCGTGACGAGTCCAAACGAGTGCGAACGACCTGCCCATACCCAGGCTACCTTTACCACCCTGAACCACCTGGATTTATGCCTCGGTCGGGAGGGTCCGATAGTTGGAGCATCTCTTCGTTAGCCCGTGCCTCCTGCGGATTCCTGCGGACAGACATGTCAGTGATATTCTGAGCCACACATCTGCGTTTCTTGTTCCACGTCAAACCTCCTGTCTGAAGCTGTCTAAACGTCTCTCAGACTTCCAAAGCCACCGGGTTCCTCTGGGGCGGTGGTTGCTTACTCACTGCTCCAGCAGTCCTTTCTCCTTCATTTATGTCGGCCATATAGCTGGATTGCAGACATTTTTGACACCAGACGAACCCAAGGTAAGACTCTTTCCGGGTGCGATCATCGCGTGCGACGACCGGGCAACGACAGAAAAACGAAAATGTCAGTATCGAGACCGCAGCTTTCGCTGTGGGAAAAGAGAGATTTGGTCTTTCGCTTGTTATTTCGAGGTATGTCTACATGTAGCCTCCAACATGGCTCCTCATTTCCAGTGGGACAGAATGCTGGGCGACTGACTCCGTGTCGTGACAGCCCCGATACAACTGGTGTGGAACTTCTTCTACGGCGTCCCGTTTGCTATCGCGAGAGGCGTCTCGATTCGCTTCTTCGCGTTCTGCGCCTACTACCGTTTCGCGCTAGGATGCATGCGAGCGCGCGAGATACAATTCCTGATTCCTCCTTCCATCAAGACGTACGAGAAATGGATTGCGAGGAAGCAAAAGCGTCACCCCGAGCTCGCCGACAAGCTGCAGAAGAAGATTGAAATGCTCCCCGCCAACGACGGCTCCATCCTCTGGATCGGCAACCGACAAAAGGCCACCAAGTTCGTCCTCTTCTTCCACGGCGGCGGCTACGTCGTGCCGCTTCTCCCCGGCCATCTCGACTGGTGCTGGGAAGCGTACGTCGCCGGCGGTCCCGGAGCCCACGCCGAGGTGGCCGTCGCCGTCCTCCAGTACACGCTCGTCCCCGAGGCGCGCTACCCTACCCAGCTCCGCCAGGCCATCGCGGCTCTGAACCAGCTCATCCTCTCCGGCATCGACCCGAACAATCTGCTCGTCGGCGGCGACTCGGCGGGCGGCAACCTGGCGTGCTCCGTCGTCCGCCACATCTGCCACCCATGCCACCTCGAGATCCCGGCGCTGCGCCTCGAGAGCCGCCTCGCGGGCGTGTTCTTGGTGTCCCCCTGGCTCACCAGCAAGACGACGGCGCCGGCCTTTGCGGAGAACAACTACGTCGACATGCTCACCACGACGTGCATGTCGCGCGCCGCGGTCGAGCTGCTTCATCCGCGCTTCCCGGTGCGAAACAAGTCCGACGAGAGTGATCTTGCCATGGCGATGCCGATGGACAGCGACATGGCGTGGGTGGATGAGATTTCGACGGCGACGAACAGCCTATACATTACGGGAGGCCAGCAGGATGCTTTTCGGGATGATATTCGCGCCTTCTCTGAGCACGTCAGCTGCGGGAATAATGATTTGGATTTACTTGTTGAATTACCGGAAAGGGAGGCTCATGATTTCATTTTGCTAGAGGGTCAGACGGGGCGTGTTGGTGATGCCACGGTGAGGATGAGAAATTGGGCTTCTGCGCAGTTGGGAACCGGGCGCGTTTCAGTGTAGTCTAGCTTGGAGGGGCAATGAATTTGTTCATTCATGTGAGGGCGTGCCAGCCGTACTCTGATGTTTGATGAGAATAACTACGGGCCAGTACATCCTGGATTGTAGTCGCCGCTCATCTGTATTGTGACATTGTGAGCAAGACTGAGACTGAAGCAATTGAGTGCAATGTGCCGATGATAGTCAACGTGGTGAGAGGCGGTTTTCACTCACCAGCATGCCTCCATAGTGTAACAACGTGAACTTTGCCTGACTGCTTACAAGGAGGCAACATGTGCTCCTGAGTCATCATATCTCAACCCTGGCTCATTTAGTGCCTTGATCCTGGTCCTTACTCCAGGCAGAACGAGCGGTCTGGTCAATCAGAGGAGACATGTTCTGCATCTATCCGCACCACCTGCTCGAAGAAGACGACCAATGGCCAACAACCTTGCAAGGCGAGGTCCTCTGTGGCCATTCTGAGAGCGGGGTGGAAAGGGGTGCAAAGATAATAGACGCGTCGCGTCCAGAAACTCCAGGCAACAAGCGGCACAGCATCTCATGGAGCCTCTTCTCACAGCAACAACTTCACCGCAACATATAGATCTTCTGCGGGTTTCTTAATTTTCTTTCTTCTCCCTCTCATCCTGTGGGGTACTGGCGTGAGTCTTGGTCAATATCCAAAGATCATTCTGCTCACTCACCACTCCTATCCAGGCCGTGGCCCCCGTCGACGTGATGCATCCAGACCAACCCCCCCTCAACTGCGCCTACAACCGCGACGATGTCGTGGCCGGCCTCACCCAATACTACTCAGCCATCACGCACATGGCCTACATCCCCTCATCCTACGTCGACTTCCCCCCGCCAGGAGGCTGGACGGACGCCGACCTCGACGTCGGCGCCCTGCGCGCCCTGCGACGCTCCGAGGCCGTCATCGATCTGCTGCGCCATCTCCCCTACCCCAGACCGATGCACGACGGACCTCGTCCGGGCCCTTGGAACGTCGCACCACACACCAAGGCTGTGCGCTACCTCCGTCACATGGGACACTTTAGCCAGTGGTCCGATCGCGGCGACGCGGGGCTCCTCGAGCTGGCTGCCCTCCCCTCGCGCGACACGGGCGCTGCGCCGATGGACCTGCCGCCCGATATCGTCTGTCTCACCTTTGGAGAGCACCACTCTGCCACGTCGCCCACGAGGCCGTACTGGTGGATCGTAGACTGCGGCCGCGGTATCCTCACGCCGTATCAGGAGAGAATGTACAGCGTCGGAAAGGTGCCGCGCAACAAGCCGTGGCGGTGTGTCCGGTCGTACTCTGTGGCGGACTACTTCTCGCAGCTCGTGTCGAACCTGGGCGTCCGGCTGTTTCCCGTGCCGCCGACTGAGGACGCCGACGCCGAGATCCTCGACCCGCATGCCCTCTCGAAGACGCCGGAGCCGGTGGAGATTTATCGCCGTTACGGCTGGGGCACCGGTGATCTCCTAGACTTTGGACACGACGAGTGCATCGTCGCGCTCCAGGCCTGGCGGCGCCGGCTGCACGAGGAAGAGCGGAGGAAGATTGCTCAGGACGTGGACGATGCGGACGATGCGGATTTCGAGATGGACGACAGTGACGACGACGACGACGATGATTACGACGATGACGATGACGATGCGGCGGCGGGGAGAGAAGCGGGTGATGGGCTTGCTGATGCTGTGGCGGATATGGAGATGGATGATTTGAGCGCCGAGGTCGCTGCGTTGGGAGCTGACATGAGCCCGGAGGAACGTGCAAAGTTTAACTGCAGAGAGAATCAGTCGCACTTTGAGTGGATTGACTCTGAATGATTGGCATGTCGGCATGTGTTACGAAGCCATGAAAGTCTTCTTGATTTGCAACTCGTAGATGAGGTAGAGAATCATACAACGAGACGATGAAGAACGCTTCCCGCCCCAATGAGCCTGTGATATGGGAAACACGAGGACAAAATCATCGGAGGCATCACATCACGTCTTCGAACCATGGGCAGTCTTCTTCACTTCATGCGCCCAGTCTGGGCTGTTCCCCTGGCTGTGTTTCTTCAACAAAACCATAGAATTGCCTCGCAGAACATCCGGCGCAATCATCGACCCCCGCGGGTGCGAGGCAACAAAAGCCTCATAGGAATGAACCTGAAGCTCAATCGCCGAATCCGGACAGTACGGGAAATCCGAGCCAAAGAGAATGTGAGACGGATCCGCAAAATCGAGCAGGCCACCGAGCTGCGTTGGGCTACCACTCAACGCCGTGTCGTAGTAAAACCGAGCAAAGCCGGCTTGGGCAGTCTCGTAATCCACGGCAACGGCGTTAGCGATGGCCGGGATGGTGAGAGACGTTAGCACACGGCTCGCCAGGAATGGAAGGGTTCCTCCGGCGTGCGAGAGGATCACGTCCACGTCGGGAAAGGCGTGGAGCGTCCCGCTCAGGACGAGGTCCACCGCGGCCCGCGTGGTGGCCAGAGGGTAGTCGACGATGGGCTGCGGGAGGACTGAGGCTATGAGTTTGGGCGTCACCTCGAGGCCTGTCGGATGGAGGAAGACGAGAGCCTTGTTGGCTTGTAACTTTTCCCAGATGGGCTTGAAGGCTGGGTCGCCGAGCAGCTTGTTTCCGTACGAGGTGAAGACTGTGACGCCGTAACAGAGTTTTTGTTGCTGGTATAGAAAGTCGATTTCGGAGATGGTGCCGTCGACGTCTTGCCAGTCAGGCAGGACTCCGAAGAATCCAAGCCGTTGTCCTGCTGGTGACTTTGTAATTTGGTCTGCGAGGTCGTTGTTCAAGGAGCGCGCAAGCTTCCGTCCGTCCTCACCGGTTCCTGCAATCGACGCACCGGGCGCAGAGACGGACAAGATCCCTGGTGGTTATGTCAGTTGCCTGTAGAAATGATCACAACCCTCCCCTGAAAGATGGACCCCACCTATCGCGGTGCCGGTATTGTCCATCAGATTCAGAGTGGCCTCCAATGACCATTCAGGAGATGGGAACCCAGAGGGGTCCCCTCCCGCGGCGTTCACAGCGGCAATGTAGGCCGGAGGAAGGGCGTGGATGTGAGTATCAATACGCCCTGCCATGGTGTACTGATCGTTGAATTTTTTCTTCTGCTTCAGTATCTACAATCGTACCGACTTGCTATAGTCACATCGTGCATATTGTTAAATACATCTCATCGAGTGTCTGAGGTATCCCTAAGTCCCCGGCGAACACGGAGGCACGGCACCGATGGCCGACCCCTCTCGCAGCCGACTTGCCGAACTGACCGAATTGTTCATTGGCTGTTGTCGTTGTCAAATTGTCGTCAGCTCCGACTTCCGTTATAGAAACGGCATTCGGAGTCTGCAAAGACCGCGAGCGAAATCGAGCCGTACGAATAACGAGAGCCACAACGGTACTCAGATTTAGCGACTCCTTTAAGCGGGAAACCCCCATGTTTCAAGCTTCGACGGTGAGTCCTATTAAACAGAACAAATCACTTCTGGCCGGGACACTAATGCCAGTGAAAAGAACGAGAGACTAGGCCTGCGTGCTACTTTGCATCTGTCTAACAAATTTGGCAAAGTTGTCGTAAACCACCTTTTCAGATCCTGTAAGAAAATTAGAAGCTGAGCATCCACTACCTGCCCATGCATACATACATGTGCTCTCTGATATCGTAAAATACCACCATCACAACGACACTATCTTTTGACAACCGCAAGTAGCCAAATCAAGTCGCAGTATGGGCCGACAAGTACACGTAATGTACCAATTGAATGAAATGTCACTCGTTTAACAATGACTGCCAGCTACACTAGTGTCTCAAGTGTAAATGCATGCTTCTCTATACCCTACGGAGTCACGTGGGCATCTGAAATAGGCTCCGAAATCTGCCTACAGAGTGCCAGCCTGCCCGTATGTCCCTAACCATGTCTGAAAATATTCTTCAAGCAGACGAGACAACGATCATGCCTTCGGCTTGATGGGCAGGATGGAAGCAAGGATGCCAACATGTACAACCTTCGCTCAAGACCATTTCTCGCAATGGCTTAATTATACCCAGTAGCCGTGCGAGCTTCTGAAATGTCCGAAAAGAAATGTTCGCGATGAGCGGTTCTGGACCGGGAGGATCGTTCCTCAAGACGCGTCACCGGGTCTCCCTTATGTAGTGTGACATTACCTCTTACTTGTCACCTCACGCTGTCCTATTTTGGGTCCTACCTCACCAGGCTTCGGAATTGACATTTCTGCTGAAGGTCTGCCCATGAACCGCTGCTGAGAAGGCCGTCGCTCATGGTTGTATCTCATCTTTAAGATTCAACCAGTATTTTTGTTCACAGTCTTGATATGCGCTTCGTCTTCCCAATCATCATCCGGGGAGGTATCGACCGCACTTCCAGAGGATGTCGCAGATAAGACAGCCCTGGGGAGTAGTGCCAGGTACTTACTCTACTCAAAGCGTCACATGTGATCTGTAGCACCGCGCATTGGGGACTGGCAACTGACGAAATTCCTGACGGAAGAGTGACTACCACAGCCTTGGCAGTCTTGCAACACATGCTGCAAGGTTCTTTTGTCAGCCCTAGTCGCATCCCTGGCTGCCTTCTTGTTACATTCTGCCAACCTGTATGCGCTTCCCCCCTGCTAACTCATCCTTGACTTGATATAACATCGGTGGTGATTCCCTCACAAACAAGTCTAATGTGAACCTGAGATAAACATCCTCTCTTCGCTGCTTGCGTGTTATCAAATAGACCTTGTTTCAACTCGCCTGGTAAGCATGCAAAGCTGCAGCCAATTCAAACTAGAAGCCCTGACTAGCTTACGATCCATAAGACCAGTTGTGCTCCGCAGAAGTGCGAAGAAGGACTCCATTGAAGAACCTCTCAGCTGCCACTTTGTAGAAGCAAGCGTGGATTGCTCGCCCTCTTATGTTGCACTCTCTGATACCTGGGGTGGAGAAGAGCCTTGTGAACCGCTCATAATCCAAAACGCCGGACCTGCTGAGAGACAGCTATTGATGACCCCTAACTGTGCTGCAGCATTGAGGTTGCTACGACGATCGCTGAGTCGGAAAATGAAGAGTCGTAGTAGCCTGAGTGTCTGGGTGGATGCCATCTGCATCGACCAGTCTTCCAACGACGAAAGAAACGCTCAGGTGGCCATGATGGCCGAGATCTATCAGCGTGCAAAGACTGTTGTCGTCTGGCTCGGCGAGGATCATGCACCCGCTACCTGGGGCAGCTTGGCATGCTCGAAGCCTTTGGCTCTGTTTTCGCGCCTGAGAAACGATCGCGATCTCAACGAGGGAGTCAAGAGTTTGGCAGCCAGAATCGCTTTAAAAGGTAAAATTGTGGCGCATTTTTTTCTATCTATTATGAGAGATGATCTGGCCTTCCCTGACCAAGAGACCCAGTTTGCAACAGCGATACACTGAATCACTTGAGACTGTCACCCTACTGGACTCGGGTATGGACGCTACAGGAATTCGCACACAAGAACGCCGCTGTCCTGTGTCGCGACTCCGGACTCTTCGTCTTCTCAAGCCTCGCGCGTCTCCTTGCGGTCGCACCCAAGGATGAGAGCGTGCCTAGTCAACAGGGGATGTACCTACATGTAGACCTCTACGAATGGCAAGCGACGACGACGACGCGCCCATTCCGCGCAGCGACGAATCAACTGCGCTAAGTCCTCACAATGTAGGCGTCTGAGCCCCGTGACAAGATCTTTGCGTTGAGGGCTTTGTCGCCGAGAGTGCTCAGGAAGATGACGGTGGACTACCGACGACCAGTGGGGGAGGTCTTTCGGGACGCGACGAGGCTCATGGTCGAGGAGGAGGACAGCTTGCGGGTGCTGTACTTTTCGAATCGGCAGAAGACTATGGCTGGTGTGGCGTGGGAGACTATGCCGTCCTGGACCGTCGACTTTGCGACGACGGACTCCGAAGTCAGGGGGTCATACAAGTACTACTATACCAGTCTCTGCGCGGCTTCTGGCGGGACTAAACCTTACTTCGCCTTCTCAGGCGACGGGAAGAGGCTAACTCTCCGGGTGGTGCGCGTGGGACAGGTAGGGAGCTTCGTGAGCGATAACTTCCCAACCAAGAGCCAGTGCGTCGGCGGGAGATGCGTCGTCGATGATCAGAACGCGAACGACGAAGATAAAGACAGCGGTTCGAAGTCGCCCTTCCCGCACAGCTGTGAAAATCCCTACCTAGACGTGCTCGGTCGCTTCATGACGAGCGTGACGCGCACCGTCTGGGCAGGGCCGAAGCTGCATGCCATGGGCCGGAGTCTCTACGAGTTACTCTGGTGGATCATGCAAGGACCAAAAAAAAGTATGAATGGTCGACTCCCATGTCATCAACTTCATTATCGTCCTCGTCGTCTTCCAACGCGGTGTTTCGAGGCATGTCCGTAGTCTCCTCGCTCGTCGAGTGGGACTCGTTGCGCTGCGGATGCCAGTGCCGGGTGGAACTGCGACTGGAGCGGCTGTTCTTCACCTGTGATCGGAGAGCCGGGTTCGGAGTCGTCGGCGTTCGTGAAAGGGATTTTGTTTGTCTTCTCGCTGGCTTGGACCATCCTTTCATCTTGCGGCCTTGCAAAGGGGAGGCTGAGAGATTTACGCTGGATGGCCCTGCCGTGTTTGCAGGTGTGATGAGTGGTGAGTCCTGGCCGACTGGCGTGGATGAGCTGGAGGACTTGGAGATAGTGTAAGAAGTGTAAGAATGTTCTGTCGACCGATGTGAGACGCCTTGATGGTTTAACGGATTTCTTTTCAAGGCCTGTCGGTTGTCTTAAGAACATGGAGTTATCAAATACTACCGCCGCTTGTCTTGTGTGCATATTTTGACCCTGTCCTCCGCCCCAAGCTAGCCTCTTCTCAACCAAACACGAACCTTAGTATAATCGTTTTCGAAGATCACTCAGGAAAGCACTCAGGAGAGCCAAACGGCGGACGATGATGTTTCGAGGCGAGCATAGTAGTCCATCGTCGTTTCTTTATCCCGATGAAATAAATCCAGTCGCTTCGTTGAAGTCACCTTACTCCTCAACGTTCATACTCTAAGAGAAGATTTTGATGCCTTACTGATGGTTCGTTGATTTCGTGTTCTGCGGTTTTTATGAGCTAGTTTATGACGCCCCGTTGCATTTGTTTCCCTACCAAATCTAGCATGATCACCAATACAGGAAATATCCCCAAATCCCAAATCTTTGGGTCCTAGACGGGATTTGCACGTCCCAGCACAATGGTAGACATCGGTTGATTAAGAAGATCCTGCGAGCGTGTCCACCTGTCCCCCGCTGTCACATTTGCAGCCGTGCGCACGTAACGGTTTTGACAGACCGAAACATGAGACACGTCAGCATAACCAAGATGAAGCTCGGTCTTGACAGTCCTTGTGATAGTAGAGACATTGCAGGTTATCCCATGGCCGGAAGCAATGCAACCACCGAAAGCTACATGTACCTGTCCCATTGAAGCCAATAGGGCTGCGTAGGGCAACTAGACTATCTCCCCGATGCTGCAGACCTGGTCAAAGACCGGTTGTTTGCGGCCGGAGAGGGGCTCCGGTAATTCACGGTAGGAAGACCCAAAACAAGGGGTTGCTGACTGACAGTCGGCCCTCCGCATCGACATAGGCTGGTATATGTGCCTTGGGCACACCTTGACACGACATGAGAGGCCCAGTATCTCGGTATCGGGTTCCATGTCAAGACTGCATTCCCCGGAGCAACTCCGGAGTCTGGAACCTATCGCGCGCTTTCGGCCCAACTGACAAGGTTTGACTTAAACGTAGGTTCGGACTATTTCGCAGAACGCCCAATAGAAACCTTCACCAACCGAGCCCGAACCGAGTCTCACCCACTACGCAGCAAGGCGTACGCCACACGCAGGAAAGCAACCTCGCTCCCCGATTAAGTTATGTTCTTGAGTTGACTTTGACATATATAAATTGTTGCACCAGACTTTGGGGAGCACCCATCGTTACCTCAGCGGCTAGCCGGGCAATACCACCGTTGAAGGACCGGCAACTCGTCTAAGCGCCGCCAACACGCTTGACACGCTTGCCCACAGCAGGTTTTTATACATCTTGTGCGATGTACCTCCCAAAGTAGGCCATGGTTCAAGGATGGACGTGAGTTCACACCGAGAACTTCGCGAGCGCCCAGTCTAGTACCCTAGCGCAGTCACTGATACCTCCTTCCTCAAATTCCCAGCAGCTAGAAAGAAGTTCCTTCTGAGCAATGATTGTCCGCCTCCAATTCTGAGAATATGTGACCTTTGTAGGCATGTTCAAAGACGGAATGCTCTGCGCGCGCTCGGCGGCCGTCAATATCAAAGAACAGGTCACAAAACCTCGTAGCTGCAACCAAAGACCATGGTGAGGCGTGGACGGCGTAGCCTGAATTCTAAATAGACAGTACTGCAACCCTCTCGAAGCAATTTCTGCTACCCTAGAAACCATGTGCTCCGACACCGTGGGCGCGATGGAGATGGTGGACTCCAAGCGCACGAAAGGTCTGCACAGCAGCTCTCTCATCGCCAGGTAGCGTCCGCGGAGCATTTGGCAAAAGTCATCACCCAGGGGGGCAATATCCCCGTTGGGTATTTGGAATGATATCGGGGGAGGTAGTGATTCGTACCAATCCGATAACTGGGCATCAAATACCTCGAATACCTCGAGCATACGGTCAATGCCGTGCTCCGTCGGGTGTGGTGGTGGACATCGTTTTTGGGCTTGCGTGATGCGATTTATGAGGTGTCTTGCGGAGATCTCGGCTATGTAGTAGTACCAGGATCTTTGCTCCATCATGAGGGCTTTATTTTCCAGGTTCATGACACCAAGAGTAGGGGGAGTAGGCAAGTTGTAGGGGTAATCCACACCGGCGAGAATCGAGCCGGGGAGAGACAGCTCAAAAGCAAGGTCGCTGCAACTAGATCTTAGCCAATGATCAAATGTTCTACGGGAATGAAGTTGGGACTGAGCATACCATTCAGACTTGAAGCAGGTGAAGTACAGAATCTGCTCCAATGAGAGTGACTGGAGAGAATCAGGCGTCTCGGCTTTCCCAGCCGGCATGGTCAGTCTGAGATGGAGGTCAGCCAAGATGAATCCAAGCATTGCCATTTGCCAAGGGGATACCAACCTGTTCGTGAGCGATGTGGTGTACCAAGTGTTGCTTGCCATACTGAAACATTTCCACGCTTGTAGGGGATCCATGTTGTACATGTGCCACATTCTGCCGTGCTAGTCAGCCTTATTGAACCAAAAACAAAAAAGACAAGTAAGTCAACGACGCGGGAGCGGCCGTCTTACCCTGCAAGGCACAAGCATTGTACGGACACCCAACCAGGTGACCCCATGGAGAAGCCAAGCCGCTTCTCAGCGACTGACCAGTACCTCGACGCGAGATGGCGATTGGGCTCCACGGAATACCCACGAGGGGTCCCGCTTGGCGTCCTCTGCCCGGGTCTCTGGGATATGGCGCCAAGGGCGCAGGTCAGCGCGACGATGCAGGTGGACGCCGACCAGTCGGGTCCATTCTCCGCAACCTGCTTTAGCATTTGGCGCAGCATCTGACTATCGACGACGGGATTCATGGGATGAACATTGGCCAAGAACAAATCCACCAGCCGGGACAGCTCGTAGAACTCCATGGCCGGGGGCGATCTTGGGGAAAAGATCTCCCCACGTGGGGAAGCGTGGCTGAAGGGGTCTATCGCGAAGGGCACCGGTTTAGGAAAGATTGGCCACTCCAGCACGGAGTCCAGTCCGGCGGCTTCTGATAACGAGGGACGGATGAATTGCTTGGCCCCGTCGGCGGCACTGCCGCCTTGCCCAGAGAGGATATTATCCTGGCGTCCCCCTTGGAAGGTCGGGCTGTCCGGATAGTCGCTCGAGTCACGGGACAAGTCGCGGCTGAGTTGCGGGATGGCGCGAAAGTTGTCCTCGTTGCGTTGGATGAGGTTGGCCAAGTTCTCTATAGCTCCCAGTAAACGTGGTCCCACACCCTGACATCTGATCGGATCATCCACACCCAGTTAGTATCAGTCCGGAATATGTGCTGCCCACCCGATTAAACTGGCAGCCATCCCCGGCAAAAGTGTAGCCCGAGGCCCCCCGATCAGACTTAAGGCCGGGAGGCCCGTCAAACGTAAAGTAATGTAAACTTACAATGAAGTTGCCGGAGCCGAGTCTTCGATATAAGTGCAGGTTGCCCCAACCCTCCTGCAGTAGCCGCATATCGGTCGTTCATTGTCGCATTTTGTCTTGCGGCCACGGCACGTCTGGCAGGCAGACGAGGCACGCGACCAAGTCCTCTGCTTCGGCATCCTAGGATCAGCTTGCTCGACATGTGCGTGATCGATGCCGGAGCGATCAGGAGGCGATCCGCCGCCGCCGACCGGCGCCATGCCCATGTCGGGGAAGCCCCGAACGATGTCCATCCTCATCCTCTTCGGCGGTGGGTCCATGGCGACGATAAATGACTCCTGTAAACCTCGTTTTTCGGAAGCATCTCTCGTGTCGGGGAGAAGAGCGACGGTAAAATGTGAGGGGGGAGGTAGGATGCTTGGCCCTGTCTGGGGATGGCGAGTTTAATTATCATGCAGCACTGATCACCGAACCCCCGCAGAACTGTTTCACATACCAACGCAATGGCCTCGGGGAGCTTGGAAGCTCCTCAATGACTCGCTCTATCTACATGTCATAGATTTAGTCTTCAAACGTTTGCGCTCGGGGACCCTTCCCGGTGAGACTTTCCAGCGCGGCTCTGGTCGGGGGGCTTGCCGTCCGTGTAAGTCAAGGGTAAAGCTTTGTCAGGTTGACCACTCACCGAGATTCCCCTCGGCGGCGTTAGCCCATCTTAACTCCTAAGTCGGGACTGTCGAACGTTCACCGAGTCCGGCCAAAAGTGACCTGTCCTTCGTCTCCCGAGTTCCGTAATAAAGTCCCTCACTCACCCGGCACGACGGGTCGGCCACCCAAGCTAACGATGATCTTGAGGAAGAATCAACAGCCCGTGGGGAAACCGCACACATTTTACAGGGTCGACTAGGGTACACCGGGGCTTACTTGCGTGGGAACTCCTCCAGTGCCCGACCGTAACAATCCCAAGATGGGCTTCCTCAAGTCAAAGCCGGCCAAAAAGATGGCCGTACAAGCCGTCGGGTCTGACTTGCTCGCAATGTTGGCCTCCACTCCCGTCCCCTTCATTGCGCGGGCATCGACAACAGGGGACGCAAGTCAGAAGCCTATGTCAACAGGAACTCTAACATCGGCTCAAGTTCCTGCCTGAAAACCCTGCACCATGGTATCACACTATGCACCTGCTCCTACTTAGCCTGACACTATTGGTATCCAAGCTGTCGTCGGCTTTGGTCCATGTCGGCTTGGATGGTATATCACCGCATGGTGTAAGACGTGTGAAATGCTGGCCTTACACTTGGAATCAGGTGCCATGATAAACGGGCTGCAGACCATCGAGCGATGGCGCGGTTATTTTGGTGGCCCGATTCCATCTGTATTCGGAAGAATGAACGCTGTATATCCCATTGACAAGATCATGGATATCATCCCAGCTCTATATTTGGCGGACAAATACGGCAGAAAAACGACCATGTGGATTGGGCTCTTCCCTCTCCTTGTTGGCGCTGGCCTACAGGGCGCAAGTACAAGTCTGCCCATGTTCATCGTTACATGATGGCTCCTCGGCGCCGCAGCCGCCTTCTCTGCGTAGCCGGCGCCGATTCTCATAGCCGAGCTTGCCTACCCGACTCAACGAGGCGAGATTTCGTGTCTCTACAACACAGTTTTTTGTGATTCAGCTCTCACACCCGCAAGGTCCAGGTGTGTATGTAAGAGATTCCAGCTGACACAAGTGCTATAGTTCTTCGGAGCGATCTAAGCGGCTTGGTCCACCCGCGCCACCTTTCGTCTGACATCGACAAGGAGTTGGGGAATCCTGTCCATCTTCCAGGCCGTCCTCCCGGCGATTTAGTTTGATTTCTTCTGCTTTGTGCCAAAATCCCCAAGACGGCTCAATATCTATAATAAAACCGAACAAGCTCGAAATACCCCACCCCGCTACACGCAGGCGGCGATGCCTCCTCGCCTCTCGTTGATTACGAGGTCAAGGAGATCCAGGAGAATGTCCGTCTCGAGAACGAGCCGGTACCCAAGCCTTCGTACCTTGAACTCGTCAGGATAGCACACAACCGCCACCGTACGCTCATTGCTGCCATCCGCGGTCTCGGAGCCCAGTTGAAAACGTTGCGGATAGGAAGGTGTAAGGTGGTAGACCAAACCCAAGTTGAAGAACACCTACGTAGGCGCGAACGTGCTGCGCTCTGCAATCGACATTCAAGGTTCATCTCCATTCCACAGATCCTCTTACACTACTGGCCTACGCAAATTTGTAGAGCTACACCCCATGATGGGTGGACTTTCATCCGAATTCCAGCTACCAAGTTCGCCCTACCGGTGCTTCTTCTTAGCGTCACATTTGCTCGGGATGAATCCCAGCCCATTGGAAAATTCTAAATGGGTACTCTGGCTGATTCCCATTCCATTAGGTGTAGACTCTTCTGAGGCTCCGGGTCCGGTCCGAAGCATGGCCATTGCGTGCGAGCATCATGCGGCATGCATACTGGATCCAGCAATTTTCTTCAGCCAGACTGATTCCTGACAAATCTCCTTCCCGTAGCAGCGGCGGAAAGATGTCATCCTCTTTGAGTGATGCTTGCCTGCGTGGCGGGATTCGAATCTCCATTTCGTCAAATCCCTCGGCTGTGTTCTCCTATTTTCTTAATCGACGCAGCAACGGCGGGGGGTAGCTTGCACCAGATAGTGAGCTTTCCCTTTCTCAATCATGTCCAAACGAAGAATAAATCAGTCTCATCAGTTCTCGTCGCGGATTGCAAAGTTCAAGTGTCATTCCGTCCAACATTCTCTCAGGCGATGGTCTCATCTCCAACTTCAGGTTGTGACATGTCTAGCAGTTCTCCAAAGGAAAAGGCGTTCTGTCGGGACCCCCGCTATGTACAACCCCCGCATTCGCTAGGGGCCCACAGGTTCTCATCCGGACAAGTTTGTTGGAGGGTGGGTAAGCAGTCCATTATTCCGCGTGGGAGCACGCCTTCGAGCGAGACTCACGGCTGACGGATGTCACGGAAGTCAGATGCAGGCAGCGCCGGGTTGCGACCTAATTCGGAAATTTTGGTCAAGTTTTGGCCGCCTTGACAGAATGCGGGCAACGGAGCTGTGCGGGGGGAAAAGTGAGTAAATAAGCAGAGGAGGATAATCCCATGCTAAGTATCCGTAGACAAAGAAGCTGGGGTAAGATGGGGGCATGACTCGGACGTTTCCCGTTTGAACAAATCATGTTTCGTTCCGCTTTCCGCTTCCCGTCGATTCTATGTTCCGGCCCATACTTCTTCCCCTCCACAGTCTGGAGAAGTGCCATGGGTAGCTTCGGAACTCGGTGCCATCCCCAGACTTTCAACCTTTTCCCATCCAAACATTTCGCACCCGAGCTCTGCGTATTCTCCGCAATCTCTCCTTGTCTTACTCGACCGAGGTCTGTCCGAGATCCATGATCTAAATCTGTCTAAAACTTGCGGCTTCCGAGATAACTCGTCGCCATTTCGAGATCTGTCTCGTTTGGGGAGACTGCAGTCTCCGGCGGAAGACCTCCCTACCCCACCGCTGTCGCTGTGCGAGAGGATAGGAGAAAAAACAATGGAGCCGAAGCCAAAGCGAATCAAGATTGATGTGGCATGTGACACATGTCGAAGGAGGAAAGTCAAGTGTGATGGAGCACGTCCAGGTAAGTCGTCGGTGAGGCTTTTCGACTCCGCGGTAGAGGGACCCTGCCGCTCCGAGAGTCTTGGCCTGTGAGGTCAGATAGGAATGATATGAAATCGTGTGAGCACACTTTCTGGAATACTTGAGCTCGCCTTTGGACGATGGAAATATCAACGGGGGATCGCGTGCGCTTTTGACCGTGCAACGGCTGATAGCAGAGCATACATGTAGCGTGCGGTAACTGCTGGAAGAGGACCGATTTGAAAAATGGCTGCACCTACACCGCTGAGGCCGAGAAGTCGATCTCGGGTGGTAGTAAACCTGCAGACGCGAGTCCGGGCAATCCCGAAAGGGCAATGCCCAAGATTGTCCACACGCCCGAGACCAATTTTGTGCAGCCAGTGATGCCTCCCATCTCGCGCTCAACTCCGAGTGCGACGCCCAAATCGACCGCGTCCTCGGGGCCAGGCCTCACGAGGCGAGGCCGAGGGGAACGGCACTCTACCATCATCCCGTCCGATGCCAGTTCGTCAGTTGTCGACTCCATGACTACGGTCCGCGAAGATGGTACGGTCACTAGCGAGTATTTTGGGAGTAGCAGCGCTGGATCTTTCACCAACCAGATCAAAGCTGCCATCGACGCGAGGCTGGGCTCTTCGACGACGGAGGCCGGGAGTGTGAGGAGCTCATTCTTCCGTTCGACTCTGCCTCTTAACGGCGCTGGTCCGGGAGGGCAAGCTGATTATGTCCTGCCGGCTCGGAAGCAAGCTGATCACTTGACCGATCGTTACTGGTACTACGTCGACCCATTATATCCTTTCCTGGACCGACAAAGATTTGAGCACTCGTATCGAGCACTGTTTGCCGGGACCTCGCTCGATGCAGATGAGCGCATATTTGTGAGCACTCTCAACATTGTATTCGCGCTCTCTACGCAGTTGATCGAGTCGCTGCCTGCGGACCAGAGGGACTCGTCCAGCCAGGGATACTTCACACGTGCGCAGGATTTGCTACAGCTCAGTCTTTGGGATACCGGCTCTATCGAGCTGATTCAGTGTCTGTTGATAATGAGCCAGTACCTGCAAAGCACAAACAATCCTCACCAGACATGGATGATTGTCGGTTCCGCCGTGAGAATCGCCCAGGGCCTGGGGCTACACCTACCAGAGACGACGTCGGAAATCTCAAATGAGACCGAAAGAGATCTTGTTAAGCGGATATGGCATGGCTGTATCTTGATGGACCGGCAAGTGCCCTTTGAAGACCGAATCTCACGCGCTTGACACTTCTAATGTCATTGATGACTAGAATGATCGCCATCACACATGGACGTCCAGCAATGATCTCGGATCAGATGGCGTCAAGTGTGGTATTTCCTTCAATACCAGACACCAACACCACCAGCCTCGACGGAGTAAAACTAGGCGCCGTTCAGCTCCACAAGCTTCGGTATCAGGCCTTCTTCCACAAGTCGCTCGAACTCTATGAGGTTATCAATCACGCAGTTCTCGCGTTTTACTCGTCAACATCGCCCCTCAAGTCACCTACGTATACCAATGGCACTAGCAGCCCGACTCAGCGCTCTGCAAACAAACCTGAGCTTGATCTCGGGAAAGCGTTACAGCTCGATCAGCGGTTGACGATATGGGAGAAGAGCCTACCCAGCTTTCTGACCGTGGCCGAGCCTGAGACTTCATTGGATGAAATCTTCCGAAGACAGGCTGTAATCCTGCGGATCAGGTAAGTCCTACACCCCGCCGCGAATTTCAGAGTTATCTGCAGTCCAATCGTTGTGATTCAGGGAGCCCACCACTAACAAATTTCGAGGCTGCTCCATGCCCGCATGCTCCTCCTCAGACCCATGCTCACTCGATTCTGCCTCTCCCAGAGTCCGGAAAGCTCCCAAGTCCATGACGATCTTTCATCTCGCGTCGTTCAACAATGTGCAATGGTGTGCGTCGAAGCCGCACAAAGCCTCATTTCCTTCATCTCGCAGTTCCAGCGACATAACAGCACCCTAGGCCTCCTCCCAGCTTGGTGGTATCGCGTATTCTACATCTATACAGCCGCTACCGTTCTCATCGCAGCCAGACTTCGACCCGCCGTCTTCTCATCGCTTGATATCTCCCGTTCGTGGAACCAGGCTATAAGTTTGCTCCACGACCATGAGAATCTCGGACCTTCTCCGCGAAGATGTGCCGCGGCGCTCCAGATCCTTTCGAAAAAGATGTTCCAGGGGCAGCATCCTCAGTCGGCCGCTCCCCTCAACCCAGAAACTACTCCGGCGGTCGCCAGCATCACCAACGAGCGGCAGGAGACCTTTGATATGCCCTTACCCTACTTGGCACATGATGCAGCATTTGACATGGATGCAATCACTTTTGACATTAACGATTTCTCTTGGCTTAACAGCATGCCCGGAAGTCTATAATTGGCTATTATCAACCATCATCATGTACATTCACATCCCAAATACCCGGCTATCGCGCCTTGAATGCTCATTTTCAAACTCGTTGATGAGGAACAATCATCTCATTCGTAACTACCTTCTACTCAAACACCATCTTGTTCCTCACACCTCCCAGCTTACTTATCCTAACCTCCACCACGTCCCCATCATTCAAGTACTTTGGCGGCTTCATGCCCAGCCCAACACCCGACGGCGTTCCAGTCAAGACTACCGTCCCGGCTTCCAACGTCGTCCCCTGACTGAGGAAGCTGACAATCTCCTCCACGCCAAAGAGCAAGTCGCCCGTAGTCTCATGCTGCCTTTCCTCGCCGTTGACAAAGGTCTGCAGCAGGAGGTCGCTGGCGTTTCCAAGTACCGCCGGAGAGACCAACACCGGACTGAAGGGGGCAAACTTGTCGAACCCTTTGCTAAAGCACCACTGGGGTACGCCGCCGGCTTTGGCTGGGTCTCTCTGCCAGGCTCTCGCCGAGACGTCGTTTGCGGTGAGGTAGCCGGCCACGTATTCTAGAGCCTTGTCCTTGGGAATGTTCTTGCCGGACTTTCCAACCACGAATGCCTGGTCTTTTCAGCAACCACCTATTCAACTCTTCCATGGTTCCGTTCTTACCAGTTCGCCCTCATAATCAACTGTGCCATCCTGGGCAACCTTGGGGATCGGCACATCCTCATTCCATGCAGCCACTGATGTCGCTGGCTTAATGAATAGCGAAGGGAACGGAGGCGGTGTCCTGCCACCCTCCTTGACTGCAAATCAAGTCAGCTGTCTGCACATAGTGGTGCCAGTCCCGTAGGGGATGCAATACTGTGCTTAATATAGTTCAGGCCGATACACCGAATGATCGGGACGTCCCTTGACGTCAAGAGAGGTTTCAGGGCCTTGACGTGCACCCGTTCACCTTTGGTCAGTGATGAGACAGGGCTGGTACCATCGTAAACGGTAGCCCATAGGTTATCTTTATCGAGAAGCGACGTGATCTCCGGTTCATCTTGCACATGTGGCTCGCCAAAGTGCTCGACGTCGTTGTCGTCGACAAAGCGAATAAGACGGTTCCACGACATTGTGTTTGAGATATATGCCGAAAGTATAAAATAACTCGGATTATTGAGCTTCTGAGATTGGTTATGATGAGCCGCATGAAGCTGTTTCCAGATAATATCTCCTCCTCATGAGTGTGTCTCCGAGATGTGCATCATCGACCCCCTCAATTGGAGAATGCTCAAGCTAGCCAATCAGAGACGGTTCCGGGATTGGAAAACGGGGAGCTCGGAGACGCATCGGAACTCGGGATTGCCTCGACTGCGCGACCAGACCCTGTCCCGCGTGGCGCTTCCGCTGCACAGTGGCGGGCGAGGGGAACCAACAGTCCGGGGATAACGGGGAACCCGACCTTGACAATCTCCTTCGGATATTCCTCCGACATCCAACTTCATCACGATAATTACGCCTTTCACTGCAGAATACACCAATATATCCCAACTATTACTACCGAACATCAATACTTCAAGCACGACCACAAAGAATCCAGACTGGCCTACGCCGCGTCCATCTTTAGTCTTCATTCACAATGGACTCCGCTCATGAGGACGACAAACGGGCGAAGGCCATGAACGATTACCTCGAAGAGCTTCCATCACAGCACTTGGAGCCCTTGTGGTCCAAGATGAATGTAATGGTTCCACCTACGCCAGCACCCGTCGCCAAGCCTCACATCTGGAAGTACGCCGACAACCTCCCCCTCCTCCACAAAGCCGCGGAGATGGTCGGCGAGAAGCAAGCCGAGAGGAGAGTGCTGATGCTGGTGAACCCTAATACGGGTAAGCGTCACTCATGTCATTTCGACAACCTTAACCGTACACATACTCACATATCAATGCAGAATCCCCTTACACAACAGACACCATCTACGGTGGTCTTCAGATTGTCAACCCCGGCGAGACTGCACCTGCACATCGGCACATCGCGTTCGCTCTCAGATTCATCATCGACGGCGATGGCTTCACGGCAGTTGAGGGAAAGAAGATGCCCCTCAAACGCGGCGATGTTGTCGTGACACCCACATGGCACTGGCACGACCATGGAAACGAGAGCGATGCCCCGGTCATCTGGCTCGATGCACTGAATTTGCCGCTCTTCAGATTCACCCCGGTGCACTTTGCGGAGCAGTACCACGAGAGCCGTTATCCCAGCGTGTAAGTCTCCCCTATGCAATGGACAAGAACACAGCCGTTGACAACCCGCAGCTTCACAGAAACGTGCGAGTGGAGGCATCCATGGAACCAAGTCGAAGCAGAATTGAAGGCCCAGGAGGGTCCCTACGCAATCCACCACTACACAAGTCACGGTCAGCCGCTGTCGCCCATCCTCGGCGCGCAGGCCGAGCGTATCAACGGTCACCACACAACAATGGAGGTTCGCGAGCAGGCTTCGTTCCTCTACCACTGCTACGAAGGCCAGGGTCGGACCATTGTGGAACCACCCACAGGACCTCGCGTGGTCTTCAAGTGGACTGCGCGAGACACTTTTGCCATTCCGGCGTGGTCCAAGATCCAGCATATCAACGAGGATGCCGCAACGGCATACCTATTTGCTGTAAGTGACAGACCGATGCTGAGCAGCCTTGGGCTGATCAAGCCGCAATCGTGAGCCGTGGAGGATAAGACAAGACGCCGAGAAGTGAGTAAAGCAACGAATTGAGAAGAACCTGTATTTCTAGCGATAAGTAGACTTCGGAGAACCTTTCTACTCGAAATAGCAATTTAGACACCAAAAATGTTGACCACAGTCGACTGGTGAAGGCCACACGCCATTGTGCTGCAATTCTTCCCGAGATATCAGTTTCACAAATTCACATAGTATTGATTCCTCAATGCAAGCGTTTTCTGTTGAAGCGAAAGACCCACAAAGAGCCGAAACACGAGGTGTGCGTTTCCACAACGATGAGGTATGGATAGCTCCAGGACCTCAGCTGGAAAACTCCTTTTGTCAGGATTTCAACTTCTTCTCATCCATAATAACATCGTATTTGATTATTTCCATGCTCGTTTCTAGAGAACTAGGGTTTTCTACCCATAGAGATGTACTATATTGTCAAGTCTTCAACTCCCAGTACGGTCTCAAACGCAGTATGTTCTCCACAAAGTTGAATGCCGAAATCAGCAGAAATTCTCCATGGGTCACTACGTCTACGTTGATCATCGCTTTCATCAGCTGCATGGTAGCAGTCAAACGGCTGCTTTACCGTCGGAAAATACGAATTGAATCCCTGTTTATCAAGGGAGGACGTGAGTTGTCTAGCGTGACCGTCAAAGAGTCCCACGACATTATCACTCAACTACAACAGCTTGAGTTCTCATACGCCTTCTGCAGAGCTCGAAGGCTGGCTCTTCTCAAAGTTAGTCACCGTATGTTGCTGAAGATTATTCGTGTTGTCAATCCATAGAATAGATCAAGCTGATGATAAGCTCTCAACTAGGATGCAGGCCCCCCATTAATGTCCAAATCCTTTGCGATAACGGGCCATAACAACGAACGAAAGGCGGGAAAACGATCAGTTGACCCTTTGAGAGAATTCCAGTTCAAGGCAAGATATTCGGATCGATACGCAAGGTCTGTGGCAAGGATGGACTTTCTATGTCTCACTAAAAGGTGATAGTGCCTGCCGTGGTCGTCGACTCGGTCTCGTTTGGGGGGGCAAAGTAGCAGAACATGGCGAGAAAGATGTGGCCCTCAACCTCGAGCCGATGAAAATTCCTCGTTCGGGCCATATGAATCAGTCGC